TTCTTTATAGTATTCCTAACTCTATAACTATTCTTAAATTAATAAAGTTCTTCTTTACTTTATTATTAATCTATATATTTAGCTATCTTCCCTTAATCTAAGCTTATAATACTAGGCGATTGGGTTTGCTATCTTATATAGCTCCTAGAGTACTTATTAGTTTAAGTCTTTCTTGTTCTTATTTATTATTGCTTTTTTGTGGCTCTATCTTTATAAAAGGTATATTACTTTTCCTAAGGTATTTTAGTAGGTTTATTTATAATTGCTATTGCAATAACCCTTACTATTAGTATAGTTATTAATAAATTCGTTATTAAATAGTTACTATTAGAAGTGTTTTTCTAATTCTTTATATTATTTTTTAGGTATCTTTAGGCATATCTTATATCTTTCTAATTCTGTTATTTACCTGTTATATAATGCTTTGATATTATTAAGGTGACTTTAGTAGTATATTTCTAGGTCTATATATCCTTTAATATAATCTACCTTGCTTAATTCTTATTATTCCTTTATAAGTTCTTATTTATATCTGCTATATTGTTTTTAAGCTTTTTTTTATTTATTAGTAGGCTTTCCTTTAGTACTGTATAGTTTCTTAAAAAATTTTACTAGTATCTTAAGTTCTTTATCTTCTTAGGGCTTTAAGCTTGTATTGTTAATTGAATTTTATTATTTCTCTTCTTCTTATTCCCTATAGCTATTATAATTATAGAAGTATTATAGATTAGTATATTTATTAAAGTCTTTAGGTATGCAGATTTCGAACTTTAATAGTCCTTTACTATTTATATCTCCTTTAATATACCTAGGGTTAATTAGATTATAAGTTTATTACTATTTTATTTAAATTATATTATTATATTCTTTCTTAGCTTCTTTAATTAGTTATTAGGACTGCTAAATTCCTTTATAGAGTTTCTTTATTTTATAGATTTATTAATAGTAAGATATGCTAAATTATAATTCTATTACTTTAAGGTTCTTATACTAGCAATATACTAGGTATCCTTTTATTTTTATTTTCTAGTAAGAATTATTATTAGGTATGCTAGGAATTATAATAAGAAAGTAATTATTATCTTCTTTTTCTTATTTATACTTCTTATACTAATAGTATTTATATAATAGCTATAATAGTTTACCGTATTTTAAATAGGTTAGAAATGTTTTTATAATATCTTTAGTATTAAATTTCGGCTCCTTGTAGTAAGGGTTTATAGCATCTGCTATATAGTAAGCCTAAATATATAAGTTCTTAAGTTTATTAATATTACCATGTTCCCTAACTCCTTATAGATATCTATCTTCTATTATAGTATATATCCTATTATTATATTTATTAAATAGTAGTTTATAGGGTTATTTCTACTTATTCTTAATTTATTTATCTTCTTTATAGAGGTATTATATAGTATTTTATACTACTCCTCCTTTATATTTTATATTTTAGGAGTATTATTAGTAATATATATAGACCTTATCTCTTACTTTATATTCTTTCTTTATTATTTCCTCTTTTTTTTAAATAGTTATTTAAATTAGGATAGTATTAATTATCTTAAATACTTTAGGTTGTTTTCCTATATTAGAGGTAGTTCCTATTCCCTATAGGTTTTTTAGGTATTTCTTAATTTCCTGCTTTAAGGGTCTCTCTTTCCTTATTATCTTAAGGATCTTAGTTTATTTTATTTTCTTATATTTCTTCTTTTCTTTTCTCTTAAGGTAGTAAGTATAGTCTTTTTTCTTTTTCTACTATTAGTTTTCTAGGTTCTTCTGCCATTTCCTTTAGTATTTTATTACCTTTGTTTTATATAGTATTAGGATTTAGGGTATATTTCCTACTTTAGTATCTTCTTCTATTAGAAACTTTTCTTATAGTTTACAGATCGAGCTATTTAGGTATAAGTATTAGCTATATTTCGGCATAGTGTCTTTATATAGAGCTATTATATTATATAAGCTTTATATTATTCCTAGTACTTAGGTTTATATAGCTATTTAGGGTTTTTATTTATTAGTTATTATTAGTATTTACTTACCTTAATTAAGGTCTTTAGGCTTTTTTAATTAAGGATATTTATTAGCTATATATCTAAACTAGTTATAATTATAGTATTTAACCTTAAATATATTATAAGGCTTTTTATTATTATTACATTAAGTTACTTTAAGTATTATAAGTCCTAGTTTAGTTTTATATTATATATTAATATATTTCTTTCTTCCTTAATTAGCATTTTATTATTTATTAATATTCTATTAGGGGTTATATAATCCTTTATATCTTTTTACTTATCTTTCTTTATATTATTTATACTATTAGTTATTAATTTCTATAGTAATATTTACAAGCTTATTTAAGTTTTTAGGTTTAGGCCTAATATTAATTATAATATCCTTAACTTCTAGTTTTAGTCCTAAGTATACTTATGCTATATAGGCTTCTTTTCTTTAATTAAGCTTGGCTGCTTAGTAGCGGTATTTTGCTAGGTAGTCTATAGCAGATCCTTTCTATTTAAGTTATTATATTTTTATTTCTATAGTATGTTTTTTATTTATTACTCTAAAGGCATTTCTAAGCTCTAATTTAAAGTTTTTATATTTCTTATAGATATATTTTATTATTTCTTATTATTCTTTATATAATTTACTAATATAGTTTTAAATAATAGGTTTTATTAGTTATAATGCTTTATCTTTAAGGAAACTTATATTATATTAAACTCTTAGTTTATTAGTAATAAACTAAATAGGGTAATATATTTAGTAGCTCTAGAGGCTAGTAAGGAATCTTTAAAGTTTATTAGTATTATTATTAAATAGTTTAGGCTAGTAAAGTTAAAGGATTTCTTTAAGGTCTTTTTTAATTACTATAAGGGCTGTGGTATATTTAATATACTCCTTATAAAGTTTCTAACTGTTTTCTACTTCCTTTCTAAGTGCCTTTATAATCTTAATAAGGTTAGCTACCTTTTTCTTTAGATTTTCAATTTTATTCTTAGCTATATTAGAGTTATTCTTTACGTTCTTTAGGAGGTTATTATATTACTAGCCGAGCTATCTAAGTCTATATTTAAGTTTTATAACTTCCCCTTTATAAGTGCTTAGATAAGTAGGGGTAATATTTTCTTTATTTTTATTATTAATTTCTATAAGAATATCTACTAGGTTAAGGGGTATTTCTTACTATAAATAGTACTAAGTATATCTTAAGTTAGAAGGCTAGATTAAAGTAATAAGTACTATTATATTAATATTACTTAGTATTATATAATATAGTCTAAATAAAAGCTATTAATATATAATAGTTAGGTTTTCTAAATAGGTAAACTAGTCTATATTAGGTTTATATTTATAAATTATATAAGGTATAATACTAAGTATTATAAAGTATTATATCTCTTAATAATTAAGTAATATAGGCTAGGCTTATTAATATAAAGATGCTTTATTAATAGCTAGTAAGCTAAGTTTTATAAAAGTGCTAATAAATATATTCTATATATTAAAGGTAGCCTAATAGCTTAGTAAGGAATAATAATAATCTAAAGGTTAAATCTCGGGGATTGTTAGTAATCTAGGGTAATCTAGCCTTAGAGCATTGTAATTTAAGTAATTTAATAAAAGAGGATTATTACTAGGAGAAGTAATCCTCCTATAATAGGTGGAAATTATAGGGGCCACGTGATGTAGCCGCATGGGTCGTAACAAATATAGACTCTTTTATATATATTAAGTCTTATTTAAAAGTTATAATACTTAATTATATATATAAAATAAATAAATATAAAATACTATTATTTAATATTATTAATATTAATACTTATAAAAAGAGCTTTTATATTATATTTATATTTATAAATAATAAAAAAGAAGTAAATTATTTCTAAGTTCTCTTTTACCTTTAAAAAGTATATAAAATATAAAAAATAGCTCTTCTTTTTAAAATACTTATAAATTAATATTTTAATAATATAAATATAATTATAAATATAACTATATTTCTTAAATTAATATATTTACTTTATATCTTTTATATTAATTAAGCTATTTTAGCCTATTATTAACTTAATTTTATAAGAGGCTTAATTAATACTTAAGGATATAGTAAATAGCTTAAGTTCTAAAAGAGCTTTAATTAAATTATAAGCTTAGAGACTTAGGCTATTTATAAGAAATAGCTAAAAAGGTTTAAAGATACCTATGCCCTAAGCTATTATAATAAAGTAAGTTATATTATAATTATTTAGCTTAATTTATATAAAGAGAAATTTATAAAGGCTTAAATAAGAAATACCTTTTACTTTAATTATATAATAATATTACTAATAAAAGGGATATATAATCTTATTAAGAAATACCTAAATAATAATTAATTTAATCTTTTTAAGTATTAGTAATATATTTAATAAGTTATAAATAATTAGCTATAAAGCCTTTATAATAGCCTTACTTATAATAATATTAATAAGCCTATTATTTAAAGTAATTCCTCATCTCCGCGGGCACACGTTCCTTTGAAATCGTTCGAATGGCTTCTATGTGCATCCATGAAAAAGAACTCTTCAGCTGACAAAGAAGGAAGCACGAGTCAGCCGCTGGATCTATCGAATAGATAGGCCCAGGCAGTTCTCCCGCTTATCTTTCTTCAACCCAGCAACAGCCTCTTTTTACCATCAGCTCCATATTCGTTACATTGCTTCCAGAACCATCTCTCACAACTACCACGCCCTTGAAAATGGCTTTCTCTCCCGGCTTGGAGGCTCATTGTAGCTCTAGTGGCGGTTAGGATGTCATTTATCTTTACTCTCGAACGATTCCCTATCAAGACAACGGACCCAAATGACAGACACGACCATCGACAGCCTCAGAACTCATGATGTCGGCAGGCCTTGAATTAGGACGAGCTCGATATTTGACTACATATAACTCTATAGATCTAAGCAGAAAGGAAAAGAACTTGGGATCCATGCAATCATGCATCATAAGCCACAGCATCAGTTCTGAGAACCCCCGGGTGTGGCAAACTCTTGCACTCGTCGACGACTAATCGTCAACTCCTTTTCCCACGAGTTGTCACTATCAGGGCGGCCCTTCCATCTTACCAGATACTCAGCCCGTCCCCGCCGCATTCTTTTCTTAAGGAGCTCCGCCCCTTCATGATTTCCCCCATTGTCCGAGAAGGCTGCATCAAACCTGCTGACGAGTTCGTCGCTGATGTCGTTCCGCCTCTGCCACGAGTTCGCGTCGTCGGAGAAGCCTTTCCACTTCACGAGATATAGAACCTGCCTTCCCTGCTTCCATTTGGCCAACAATCGATCCACTTCCCAAATATCATCGTCTTCATCAATTGCCATGGGTTGGCTGTCTTGACCTCCTTCGAGGTAGCTTTGGGTGGGGGACGATGCGTCCGCCTCCGTACTCTTCGCGTGTTCCTGAGAGTGGTGGTGCATGGATAGCTGTGGACCGATCATGTCTGGGTTCCCAGAGAGCGACAAAATGGCTTGCAGCTTTTCGCTGGCTCGACGTCCTTCACTGTAGCCATCTTCGTGGCTTCTCCGTTCTAATCACCAAGGCAGGTTGTAGGAGACCTGGATTCCTTGTGGATATGTGATCCTCAAAGCTGGCGAGGTTTGGATTGTTGCGCGGGGACGACGAGGGGGAATTCGACGGGCCGTTCTCTTGGGGCGTTGGATTCAGCCTGGCTGATGGCGACACAGGCGAAAATGCTGGGTCGTAGTTCCCTCCCGAAGCTATCAAAAGTCTATGTCCTTGGTTCTCTACTTCCATGTCGGCCCAGGATCCAACCGTCGAAAGCTCTAACGACCGAGGACGTAAAGACATATCATCTTCCTGATTTGAGTAAACGGTGTTAGCAGAACTGACTGAAAGAGACGAAGGCAGCATGTCTGAGCCAAACATACTACCCTATTCATCCCAGACATGGTCAGGCTCACCAACGCCTGATAAAGAGGATGCGCTGTGCTCTATGCAAACTTCAGGAATCGCCTTGGCGTCAGATGATATCCAACCGGCAGACATATGATAGGCGCCGCCCTTCCAGAATCCATCGTATGTTTGATCTCCGCCGACTTGGAACTGAGTGCAGAGTTTCTTGGTCGGTAACGAGGTTTCATCATCATCTTGGCCTGCCTCATTACATGACTTTCGCTTCGTTGAAGGCTCTCGGGAAACGCTATAAATGTCCTCAAGATGGATCAACAGCTGTTCTAAGGATCGAGGGATAACTGGGCATTCTGGGTGAGGGCAGGATAAGTTGCTGGGATCAGGTTCAGCCTGGATGTATTGCAGAACGCATGTTGAGACATGACGCTGCCAACCGGTTTTGTCCCAGAATTGATGCAGGCGGTGGTCTGCAGGACACTCCTCCTTTCCGAGATGGGCAATACCCAGCACAAGCGGTGGCGTTGCGGAAGAAGACCGGGTCGCAGCGAAATGGTAGGTCCCGTTTTTCGATGTGATTTCGACAGTGGCTGAGCCATTCCGGTTCACTTTTCACCCAGTAATTGCAAAGGGAACAAAACCGAGCAAAGGGGCTATGCTTGCGGTAATGTCGCTCCCAGCAGCGGAAGACATGCTTCCATCTTGTCTGGTTTCGAAGTGGGATGCTGTGACAATCAAAATATGTCAGCTGTCATGGCTTCTTGATTCCTGCTAGCGAGTGGGCTCGTTTACCTTTCCATATCTGTGTGACAAGAGGGGACTGGACAGGTGCCCTGAGAGGGGCGTAGTATATCCTGGTATGCAATGTGACAAGGATTCGTTCGAAGGGCGATGATGTCTCGGAGAGCCGATAGTCCTTCATGGCTCCTAGGGGTACTGCTGAGAACAAGGTGTGAGAGAGCCGCTTGCGTTCCGGTAACAGGTTCATAATACGGGCAAAGTGGCCATGTCGCCAATCACCCTGCTCGTGAGGCTTCCGTTCATTTGAGTTGCTCCAAGGGTTGATTTTTTTGTACTTCCCGTAGCTTGGCTGCTTCCAGTCGTCATCTCTTAACGTAGGACTGTTTCCGCTCCACCTTGAGTTGCTCGCGGGTGGCGTCGGAGATCCCTTCTTGTTCTATCCGGAAAGTGAGATCTTTGATATTTTGCGAGAGCTTCATCCAGTCGTCCTGCTGTCCCAACTCTGCTTGAGCTTGGGATGAAAGTCCAAGAGGTAGATCCAGTATCCACCTCATAGTTGCTGAGCGGAAGTCTTCGGTGAGGTCCGGTCGAACATCCATGCCCCAGAAAGCAACCAGTTCCATCGATCGTGTTCATCGATCCGAGGTAATTTCTGCGTAAGACTGCCGAGTTCTGCTGGTCGGCATATTTCAGGACCTGCTCGATCGATGCTCCGCTACCTGATCTTGAGTGAGCTAGATGCGCGTGATCATCGTTCGAGATTGCGTTACCATTGGCTTTGAGAAGGGAATCACGACGCGGGCAGTGCATACCACAACCATCGATGAATCCAGCCCGGATCGCCCATCTTGACGCTTGATGGCTCCAGTTGTAAGGGCTTCGAGCAGTGGCCTTGGGCCCCTCTGCAGTCCAGTCGGGGAAAATTGGTTTTTCGAGCATATCGTCTTTCCATTCAAAAACCTAATGCCTGCGATGCTGTGGTGGTGTATAGTTGAGCATATCCCCAAGAGTAGGGTTGCCCTTTATTGTTCCAGATGATAGGAAATTAGCCAAAAAGAACAGGATCGGTTGCGCATACAACGGTGGCGGACCACGGTTCGACGAGAGCCTCTCATACAAGATGTGCTCTGGCCTGGCTGAAGGTTAAAAATCGTTACCAGGATTCAACAAGGGCTGGTAAAATTACTGCATCTTGTCTTTTCCCTTACAGACTCTCCTCTGTATCTTCAACTTCAGTTCCGGCTCCCCGTCCTTCCGTCCCACTAGGAAGACGACATCCTACCATCACAAGGTCAGGTGCACCATAATAGCAGCAATACCGAGCTCAACCATTTCATCATACCTTGTACTTTGCTTGACACAGCTCCGAAAGCCGAGCGGAGGTGTAGCAATGAGTGTTCAGAAGAGTTCCATTATCCACGCGGTAACCTTCATGGACATAGTCATGATGATCACTGAACCACAACTTCTCTTGAAGTTTCACAAAATTTTCAGTGGTGAGGAATCCTTGCGCTCGATTGATGTTTTTTCAAGCCATTCTTGTCGGCAAGTTCGCCTTCAATATACTAAAGGGAGTCACTGGTGAGGTCGGCAGTGACGATCTTGGAGAACTTTGACGCAGCTTACAGGGGCCATCGAGAGAGTAACCTCCGCGGGTATGGTTTGGCGTGTTTTTCTTTGCCAGTTGCTATAGAATCGACGCATCTTGTTTCGAATACTGTCGGTAGTCGGGAGCTCATTCTCCTTGTCTAACTTGCCAACGGTCCCGAGGGCCACGAACTCAGCGAAATGCTTCATCACTTGCATTTCTTTCTCGGGGATCAGAACGGCCAAATTCCTTCTCATACCTAGAGTCTGTCAGATGAGGTGCTCAATGTAAACCATGTCATTGTCAACTAACTCATGCCAGAGATCCAGGTCTCTGTCATAGAACAACTGGCTGTTCGGCCTTAGTTTCTGGGGCACAACATGAGGGCTGATTGCACTCCGGTCGCTGCTAAAACCTCTCTGCTTAGCTAAAGCCTCTCTGCTTAGCTAACGCAAGAATTCCCATGGTGGTCTTGTTGGGTGATCGGCTGAGCAAAACGCGGGTCTGACTTCAGGTGGTGACAAGGAAAGACACAGAACGATGGTTTGGGTCAGGGACTGATGATGGAAACGGCCTCGTACAGCTGGTGGAGGACAGGTTGCCCGAGCTTTTATGTTCATTTTTGAGCAGTGGGGAGAAGGCAGACTTGGACATGATGTCCACTCTGCACGCCGCAGCTGCAGACGCAGGAGGGGATGCAGGGGTTGTCGAATTTGAACCCCCCGGCCCTTGGTAGTGGAGTTGCATCCTCCCACGTACCCGCTGAATTTCATCCTGCCTGAGCTCACCCGAGCGGCGACTGAGCCATCCCTGAGCCAGCCCTGAGCAAGCCTGAGTAAAAGCGGCGACGGGTCACGTGCAAGGATCGTCTAGATTCGTGGCGTATAACAACGAGACATACGACTATTCAATAGTTCTCGTTCTCGATAATGACAGCGCCATCTTTGCTGGGAGAGAAATCTTCGGCTATCCCAAGATCTTTGGCAAAGTCAATTTTCACCCTTCAGCTGGGTCGAGAGTCATCATGGGAAACGTGGAGCGTCCTGCAGGAAGGTCTCTAATCGAGTTTGAGTTTGCGCCAAAAGAGCCTCTTGATATGTCACCGGGAGGCGCGACTCCTCCTAAGCTGTTGAATCTGTGCGTTATTCCGAGTACAGACCCAACTAAGTCTGCGTTGAGGGAATTTGTGGCTGTTGATATGCAGTTTGACTTTAGTGAGAGGTGGAGTGGAGAAGGAAGTCTCAGGTTTAACAAAGGGTTTGCTTCGACTCCGTTGGCTAACTTGGATGTTGTCTCGTATGTTGGGTCTTGGTTGGGGAAGAGTAAGGCGGTTCTTAGTAACAAAGTTGAGCGCTTCCCTCTCTGATCACTCTGTAATGACTATCACTGAGATAGAGTCAATTTATAACCTGTCCATGATCGTATTACCTATCGTGAGTGTCATATGTGACTTGTCCCTTCATTGACCTTCGACGCCCGACTAATTGCATCTCTCATTGGAGTGAGTGTTCAACAGACAACATAGCCGCTTCCAAGACGTCAGCACATCGCCCAGCCGTAGCCGTCTCAACCTCCCAGTACCGAATCCTCTGAATCAGCCCCTTAACACCGCCGCGCCAATCCATCTCATGAACATCAGTCACTCTCCCAGACTTGACTGTCGCCATGATACAGAGGGCGGATGCAGTTGATGCCCTAAAATGATAATACGTTATATGATTTCGATAGCGCAGGTAGCCAACTGTAACAGCAAGGAAATGACAAGAAAGGCCCTTGTCAACGAAAGGGACTAATGTCAGCCTGCTCTCTCTCATTCATGGTGGAATGAGCAGCATGGTATAGAAACGGCCGATATATGAGGCATTTGAGTTCCAGAATTCTGGCGTAGAGTAGCAAAGCTAGTTTGTTGGTTGGTGCTGCACCCATGCTGATTTGAGTCATGAGAGGCATCGTTTTGGCCCTACTCCGTATTGGTGTCAGAATATAGAACTGGCATATGAGGGACGGAATCGAGGGAGGCTCACCAGTTGTCCAACTGATCTTCGATCTGTGACACAGCTGAGATAAAGGACGTTATACTTAGGGATCTTGAAGTCCCCCAGCCTTGTCCATCACGATACAGCAAATTGAATGCACGATTGTTAAACCTCCGGAGTGTTATCTCGGTAAGATAATAGTACCAACTCTCCTCCTGTACACGACCAAGATCATCCGCAGAACTTTCCCCTGGCGGTGGAAATATTGCCCTTGGCTATCGGGGAGGACATGCGTCTAGCTCCGGGGGCATAGGCAACTCAGACCCAGCATCATTCAGATCTTTCAAAACGCTTTGCGGAAGATATACATCGAGGCCAAGCTCGACCTGAGATTTGAGACAGCTCCAGTAAAAGCTCTGAACTGATCGTGCCAGATGAGCCTGTTTTAGGTTATCGGGCGACTGATACTTCCAGTGAATGTAGAAAATGTTGGCAGCATGCTCGAATTGGGACCAGGCGCGTAAAGGCGCGAGAGTGAACATGTAGTATACTCCGGCGAAGAACTGACATTGAGCAGCTAGAAGACTTTGGTCGAGCAAGCCCAGCCTTTGTCTGGCAAGATCAAAGTATGCCCTGGCTGTTTCCAACTCTTCACTTTGTGATTCGAGGGAGGAACCCGGCGACGTTTCTGATGGCGAAGTCACCATGGCATCGTAAGGTTTTGCTAGACAGCCTAAGGCACATGCTATGAGCTGCAAGTTGTATAAGTACAACTTCCGGAAAACAAATGGCCTTTGTTTAACGTACCACAATGCATGACTCTCCATCACATGTAATACCTGTTTCCGAAATGCGCAAGCTGTCGGCGTAAATGGCATCAACGTCAAGAATTGGGTTCACAGGATGAACGTGCTGCAAGAACTGGCGGACTAGCCTAGGAATGTCTTTCTCATCAACTTCGAGCGGTGTCACTGCTGCACTTGCTGCTGGGGGATTGTCTGTCCCACTATTCAGAGAAGAAGCATTACCACGGTGAGCTTTCGTATCTGATAGAGCCTCGAGGATGTAGTTCGGCGCGACGATACCTGCCAGAATAGGCCATGCGAGAATATATTCCACTCTCAATATTCCGGCAGGGGCTGTGAGGTCATCAGAGTTCAATTCCTGGCCATCCGTTCCTGGCCATCCGAAAACGCGTCAAAATTTTCTGTGACGCGCGAAGCCGGGTTCGGTGGCAATGCGTTATTTTTCACGGCGGTCTCAACATTCTTCCTGATTACATCGGGTATCTCTCCTACACTCTCAAGGACTTGATTCAAACGTTCCAAGATGGCAATGCTGGCAGGATCGAATCTAGGACTGTCAGTCAGCAACGTCAGCAAATGTCATGGGTCTACGCACGAAGAATGATCCTCTTCAGCCCCCTCGTAGACACAGGTAGATTGCGATGCCATGCATGATCCACAAACAGGTCTGATGTTATTGCACTTGACCTTTTTTACGCGACATATTCGACATGCTGCGATGGCACGCTTGCGAGAGTATGTTACGTCAGGCCTTTGGCGGTCAATCCGGCGTCGTTTTGGTCTCACAGCATCACTAGTTTGCTCTGCCTCCTGTTGAGGCAGTTCTGATCTAGTCATCGAATCGAGACGACAAGGGAGGGCGTCTTGGTAGGGCTCAGTAATAATTGTGATCTATGTTTAGGGATGTCAAATTTGAGTTGGTGCAGTATTCAGGTCGTTAGCTTGTATGTGGCCCGTGCCTCGGCAGCTTATCTGACCCAGGATAGTAGGAATCATAAGTATTGATTTTCCGAGTCGCACTTTTCTTAGTAGACAGTGTAGATATTTTAGTCTTCTGGCATCTCTTAATTGTTCTTTCATCCCTCAGACCTATTTCTTCAACAAATCTTGCAGGACCTCGCAAACCGCATCTCCAACCTCACTGCACTTCGCACTACCACCAAGATCCTTAGTCCTAATCTCCAAACCTCCACCTTCCTTCGTATCCAATACCTTGGCAACAGATTGCTCAATTGCATCAGCCTCTTTCTCTAACAAAAACGAGTATCGCAACATCATTGCCAAACTCAAGATCTGTGCCACCGGATTGGCGAGGTTCTTGCCCGAGATATCAGGCGCACTTCCATGCACAGGCTCGTAGATTCCTTTGCAGGATCCTTCACCTGGAACGCCGGCGAGGCTTGCGCTTGGAAGGACTCCAAGAGTGCCTGTGATGCCACCGGAGATGTCGGAGAGGACATCGCCGAATGTGTTATCGGTGTGAATAACGCTGTTGTTGAAACGCTTGGGGTCAAGAACCATCAACATGGCGAGACTGTCAGCGAGTTGATGGCGGAGATCAATGTCGGTGAGTTCCTTGTTGAAAACATCTGTAGTTGCGCGTCTCCAGAGACGGCCGCTAGCAAGGACGTTCGCCTTGTCTGCACTCCAGACAACTGGTTTACTACCATCATTTGCTTTTTCGCTGCTCGCGTGCAAGATTCTCGCAACAGCCGCACTCACACGAGCTAGTCTCTCAACCTCAGGTCGTGAATAGACCCAAAGATCAGAAGCTTCATCTTCGCTCTCTTCCTTCTTGCCAAAGTAAGCACCACCGCAATTCTCACGAACAACGATGAATCTAGTCCCGGCTACAAGCTCAGCTTTGATGGGTGATGCGCTGACTAGAGATGGAACGAGGATCTCGCATGGACGCAAGTTGGCGAAGGCGTCGAGACGTTGGCGCAGCTTTAAGAGTCCTGATTCGGGGGTAGGTTCGACGCCAGCCCATTCTGGGCCGCCGATGCTGCCGAAGAGTACGGCGTCACTGGCTAGGGCCTTTTCTAGGACTGCATCTGTAACGGGAGTGCCGTGTTTGTCGATACTGCATCCACCGACGATGTCTGTGTCTCGTTCGAAGCGAATGTCAGGGCGACTCGTCTCGATTATGTCGAGGACTTTGAGGGCCTCGGCCATGATTTCAGGACCGACATGGTCGCCAGGGAGAATGAGAACGCGAAATACTTTGTTTTCCGACATGTTGTTGTTGAATAAGCGAAGCTGGAAAATGAGGTGAAGATGGAGTTTGTCAGCTGGGGTTTGGATGCTCCGAGATAATAGTAGAGATCGAGTCCTGATCCTGCCGATCTCGGACTACTAATTATGTCCGCTGTTGCTAATGCCGATGCTGGATGTGATGATGGATGCAGCCAAGACTTTTTTATTCCTGTGACTGCTAAATTACCCCGCACTCTCACTAGTTCTGGCCCCGTATTCATTGGTTTCCTTTTTTGGAAGGGAGTGAAACGGAGTCTACCACCCAAGCCATTGAAACGTGGGGAAGACAACAAACCACATAAAATACAAACCGAGCGAGATAACACTCTCTTCCTCAACCAATCTACACACTCAAGTCTTATCAAAATCTCATATTCATCACAATGTCAGGCCGTCTCCAAGGAAAGACTGCAATCGTCACAGGCGGCGCATCAGGCTTCGGCAAAGGCATCGCCACAAAATTCATCTCCGAAGGCGCCAATGTCATAATCACCGACCTCAACGAACAACAAGGCCAAGCCGTCGCCCAAGAACTATCCTGCGCCTTCACCCGCGCCGACGTCACCAACCCCGATGACTGGCGTCGCGTTCTTGACTTTGCCATTGAGAAGTACAAACAGCTCGATATCGTTGTCAATAACGCCGGCGCTGCATACTCCAAGAAGCCAACTGAGGAGGTCACTACGAAAGATTTCGACCTTGTTATGAATGTTAATGTCAAGAGTGTTTATTATTCTACTAATGTGTTGGTGCCGTACTTTTTGAAGGAGGGGAAGCCGGGGTGTTTTATTCAGGTTGCGTCGACGGCGGGTATTAGGCCCAGGCCGGAGTTGACGTGGTATAATGCTTCCAAGGCGGCTGTTATCAATGCTACCAAGACGATGGCTGTTGAGTATGGACCTAAGCAGATTCGGTTCAACTCTGTATCCCCAGTTGTTGGTAGCACTGGCATGTGAGTATTCGCTTGTACTCGACTATGAGAGCGTTATAATTGACTTGGCAGGACACACCTGTTTATCGGCAAGCCGGACACTGAGGAGAACAGAAAGGGCTTCGTTTCAACGATCCCAATGGGCAGACCTTCGACACCCAGTGATATTGCCAATGCCTGCTGCTACCTAGCTAGTGATGAAGCCTCTTTCATTACTGGTGTCGATTTGGAGGTATGTCCGCCATCATGGAATACGATATACCGATACTAACATGAACATTACAGGTTGATGGAGGTCGCTGCGTATAAGCTTGAGAACAGGCTTACGTGTTTTTTGGTTAGCTACAGGGCAGTCTATTACTATTTTTCCAGTAATAATAAAAATATAAATATTATGTATTGCATTTCTCATCGACACCAATGCTTCTCGGCTCTTAAACAATATCACTCCAGATTTCACTCCTGAAGCCGTATGCATATGCAGTGATTTGCTTTGTAGCTAATTTTTTTAAACTCCGTAACAATCAGGTATCAATCGATAGGGCTTACTCAACTGAACTCAGCAATATCAAGAATTGCTCCGTGATTGTTAGCTCCAAGCTGCACGCATCTGGCGATTAGATTCCCTTCCTAATTGGGCTTTGGTGGCAGATGTTCCTGTGATGCTTCAACGCGGGGTAAAAGCGGACCTTGCCATGGTTCCTGTGACGGGTCGGGCGGTACCTGAACCGGAAGGATATCATCGGCCGATTGAGGGGCCACCAAAATCAACTCCGACGATCTATCATATCAGGCACGGCACCATCATCTACCTGACAACAAATATTTTGCTTGAGATATCCACCTATCTTTTCTACCCTCGGACTCTTATTCCCCTTCCAATTCCATTCAGAGACACTCAATACAGCACCATGGAAAGCTCACATCAACTCCCCTTCAAGCTATCAGACGATTCACTGCTTCATTACAGCTCTCTCATCAACGGAGATTTCGTTCCCTCGAAAGAAGGCAAGACATTCAATGTCATTGACCCAGGAACCGGCAAAACATGGGCATCATGCCCAGACTGTACAGCATCCGAAGTTGATGCGGCAGTAAAGTCGTCCTATGAAGCATTCAAGAGCTACTCAAAGACAACGCCACGCTTCCGCGCTCAGACTATCATGAAATGGCATGATCTCATTCTTGCAGCTCGCGAGGACTTGGCTCGCCTTCTTGTTCATGAAACTGGCAAGCCTTTGGAGGAAGCGCGCGGCGAAATTGACTATGCGCTTACGTTCGTCTGGTGGTTCTCTGGTGAAGCGGATAGAGCGCATGGGTCGTCGATTACCTGCGCTATTCCTGGAAGAAGGGCAATGACGATCAAGCAACCTATTGGCGTTGCGGCTGCTCTTGTTCCCTGGAACTTCCCTATCGCCCTCGCTTTACGAAAGGCGGCAGCGGCTCTTGCTGCGGGGTGTACTATGGTCATCAAGCCGTCACCTGAGACACCTCTCACAGCAGTCTCGGTAGCATATCTAGCGTTAAAGGCAGGCTTTCCACCAGGGGCACTCAACGTGATTACAACATCCCTCGAGAATACACCGGCTGTCGCCGAAGCTCTTTGTCTCAACCCGCTTGTGAAGAAGGTGAGCTTCACTGGTAGCACGAGAGTTGGCAAGATCATTGCTAGTCTATGTGCTCAGAACCTGAAAAAGACGACCTTCGAGCTTGGTGGGAACTGCCCGTTCATTGTGTTTGATGACGCCAATGTCGATCAGGCTATGAACCAGCTCATGGCTCTGAAGTGGAGGCACGCGGGCCAAGCTTGTGTCACTTCCAACAGAGTCTTTGTTCAGAGTAACATCTACGACTCTTTTGTTGAAAGGCTTGTATCTGAAACTCGGAAGCTGAAGCTGGGTCATGGTATGACAGAAGGGGCCACGTTGGGCGCACTGACAACTCCACGGGGCCTCGACAAAGCAGAAGAGCTGTACCAAGATGCCATCAGCAAGGGGGCAAAAGTGGTCCTTGGATCAGGGAAGCGGTACCAAGGGGAGGGATATTTCATGGAACCAACGATCTTGACTGACATGAAGGACGAAATGATCATGACGCACGAGGAGATCTTTGCTCCTCTCCTCGGTGTATATCGCTTTGAGACTGAAGAGGAAGTCGTCCAAAGAGCCAACGACACTCCCTACGGACTAGCGAGCTATGTGTTTACCAAGAACGTGGATAGGTTATGGAGAATGTTTGAGAACCTTGATGCTGGAATGATTGGACTGGTAAGTCGACCTCCCAGATATTGCTGGAAAGGAGAAGCTAACTTGTGATGTAGAACGCAGGTAACAGTTCATCAGCTGAAGCACCTTTCGGGGGAATCAAGGACAGTGGACATGGAAAAGAGAGCGGCAAGGATGTCGCGATTGATGAGTTCTTGATCACCAAGACGGGCACGATGACGGTGGAGGGGCAGTATTAGACTATGTAATTGAATCTGGGTCTCCCAACCAGCAACATAAATCTCCATCATTTTGGCATGCATCTTCTGTCGAAACTCTGTTTATTTGCTTGTGGTATGCTGATAGAAAAGCACTCTAAAGGTATTCCCTTAACAGCAGCTGTTGTTGCCCAATCACGATTAAGAACGCGAGTTCTATTTATAGCTCATTCAACATTCGCGTCTTGTCCTCCAGATTCCAACCCAGAGACTTAGATAAAGCATTCAAGTTAGATATAGTTATAAGCTTACTGACCTAGTAGTTTGAAACGTGTTCTGTTTCTATCACATTTCGCTCATCATGATATACTGTCATCTGTCGAAGGTGTTGGTTAAGTGATCAAATGATGGTTTCAAGACTTTGTCCTGGCAAGTGAATCCATTTGACTAGCGAGAGTTCAGCTTCAGCCGAGTAAAAGCATTTCTGCCCAGAAATATCACTTAATATAACTATAAGGTGTTTGCACTAACTACTGAAACCTATTATCGTACGTTGTTAATGCAGAGAATTAAAATACTAATTGATTCATCCAGGGTAATCCGACGTATGGATGTCGGACCTGGAATTGTCTAAAGCGGATTAGCATGAGATAAGCGTGGATACGCATTTCCATCACTATCTCCGGATGCTGCGATAACGGTTTGGTTCCCTGTGATGCTGATAAGAGGAGTTCAGCGGAGCGTGCCACCCCCGCAAGTCACCGGTTCTGCACCAGACCAAACAAGGAAAGCATTCAAATTGTTAGTCAAGTCTGCGCTATCTACACGAGTCAAGAGCATGATAAGCAGATACAACTTTAATCCTGCATCATTGCGTTATATCCTCGATCCCATTTTTTGCCCCATAATCCACCTCATTCGGAAAGTAATCTATCCATCACAGGCCCTCATCGCCTATTCTCTCGTAATGCCTCGGTCAAAAACCAACAATTTCCCAAGGGGCAAACCACGTGGTATACGCCGAGATCGGGACTGTCGAACCTGCAAAGTCCGGGGCGTCAAATGCGATCTCAACAGACCACGATGTCTCCCGTGCGTGGAGTCTGGCTATGCATGCGGAGATTATCCACAGAGAGTTGTATGGGCAGCGAATCCGACGCCGAAGCCGAGCAGGGCTGAGAATAGAAGTGCTGTTATTGAAAAGTCGCTTGCGACGGACCAGCATGAGGTTGTGGAGCATTTGTTGGCGTTTGGGAGTAGTTTGAAGACTGCGAGGTTGGCGACGAATGATGATCCTCTTGTGGATCAGGGTTTGGGGTTGATTGATCAGGTTGATTACTTTTTGAGGGCAAGGATTAGTAAGAGGAGAGGATCAACTACCGACCCTGCTTTGCCAACTTCACCGTCTTCTTTATCGTCGGGTGAGGGATCACAAGATGAGGATACACTCATGTGGCATCGACTGGCTGCTCTCAAGAGTCTTAGCGAGGCTTTGAACACTGCCGACCCAGCCGCCTTTCTGGGCATCGCCGTCTTTGCTTTCTTCGAGGTTGTTTCAGATGGAGTCTTTGGCGAATGGGACTGTCATCTACGTGGAGCTCGCTCATTGCTAGATTGCCATTGCAGCAATAGTGAAGAGTTCCAGCAATTCTCAAGGCGCTTCACTGGTCTAGAAGAGATTGTCGCCTATTTTGCATGGTGGGATACCATTGGAGCTCTCGTTCGACAGTCCACAAGCAGTACTAAGAGCGGCCTCATCTTTGACGGCTGGCATCGAAGCTCTCTTGGTCAAGACTTCTTCGACAGAGTTGGCTGTCCTCCCGAGACATTCTGGTTATTCGTCTCTCTGGTTCAAAGCAAAGAATCCGCCAACTTATCCAAGAGTCTCACCCAAGCCATGGCGCAGGTTCTCAAACTCGGAATGGACAAGACAGAAAAAGGAAAATGCAGTGATATTTACCGCTGCGCCGCTGTAATAGCCGTCCTCACAACACAAAACTCCTCATTTGGAAGTGAAGATACCTCTTCTGAGACAACACTAGAGTTTGCGGTGGATCGGATCTGCCATATTATTGAGTCCGCCTGCTCAAGATCTCGATACTATCCACATATGGCCACGCCTGCGTACCTCGCAGGAATGAGAGCAACTACTTCGGCGCAATGCAAGATCTTGGGGACGTACTGGAGGAATTGTGAGATGGGGGATATTCCTCGATATTCTGGTGCTCATATGCAATGTGAAGAGACATGGAGGGAAAAGGGCCTGATATAATGGAAGACAATAAGTAAAGAGAACTTGATGAATGCAATGAATATGATAATGGACAAAATATCTAAATGGAAGTTAAATGACTTGACTATGGAAGGACTGGAACCGAACCCTGAGAATTCCAATGAGAGAGTAGACGTGTCCACAGCCACAGTTGCTTTGCGCCGACAGGAAAGGCGCAAGATACCTTCGGCTGAAAAGCCAGTACGGACAGTTCATTGCTTCCATAAGCCGAGTTGGTTTACTTGGCCAAAGTTTGCAATCGACTTTCCGTCAGATACGATGAGGTCTTTTGTGGCGGCGACAAGACAGACTAGAAGAAAGTTGATGGCGTTCTGAGCTTCTGCCTCAGCGGTAAGACCTTATGTCGTGGTCATATGTCTTTTGAGCACTTGTAGAATTGGACCGGCCGAGTTAATCTTCTCTTTGATAAGGTTCCAGGCTGTAAGGTAGACCAATCGGGTCATCTCAGACATGGCCGTCTCCATGGCCATCTCGACTGGAAATTTGAATCCCAGAGCGTGAAGAATGGAGATAAGACGTACTGCCACCTGGACCCTCTCTGAAGCCTCCTTGTCTGCGTCATCACCGGCAAAAAAAAACTCCATTCTCTTCCAGTAGTGATCCAAGAGCTTGAGAGCCCCCGATTCCGCTCAGGGTTTTGCACCTAGCCTCTTTGGTACTGAGAGCTTCATAGTATGCGTTGGCGATGTCACCGCGAGTGTACAACTCAATGAACGGTATCAAATGATATGTGTATCCCAAGGTCTACAGGTCGGCCCTGTGCCTTCCACTCCGAGTTGTAAAAGTACGCCATCTTGCTCATAACAAACTGATGAATACTCGCACGATTGACACCCAGCTTCGAGGGCAAAGAACAAGGGCAAGCCAATTGTTTTTAGGATTTTCTTTTTTTTCTTTCTCTAAAAAGAGGATGCAACTTCATAGCATAATAACCTGTATTTAACACATGTTTGCTTATACCAACCTAACTTCCGCCTCTACTACATTGTCAAACCAGTCCATCTTACATACCTGAAACACTCCTATACGCTGAAACGTCCCATCATCTTTCTTGCAAAGCATAAGCCCCTCCTCAAGTGTAAGTTGCAAGCACCAGACTTCCTCAATACTCTCTTCGTCAAAGTCAAATATTCCTATCGCCACAAAGACTGACATGTCTGTATTCAGGCTCCCTTCCTTTAACTCCTTGCGTCCCAGCACAACTGGCCGACGCATAATACCTGTTGGCCTCTTCTGTTTTCGCAGCGAAGCGATGAAGTCGCTCGAAGGTGTTTGCGTGAGGACAATTGCTTCTTGAACCCGCCCCAGAAGCTGCAGCTCGCAAGACGGCATGTGTAGTGCGTCGGCTCCACAATGAGGATCTACCGTCCAACGGTCGGGCTGTTGTTGCTTCGGTTTTATCAATGGTGCTCCGCTTTGGCTCTTTGTCTTCATCCTCCGAAATTGTTGAAGTGTCAGAGGGTTGACGCCACCTTGTATGGAAGCCCAAGACCAAGAAGGTGCTCTGATCACTGGGGCGGATGCAAAAATAGTCGGCAAAGGTCTCGTTGCTGGTCCAAAGACGCTGCTCACCCTATAACCAGGCCTCCACAGCAAACAACGAACGAGATCACACTCCCAGAGACCGGCCAGGTAGCGTGACTGTAGAGCCTTGGAGATAGGTGCAGCAATGGAGGCAAGGGCAGCGAAGATATCATGAGGGTTCGATAATTGGCGTTTGGAGAAGTCGATTATAATCCCGTCCCAATAGTGCAGGAGCCGATCTCGGGTCAATTGCGGATTCCCTTTACCCGTGTTCAGAAAGCTGTGGAGTAAGATAGATTTATCCTCCTGATAGCTGCGGTCCTCCGAGTAACCGGAACTTCGACATAGGAAAGAAAGCTGCTCTTTGCCGAAGAATACCACCCGGCGGCTCAACCTCTTCTCCTGACAACACCATCCGCGAGTTTCAGTAACACCGTAGTCAGTGGATCTTAATGAGCCAACAAGAACACTTCCACCCTGGCCATCCCCAAGAGGAAACTCGCAACAGAGAGCACGTTGTTTGTAAGTATTGGCGATGAAGGAGTTGCGAGCATCGCCTGACCTCCCTGCGGTGATAGTGAGGGTTGCGTGGCCATATACTTTAGCCATGAGCTTTGATTCACGTTCCCAGTCATCCTTGTCGCCCTGGATTATGCATAGAGCGTCGATCCAGATATATCGGATGCCCAACTGGCGGGCTAATGCTATTGTATCACGATGTGCCGCTACGAGGCGAGGCTCATCGATGCTTCTCAGCATCCCTTCCATCGTCTTGTGATTGAGGGTGAAGGTGTCTGTAGCGGGCCCCCAGCAATATGACAAGGCGAGATATTTCTCCTTCATGCTCTGATCGGTTACGACAACTCGTGGAAGGTCTCCTTGATTTCCGTTGCCTACGTCGATGACCCTGGTAGGCATGTCGTACGTCCCCTTAATATCGCACGGTTGATGAGACTTTGTACATCTTTCGAGGAAACCCCGGATCAAGGTGATATAGGAGTCAGGCTCATATTCTGCTGTGCAGATTCGTCCAGGTGTTCGTGAACCTGCCGCAGTTCCCTCTTTCCTATACAACGCATTAGTAGTTCTTCTAACGTCGTGCTCTGGGATGAAATGGATCTTACCCATAGACGGCCAGGTTTATGTAGCCGAGTCCATGGCTGCTTTCCCTTACGGAAGTGATAGGGTTATATCTCCCGCAAGATACCATAATGCGCGGCTGTGTCAGAGTAGGACTGTAGTCTGTGAAGTGGACGTAAATCCAGATACCCGGCTCAAACTTAGTAACTCCTTCCGGAACTTCGCCTTTGAGGACATATTTGATCTGAGAAGCCGTCCATTCTTGTCGGAAGCCTGTCCAGCAGAGATTACAAAAATCGCAGCCATTTTCGGCGCTTCTCTTAAGTGACGCGAGGTTTGGGTGGAACTCTAGATAAAAGCGTTCTTGATCAATAGTAAAGGTGCGGCAGAAGGCGCATCGAGGCATGGCTTCCGGGTCTTGTGGTTGGTAAGGGTCATTAAACTTATGTTGCTGCGGAGAAGGAGCTATGTCAGATTGTCGCTCAAGAACGGCTAGCCTTGTAATACAAGCAGGTACGTACCTATGAGTCATCTTATGACCAAGCCGAAGACCGATCCAAATAATACGGATCTCGGATGTAAGCGGTGTGCTGTATTCTGCGACATAGTCCCTATTGACCCTATTGACCTTGGCATGCCTATCAACTTTGTTCTATTATGTTTAAAATTATTATATACTAATCTTTTAAACCGAATTAGCTTTGTATTCTCTTAGCTACTTAGCTGGCTGATTAGCGATAGGCGAGTAAATAAATTTAGATAAAAGACGCGTTTAATAAACCTTTTTGCGCCTTTACATGAGAGGAATGTTTGTGTATTGACTGCGACAAGAAAGGGAGTCGGGCCGAGCGGTCCAGCTAATATAAGGTAGGCTCAAAATTACAAAACTCTATAATGCCCCTAGTAACGTCCTCTACATTGTATCTAGCGACAATACATAGAATCATCCAAGGGAAGATAATCAATAGCAGCGATCGTTTGCAGAGAGAAGGCAATAAACCCAGCGAGACCCTACCATGATTCACTATCATGGGCAAGGTCGAGGATATGGAAAGTGGACAGGGATGCTCATAGCTCTTGATTGCGTGACGAAGCATAGATTACATCTTTCAGGCTGCAAGTCCTTCAACTATTCGCGCCTGAGAGTTCTTTCTACATAATCGCCGGCACCGTTTACCCGGCAATACTATCTACAGGCATAGGCTGATTCGCAGCAACCATTGGCTTAGGCGGCCACTCTCCAGCGTCAAATTGGCATTCTAGCGAATGATGACCAGAGGAAAGAACTCTTGTGGGCTCCTCCTTGCAAGTAAAGTCTCTTCGTACCTCCGAAGGCAGAGTGACCAGAGCTGAACAGTTGGGAGGAATGGTCAACGACATAGTAAACCTTTGACCTTCAAGATTCCATTCACATGCAACAAGTCCACAAGGTCCGTTGAACGATACCTTCGCGCTGGTGATATTTCCTCCAGGGATCGGACGGACTCAAATAACGCGCCATCCTGGCTCCTGAGGTGAAATACCACCTACAGTCCCGTGAAGCCAATCACCAACCGCACCGAGAGCATAGTGATTAAAACTCGTCATTTGACCAGGATTGATGCGTCCATCAGGTAACATGCTATCCCAGCGCTCCCATACCGTCGTTGCGTCGTGTGATACCACGGCGTATAACCAGCTGGGGCATGTAGTCTCGAGCAGCATACGGTATGCCAACTGTGAGCGGCCGATGTCAGATAGCGCGTGGGAGATGACTGGTGTTCCTGCGAAACCTGTGCTGATGTGGAAGCGAGCAGTGCGGACTAGACGATCGAGGGCTTTCCCAGCAGTTTTGCGTTGTTCCTCGTTCTCTGGGTAAAGACCGAATCTGATGGCGAGACCAAGACCTGTTTGAGATGTTGACATGAGGTTGCCTTCAGCTGTGATGTATCTTCGCTGGAACAGAGCCTTCAGCCGGTCTCCATCTTGTGCATACCTCCTGGCTAGTTCTGCCTTTCCAAGAACGGAGCATATCTTGGAAAACACCAGTGTCGTATGTACAAGATAGGCGTTTGCCACGAGAATGTTGTCGGTTCGTCCGTTTCCAGGATCCTCGGGCGGTGCGCTGGGATCCAACCAGTCTGCAAGCTGCCACTTATCAGGGTTCCAAAGTCCATCGGGAGCTCTATCAACACCCCGTTCAAGCCAAGTATACATGCTCTCAAACTGCCTTTCCAGCAGGTCTTTATCAGAGCTGTATTGAAACAAAGCGTCTGGAGCCAGGACCGTAACATCATCCCAGATTGCCTGAGCCATATGAGGCCAATTGGAACTTATGGCGTTAGGACATACCAGAGGAGGTATGCCTCCCTTGCCTTCTTCCAGCTGTTCTGCTGACACGTCTTGTAGCCAGTTACTGAGAATACCTAGTGTGTCATAGAGGTATGTCGCAGTTGGGCAAAATACTTGAAGGTCGCCGGTCCATCCGAGACGCTCATCTCGCTGCGGGCAATCTGTAGGTAGAGAGAGAAAGTTACCTCGCATTGACCAGACGATATTCTTATGCAGTTGGTTCACATAAGGGTTAGAGCACTCGAAGAATCCTCGTCGCTCCATATCGGTGTGAAGCACAACAGCTTGGATGGCATCAGGCGAGGGACCATCCCCAGGCCATCCTTTAACCTCGACATATCGGAAGCCATGAAAAGTGAACTTGGGTGACCAGTCCGATAGGATCTCACCTGACCCGATGATAGTATCGCAGCATTTGGCATCACGAAGTGGACGTGTTCCCAACTCTCCATTTTCCATCACCTCGGCATGACGAAAGATGATACGTTTGTCCTTCTCGGTGGGAAGGCTTGGTATGAAGAGCTTGCCCACCAAGTTCTGACCAAAATCTAAGATTGTCTTGCTGCTCTGACTGCTGAAGACGTGCTTGCAGGAGATGGTCTCAGTGACACGGACAGGAGGGATATCGGGTGCCATGAGTTGAGCCGATGGATCCGGGAGAATGCTCGTCTTCAAAACATCCAAAGGAATATGGTTCATATCGTAAACCTCGCCATCGTAAATCTCACTTGTTACAATGGGGCTCGTGGTGCATGACCAAGAATCGTCTGATAATAGACCCCAAGACACTTTGCCAGCTGCATTTTGGATCTCGAGTTGAGCAAGTAGTCCTAGCTCATCGCCATATCGAAAACGCTTGCCACCTTTGAAGCCGAGTCTTCCCGCATACCAGCCCTCGGCAACCTCGACACTGATGACGTTCTTATTGCCTGGGATTAGCAAGGAAGTAACATCGTGGATTCGGTAAATGAGGCGATGGTTGTAGCTTGTCCAACCTGGTGCGAGGACCTCATCACCAACACGTTTTCCGTTGATAGTTGCCTCGAAGACACCAAGACTTGTTATGTATAGTCGTGCACGAGGACTAGTCGTTGTATCTTGCGGTAAAGTGAACTCTTTATAAAATCGGATCGGTCGTAGTGGCCCATAGGGTCCAACTCGGTCAGCTGAGGTGATGAAGTTCGCGTTAAAGTCGCTGGTCTCAAGAAGAGCGGCTTCAACGGTCGCAGCAGCCGACCAGGGGCTAGGCTCGAGGCTAGTAGACTCTTGATCGAGGATTTTACCATATACCCTAACGCGAACTGATGCAGATTCGCGGGATGAAAGTCGTCTCGCTGGCCATGGTACCAGAACTGATTCTTCACTCTCGATGGTGAACACTTGAGTATCACCTGTGCTGGGGAAAGTGACCTCAACTTCATAACAAGTTTGTACCCATGAGGAAGCTGTCGAGGGCGACGTTTCGAAAGCCCAGGAAAGTCGAGGCCTGGACGTGTCTACACCAAGACCGTTGTGGTGATGCTCAAATTTAATCTTGAAAACTTGAGGAGTAGACATGGTGCGTGTCTAGAGCCGGCTGGGGACTGGGTCTGATGTTTGGGAGGGTCACCTTTCTCTCGGCCGTTAAGTATGGCCTGTCCAGGTTACATCACGGTTTCGGCAGTCGGGTCAGCTTGGAGCGAGTTGTGGCGTTTTCCAGGTCAATACAGACCAACTCAATAGAAAAGGCTTCTCAATTTGGCATTTCGTGAGACTAGATTGAAGCAAGGCGGGTGTAGTTTACCGGAGCAGGTTGACTGTGACCCTCGCCGTCTTTGACGATCATGCGGCTTTGAAAGCATCCGATTGGCCAGAATACGGCGAGAGCCAATCATGTCTCTCCAAAGCCGGTGGGATTTACCATCCTTGGTCTCAGAATTCAAAGATTATTCCCCATACCAAGGAGCCTCTTTTCTTGGCATATTTGACGGACGGTTCCATTCCGCAGTGGCACACGCATTGAGAATTTGACCCAGTTGATGGCTTGTTAAGTTGAATGTTATCGTCTGAACTCGGCATCAGGATAAGTTGCCAAAAAAGAGTAATGATCAGTCAGGCAGTGAAACACGACTATAATCATGAATATCTACACATAACTTGGCCTCCATTCATCCGTAATGATAACAAACTTCGGGATTCGGCCTTGACAAAAAGCTATAGAAAGAGTGGAACACACCCGAAGGCTGTACAAATCCTTGTCTACAGCTACTTCTCACTTATGGCGATGGCTCGTTTGAACTGACCGGTCTACAAGTCATTCGGTGGAAGGCTGGCCGAGGACTTCGGTGTCTCGGGTTGTTCTTGTTGCAGAGTCATACCACCCATGGATCCCAGGTGAACGGGTCACTTCGGGGTAGTAGCGTTACAGAATCTGGGGCCCCGGATGCGGAGAAGATGAAGAGACTTTCTACAAATACGTACTCATCGCTCTCGAAACTTTCAATATCCCTACTGCCCATCTCCATCACAGCAAAACATAGTCAGCAAAACAGAGCAACATGGGGTTTCTTGCAACAACAGTTGCTCTTGTAGCAGCTCAGGGCGGCTTTATCTATGGCCTTGATTCAGGTATGCGCTCGGCACCAATTCCATCCACTCGTGCACTAACAAGTTTCCATGATAGGCATCATCGCAACGACTTTCGGGCATGACAGCTTCAAACTCGCCATGTACGGACCATCCATGGTCAACACTACGTATCAAGGAGCTATTGTATCTGTGTACAATGCTGGACAAGCCATTGGCGGCTTAACAACCGGATACGTCGCCGATAAGCTCAGTCGAAAATACACAATCCTGATCGCGTCCATCTTGAGTAAGTTACGCGAAACTGCCGCTGATTATAGCACTCACTAATGCGGAAGAAAGCCATTGTTGGCGCGGTCCTTCAGTGCGCTGCAGTCAACATCGGCATGATGATCGCGGGTCGTCTCGTAGCGGGCATCGGCTGCGGACAGATTCTTTCAGTTGTTCCCATCTACCTAGCCGAGGTATCGAAGCCTGACCAGCGTGGCTTTCTAGTCGGTCTACAAGGAATGATGATTGCGATTGGCTTCGGTGTCGCCAACTGGATCGGATACGCTGGTGCTTTTGCTAAAGGTGACGGACAGTGGAGAATTCCTCTTGCTATGCAGCTACCTATTCCAGTGTTGCTTGTCGTCATGATCTTCTTCGTTCCCTTCTCTCCGCGCTGGCTGGTACTAAAGGATAGGTATGATGAGGCTGGGCAGGTCCTTGCTCGCCTACATGAGAATGACCATGACGAGACCTTCGTTGAGCAGGAGCTTTTACAGATCCGGACACAAATTCAACTTGAGAGGGATCAAGGTAACCTCGACTGGTTCACAGCCCTTGGACTCATGTTTTCCCGCAAATATGTTCGCCGGACCTTGACGGCTTCGTTCATCGTGTCTATGAGCCAGCTCTCGGGTTCATCCGTCATCCAGGTATACCCTCCTCCTCAGAAAGCGCAGTGTGCCAATCTAACCCCATATTGCAGAACTTTCAAGGCGTCTTCTACCAAACGGTCGGCTTTACAGGACGTACTGCCCTCTTAATCAGCGGTGTCTATGGTATGATGGGTATCATCGGTCAGATCATCTACCTCGTCTTCGTCGCCGACAAAATGCCTCGCACTCGTACTCTCTGGTCTGGATCTATTGTGCTCTGCGTCATGATCGCTATTTGCATGGCTCTCAGCGCAGAATTTGGATCCTCACATAACGACAACCAGGCGGGTGCAAGAGGTGCCATCGCGTCTATCTTCCTCTATTCCATGAGCTATGCTATCTTCTTCAACGCCATGATCTGGGTGGTTCCTTCAGAGCTCTTCCCCTTCTTCTTGAGGACTAAGGGCATGGCTCTCGCTGTGGCGACAAAGGCGATAGTGGCAATCATTTTGTCTCAGATAACACCATTGGCTATTGCTAATGTCAGCTGGCGGTATGTTCATGCACTACCTGAATGCTGAGTTCTCAAGCATCTGACTTTGTTTACAGATACTATTCACTTTTCATTGCATCCAATGCCGCTGCCGCCTTGTTCTACTTCTTCTTTCTCCCCGAAACTGTGAGTGGTGTCGATTATCCTATCCAAGACGCTGGCTGACTTGAAGTAGTCTGGTAAAAGCCTCGAAGAGATCGCCGCTTTATTTGGAGACGATGTTGTTGTTTCATCTTCCCAAGCTGAAGCGAAGGTTAGTCACACTGCCGAGGTCTATCAGTTAGAACATGGAGTCCACAGAAGAGAAGGTCAGTAAAGCATCCTATGCATTGACATCAATACGTAGACTAGAATACTGGACACTACGTGGGGATTTACGTGGGGATTTAGATAATGTTGTTTAGTTGTAGGTATATATTGAATAGTAACTTGATAAGAGATATCATAACGTTTTCGATTATTAATTAATTAATAAGTGCGTGTCTCTCCTATTCTGTAGGAACATTCTTCAACCACATAAGACTGTCTGGGAGTAAAAGATCTATTCCCCTTTCTTTCAACGCATCCATTACATAACTGAAAGCTTGAGAAGCATCTATCGGGCTCAGCTCAGTGCCAGGGCACTTCAGCATTTCTGGCCAGGACCTTTCTCCTCCAAGCCCCTTGGGCTTAGCTGGCCTGATACGCAAGAGATGTTCGATTTGGTCGTGAAACCTTGTACCAGGGGTGTAAAAGTCAACGCTGGGCATGCCTGAGTCTGTGCTGGGCCCGTACGTGTCTGCAACAAGTATTATATCGAAACATGAGTTAACACCGCGTGGAACTTGAACGTCAGGAGTGCCTAATGAATGCCCAGATAAGAGCTCATTTAACACTCGGTAGGTAGTAGCAAAGCTTACAGCAACAAGTGCATAGTGGCAGCCGCTATCGAAACATTCCTGGATTGGAAAAAATTGGAATGGGTTTCCGTATCGGTTGCCTGCTTCGAACACAAGCAAAAAACGATGTTGCCAATCTTCTTCCAGGAGGAAAGTCTCACTTTGCTGAACTAAAAGATCCATGTCTAGAAGCTCGTCGAGCCTTCCAGCCCTATCAACCCTATCAAGCGGATTGAAGCCGCCCAAGCAATAACAAAGATACCAACAATGCAGAGCGCGAAGGGATGTCTTAACGGCGACTCGATGGTGTGCCTCTTCTGTGGCTATGCATTGTAAACGACCGAAAGTATATTTCAGAAGCTCGAGGTAGGTTGAGAAACTATCGTGCCAATCAAACATTGATAGTGCACGAATGACAATTGGCACAGCATCGATGAATAGTGACGGGGGATATTTGTCAAGGAGACTCTTCACATCGAAAATGTGGCGCCAGAAGGTTCTGTAGAAAGTTACCACAGAAATGCTCGCCTCTATGAATTCCAGCTCGAGGTAGGTTGAACTCGGCTGGGAAGAAAGCGGCATGGTCCAATATATGTGGCCGCTGAATAACCCAGCTAACTGCCATTCCCTCACAATATCAAGCAAGTTATTGCAGACTGACCCTTCTGCAAAAAGGTGAGTGTTGAAAGAGATAGTAATGGCTATTAGCAGGTAAGAATCGCAAAAGATAGCTCGGTCAGATCCCAGCTGGTAAATATTCAATGGCGTAGAGTGAAGGTCACGTCTGAATTGAATGAAACGAGCTCTGATCAGGTGGGCAGCCAGCAGCCTCGAAGCCTGTTCACTTTGAGAGGAGCCGCAGGCGTGAAGGCACTCAAGACCGGGCTCTGTATTCATGAAAAAGTCAAAAGCACTCCTGTGGATAAAATCGACTTTTGTGAAGTTGTATTCACGCAGGCGCTCATCTCCGGTCCAGCAAGACGGTACCTCTTGGGTTCTCTGCGTTACCTCAAGGAGGCCACGACATGCTAACTTCAGTTCGGTTTCAGCTCTTGAACACATGGCTAGGAGGTCCTCAACTGCCATCACACGACCTGTGCTCAATATTGTTTCCATTGACTTATACTGGGCAGCTGTTGCCATGATCAGTAACGAGGACATGCCCATCGTCTTTGAACCCCAGGAATAACTGCTTTTTGATAAATAAGAATTGGCTTTTCGAGCAATGATGATGAGATTAAAGTAGAGAGAAGCGGTCACCCGAATACTGCGTAGTTGGGCATCATCTCCAATCCGACCCCACATGTCGGTATATAGCGTAGTCAAGTCCGAGGGGGTCTGCTCAAGGCGCTCTTGAAGCATCTCGATAGTTGCGTAACCTTGGCGGATGGCCCGGTTCAGACGATCTACCACAAGCGCCACCCACAGAAACACGCCTTCGGCCCTCCTCACAGTCTTATATACAAGCTCATCTCGATCGCGGGACTCAAGTCCGCAAGTTTCAAGCCGCTCACGGACGAAGTGAATAATATCCAGATTGTTCAGCTGGTGTACCCTGAGTCGGAATGCCCCTTCAAAAAAGGAGCAAAAACATGTTCCTCTCTGCTGGATGCACACAGCTTGACATCATTCACTTCCAGCAGTTTGTAAATGACTTCAGCATTTGTCCAACCGGGCCAGGGCAGATCCTCTAGCTCTTTGGCTTCGTCCAAGCCATCAAGGAAGATACAGAAAGCTTCTGGAGAAGCTTCTAGTGACCAAATGAGGGCTTCTGTCAGCTCCTCGAGGCTCCAATCCGAATGGCTTCTCTTGTGTCGCACGGAAGGTTGAACTTGACACAACTTTCGACCAAGACCAAGCCTGCCATCCAGGGCTTGATAGAGAAGTGACAAAACCATACCTTCCACGTTTCGTTGCAATAGCTGACCTGGCTTCCAGAAGAAGTGCGTAATGATTCTTACATTGGAGTGCCATATTTTGAGATGGTCTACCGTTAAATGGTTGAAAGCAAGGAACTTCATCAAAGAGCTTTTGCCCGAGGCTGGTTTACCACTGATCCAAAAGGTACTCGAATCTGATTGTAGCCAGCCCGGAAAACAGTCGAAGCCAGGATCTCCATTAGCTTCGGCACGATTTAGACAACAACGAGTGTCCATATCGTCACCCTGGGTGTCTTTAAGTTCGAATGATGAGCCATGTCAATCAAAGACCCAACCAAAGGTCCCAGGATAGTTGTTTGATATCTTGTTCTTCCGGCTATTCATTTCGGGGAACCGTAGACTCGCTAGTAGCTGCTCATGTTGTTTCTCAAAAGCCTTATCCTCCTCACGCTCGAGCAGTTCCTGGCGGAGGTGATCGACCGATTGAGAAATACTCTGACGGATTGTATTCTCCGCTGAAGTTACATGGTCTTCAATGACAGTTCTTGTCGTTGCGTGCTCATTTGCAAGTCGATTACTCATATTTGAAGAGAAGTCTGTGACCAGGTCTGAAACCTTGGTGGAGCCGTCTACCAACTGTGAGATGATGCTTTGTAAAGCCCCTGCGAGATGCTGGAAGCACTGTAGTGAGGTGATCTCGGCGGCTTGAGATTGACTGCATACGCGATCCAAGAGGAGGCTGTGCAGGAGCTGCTCATTTCGATGGAGGTTCTTCTCGGCGTCTTCAAGTTCCTTTCCACGCCATAATGCTGCTGCGCTTTTCTTTGAAGCAGCCACCTTGCCACGAAATCCGCATTTTGACGCATCGTCAACGTGTAGTTTGGCGAAACTTTGTTGCAGTTCATCTACGCATTCATGGACCCTTCTGCCGGCATCAACAATTTGCTGGTGAGTCTGGCTCAAGGGTCCTATCTGTGCGGTGACCTGTTTCATCTCATCAAAAGAGGCCTTTGCATTCTTCAGATAGGAGTCCAATTTGGGGTCCGGGGACCGGCCATCGCGGATGTTGCGATAGACGTGGATGGAGTCTTTGGCGAAGGTGATGATCTGCATCGCATTGCAGAGAATGCCCACTCCGAGGAGGGCAGCTTCAGCGCCAGACATCGTACTGTCAATTCTCTGTTTAAAGTAAGTTTGTTACTGTACTGAATGTCCCAGGAACAACGAAGGTGAAGGAGAGATGAAGAAGAGAAGTTCAGCTGAGAGGAGATGCGGGGCTTGCATGAAAAATGAGGCTGCAGAATCAGGCTGAGCAAGGCATAAGGCTCGTTGGCTAACAACTGTTAATTGCATATCTTGATTGCTGACGTGTGACAAGAGGTTTATTTCTGTGAGGCGATCAGGAAAGTCTGCCTTGTGTAAAGCATGTCAAGTTGGATTATGGATTATGCACAGGTTAATCACTAGGCGTCACCTCTTTAGCTGCATAGCAAATTAATACAATTACAATCACAATCACCTCAATGCATAGATAATGTTTGGTCACATCAAGGTTTGAGAGTGGTATTCACCTGTCAAGGGTAGTTCAAAGGCATCAAGACCGTAGTGAGTGTAGGTGGCGTCGTTTGATATTGACCTGACTCCGATAGCAATAGTGATGGCTGTCCTCCGTGGAATAATGAAATCAAGCGCCAGAGCGTAAAGGAGCCATCTGTATCTAATTTTCACCCCGTTCGAGGACCGACTCCCGTCCCGCGGATTCGTCGGAAAGGAGCCTCACTGCCTCACGACGCCAACTACGGTGTCGTATCTACTGTGAAGAATTCAGGGGTTCAGATGAAAAATACAATACAATTTATTACGCCCGGCGGTCTGTTTTGACCGAAAGGGCACTAGTTACTAATGCTTACGTACAATGCCTGCTTTTCGTCCTCGTCTCCCCAAGCCCATGCCCTGGTTCAGATGAACCCTGCTGCGGGGAAGCGGGATCGGTTGGTGCTAGGTAAGCGCATCATGCATTAGCGCATCAGGCACTTGCATTAGCTCGTAAAGCGTTGAAACCAATGGGATATCAGCCGGGTGAGCTACTACCCGGTAGTTAGTAGCAATGTAAAATCAGCGACAGGTATCATGGCACCGCTGATGGGTTGAATCAGTGCCACTATCGTTCGGTGCAAGCTATTCGCGCGGCAATTGGTCAGGAATAATCTCTCAGTCAAGCTGAGGTGAGGAATTTCTTCACAGGTACTATACGTCATGACGAAGCTTGAAAATTTAATGAGCATTGTGAGCGCTTTTGAGTCACGCTACCGTTACTCAAAGAGTGACAATTATTTTCTTTGCAGAAACTCCTTTCCGGTGAACATCGAGGGCTCCTTGAATGCTCTCTAAGCCATGTCCTACCACCGATGCATCTGGCTTTGCTTTAAATGACCCATTTGCTAGAGCTTTGGGAACATAATTGCTCCAAATCCATTCACCAATATGCTTTGTGGGTTCCTGGATAATCGAGAAGGCGACAACTTTGCAAAGATCAGCAAATGGTCATAGCCAAGGGATGGTGAGCACTTCTACTGACCATACTTTGGTTTGTATTTGTCGGTGGCCTTGTCGGTGGCAATGACGGTTGCGACGGGTAAGTATTCCCCAAGCTTGTCAAGAATTGCCGAGATAGCATCGAAACTAGCGTCTGCACCGATGGCGTCAAAAACACCGTAACTGGGTGTGGTTTTGAGAACTCCCACTATGTCCTCAATCACAGTGGCCGACCGGTAGTCAAAGACCCGGCTAGCGCCGAGGGAGCAGACAAAGTCATGGTTCGCAGGAGACGCCGTAGTGATAACGGTTGCTCCAGATGCAGCAGCTAGCTGAATAGCGATTACCCCGACGGAGGACGCGCCGCCCCAAATCAAGATTGTCTTTCCAGTAGCGTCGTTACAACCAGTCGGGTATGGCAGTGGTAAATTAAGAATAGCTGGATCGTACAACCCGGCACTAGCAGTAGAGATGGCTAACGGAAGAACTACAGCCTCCTCAAATGTCATCCCTTCGGGGATGAGGGAGGCCAGTTTGTCCATTGCTGCGGGATAATGCTGGAACGCCGAATTTGCGGGATTTTTCGTAAGGAGACCATGACAGTGACTGTCATAGCACGCGTGAGAAAACAAGCCACATTGATGCGAGAAAGGGAACATACGCAATAACCCTGTCACCCTTCTTGAACCGTGTGACTCCGGCACCAACCTGCTCAACTATGCCAGCAGCATCCTCTCCGAGGATAAAAGGGTACTCTGATAAATATCTCCCGTGATATCTTTCGATAGAGTAAGCAACGTGTAGGAAAGTTTCTAAGCAGAAAGTACGCACTGAATCTTCCAATCAACAGGATTCTATCTGAACGGTCAGTTGCGGTTTGTGGTCATTGGAGGGACTCATGCATAGATGATCGGATGGAAACTGACAATAGAAACCACGGCATTCTTGATGACAATCTCTCCCGGACCTGCTGTAGGCATACGTGCCTCCTTAACCTGGAAGGGATAATCGGAGGGCGCACTGATCCAAGCAGCTTTGTTCCCGGACATGGTGAAGATGTGCGTAAGTGAAGGTGGAATGTGGCGGCGTGCAATAATAAGAGTTGTAGATGTGAAGGCAAAAGTGCATTGCCAGAGCCGGTGGAGGTATTTATGCCCGCAGCGCCGAAGCGCCGCTTTAAATGACCTAAAATACTACATAATGTACTCTCAATATTTTCGAACAAACCAGTGGAGTAAGTTAAGTGGGACATAATGTCATGAACCTTATGGCCACATTTTAGGCCTCATTTCGCCCGACCTGGTTTTAATGTCTAGACTTTTTTATGGATATTCTTTTGACCGTATTTGCCTTAAGTCCACCAACTTATGTCCGATATCTCCTGCCATCATACACATCCAAGCACATAGGGCGGAAAACATGTCCTGGACAGGGCCTCGGTACCACCGCGTTGGATGATGACACCGGTTGCGGCCTGACGCGAGAAGAAAGTGAAGAATTGTACCGTCTCTCGACAATATAAAACGGCGTCCGCGGTGAACCATAAGGCATGGTATTTACCCTTTTCACTCGAATTCTATAGGTGCACCGAACCGAGGGACAGAAATATGCCGCCCATCCGAGATCAAACCATTCTTGTCATTGGAGGTTCTTCTGGTATTGGCTATGGAGTCGCAGATAGGTGTCTCGCAGAGGGCGCCAAAGTCATTATCGCATCTTCCAATCTTCCTCATATCCAGCAGAGCGTCAGCAAATTACAACAAAAGTATCCAGACGCTAATATCTCTGGCCAAGGGTGCGATCTATCTCCGGCATGCGTTGAGGAAAATCTTGAAAAGCTTTTCGAGTCAGTCACACCGCTCAACCACATCGTTTACACCGCTGGCGATCCTCTTTCCATCATGCCAATACCGCAGATCAACCTCGACGCTGTTCACAAGGCCGGCCACGTCCGGTTCGCCGTCCCCCTCCTACTCTCCAAATTTGCTCAGCGCCATCTCAAGCCTTCCTATCAATCTTCTTTCACTTTGACGAGTGGTGCGGGCGGCGATAAACCCTTCCCTGGGTGGTCGTTGATGGCTGGCTACTTGTCTGGCCTCCAGGGGTTGACGCGAAACCTCGCTCTGGATTTGAAACCTCTCCGCGTCAACCTGGTTAGTCCTGGCATCGTCGAGACGCCACTGCACGGACCTAGTGGTGTGACAGATGAGATGAAGGCTCACACCACGCTCGGCAAAGTTGGGTTGCCGGAAGAGGTCGCCGAGGCCTACTTGTATTTCATGAAGGATACAAACGCTACTGGTAGCTGTATCGACACTAATGGCGGCTCATTCCTTGTTTAAACAATGCGGGACTTGTAACTAGCTTTGCTAGAAAAAAAGTGGTATCAATCTCCAAAAAGTTTCTTGAATTTTGCCACAGTTAATTAGTCTACCCGACTGTTGTGAGCGTTTCATTCGACCGTCGCATGCAATGAAGGTCAGTTGCAACCAACGCGATCGAATAATGACACGATTTGCGCTAGAAGCCATTAATTTAACCGTTCTTAGCTGTTCCACGATCTATCATCTTGAAGACGTGATACCTTGGGTGCTGAGTTGTTTTTCTTTTTCGCATGAGCCTCGGCCATCCATACCCGCACGGGTACCTGTGCAAATAAAGTCACATAGGTACCCGTGTAAATAAGATATTATTATATCAGCAACCCCGATTAATTATATATATATATTATATATTATCTAATTAAGCTTTTTTTGCTTAATTTAATAATATATACTTTATTACTTTAATATATTAAATTCCTATTTTATTAGTAAGTAACTTAATAGTAGTAGATATGCCTAATTAATCTTTATAATAATAGGTTATATATATATAATTAGATAGGATATATAAAGTAATATTATATATTCCTTAAAAGCTATAAATAAGGTATTATATTATTAAATAAGTAATATATAAATCTCCCCTTTACTGCCTTCCCTACTAAATCTACTATATATACCCTTATAGGTTAACTATTTAAATATATATTCTATTTTGCTATATAACCTGAATAGTTGGCATATATATAGTCATTCTAACTGCAGGCATAGGCCATATTGTCCTAGGGATAGGGGGACTAGCTTAATATGCCTGATTTTGATATATAAGGCTATTAGCAGTCTAGAAGGGTATAGTATTAGGGACTAGGCAAGCTATATGTTTATTAATAGTATTATAAAGCTGGCCTATATACTAGTTGCCCTTAATATAGTATTTATAGGTAGTAGTAGTTATAGTAGCTAGATTACTAGCTAGGATAAATATAGTATTATATACTATATATAGCTACTAAGGTATTAAAAGGTATAACTAATAATTTATACCTGCTAGAGTATTTTAAGCTATTTAGCTATTAATATTAAATATATTATATATAGGCTAGGTAACTAAATGGTTTTCTTAACTAGTAAGAATAGGGATAGGAATAGGGGTAAAGAACTTAAAAGACTTTCTTATATACTAACTAATACCTATATAGCCAGGCAAGCTATTAGTACTTTATATAGGCTAGAGGATAAATTAATTATTTTAGCTAAAGGGAATATAATAAGAGGGGATAGCTATATTATCCTTATAGATCTAAATAGCCTAATTATTATTAGGGTTAAGAGATATAGTATTAAAGGGATAGATAATATAGTAATTATAAGATTTATTAAAATGCTTTTTATATTATATTATATTATATTAAGAAAAGAAGGAAGTTAAAAGTAGTATTAATGCCGGCCTTTTATATATATATTACTTTCCTAAATTACCTTTAAGTTATTATATTAATATATATTATAATAATTATTTAAGCTAATATTTTCTAATTTATAATATATACTAACTGTTATTTAATATAGTTAAATATATTAAAAATAAGTAATTATTATAACTTAAGCTATAATAATGTATTATAATAGTGCTTTTATAATACCTTTATAATAGCCTTAATTTAGGGATATAACTTTAATAAAGTATAAGTTTATAACTTAATTAAAAAGTATAATAAATCAGCAAATAAATATTAGTTATATTACTTAGAAATAGAGCTTTTTTTACTCTTTTTAGTAATATATATATCTATTTAATTAACTGCTAATAAATTATTTTTTTATATAGCTATCTAATTATTATAATATACCTACTATATCTAACTATCTTCCTCTATGGCATATATACTATCTTTAATACCTCTTTAGCCAGTATACCAAGCCTGACTAGTAACTGTATAATATACCTACTCCTCTTCCTTATTTAAGAAGTTAATATATACATTTATCTCCTCTTTAGTCTAATCTTAAAGCTTTTTACTATTTAAAGCTCTTATATAACTACTTATTTAACTTAAGCTATAGGCCTATTTATAATTCGCCTTTAGGTACTTTAAATAAAGCTTTATAGCCTTTTAATATAGCTTATTAATGCAGCAGCATTAAGGCTACTATAAATACTATTTATTATAGTCTAATATATATTATTTATAAATAGCAGGAGTATTATTATATGCCTTAGGTATAGCTATTATAATGCTTATAGTTTAAAGGAAAGCTTAAGGAGAGGTACTTAAATAAAAGGCACTTAGAGAGGGCATTATAATTAGTATAAAAGTAATAGTCCTTATATATATTATTATATATATTTCTATCTTAATTACTATAATAATAATAGGTTAGGCTATAACTAACTATAATTAAGGATTTATATAAGGCTTAGCTACTAGTTATAGTACTAGAGGGACTTAATAAGGAGCAGGCAATATATTACTATAATAGAGAGGGCATATCTTAGAGCTTCTTTAATGGCTAATCTGCTAGTATGCAGAGCATTATAGTTATGCCCTTAGCTATAAGGCCTTTTAAACCTCTTTAAATATATAAGGTTCTTGCTATATACTTATTAGCAGCAGTACTAATCTATTAGTAAGGCAATTAAATACCCTTTAAGGCTTAATAAGAAGTAAGGGGGCTTTTAGGTATTATAAATACTAATAAGAGTAAAAGTAAGATAGTTAGAGATAAAGACTATCCTTTAGTAGAGGCTTAAGGATATAAGTATATAGTAAACTAAAGGAATTACTAAATGCTTATATATATATAGGTATATAGGCTTTTAGGCATTTAGCTTACTTTTTAACCTTAAGTAAAGCCTTATAAGAGACCTAATTAATAATAATACTAAATAAAGGTTATAATAACTAAATACTTTAAATAGTAGGCTTATTAATATTATTATAAGTAAGGCTATTATAAAGGCTTTATAGCTAATTATTTATAGCTTATTTAATATACTGCTAATACTTAAAGAGATTAGCTTAGTTATTATTTAGGTATTTCTTAATAAGATTATATATCCCCTTTACTAGTAATATTATTATATAACTAAAGTAAAAGGTATTCCTTATTTAAGCCTTTATAAATTTCTCTTTATAGGGATTAAGCTAAGTAATTATAATATAACCTACTTTATTATAATAGCTTAGGGTATAGGTATCTTTAAACTTCTTTAGCTATTTCTTATAAATAGCCTAAGTCTTTAAGCTTATAATTTAATTAAAGCTTTTCTAAAACTTAAGCTATTTATTATGCCCTTAAGGGTTATTTAAGCCTCTTATAAACTTAAGTTAATAATAGGCTAAGATAGCTTAATTAATATAAAAGATATAAAGTAGATATATTAGCTTAAGGAAGGTAGCTATATTTATAATTGCATTTATATAAGCAAGATATCGATCTATAAGTATTATAGAAGGAAGAGCTATTCTTTATACTTTATATACTTCTTAGAGGTAAGAGAGAACCTAAAGATAGTCTGCTTTTTCTTTATTACTTATAAATATAAATATAATATAGAAGCTCTTTCTATAAGCATTAATACTAATAATATTAAGAAGAGGCATCTTATACTTATTTATTTTATATATATAGTTAAGTATTATAACTTCTAAATAAGACTTAATATATATAAGAGAGTCTGTATTAATAAAGAATACTGCAGTAACCTTATTATCTTAATTAAGGCAGAAATGGCTTTTAAAGCCTAAATTAATAAGCTTATTAATAAGGGCATATATTAAGCTTTAGCCTTTAATAAGGTCTTATTTACTTTATATAATAGCATTATAGATATCTTGCTATATAATAAGGCAGAATTTATTTAAAAGCCTAATAAATATCTATATCTCTTTAGGCTTTATACTAGCTTCTATAAGTAGCTATATAGTCTGCTCTTAATTACTTATAATTTAATAATAAACTAGATATGCCCTTAGCCTATAGCTTGGCTTATAGTTATGTATATAAGTATAAGGGTTATAGCAATACTTAACTGCTTATTAAGTCTTATAACTGCTCTCTATAGCATTAATTAAGAAAAGGCAGGCTATATAGTATAATAAAGTCTTCTTCTTACTTGCCTAGTTAGACCTAGGCCCTCCTTTATAATTATATATATAAGTAACTATAAGAGCTTAACTAAAAGTCTTTGCCTTTAAAGATCTTTATATAATAAAGGTATAACTATATATACTTACCTATTTATTAATTACTATAAGTAACTTACTTTATAAGCTAAAAATAGCTTTTAGGGGGAGAGTATTATTAAGGAAGACTTTAAAAGCTTAATTTATTATAAATAAGGTAAATAAAGTGCTAATTAATAGAGAATTAGGTTAATAAAGATAACTAGATCTAGGATATATAAAAAATAGGGTCTTAAGCAGTTAATTGGCTTTAATTTGCTTATATAAGGCATTTTTAAATAATCAGGGTTACTAATATAATGATATCTTATTTGCACGGGTACCTGTGTGACTTTATTTGCACGGGTACCCGTGCGGGTATGGATGGCCATGAGCCTCTTCCATTAGTCATCTTCCCCGCACACCACTCGACACCGTCCAATGATTATCGAATGCTTCCTGCCAACGACCCCGTGACTCAGAGGCAGCTCCACTCCAGCGCAGGTAAACGTCAACACATATGCCGGAAGAGTCGGGAGTCACATTATTAGCATACCACATCGGACATAACAGCTTTGTTCATCTGTGTCTGCATGCCGCTTAGACTGTTTTTTCTTATGTGCTTTTCTGGAAGAGACCTCTCCACTTGGATCAATGAATCATCTGAACATGTCATCAGGCCAAATCCCATTAGAACTGATGCCTCAGCAGGCGAGAGCGGGCCCTGGACATGACTGGACAGGGGTCAGTGATCGAAAGACTAGGAAGAGGATGCAAGATCGGATCAATCAACGACTGAAGCGTTCGTCTAACTGGAGATTTCGTATACTTTGAAGAAAGCTAATCTTCCATTTGGCATAAACAGGACAGCGAAGAATAGCTAGAAGGGTTCAAGATTGCCTCTTGGAACAGGAGCAAAACATCAATGAACCCTTCACCGTCGATCAAAATGACAACCTTATACATGATCAGCAGTGCTACATGAGTAACTCGTCGTCAAAGACAAGTCATACAGCTATCCAATCATCATCCCAGTCATCAATGTCGATGCTCAAATCCTTTACCGCCTGCAAACCCGACTGCGATGAAACTGCGCAATTCATCTCCCAATTCTCCGCATGGGCACATCGAGAGTACCTAAGGGGTTTCCCCGAGGCTGATACGCTACTCAACCTCATTCAATTCAATACCACGAGAGCCCTTGTGTTAATTGCAAAGTCCATGGATCTCAGACAGGAAACCATGGCACCTGGCGCCCGATCGCGATTGCCCATTGCTGGAATCGATACCGTTATTTTTGACTCATTACCTCCCAGCTTGCAGCCAACAAATTTGCAACTCATCGTCAGTCACCATCCATGGGTTGATATTATACCAATAGCGGGAATACGTGACAATATTCTACTTCGTGACGAAGCCCTCTATGACAAAGCCGAGCTATGCCGCGACTTGAGAGGGTTTCAGCAAGTGGTACACGGTCATGGCGGCATGAAGACATGGAAAGACCCATGGGACCCCGATGGATGGGAATTCACCGAAGCCTTCGCGATTAAGTGGCCATGGGTCATTAGAGGATGCCACGAACTGCTTGAGAGCACAAATAACTGGCGAAGAATGAGGAATGAAGCGCCTCTGGGAAGCGGGTTCATATTCGGCGAACTGGATACATAGGTTTGTGTGAAAGATTGCTCCACCCCCCAGCCACGACATAGCAGCTATAACACGCTTAATAAGCCTAGCAGAGCCCCGTATTACTATCATCCATAAAGCCACAAACTGTTCAGTTCCGTCTTAGGCTGTCACAACCTAACCCGGCCCATGACTAAGCTTATGTGGAGCAAGTGAGGAAAGCTGCAATAGCGCTTATAACCGAATCTTGTGCCCTGTGGCGTGACGATTAAGTACAGCCGTAGAACCCCGATGTTCCCTTGTACTTTATCAGGCCAAGGCAGCAGGCACCTAATAGCCTATACAATAGACGCCTACACCCCGACCTCCAGCAGTATTAGTATGAACAAGTATAGAATACCGCTTCTAATTATAACACTAAAGCGCCCCTTAGCTATAGCGGTATAGATGAATATCTGTAATATACGGATTATTATAAAGGGAATTGTAATAGTAATGCTAATAGTTGAATACTTTTAATTAGCAGAAATAGCCACCAGGGGGATAAGAGATAAAAGAATAGTAAGATAGTCTATCCGACGAGCATGATAAAGAGGCCGACGTTATTGCATATTAGTGTATTAAGAGTTATAATATTCTCTCGGTTGTTAGCACTAATGAAGTCGGCGATAGAAATACTGATGCCTACCTAGTAAAGAAGATCGGGTGCTTGAAAATGCTATACAGATAAGATATTAAGGAAGATATTCCTGTTGTGAGGCGATACATTAGCGCATGAGTAATGACCAAGAGCGAAGTTCAGGGGAGACTCACGCTCCCCATAATCAATTCAGGAGGACGAAGGTCAGAAAGACAAGCTCAAGAGATTCGCGCACAAACACAGCAGCCCGGACCCCACGAGCGTCAGTTGTTAACATTGCCAGCATACAGCTTGCGATCGCAAGCCAGATGGCAGAGAAGATAGAGATGCTGAACCATGCGTTCTTGTTCTACACACCAAAAAGGATGCCGACGCCGAGAAAGGCGCTGAAGATAGGGATTTGGGCGGCGGCGACCCCGCGTCTCAAGTCAAAGAAGTGCTTCATCACGTTCTGAGGTGAGATGGAATAAGCGACAATAGTAATCGCAAGTTGCATGCAAAAAGAAGCACGAGAAGAAAGCCTTGTTTCCCATCTCCCAGGGCTCGATTGAAGTGGCAATATTTTTGGGAACCGCTTGCCTAATCAGGAACTGTTTTCGAGCTTCATGGGGTGACGTCCACGCCTAGAACCACAATCTCGAAAGAATTTCCCCTTACACAAGCGCCATTGTAAGCAAGGTTTCTGGTTGTGTGGGGCAGACTTGTCCTATTTGCGCTTAGGGGCCGACGTGCCAGTTGGTGAGCCATCCTCTCGGCCCTGATTTGCACTGCGTTACAGGGACGCAAGTCACTCAAACAACGCATGTTTTTGCGAAATTGAGACCTCCTGTGTCTTTCCGGCACCTCTTTCGAATCCGATGGGCGTGGGGTTACACAGATGCTATTCTGCATTTGGTAGTTGTTTCGAGCTGGACCACCACGACCACAGCCAATCTTAACTATCGCCCCAACCCCCGATCACAACTAGGCCCGTTGAATACGTATTCGCATATCTCGAATCCATTTCCTTTTTAGTGTCTTCAGACAAGTTCAATGCTGCTCAGGTAATGGTCGGAGTCGCACGAGTTGAAGCTGGCATTCTATAAAGCCAAGCTATTCCTAGACCAGCAACACCGATGTCAGCTCTCACTGACCGCATGTCGCACCGATAACGCTCCTGTGATGCCCTCGCTCTTGAAAACTACCTACCACTTCTTCTTTCATGCCAAAAGAAAACCCGGCCCGGCGCGCACGATGACTGACGCCGAGGGTAACACGACGACAGTGGAAGGTCAAGAATGCCGGCACCGCGCAACGATATCCCCCGAGCCGTGCCAGGACTGCAAACGCGAATCCAACCAGCAAGTCCGGTATCGGTGGCGTATCATCCTTGGTCTTGTGCTGCCGTTTGCCCTCTCAGCCCTCGACGTGACCATCATCGCCAGTGCATTACCTTGGATCGCTGCCGATTTCGACCGCGTTACCCAGCTCAACTGGATCATCGCCGCCTTCAACCTGACTGCGGCAGCCTTCATCCCTTTCTGGGGCCAGATGGCCGACATCTTTGGGCGACACTCTACTATCCAGGCCTGCATGATTCTGGCTCTCATTGGAGGGGGTGTCTGCACTGGGACGCCTCATGACGCGTTCCCGATGCTGTTGTTTGGGCGCGCGCTTCAGGGGATTGGTTGTGCTGGCATGAATGTCGTTATCCGCGCCATCGTCGCTGACAAGGTCCCGCTGCGCGAAGACGCATATACCTGGTCCATATTCTCGCTCGTCGGCGGGTGTTCCTACGCCATTGGGCCTGTTGTAGGAGGTAAGTCGCCTTGGTGTCCCTGTGAGCTTCTACAAAGGCTCATTTCATTGACATCCGCCAGGATACCTCACTAAAACAACTTGGCGATGGTGCTTCGGCATTAATCTTCCGATAGGGGCGGCAGGCTGCGTCGTTGTCTTCGTTTTCCTACGACCAGTTCTCCTCGGTCCACAGCCGCTCCCTCAGCTCGAAGAAACGACTTCAACAGGTTGCAAGTCCACCATGATGCAGCGTTTGGTCACTATTGACGCCAGCGGCCAGATTCTTTGCCTGTTAGGCTTCGGCCTGCTCGTCTTGGCGTTCACCTGGGCTGGCGCCACCTACGATTGGGACACACCATCCGTTCTCGTGCCCCTGATTGCCGGCTTTCTCATCATCTTCGCTTTCATCTGGTGGCAGCGCGAGATGGAACCGGCAGGAAGGCTCGCAAAGCTATTCCCACGGCAGCGGGCCATGATCCCCTGGCAAGTTATCAAAACCAGGGACATTGGGCTACTCTTCACCTCGTTTGCGTCGGGCATGGCCATGTACGCGGTCATGTATTTTTGCAGCCTGTACTTCACCATGGTGAAGCACCTACCGGCAAACGAGGCCGGCCGGGCGCTTCTTTTCTTCGTGCCCGGGATCGCGGGTAAGTGTGATGCCTGACGACGTTTATATCTTACGTTTGGTACGTGGGCGCCGAGCTGACAACGCTGTCCAACAGTCGGCGTGTGTATCGCCATCTTCATGTGCAACAATTGGCCGCGACAGACGTGGCATCCGATCATGGCGGGTTCTATCATCGAGGCTGTGGCCATTGCCCTCCTCGCGTGGGCCATGTGGGAGGAGCGCGATGGGGGCGTTTACGGAATGATGGCGATGGCTGGCGTGGGTGTAGGTGTACGTTTTATGCCAGGTAAGATGTGCCGCATATCGCAGTGCTCGTCAATTGACAAAACAAATCATCAGTTCCTCTGCACGGCATGGGCTTTTTCCCCCAGCAAATCTCTGCCATAGTCAGCCTAAGCCAGTTATCAGATCCCCTTGGCGGCACGCTTGGTCTCACCATCATGACGACCGTCTTTAACAACATTGTCAATTTCGGGGCCAATTCCACTACGTCTGGCAATGACTTCTTGGCACTGCAGAACTTGCCTCCAGAAGCAATTGCAGGGATCCAGGAGACCGCTAAGGAGGGTATCGTGTGGGCGTTCATCGCCATCTTCCCCTTCATGATCCTGTGCATTGTGGCAGCTGCGTTAATGGGTAGCGTGTACCTCACAACGGGCGCGGCAGACGAGGACGACAACGCAAATCAGATTTACGAGGGCGTGTATCTTTGGGCGCTGCTTCGCAAAGAGAAGATTGACAGAAACTCGGACAAGGTCAAAGTGACCCACCGAGCGACGTATGCCGAAAGGCCGAGTCTGCCGCGGCAAGAGCTGGAGCTGGAGCGCGAGTTCAGATTGACAACGACGGAACAGGCTTGCGGGAGTGGCTGGCCGTAGTAGTGCTGCTGCCACAGCCCCCTGGGGTCAATGGTACAAGCTTGACAGGAGTCGGCTCTTGTGTCAAGTCGGAAAGTTTCTTCCCTCTTTTAAACGTCTGGTGCCTTTTGAAAGGCCTGCGGCTGTCGAATTTTGAACATCCTAAACCAATGAATGATCCAAACTGTTTGGTGACCCTGTCCAGGACGCCTATCGACTATCTCGAGGTGGTCATTGTTGGCCGCTGTATCGACTTGTGTTGTCCCTCACTAAGTTGCCACCTCGGCTTTTTTTTTCAAATGAAAACTTGGCCACATCCGGCAGCAGTGTTGATAGGGCACGGCCGGTTTCCTCACTTACTGTCATATCGGTGTCAATATCCACCCGAAGCATGACTACCTTGATGTAACGGTTGCATTTAGCCGTTACGCCACAGGGCAAAAGATTGGGATATAATGGGTATCGTAGCAATTCGACTGGTGCTTTCAGCTGCTTCTAGAAGCCTTACAGCGCTGTTACGGTAATCAATCGTAACAATTGAGTTAAAAATTTAAAAAAGAATTAATTATGAATTTAGATTATTATTTAAAGTTAAATAACGTACACGATAAGCGGGTGCACCAGACAAGTGCATGCACCACTCCACTTTTCACTTTAAAAGCAGTTCTTTATATTATTCTTAAAAATCCAAATAAAGTCTAAAATAGCTAAAACTTGTGAAAACTATATAATAAATTATTATATATTCTATTATTAAGAATAAAATAAGAACCTCTTTATAAAGTTATTTAATTAGTAAAAGGTAATATATAACGGTCTAAGCAGTTAATATAAACCTCTTAACATTTAATTAAGTATAACACTAGAAATAACGTATACGATAAGCATGAGCCGCACTATACTGTATAACTGTAAAGCTACCTACCCCATACCCTTAAAGTTAGTTATAAGAATTGCAAATTATAAAGTATATAGTCTTGACTTTAGTATATATAAATATAATAGATGTTATTTTTTAAATATTTTATCAGTATACTTTTGAGATAAATATAGCTTTCTATATAATATAAATAGATATTTCTTTATATTTTTTATATTAATTATTAAAAGAATTATAATAAATACTAGTAATATATAGCTATTTAAGCAATGTATAATATGAATTATATGTATTTCAATGTTAACTTGAATTTTTAAGAAATCTTAGAAAAATAAAGTTTAAGGTAGTTTTCTTGATGCGGCGCATGCTTGTTTACGGCGCATGCTTATCATATACGTTACTTTAATTCTTCTTCTTGCTATTTGAGGCTAAAATTAGCTTCTGGCCAATAGCCTTCAAAGGATGGCCCAGGATGGTATGCTGTGAGACAGAGACAAGCGATAAGAATCATAGTGCCGTCGAGGACTAAAAACGCCGGTTCGCTCTCTGCAATCTTACTATGAAACCCTTTGCTTAACTCAGCGACACGAAAGGCGGTTCGAATAAGGATCGCAAGTGTACTAATGGCGAGACCTGGCTCATGATACTGTTAATATCAGGCTTGCATCATGATGGGGAAAGTTTGAACGCACAAGAACAGAACCTCCGAAACCGACTTGAAGCTTGCAGCGGAGCAAACCTACTCTGCCATTTGCTCCGATTCCTGACCACTTGGAAAGCAAAGTCGAAACAAAGGTAGGAGTATACGACGATGCCCACAAGATGTATCGAGAGGCCGGCCTTGAGAATAGACAGACCAGTGGCCCACATGGTGGCATCATCCCCTCCAACCAGCGCACCACCGGCTGATTGTAGCAGCAGAGCGAAAAAGTCGAGCAGTATAAATATGGTTGTGTATACCACCGGTCGGAACCGAGCAAGGTGTTGGCCATAGACCGGAATGATGCGGGCTAAGCAGAGGTAAATGGCCGCGCTGAGAAAGGCTGGCCCTATCGTAAGGGTGACAATGTACCTGCATCTTCAATTAATATCCATTGGGCGATTTATCGCGTCGTTTGCACGTACATGAGAAATAAATCGACGCCTTTACTCAGACCCATTCGAGCCGCGTAACCCAAGATCTCCAGGATGAGACCGCAGACCATACCTACCATAAAACCCCATGATTTGTGCTTTATGCCGAGAAAGAGCTGAACTGGGAGTAAAAGAGAGAAGCAAACCAGAAAAAAGGCATTGGCTCCTAGATTGTACCTGCGAGCCATGTTGATTGCAGATACGCTATCGAAATCGGTGCTCAGGAGTGATCACAAGTCAATACGAAGCGTATGCTGAGACCAATGCAGAAACGGGGAGCTTAGATATTTATTTCGAGTGGAAAGAAAAATCGACGACTTGTCGGGGCTCCTAAAGGAGCCCCAAATCTCCACGCATCGAGGCTGTGGCATGTTCCAGGAGTTATCGCACCTTGGCTCTCGCGTTACAGCAGGTCGGATGACATGAAGTTACGCGGGTATCTACTCTACCAGCTGTAAGTTATCACATGAAGCTAACTCAAATAGGCAACCGATTCGAGACTACCATGTCTCGAACAAGATTGTGGGTTCGAAAGAGTGGATTTCTGTCGCAGTAGGATATCCCGAGCCAATTGATCTTACCTCATCTAGCAAAGGTGCCTGATCTACCAGTGATTAGGTCTGATATTCCTTCTTCTACCCTACCAGTTTGTTCTGGTTTGTCGAGAGGATGTGATACGTATCGTAGTTTAGCGCTGTGAGCGGATTAATAATGTCCAAAGATTCGAAACAATTGCCTCAAAGGGAAGCTTGGCATCCGTGGCTAACGGAATTCCCGGCTCCCGCCCCCTCGCATCCACTGAAGGGAAATGAGCAAATGTGCCATTCAGAAGAGGTGTCATTATGCTTATCACCCCTTTGTCGGGGTTATGATCATATGTATATCTTGTCAGGCCGTCGTTTCGGACCAATTTCTGCACGGGAGCTTTCGTTGCACATCGTCCCAGGTACCTTTTCCGCATTTGTGAATAACGATGGAACGTTCCTTTCAACTGAGAGATGGCATCGCGGCTGCTCAGATACCGATATTTACCGTGTTCCTTTTGTTCGGTGTCTTCTTTGGTATACGGAATAAGGATGGCTGGATCAGCGTAGCCTTGTTCTCGTCCATTCGAATTGCAGGAGCAAGCTGCCTGCTGGCAGCCTTCGCAACGGGCAGCTCCAGTGTTTGGGCTGCAGCATTTGTTCTGGAATCGTTAGGCTTAGTTCTCCTCACGTTCGTCCTCCTCGGTCTTCTCAAGAGAACGTTAGTGCCCTCTCATACCACCATCTATCGACAACTTTGTTAGCTGACGCAGGGGCCCCATAGAAACGCTCACTTACACGTCCTTACGGACTGGCATTTTAAAATACCGGAGTTGATCTGCTGGGCGGGTATAGGCGTCTCTGTCGCCGACTATATTGGCGCCCGCCATCGCGAGGACCCAATGGCACCCAGCTCGCTATCAAGAGTCAGTGTTGGTCTTTTCGCTGCACTATTCGCGTGGACGGCCTTACTCTTCTTACGGCTTGTACGCGAATGGAAGCTGCTCTCAACTACGCAACGACGATGCATGATTGGTGTGGGCGCGGCGCTCCCATTCATGACAGTTCGAACGATACACATATTAGTTTACACGATCACAGCCAACGAAACCTTTAGTTCAGTGTCTGGAAGCGGAGTCATCTACCTAGTTATGACCATGTTGCCAGAGGTAGGCGTGTTGGCTTCAGTCGTTTGGGCGATGATGGGATTGCCATCAGGAACCAGGGACACACGAGCGAGCGTTCCAAGGTCTAGTGAGGACGAGAGGGATCTTGATAACTTGATAGATAGTAATGCAGCCCAGCGGGCTCTTTAAGTAGCAATACAAGGGCTCGCAGCAGGAGTGGCTGAATAAAACCAGAGGAACATATATAACTCCCCATAGCCGGCAGCAAGGCGTTCAATTACGAGGTAATTGGATTCCTAAATCGCATCGACTATCTAATCTAGAGGAACAGATCATTATTTAGTTCATTCTTGAACAAGATTTGCAAGGGTTCCCCCTATAACTACATTTTATTAAAGAAATAGCTAATTCTCTCTTTACTATCTAGAATATATAACTAGTTAGTAAGCACTAGGCTTATAACTTTATAAAATAAAACCTAGAGCTAAAGATATATTTTTTTTATAAATATAATTACTAAAGAGCTAAATCTAAAAATATAATATTTATTAATAATTAATTAAAGCTTATATAAAATATTATTATATAATATAATATTAATTTTATTAATATTTAGAACTTTTATAAGGCTAGCTTTATAATAGGTATTATTATATTTAAAATAGTTATTATAGGTTTAGAAAGACTTAACAGATTAAATTTAATATAAACTAAAACCTAAAAATAGATTATACTTATTTAAGTAATTAATATAAAAGGCCAGGCTATTAAGCTATGTATCGTTGGCGCGGTCTAGTATTACCTTGCTAACTTGCACTAAGAAGCTAATATACTAGGCGGCTAGGTTATTGCAATGAGCCAAAATCGCTGGATAGATAACGTACTGTGCCTTGAGTGGCTTAAGCACTTTAATCGGTCTACCACCAAGCGAATAAAGAATGACGTCTTCTGATCCTTAATGGCTATGAAAGTCGCCACTCTGTCAGTTTTAAAAGATATAGCAAGGCAAATAAGACTATTATGCTCTATATGCCGGCGTATTTATCCTATCTGCTCTAGTCTCTTAATATCAGGTACTTTAGGCCACTAAAGAAGGCATATAGTTAATAAATTAAGCATCTAATAAGATACTCTATAACTTATATTTTAAAGATTAAGTTCTTTCTTACTTTTTATATTACCTTTAAAGCTATTATTATAGAAAATAATATTAAAGGAGGCTTTAGAGAAGCTAGGCTTTCTCCTTTTAACCTAGAAAGTATAATTATAAAGCTTAATATAAAGTTATAGACTTTAAAGCCTATTAAAGAGGTTACTAAACCCTTAACCTTATAGGTTTTAAAGATACTAAAGACAGTACTTAAGGTTACATTTTAGTTTAAATATCTTATTAGATATATAAAGAGGTATTATAGTAGCTTTCTAGAGATAATTTTTAAAGCTATAAAGTGTTTCGAGAAGGGAATAAATATAGCTATATATAAGGTAGCTTTATTTATTAGAACAGAGACCATCGACAGGCAAATGAGATACTTAGCCGATGCCGAAAGGCAAAAAGGTCTAGGCTGCAGAAAGGAGAGGAGATAGCAGTAGTGGAAGTAAGACACGTTATTAACCAGATGGATATTGATATGCAGGTAGTGGCCAAAATGTCGAAAAGTGGTGGTCAAGGAAGGTGGGCACGACCAGGGGTTCGGCGCTGTGGTGTATGCGGGAAGACGGGATATAATATAAGAACATATCAGGCAGTGATTGAGATATCTGGTGAAAAGTATAGAAAGTAGTTTTAATTCATTCGATGGCTTGTGGCATTCTTGTTGAGATTCTAAGTCTTAATGTGAGGGAATCGTGATTAGCATACTGGGATGATTAGCAAGCTTGTTATGCATATTATAAGATTTTTTAAAAGTTTTAAAAAAAAAAACTTATATATAATACTTACTACTTAATAGAAATTATATATAGATTTTAGCTATTTATAATTAATATCTAGTTCTTAAGAAAGTTATTAAGAAATAATAATCTAAGGTATAAATGCTAGTTAACAAATTACAAAGTGCGGCGCTCGCATATCACATACCGGTACGTCAAGGTAAGGAACAAGAGCCATAATGAGTTTTTCTGTAAAAAGGATAAATAAATTTATAAACTATTACTTAACCGAGGAATATAGATTAATACTTATTATTAGTCGAAGTTGTATTTTTATTAGTAATCGCGCCTAGATAGTATATTCTCTAATTGCTCATGACGCTTTAAACCATGTTCAAAGTCGCAATATGCCGTGTGGTCACCCCGGGCGTACGCTTCATATACCCCGGCAACGCCCCGAGCCGCAATTGGGAGTTCCTGGCGCCAGGGTTCCCAGGCCCAGGGAATGTCACGAACCATGCCAGTGGAGAAGTCATGCAGCTCGATCTTGATAGCCCCCGAAGCCATAGTTCGAGGGGTTGTTCCTCCATCGGCAGTGAACTTGAGCTCACCTTTTTCTCCTGAAATAGTCCATGTGAGATTAGGTTCGCCAGGAAATGGAGGGCCTCGGTGGAAAGTGAGGAAAACTGTTGCGCCATTCTCAATGTATTGGGAAGGTCTCAGTAGGGCATTTACGGAGACAAGATCTGGTACATCAGACTCGACAGTCCCAACGATGACACCCGTCTTCGAAGTAAGTCCAACTTTGGGCCGCTGTAGCTGTAGCCTACTGCGGATATCATAGGTGTCCCCGAGCGCATATTGCAGGAACTCCCACACTGAGAAGTGTTAACCTAACAAGAATGGAATTTTGAGGAACCGAGAATGAGTGAAACTTACAGTGGCCGAATCCGATGGTGATCGCATTCCCTCCCATGGCTATCTGAGTAAAGTACCTCAAAGATTCTGGAACGGAATTATGGTTGCCCGTGCCTCCCCATGACTTCACGCCCGAGCTGAGGACCTTGCCGATGAGGCCATCTTCTAACAATTTGCGCACCCCGTTAATAGGGGCAGTGGCAGGACCCTGCAGTCCGACCACGCATTTAATATTCTGCATCCTGGCCAGGCTGGCAAGCTCCCGTACCTGCGAGATATTTGAAGCGAGTGGCCACTCTACAAATACCGCTTTGCCGGCAGACATGCTGGGCTTGATAGTCTCGTAATGGCGGTCAACACGAGTGCTACATACTACCAAGTCGATATTGGCATCCTGAGCCAGGTCGCTGGGATCGCCGTATGCTCGAGTGTCCGAGGGCAGGCCAAATGTCTTGATCGTCGAATGTGCTGACTCTACGCTCGAGTTGCAAAGGGCGACAATCTTGTAGTGAGCCCTGCCGTGAGGGGAGAGGAGGTAGGGTAGGTGGGCTGCGGCGGCCCAGCTGCCGAGGTTAGCGGACAGGCCGATGATTCCTAGCCGGATTGGAGCCATGGCATCGGTATGTTAGTGACTAAGTCTGAAATTAATCAGGAGGATTCTGACAGATCCAATGCTGGTGCGGGCAGTGATCGAACCAGCAGGGCCAATTTTCTGTAAAAGGTTTACAGTTCTACGATGATGGCGTTCGAGTAGGCCTGCTTTTATTAACGCAATTTTGCGTCAAGAAACAGCTGACTCGCCACGCCTGACGCTCGGTTCATATTGCCCTTACTTCCGCCACTCAGGGCGAGGCTGATCTATCTTAGATATGAATCAATAGCTACTTCTTATTTCATTTACGTAACCTAGTAATAGAAGTCCTTGCAGTTCTCACACCTACAAGTCGAGGTTTGGCAATCATTACACTGGTTTGCCTATCTTGCATGATTCTTTGCTACGTAGCACTCTGCAAGGATGCGCCAATATAGCACTGCCGCTATCAAGGTCCACCATACTATTGAGTAAAAGAGAGTGCCCCCCTAAGAGCTCTACAAGTACTGATTCCTACCTATCACCTTGACGCTTTGAAGTCCGCCCTCTGTGTAATTAGCGCGTCAGTAGGTTGCAGTAGCGCTAAACGTTAATAGAGGTACACCTGCTTACAGCATTGGGCATACCGAGACATGGGGGCCCAGGCTCTGCGTTGACTGTGAGTTCTTCGGCTTTCCGGAAAGGATCGTTCAGATAACAGACAGCTCGATTGAATCAAGTCATCCAATGCTACAGTTCATCTTGTAAATGGATAAGAGAGTAAAATTTAGAGCGGAGAATTAATTGATGTAAAGGACTACCGTAGCAGAACCTTCATTGGCATTGAAGGCACCACCTGGCTGTTGTGCCGGCCAGTTAACGAGAGAACGCCGACAGTTCCCCACTTCTTTGATACCTGGACTGTCCACTAACACGTCAAGGGTAGTGATCTAGAACCCAAGGCGCTGATCCGCCGTAGGAATATCCTCTTTCTTGTGACTCCTGAAAAAACCCTCGAGATTGGTTGTGGCGACGGTAGGGTATTTCTGGCTGTCAAGGTTATCCCCAAGGGTTGCAATTCCGTTAGTGCACCAATACGCAAAGCATCTGAGCCCGACTGTTAGTGCATCTCGGACCAAAACATACAGAACTGGTAGAGGAAAGCTTACCCAGGAGCCCAAGTCATTACGTCGTTCGGATCCTTCTCGAACTGACTTCTAACGGTGCTGTAGAGCTCGTCAAGGGATCCAAGACGCTTTAGATGCAGGGGGCTTTGGTAAACTTTCTCGTAGTTTGCCTTGATTTCCACGGCGCTCTTGCAATCCCCCCGGACTAGTTCTGTCAGCTGATTTGTTCTAGTACGCTGCCTGAGAAACGTTCTACCCACAGCGAAAGATACCGGAGGCGTTTTTATCGACTATCAGAGCTGCGGTATAGGCCGCGGCGGTCTCATACGTCGTCAGCTCCCATTTCTCGTTGCCCGTGCCCCAGTAGCTAATTGTTTCATTGCTGCTATCAAATATGTGGAAGAACGGGCTCCAGAAGGTCTCCATCAAGGCCCCAACCAGAACATGAACTCCCATAACCTTCTTCTCTACCAAGTATTTCTTGATGATCTTGGCCGACTCTTTTGGAAATAGCTCGCCGTCCGGGATTTTGGTGTAGTCGACGGCAAAATCGCTGGGTACGTATCGCGGAACACCTTCCTTGATGCACGCGTCAATCAGGATTTTCTGGCCTCGAGTCATGACATCGGTGTCGCCGTAATAGCAGCAGATGAGAATATCGCAACCGCGAGCCAAGGCTTGAGCGGCGTCCTCGTCATCATATTCACCCTGAACTATATCAATGTTGTAACTGTCAAGGGCTGCCTGTGGAAGTTTCTTTGGGCTCCTGCAGAAACCTTTGATGGTCACATCCGGATATTCCTGTAGTGCCTTGACCACACACTGTGCAAATTTAGCTGTGAGACCGGCAACACCAACAACAGTCATGATGAGTTGTTAAAGCAAACCTCAGGACGTAAGGATAAGAGAATGAAACAACAGATAACCGATGAGGAGGAAGATAATTTTCGGTGTTGGGGAGTGATGAGGTTAAAAAGCCCAAGGCAATGCTAAGACTTTTGGAACTACTTAAATGGCGACATGGAACCTGAGCCTTTTCGCTGATAAATCAGCATTTCCAATGCATTGCTAGTGGGTCGAGTGGGGGGCAGATAGAAAAGGGGAAAAGGGGAAAAGGGAAAAAGGAGTGAAATAGGAAAATTGGTTTTTTTCTTTTTTTTTTTTTTTGGGGGGGGGTATGATCTTTTCTTTAAATTTCTCGACACGAACTGAAGGCTTTTGCTGAATATCTGTCACGTTCCAGTCTCTTATAATACTTAGTAGGAGGGGGCAACGGCTGATCGTCGCTTCGTGAACCTATTGAGTCCTATGGTGCGCCACCTCGTCCCAAAGACCTCGTAAGCACAAAAATCCCGTCACACTAGCTTTTGCTGTTTGATAGCATGGTCAATTAGGCACAATACGCATATATTTCATCTGCTCCCCGGAAATCTAATATATTGAAGTGCTTTAATTGTATCAGTAATCAAGAACTTGACATAGACACGCAGCTCAGGGGGCGGTCTTCCTAAACTCAATCAAATTCTTGTCGCCAAAGGCTGACGCGAGACGCTCGTCTTGGATCACACGCAGGTACCAATCCGTAGTCAGACTATATTTGCCCCTCAGCTCCGTGTCAATGACTTGAGTGAAGCCCCAGTACAGCCCCGCGACAACCGAAATGTCGGCCAGGCTAAGCTGCTGCGTGGCAATGTATTGGCGGCCTTGTAGCTGCTTCTCCAGTACTTCAAGGGATATAGTGAGACGTTGGAAGCAGGCTTTCTCGGATTCTTCGTTAAAAGAGGCCATGCCGTACCGCCACATGACCATGGCCGTCAGGGGCTCGAACAGCTCGTGGTCGGCAAAGCTGATCCACTGCCTGATGACAGCTCGCTCTCCTGCGGCGGAACCCAGCAGTTGGGCGCTTGCAGGGCCGCACTCGGCAGCATATTGGGCGATGGCGTCAGACTCGAAAAGGGCGAGTCCTTCGTCAATGGATCTGAAAGTGGGAACTCTGCCCAAGGGGAAGTTGGCGAGGAACTCGGGAGTTTTGTTCGTCTTGCCCATGACAAAGTCGGGGGCGTGGTCAATCGTGCGACCATTCATTGCTGCCACGGCCTGGACCTATGTAGGGTGTCAGCGAGGGGCAAGGCAGATCAAGGAGACCGGATCCTGGGGGAAGCATTGGCGGAATTGGTCGCACTATACCTTCATGGCCCTGGGATTGAATGGGTAAGTCCAGATGGTTCCAATTGAGCCCATGATGGCAGATGGGATGGTTGGCGGATGTCGTCGTAGGTGAGTCAGCAAGCAAGTATGACAGTGGACGAGTGAAGAACCTAGAAAAGACTTGCGTTCAAATCCTCGAAGGTGCTCAAGAACGTCACGATGCGGTATTTATTTTTGCAGAACACACCAGCGCTCCTGTCCCCCCGACCGCTTTTATTGAGTTCCTTCTCTCAAGATTGAAGCTTGATTAGGTAACTCCTGACGGACGTTATAGTTAACACCGTCAACAGGCCCCGCTCGTCCCCGTTCCGAGATTGACCCACCCCGGTGGCGCCGCAAGCGGAGCCTAGTCCCGTCAGTAACTTGCATTAGCTCCTGAAGAGGAAACTTTGGTTCGAGGTATTAGCGGAAACCATCGTCAGTTGGTTGCATGATTAAGGAGGATGTGACATGAGAACTTGTACACACAAGTACAAGAGACAGTCAGCTGAATACACTTTAATTTGCCAAGAGTCAAGATGTCTCACTACTTTGCAAACGTCAACTGTTGGCTAGACCATCCAGAGCAAAAGCAAGTGGTCATGGCCACTCGCCATGCAAGGTCGACCGGATCCACGGCCGACCGTAATATCGTAAGTGCAGTAGAGTATTACCAGGGAGAATAGCAAATAGAAAACAGTATTGAATTGAACCACAGAAATATGTCTAAGCAGCTTTCGGGCTTTCAGGAGGTGGACCTTTCGACCAGAGTACGACCGCACCGCGCGGGGCCCTCAAAGCGTAACGACAATCTTCTTTGCAGACACACCTTTGCTCTGTTTATCCATAGCACTCTGCACGTCGTTCAGACCGTATCCAGAAACCAAGGGATCGGGCTTGGCCTGAAAGGAGCCACTCTTTAGGGCTTCGGGAATGAACCTCTTCCAGATCCATTCACCGATATGTTGGTTGGGCTCCTGGATGATAGCAAAAGCAACGACTGCGTAGTACTGTCAGAATTACAAGCATTAAGAATCAGGTGGCTTCTCACCGTAACTAGGGCTGAATCGCTCGGTGCTCTTGCTGCTCGGGAGGACGCTGGCAACAGGAACCTTCTTGTCAAGTCGGTCAAGGATGGCAGACACAGCATCGAAGCTAGCATCCTCACCGATGGCATCATAGACTCCAATGAAGTCGGTTTTCTCGAGGGCGGTGGTAATGTCTTCGACAACGGTGGGAGACTTGTAGTCGAAGACAAAATTAGCACCCAGGCTCTCCACTAGTTTATGGTTGGCCGGGGAAGCTGTGCTGATGACTGCCACACCAGAAGCAGCAGCTAGTTGAATGGCCGTTGCGCCTACGGATGACGCGCCACCTCATATCAAGATGGTCTTCCCATCCTTAGCAGGCTTCTTGACCAAGGGCAGCGGCAGGTTGAGAAGGTTCTTGGTGAATAAACCGGCGCAGGCTGTCGAGATGGCAAGAGGAAGGACGACAGCCTCTTCGAAAGTCATCGAGTCGGGAATGGGAGATACCAAGGAATCAGTGGCAACTGGATAGCATTGGAAAGCCGAGTTGGCGGGGTTTCTGGTCATGAGGCCATGACAATGCCTGTTTCATCCCGCTCAAGTATGAGTAATTTGTGCTGGCACCTCGGTCGTGCTATGAAGAGTTGAACTTACGCAATGACTCTGTCGCCCTTCTTGAAACGCGTGACGCCTGCTCCGACCTCCTCCACGAAGCCAGCCGCGTCTTCACCTAGAATAAATCTGACAGATATTTCCCGTGGATCCTACATGTGTCAGCACACGAATCGTTGACCGTCGCATCGAAGGAGAAGCGGGAGACTTACTGAATCTTCCAATCCACAGGGTTCTGGCAGGTACATCCGTTAGTTGGGCTATAATTCCAGTCGAGATATCAAACAGGGAGGAAACCAACAATTGAGACAGCAGCATTGTTGATGACAATCTCTCCGGGGCCTGCAGATGGCTTAGGTGCTCCCCGTATGTTGAGAGGATAGCTGGAGGGTGAGTCGATCCAGGCAGCCTTGTTCTCGGCCATCGTGTGCGGTACGCTCTGTTGCTTGCAAGTTGTGTATTTACACGATGAGGAGAAGGTAGCCTGTGTGGGAGGGGAAATCAATGGGTTCATATAGAGAGTGCTAGGATGTACAATTATCGAAGAACCCCAAGTCTTTTGAATTAGTAAGGCTTGTGGGCTTTTCGGTACCGTACACCATGTACTGCTGCCAGGCAAGAAATGACTCTCCCGGACGGGCGCATGCTTACAATAATGGCACTTCCAGGTGGGTCGGATACCGTTCGCACCCTTGTAGTGTACGTTTCGTTGCCCTGCAATGTCTCAAGTATTTGACACGCCTGGCGTCGGCTTCCGCGACACATGCTCCGGGTCCCACTTAGTTCAATATATCCATTGTGATCCAAGGTGAAGTCGCTTCCTATCTGACCAATAATATAGATGACATCTGTCCTGAGTCAATTCTTTTGGGATGGCAGGTACTCTTTCCCCATATGAGTTCCAGTAATTGGCTCATATCCATGCAACCTATAAACTCTGTGCCCTCTAGTAGGTCAAGAGATGCTTGTCACTTGTTGTCTGTTCTATGTTAAGATCGAGTAACGTGTCAGCCCGAGGTTGGGTATTAGTGCTCTGTGGCTTTGGTAGTGTGTAGCAAAAGCCTACTAAAAGGGAGTGACAGGACTACGCGTGGGCTTCTACAACATACCAACTTCTTGAAGCTCAAGACGGCTATTTTGTAGTTTTCCTCTGACCTCTACTTTCTTTTTCCTTGTTGATTCCAGACGCATTCAACCCCCGCCCTGATACCTGCGATCAAGAATGCCTCCGTCCTCGTCATCGGCGGCTCGTCTGGTATCGGCTACGGAGTGGCCAACAAGGCTCTTGCCGAAGGAGCCAGAGTCCACATCGTGTCTTCAAATCCCTCCCGCCTTGAGCAGAGCGTCGCTGCCTTGAAGCAGAAGTATATTAGAGCAGACGGCTCGAGCCAACTATGCAATCTAGTGAACCCTAACGTAAAACAAAACCTCGAGAAGGTTCTCGAGTCCAATCGAGCCGCTTGACCACATTGTCTACACCGCCGGGGACGCACTCGCCATCGTACCGCTGGTACAGATAAATCTCGATTCGATTCACAAGGCGAGCCACATTCGGTTTACTGTTCCTCTTCTACTGGCTAAGCTTGCCCCGCGGTATTTGAAGCTAAGCTACCGCCATACAATCTCACATACACCAACCGCTTGTTCAGCTTGAACAAGCCCCGGACTGTTGACCAGGTGACTTGACATATTTGTGCGATTTATTATTACATAGTTGCAGTGTTTGCAGCTATAGGCCCTCTATTTTGGAAGCTCTAGGATAGGCTTGCTTCTATTCTTTGGCAGCGGCACTATGCACGGATCTTTAAATGGCTTTCTGGTGCAGAAAGCTATGACTTGTTAGAGTTAGGGTTATAAAATCCTTAGTTTTTATACTATTAAGTTAAATTATCTTAGTAAATATATTAGAGCTTTTTATACCTCTTAAAGTTAAATAAAAAAGTTATAATCTAGGTTTTCTTCTTATTAATATTAATATTATAGTAATTAATTAGGCATTATAATATACTATTTAAATAGTAAGCTAGATATATTATTTATAGTTAAGACCTATGGCTAAAAGCTTATAATCACTATGTAGAACTTAGAAGAGCTGAGAGACGTCGCCCTTGCTGAGGTTGGTAGGGATAGGCTGCTGGGTGACGCAGACAGGAGCGAAAGCCGCATGGACCTTCTCAGCGATCGGCTTCTTAACCTTGGTGGTTGGGGGAATGGTGGCGAGGGCTTCTCCTCCTAAGGCTTCAGCAAGTGCATCAAGAACAGTTTATTTGGTGTTGGGAGTATCAAGAGAAGCTATATTGATGGTTGATCGGGGATGGGTGCCGCACCGGTTGGGAGGAAGAGGATCCAGCGGACCCAAGAAGGCTGGCACGGATTCACGTTTGTGCGCTGCCGCTAATCTTTGGCAACAGTTCAATAAACTTCAATCCGCCTTGGTGGAGCGAACCTCAGAGGACAGCGAAGGCCAGAAGTATGTTGAGCTTTACAAGACCTTTGAGGCCCCTGTTGAGATGAATGAGGTTATGGCAGAGGGTGCTGGGGACTTTGAGACGAAGAAGGCGATGGAGATCATTGTTGGGCGAATCCTCAATGAGGCACTGAAGCATTGATGTGACTATTTGAAAGCTGCAGATGGTGGTCAATTGGCTGTTATCTCCACTTTGGGCTTCGATATCCAGATCCAGGCAGACAATCGGTCCTGACTTGAATACCGTACGAGCTTTGATACCTAATACAATGTACTTTTTTACAAGCAGTCTTATTAGTGTCAATAGTAGCCCAATATAGCCAATGAAAATAGTGGCCGCTAGTTGTGCTAATTGATGCGCTCACATACTCGTAATAAACGCCGTGTTATGACGTCAATGTTTACAGCAAGATCTAGGAAGAGTAAGTCATCACGCGACACAACCCTATGACCATTAAGTCACTTAAAATTGAACAAACTCCATTTTCAGGTCTGGCGGTGCTTGGCATGCTAATTAAAGTGGCACTGCAGCTTATTTGCCTACCAAGAAAATGTGGTCGTACGTTCAGCGCCGTCAGATCGCCAGCCAGGTCAGATTAGACCACCAAAACGACATCGAATCAGCCGAAAACTCCAGGCTGTCTCTCCAAAAACGACCATTTTCGCCACCAAGCAACACAAGAACCTCTGAAGAGAGAAGTCAACAAGAATCTAACGAGAATCGATTTCGAGTCCAAATCGCAGGCGAGGATGATCCCCTGAACCCATTGAACTGGACGCGATTAGCCAGAGCGAAGAACGTCTTTATTATCTGCTTCCTCGTCTTCACGCAATGCTGGGCCGGTTCCGCAATATCGATGGGGAACTCAATGGCTAGTGAAGAATTCCACGTAAGCCAAGTTGCCGAGAACCTCTCCACAGCCATGTTTCTCTTCGGTGTCGGTACTGGAGCGCTATTCGCTGGACCGATATCTGAAACGGTTGGGAGGAATCCTACATATTTGGTGGCTACGGCGTTTTATCTTTGTTTTGTTCTCGGCTCGGCTATGACGCCTACGTTTGGTGGGCAAGTCGTTTGTCGATTCTTCGTGGGCTTATCGGCTAGCGCTACGTTGACGATAAATGGTGCGAGTGTGAATGATCAGTTCAGACCTGTCAAGAGAGCATTGGTATTTCCGATTGTTGCTTGGGCAAATGTCGCAGGTGAGTCAATCTCTGCTGAGGTCGAAGCGGGCTTATTAACATCGTCATAGCTCCCGTCATTGCACCCATAGCAGGCGGCTGGATTGTCTCCAACCCAAAGCTTGGATGGCGATGGACAGAATGGATTACTCTGATCATATCTGGGGCTGCGTTTATCATTGCCCTATTGTTCCTCCCCGAGACATATTTTCCTCTGATCCTGTCATGGAAAGCAAAAGAGCTTCGTCGCATCACGGGCGATCAACGGTATACTTCGCAACATGAACAGCAGCAATCATTTTGGAAGCAAATGAGAAAAACACTTCCACTGCCTGCAACCTTCTTCCGCAGTGAGCCAGTCATTATTGTACTTGGACTCTATCTCATTTTGCTTTACATACTACTCTTCAGCTTTCTATCAGGCTTTGACTATATCTTCAAAGAAACCTACAGATTGGAGCCTGGATACCAAGGCTCATGCTTCGCGGCCATTGCTGCAGGAGCAACTGCTTTTGTTCTTTGTGGCCCCGGACTCTATGAATGGGCAAGACAACATACTGAACGAGTTAGAGGCGCTTCTATACAGCCAGAGTTTAGGCTCTGGCCCGCCATTGTCACAGCTCCATTCCTTCCCGTCTCACTGTTCTGGCTCGGATGGACCAATTATTCCAGCATTTCCATCTGGAGCGGGCTTGGAGCCTGTTTTCTGTTCGGCATTGTATTGACATCTATCTATGTTAGCAGCTACGAGTACATTACTGATAGCTACGGAGAACACTCTGCTATCGCACTTGGGAGTATCACTATGTCGCGGTACCTTATTGCCGGTGGAATGGTCATGGCGGCGCGGCCCATGTATGAAGGTATTGGAGTTCACTGGACCATGACTCTTCTTGGGTGTGTCGCGATGCTGCTTACGCCAGCGCCCATTTTGTTCTGGAAACACGGTCCTCAGCTGAGGCGCAGAAGTCCATATGCAACCACTGACGTATAAGGCCGCAGTGATTTCTCAATGTTTCACATATTTTATTCTTGTACTTTGAACACCATGGCACAGAGCATGTAGAATAACAGAAGAAGAAATATACATTGCAAATGAATCTTTATTTGACATTATATACGTGTCTTTAATATCAGGTATTCTTCTTTGGCTTAATGCTAATCAGTGCCTTTGCTCCCAGCCTCATTCGACCTCAAACTCAACTGGAGCAATAGGACTCAATTTAATTGGTGGACCGCTCGCATGTTCACAGCCTTCCTTTGGAGTAGACTGACCAGGAGGCGACATTACATCTTCTTTCTTTCCATAGCGCCACCATTCAACCTCCTCGTCCTCACGTACTTTAAGTTGGTACTTATGGCCGGGCGTAAAGCCTCGATTGCCTTGGAGTGCAGCGGATCGAAGAAACCTATGGGTGATGGTGATAGGCCTGTGCGGCTCCAGAGTAATGAAGTAGTCGTCATCACGGCCGCCGAGTGCAAAACTAAACTGTGGTCGTTTTGGGCCCTTGGTAGTCTCGAGCTGGACCGGCAAACCTGTCGTGAGGTCTGTACAGATGAAGTTTTTACGCCGTTGGGCAAGTCCGAGATTAAATATAGTATGCCATGTGAATATAGTGATGGGTTCAAAAGCGTGTGAGGTTGCTGTAGTAGAGATGGTGGCACTGGGAGGTGATTCAGAGCCTCGGGTAAATTTGGGTGGGTTAATAGATACACTTATGGATATTGCTGGGGGGTTGGAGGTATTATGAGACATTTTGCGGAAGGTAGGGGAAGGTTGATGAAAAACAGTAACGCAGCATGGAAGAAAAGATGGTTCTGAGTGCCTGGTCTTATAGGTTGTTGGATGGCACTGATATAGTGACTCAGACCTCGTAGGTACCTAGTATGTCCTGAGGCTATTATGACATCACTTGTAAGTCCTAATGAAGGCATGCATGATTTCAGCCATTTATATCTATGCCCTTAATTAGTTGATGGCATGACAGAGACAGTTGAGCGATATGTATTATATACTGAACCCAAAGAAGTTAAGAAACTACCTATATAAATTATAAAATTTAAAACTAATAATCATAAGAAATGCTTTTTTGTATACCTAATCCTCACTCCTGCAAGAAATCCAGCTCGTTATCTAGGCTTCTTAGGCAACCTCATCGCATGTTGGGTCTTCTCCATTAGACCTAATTAGCTTCCTATATTTATTAGCATAGTTAATACTCTAATACGGCTTATTTGTAAACCACATAATTGTTATAATTAAATTAGTATTTGTATATGAATGCTATTTAGAATTTTTATAGAATTATTAATAAATAATAATAAAGCCTCTTATAATGTATTACCTATGGCTAGGGAATAGGCTCTATATATTTCTAAATGCAATATCATCAATCCAAAAGGAAACTGCACCCTGGCACGTAGATATAATAGCAAGACCGGGCCCTAGGTTAAGCATCGCCTAGTTATACTAGACCGATATAGTAACCTAGATCTAGTTAACTAAGGCATCAGCTATATTACCTATAACTATACTATTAGTAATGCGGCTATTATTGTCTGATAATATACTAATAAACATACTAAAATAGGTGCCTATAGCTATATAAATGTAAATAGTAATTTAGTAAGGAGTATTAGCTATAAGGCTAGAGCTATTAATAGATTAGTAGATGCCCTAGAAGATGCTATTAGAGTTAATGCTATACTAAAAGTAGCCTAACTATAAGCCCTTATAGACCTAGTCTGTTATAATGCTGATCTGGCCTAGGTTACTAGTGGGTCAGAAAAGCTTCCAAGGTTCGATGCTACTGTCCTTAAAGCCCGAGTTGACGAGCAAGTTGGGCTCCTGGGGCTTGGCGGTGGTGGTCGTAGACTGGATGGCCGAGGAGGTGATGGATGCAGATGTGAAGAGAGTTGTGCTCTTGGCAGAGGCGGTAGTAGATAAGATGCTGGTCTCGGTAGAAGCTATAGACTCGCTAACCGAGTCAGTAGTTAATTCGCTACTACTCTCAGTTAAAGCAATCGATAGAGTAGCAGTGGGCTCGCTAGCCGAGGCCGTGGACAAAGTAGCGGTCATACTGACGGTCAGAGAAGACGACGACAGGTGCGGCTTACATAGTGAAGCTAGTGCTCCACGGCTAAAAGCCAGAAGCAGAAGAGCAAAAATATTAGACCTCATGGCAAAAAGCGAGTGTATATAAAAGCTAGAATTCTATAAGGGAGAGAAAAGTGAGATAATAAAGAGATTTTATAAATAGCAAGGAATAAGTAAAAAGAAATAAAGCTTAAAAGGTAAAAAAGGAGATAGTAGAGCATTAGGCGATAGCAGTAAGCTAAATTGATGGTTTATTAATAGTGTCTTATAAGAGCTTATAGTAGCGCTAATTGCAATCTTACAGGTCTTAGCCTGCCGCACTTGTGGCTAACTTGCGATTAGCAATTTATTCGAAAGAGGCAGTACACTCGGTAATGGGGTTATAGTTACTCTATATCCGTATATTGACTAGAGAGGATTAATAGCTCGCTTTATCTTCATTTGGTTTTTCTTAAGCTGAAAAACGCAGTGTTAGATTTAGCAACTAACCTATTAAGCTAAAAGATAGTATCTCAGCCTTATAACCAGGTATACTTATAGCCTTTTAAAAGTTATTTTAAATCTTTATAAATACCATATTAATAATTAATAATATTAATATATTATCTAATAAAGTATTATCTTTATTCCCTATAATTTCCATAACTATAACTATTAGTAATAATATCTTATAATCTTATTTAATATTTTAGAAATGTATATTAATAATAAAATATTAGTATGAATTTAAATAAATCTAAATGGCAGTCTATATAGGGAAGTTATATCCTATCTCGTTCTTAATTAACAATCAGTACCCCGTCCAAATCTACTTAGTATGAGCCTCCAGATTAAGGAGATCCTGTTTATCACCAGTATATTGAACCCTTTTCATCCACTCCTCAACAGTCTTGACACGATCTGGAACAATTCTATCCAAAAACTGAAAGTCTCTCTGAATCAATCCCGAATTGTCGCTGGGACTCGCCTTGTAAAGGTTCCACCAGTTCTTGAAGTTCTCCCCATACGTCATGAGTAGTCCACTATCGTCCTTGACAGTCTGGAAGCCAATCTTGGTATCCGAACCATTGGGAAGAGCTTTCCAGGCAACAGAGTTCCAAATGTCAATGGGGACATTGACGAAACGACTTTTTTTTCCGCTGACCTTCTCGGAAGCTTTGGCAATTTGCTCACCAGTTGCGAGAACGGTGACAATGCCAAAGTCCAGGTGGTTCGACTCATCAGGATGCTGCAGCGCCCAATCAGCATATTTGCCGAAATCGTCGAGGTGGATGAATGGGATTGAGCCGTTGTCAAGAGGGAGTTGGAAGGTGAGTGAACCGTCCTGTTCAATGGCAGGTGACATGACTGCAGAGAGGAGTTCCATATATGGACCTGATCTGATAATACTCCACTGCATTTTTACCTCTTTCTGTGCATGGATCCAGTCTAAAAAGATGTATTAGTAACCCTCTTATGGTAGCATGGATGTTGGGCGATAGCTCCTTACCTTGAATTCTAGCCTTGCCTTGATAATGTCCAACGTAGAGATCAGGATCATAGTTAGATTTGGGCCCAACAGAGTCAAGACCACTGAAGATGAAGTGCTTGACTCCAGCCCTAGCAGATAATTCAAACAATCGAATTCCCCAATACGTCTCAGCTTGCTCTCCGAGCGCGAATCCATCAGTGTTCACCAGAACGTAGTCTACATCTGAGGCAGCGGCCAAAAACGCCTTGGTGTCATAGCCAGTTGCGGCGTCACTGACAGCGATCTTAACGTTGGGCAGAGCGGCTAGTTCAATAGCCTTGGGGGATGTTGCGCTGCGTGTGAAGGCCGTGATGTTGTATTGTCCAGTGCTGGAAAGGTGACGGAGAATGGCGCCGCCTTGAGCTCCAGTGGCACCTACAATGAGAATCGACTTCATTTTCATAAGAGGATTTGAAGATTGTGAGTGGAGAGATGTTTGCGATAAAAATGCTTCTTGTTGTAGCTTGAGTGCGATGATAAATAGATAGTAGTTTCTCTGGACAGGAAGGAGGAATGATGTGTTCATATACAAACTTAATCCATATTCCTTTTCTCGTACAACTACTATCTGTGATGAAGCTTTATAAGCGTCTGCTCACCAATCTTCTGTTTAGTGATCAGCTTACAGCAGCGGTGTAACCTAGGAGCTTAATTGGCTATGAGAACCCCGCACTGTAACACCGAAATCACCGCATTTTAGACCGCAGTGGCCATATACTCTAATCACAAACCTGCAACTCTTCTTAGTCATGTGCCTTATCATGGTCAAGTTCCGCTAAAGTACCGCAACATCCGCCGACGCGTCTGCTTACTCTCCAGAGTCCGCACTTCACCTCGAGACAATCAGTCCCGGCATTAGCCACCATGTCGACATCATTACACCCTACAAACAGGGCTCGTGCCTCATGTTTCCATTGTCGCGACAGTAAGCGACGCTGTGACAAATCATTGCCTGCATGCCATCTCTGTCGTCGCAAGAAGCTAGAATGCCGCTATCCCCAACGCCGTGGTCAGAAGTCCGCATCGCCGATTGATGATACGGCCAATCTCGAAGATGTTGCAGGGAGAAGGAAGTCGAGCGATATTTATCATGGGACGATTCAACACGAAAGGGCACAGGACTTGGTCAACGCCAGAGCCATTCGTTTTCTGGCACCAGACCTCTTTCGCGATCTGCATCTACAGGTTCCGCGTCTTGATTGGGTCATGTCAGATGAAATTGAAGCCCAACTAGGAGGCCGGCAGCAGATGCAAGAGATGACCAAAACATTCCTGCAATTAACGAGATCATGGATGCCTATAGTCAATGGGAAACGTCACCTAGCTGCCGTGTTAAATCCGCTGGTCCCACTCCGCCGCCCGACTGCTCTCTTGGCCTTATGCATGAAGCTATGCTGCCTTTCAGTCGATGAAATTGAAGAGAAGCGTGTGCTATACGAGCTGGTGAAGAGATTTTATGCAGAGGTTGAGGGCCAAGAGGACTCCTGCATCCAAGTCATGCAGTCGGCAGTCTTCATTGCCGTGTTTGAGATGGGTGATGCAATAAACCCAGCTGCGTACTTGACTGTTGGGGCTTTGGCAAGGTATGGTATGGTCATGGGCATGGATAAGATTAACCAGGATGTGTTGGGCAAGGGCTGTGATGCAGCCACAGGAGCATCGTGGACAGATATAGAGGAGATGAGGAGGGTATGGTGGGGTACCTTGATCCTGGACCGGTATGTCAGTTCCGATAAAGTCTTATCCAAGCTTTGAACTAATCTGGATCCCGGTACACAAAGCTTACTCAACGTCTCTCAGCCATCTCGAGGCTTAAGCACGGCTGACCCCTCATTCGAGGACTTTCTCCCTGTTGACGATGAGTTCTTTTACAACCAAGTATGTTTAACTTTCCTAGCCCATATTTTTCAAGCCCCGACTGACTGGCCATCTCACTATCAGTCGGCTTCTCCCGAACATGCTACTCGCATATCTGCGGGATTTACTTTCAAGATGGGATCCTTCCCAAGACTTTGTCAAGCCACCCACCTAATCAGCAAATCTCTCGCATTCTGTCGCGGTGCCTTTGATGACAGCGACGAAGCTTCACCCAATAAACCGCCTGAGGATGTGGTTCAGCTTTGCCGTACCCTTGAGTCATTAGTCCGTGTCAATGAACTCGAAGTGTCGAGTCGTCAGCTGGCGTTCTGCAGCCAAAGCTCTGTTTCATACATGTGAGTCACCCCAAACCTTTGAGAAGACTGGAATACTGACTTTGATGAGTGGGATCCTGCTACTGCAACAACACTACTGGCGACGCGCTGGTCACGAGGCGGAACAAGGCTCGACGCCTGATATCTTCCCCGAGACGCAGTCAGCCCTCGAAACTCTGGATCGCATCTCCACGACATTACGCGAAGGTGGTTATGATTTATGGCAGCATCTTGAAGACGGCCGCTGTTCTCTTTTTCTGGTTGAGCTGGTATATCAAAGTATGCTGGCTCTTCTACAAATGGGCAATGTATGGCTTGCAGAGGAGGTTCAGAGCAAGAAGGAATCACTAAGCTGGCTACTCTCACATATGGGTAAACGGTGGCCACTTGTCGGTAAGACCAGTTTTCAGAGACTTGATTCCTTGACTAATGCTGTCCCAGCTGTGTATAAACATATCTTGCAGGCTAGGGAGAGCATACTAGCTGTTGAAGATGCCTTGACGTAGCACCGTGAACCCCACGAACAACTTCGATAAAGGAAATGTCTGGTCAGATTATATATGCAATAAAAGTCTCTTCAACGCTGGCTTCTACTATTCTAAGATGCACGCCTTCGTATCCTACAACTTCGACGTAACCCCCTTAGAGACAGACTTATAAGTCTGCTCAAACCGCTCTCTCGTATCCTTGGCACAATCATGCTCGTAAATCATCTTCTGCACCTCCGGACTGACCCACCTATCTGGCACAGGTGTAGTTCCCGTCTTCGCAGCAGCAGCGAACTGACGATCTCGTTCCTCCCTAGCATTTCCAGCTCCGAGGTGCAAAGCCTTTGCAGATTGAACCGCCAAATCTACCAGAGTCGAAGTACGAGGTTTTCTCAAAAGCTCGTATGCCTTCAATGTCGTTTCGATGGCCTCCCGGTCTGATCCGTCGCCTGGCATGAGGCTGAATGCTTCAGCTAGTGTTGCTGCATCTTCGATTGCCATTGCCGCACCTTGTGAGAGATGAGGTAGTGTAGGATGGCATGCGTCGCCGAGAAGGGCTACAGCACCGCACGTCCATGTGTCAAGAGGTTTATGACAGCGAAGCCGCCACTCAACGACGTCGTCTCCGGGAACCAAGTCAAGGAGCTGTTGAACAATTGGGTTGAAGTCTTCAAAGACCTGCTTCATGGCCTTTTTGCTGCCCTTGTTGGTCCATGTCGCATTTGTAGCGCCTGCAAAGTTGACATCAGGCTGAACTGAAGCGATGTTGAAGATGCTGTGATTATGAATGGGGTAGGCGATGATATGTCGATGCTCGCCTATCCATCTTCGGACGGTGTTGCTGTTCAGCATGTACATCAGGTAAGGATGTGGTTCCAGCAGTTCCCGGGGGAGGAGAATTCTGTAGGCTGCTGTTCCGGTCTCAAGAATGTCGGCTGCCAAGTTGAGATGAGCGAGTATTGACTCCCTCACCTTGGACTTGATACCATCAGCGCCGATGAGAACATCCGTCTCAATAATCTGCGGCTTCCCATTCTCATCCTTAACAATAAACTTGACCTTCCCCGGTCCAAAGTCCTCGACATACTGCAACGTCTTGCTAAAATGAAACTTCACTGCCGGCTCAGCCTTAGCAGCATCATAAATCCCCTCAGCCAGCGAAGCACGATGACCCGCAAAATGGGGATACTCATACTTATCCCCTATATCAGTCATAGAAACCCGTGCAAGCAGCTTATTTGAAGCGCCATCGTGGATGACTACTTCTTCAACTTGTGTTGCTTCGTCTTTGATGGAGGATTTGGCCCAGACGCCGAGTTGTTCGAGGAGGCGGACCATGTTGGGGGCCATTTGGATGCCGGCGCCGACGAAGCCGAGGGCGGGTGCGTCTTCGTATACATGGATGTTAGTGAAGCCTTTCTTGGCGAACGCCAAGGCAGCGGCCAACCCTCCCATTCCTGGACGAAGAGTTAGTTATCGTTGGATATCTTTTGTGTCATTGAGCGGGATCATACCTGCTCCAATAATGGAGACTCTGAGATCGTTCTTGTTGGTCATGATGATATGCCGCAAGGTTATAGTATGGGGAATGAAGTTTATCGTTTGTTGAGGATCTTTAGTCGAAACGTAATTTGATTAACCCTTCACTTCCTTTTTATCTTCATCGTTATCGAGAACTCAATCCTCGGTCTGCCTCGATTTTCGCTTTTTCCAAAAATCACTCTTCAAAACCTCGGTAGTCATATCCCCGTCCCACATCGGAACCCCGCCGAGCCACCAAAGTCGGCATTTGTCCTGTAATCAATCCAGTATTGCAAATTACGGCTGAAACTCAGCCCAACGCCGAATCAAGAATGGCTTATTTCTGCATTCAACGACATACATCATATCACATGCAGGGGTCCAGGGTAGTCTCCCCGCATTCTGTCAAACAGTCAAACTCTATCCCCACACAGAAAATCGAAACCCCACAAGCGCTAAGAAACCCCACAAAGTTAAGGTATCGGCAGTTTAAGTAAAGTCAAGTCCCGAGTATTCCGCTGATATGGTATAATAGTAAAACAGGACCAGGCTCCATGCATGAACTTGATAATCGTCACTACAGGGGCAATACTACTCTGTTTCATCTCACCTTTCTTGTACCAAAAAAAAACCTCGGTTAAGTGATGACCATGGCTCAGCCGAATACTCTAACTCCCGCTAAAGTCGAACTCGAGGATGATCCTCATCGTGCTGCGCTGGAGGATAATCCCACTACTCAGCCGAGAACGGGAGCCCGAGTATGGATTGCAATCTTTGTAAGAAAACCCCTGTGATCATATAATCTCGGAACCGGAACTGACACCGATTAACAGTCAATGGCATTATCCTTCGGACCAGCCGTTGGACTTCCGTTTGTCTGCGTTGCCAGTATCGTTGTGCAGATCACGAATGAGCTGGGAGATGCAAGCCAACTGCCGTGGGTTGTTGGAGCATGGTCTCTCTCAACAGCCTGCTCTTTCTCCCTCGGTGGTCCGTTTAGCGATATCTTTGGCCGCCGAAGCATCATCCTTGCAGGCCAAATCATTGTCTTGATCGGTAATATTGTGGGAGGCACTGCTCAGAACACTCAAAGCATAATTGCAGCCGAGACTCTCGTGGGTCTTGGTGCTGGTTTTGTGTTTGTGGCGTATGCAGGTGTGCCTGAGATGCTTCCTAACAAATGGCGGTCTTTGGGCTTGGGCATCCTTGAGGGAGGAATTGCCCTTCCTTGGTAAGTCTGAACGCATCTCGGTCTCCTTGTTGTACTGACCTAGGAGTACAGGGCTGTTGTGAGCGTTCTTCTTGCCAACGCCATGTACAAGTATGCGACGTGGAGGTGGCTCTTCTACCTAGCCATCATTGTGCAGGCCATCTCCTTGGCTGGTACCGCCTTGTTCTACTGGCCAACAACGCACCCCCAGGGAGATTTCGAGAAGTCACGCTTCACTCAGTTCCGAGAAATAGATTGGATTGGTCTTGGTCTCTTCACTTCCGGGCTCGCTGTATTCCTGATCGGCTTGACCTGGGGAGGCACTGCCTCACATCCATGGAAGAGTGCCAGTACAATCGTACCTATTGTCCTCGGGCTATTTACCATTGTCGCTGCGTTTATCTACGACTTCTATTTTGCCAAAGCTCCTATGTTTCCCCTCAAGCTCTTTTCTACAATCCGTGGCTTTCTTCTTGTTATCGTTGTCTTATTCATATCGGGAATGAACTACAATTCCCTTTCTGCTCTTCTGCCCCAAGGCTCTCTTTACATGTTCACCACCGACGGCATTGAGATCGGTGTTCTGGCCCTCCCCAACACTCTGATGCAGGGCGTCTGTGGTTTTCTGGTTCCTCTTTTCTCTCACAAGATCGGTCATATCAAATGGCAGTTTGTAGCCGGTACAGCATTCCAGGCCATCTTTATCGGAGCCAGCGCTGCGACTGTCAACCCGAACCACAAACTCGCCTGGGCATTTGTACCAGCGTTTGGTGTTCCCATGTTCGTTCTTTGCACCATCTTGGGATATTCCATCGCTAGTCTACATGTACCTCATTCCCATCTGGGTCTCGCCATGGGCCTTCTTGGTACTTTTCGTTCAGCCGGCGGTGCCGTTGGAAATGCCATCTTCAACACCATCTTCCAGGATAAGTTCAAGACTTATTCTGGCGAAGAGATCGCTCGTGCTGCACTCCAAAGTGGACTCAATGCCACTGATCTAGGACTCATTATCCCTGGGACTATCCAGCATAACCTCGGTGTCCCTGGCGCCCTCGACGCCGTCCCCGGCATGACTCCTGAGATCCAGGATGTTCTTCGCCATGCAGTCAGACAGGCATATGGCCGTGCGTTTCAGTTTGTGTTTTACATCACCATCGCCTTTTCAACCGTTGCCGTTATTTGTGCCCTGTTCGTCGAGGACCCCACAGCTTTCATGACGAATCATGTTCAATCGGCCATGGTTGGTCGAGGTCATACCGGCGTTGTCGATGGAACTGCCCCAGTCACAAGTACAGACGATAAACCTACTGAGAGCCATGATGAGAAGAGTGATGGCAATACTGCAGGTGGAGTAAATATGGCTTGATATATGAGTTGAAGAGGTCGTATCAGTGCTGGTGTTGTCAGCTCTGCGCTATGCGATTTTGGAACTTTCGTTTCTGTTGTTTGTCGTAGATTGGTTGTTGGTGTTTAATTATTTGAGTAGCAGAACCGGTGCAATATGGACAAATAACTAGCAATTTAATATGGGTTCTGGCATCATGCCGCGCCATACCTATCTAAGAAGGTGACAAATCTCACCTCTGTTGGTAGTGCTCTTCTAAATGCAAAAGGACCTTCTCTATTGCGTTGGCCGCAGCAACAATCGCGCCGGCCCCAGGGGGAATTGATTCTGTTGGTCACTGGAGGAGATAAGCCATATTGCGCAATTGGGTGATCTGGCTTACCCACTCCAACCACTATTTTTACCCTCTCGTATCTGCATACGAGCACAGAACATCTATCTATTTTGAGTAGCAATTAATTTCCCGCCTCTTCCGTACAAGCCATCAACAAAACTTGCGGATCCCATTCTCCTATATCCTAGGCCGATCACAGAAGGGCAGGAATTCGTTTCCTTAGCATTCCAAGTCGTTGTAACACGGTTGTGCTCGTAAGCCCGCGCCATGAACCACAGGACAATTGACCTGGTCTTAGGTTCTCTTAGTGCCGTCTTCTCTTTCCTGATCCTACTGCGCCTACGACAGCTTCGCAGAGAGGCTATCAAGATCATCCCAAGATATTACGGCCCCTCATCGCTGGTACAAACTCTCCAAACCTGAATGCCAATATGAAGCTAACACTGTATACTCTTTAGACAATAGTATGCCTGCTTCTTCTAGCAAGCCTTTCATCTTTTGCAGCAAATGTCTCGCAGAGGAATCCTCATCACCTTGCAGCGTCAATTGCTTCCTTCACTGCAACTGCCCTTCTTTGTCCCCTCTTGTACATGGAACATATGCGCTCGGTCAGGCCTGCTGACCTCGCCGTCGTCGTCCTGCTAGTATCTTTGCTATGCGATACAGCTGCTGCACTAAAAGACGGTCTCGAGAAGTGGCTGCTGCCCGCCACCGAGATTGCTCTGAAGCTTCTTCTAGTCGCCACAGAAAGCCGAAGTAAACAACGGATTCTTACAAGCCCGTATAATTCCCTACCCCCAGAACAGCTCGCAGGCATTCTAAGCAGAATATTCTTCTGGTGGATCAACCCTATTCTCGCCCAAGGAAACCGGACAATACTGTCTGAAGATACACTTCCTCTGATCGACGACCAGCTTTCATCGAAGCAGCTCCGCCATCAAGGCTTGAAGGCGTGGGATCAAAGAGCTAGACCTGTTACCAAGATCACACTACCCATCTGCCTCGCTAAGAGCATGCTACCTCAGTTTATTGCACCAGTCATCCCGCGATTATGCCTTATCTTCTTTCGTTATGCCCAGCCAGCTCTCATTAGCTCTGCGGTTCACATGCTGGGCAGCCACTCTGGCGGAAGCAGGCATATGCTAATCATGAAAGCCGCTGTTGTCTACTTCGGCTTAGCGGTATGACTTGGTTACCTGTCTAGGAATTCTTACTGACCCGAGCAAGGTGTTTGAAGCAGTTTACCACCATCGATTAAACCGACTCAGCATCATGACCAAAGGTACACTTGTCGGACTTATCAATAACACAGCTCTACGTCAACCATCGAGCAGCTACAACGATGGTATTGCCCTCACTTTGATCAGCACAGATACAGAGAGCGTGATGAGGTTTGCGAGTATGTTCCATGAAACTTGGGCACATATTCTCGAGGTGATTATTGGGATGGCACTGCTGGCTCGGCGAATCAGCTGGGCCGCCCCAGTTCCCCTCGTGATTATCTTCAGTGAGCTTCCCCGCTCAAATCTCACATTCTATGGTAGCTAATTTGTGTTCATTTCAAAGTTTGCTCTAGGATGAGTCGATATCTAGCCAAAAACTTGCAAAGTAAGCAGAAAGACTGGAATGAAGCAACACAAAGACGTATCTCCTTGACAGCATCTGCTCTGTCATCAGTCAAAGTCATGAAGATGCTTGGATTCTCCACAGAGACCGAGGCTTTGCTTCAGAGGCTCCGAGCGCAAGAGCTTGATATGGCCAAGAAAGTACGGTGGATGATGGTTGCGTATAATGCCAGTGGTTTGTTTTCACCATGGTTACCTCAACAATTCTACCTCTACTGACAATAATAGCCAATGCACTTGGGATATTCTCTCCTATACTCACGTTTGTCATATTTGTCATTTATGCTAACCTACGTGGGTCGACTCTTGATGCCGAGACTGCATTCACAACAACAGCACTTCTTGGACTAGTGACCCATCCTGCAAACATGATCATGACGATTGTGCCCCGGGCCATTGGCTCTTTGGCCGCCTTTGGAAGAATCCAAGACTACCTTGTTCACCCTGGTCGAGTCGATCAGAGACGCTTGTTAGAGTTCAGCATAAAGGACGGGGATTCCTCACCAGTTCTCTGCTTCGAGACTGTCACTGTTCAGTCTTCTTCATCGCCACGCCCGGTGCTTCAAAACATCAACCTCGTCGTGAACAAAGGCTCAATCGTCATATGTGCAGGGGTAGTTGGAAGTGGAAAGACAGTCCTCGCCAAGTGCATTCTAGGCGAAATCGCAGCTTCAAGTGGGACAGTATCAGTGTCGTCCAAGCGGATCGCTTACTGCGAACAATCTCCCTGGTTACCAAGTGGAACTCTGAAGGAGGCGGTTTGCGGGTTCGGAAAGTTTGAGAATGACTGGTATAGACACGTTCTGAAGCTTTGTTGCCTCGATGAGGATATCTCGACCATGCCGCTTGGGGACGATACTGTTATTGGCAGCCGGGGTCTGAAGCTCTCTGGAGGCCAAAGACAGCGTTTGGTATGTGCCCTCCAGTATCTCCATCTCTGAATCTTCTTAGACTGTGCTAACTATACAGAAGGCTCTCGCTCGTGCTGTGTACGCTAGGTGCGACATTATGCTCCTTGATGACATCTTCTCTGCTCTAGACAGCAAGACAGAAAGTCAAGTCGTATTGAACCTCCTAGGAACCCAAGGCCACTTCCGTAAGGCGGGTGTTACAGTTGTCTTAACTTCAAACTCTGGTCAGTGCTATCTCTCGGAACACCTTACCATCAACGATTCGATGCTCATAGCTTGTAGCTAAACACTTTGACCTGGCGGACTCGTTGATCATTGTCGAGAACGGGAGAGTTACATACCAAGGGCCACCAAGCGGAATAGGTGAAGATGCGGCACATTTCTGTCAGACGTATGTCAACGCGGCAGTCCCTGAACCGAGTGACGACTTTACCGAAGTGAATAAGACTATCCAGAGCCAGGCTCTAGAAGTAAGCGAGGCTATGGCTGATCTGGGTAGATCAACAGGAGATTTCTCTCTATACGGTATAGTCACAACTCCAGCCGCCCAACTTACACAGTACTTGCTGACTGGTATAGGATATTATTTGAGAGCTGTGAAGCCGCGAAACTTCTTTCTTCTTCTCACTTGCACAGCTTCGTACTCATTCTTTGTGACATTTCCACAGTATTGGCTACAAAAGTGGACAGAATCACCAGCCGCTCAGACGAGATTCTATGTTGGAGGATATATCATCCTTTCACTCCTGGCCTGGGCAGCTACAAATGGGTCAATGTGGTAGGCCATTAATCCCCTGAACATACTCTCAGATGGTTAATGATGTATTCACAGGTCTACTCATATGTTGATTGCACCAAGATCCGGTGCTGAACTTCACCGGCGCTTATTGACAACGGTCTTTGGGTCTGTGCACAATAACCTCTTTTGAAAACCTTGCTAACAAGTCACAGTGCTCCATTGTTGTTCTTCTCAATGACAGAGACGGGTGCAATATTGAACCGGTAAGCTATACCATTTGTCTTTTCTGCTTGCCAATTAGCTGATGATTTTTAAGGTTCAGTGAAGATATGCAACTCGTCGACAAGAGCCTACCTCCGGCAATTCTCTCTCTTTCTAACCGTTAGTATCACTAAAGCTTTGGAAGTCATATAAGTGATGATGCTTTTCTGACTGATCGCAGAGGTCTTCAAGTTACTGGTGCAGGCCACGCTCCTTTTCAGTGCCCAAAAGCTGCTGGCTGCAACGTTGCCAATCTGCGTTTTGGTCGTTTACGTCGTGCAGCGAGTATATTTGCGGACGTCTCGACAGCTTCGTCTGCTTCAACTGGAATCCCAGTCTGCTGTCTACTCGAGCTTCCTTGAGTCGGTACGTACGTTCTGCTGTCTTGTGCTATGGTGTGGGTAGTTATATCGTGTGGCTTATCTCATAACTTCTGCTGCATTTAATGCGCCTTTTCTAGAGCCGGGCTGACTTCTCACTTATGCACAGGTCGAGGGCGTCGCCAGCATCCGGTCGTTTGGCTGGATAAAGGGGGCAGAGAACACTAATATGGAATGCCTGGATAAGTCCCAGCAACCAGCTTACATACTTCTTTGCTTGCAGCTCTGGCTCAACATTGTTCTCGATCTAATCATTGCCGCTATGGCAGTGATTCTGATCAGTTTGGCAGTCTTCTTGGAGGGCAGCACGACAGCTGGCCAAATTGGCATGTCGTTGAATATTGTCCTTGTCGCTAACTCGACACTTCTAGCACTTGTCACTTCTTGGACGAATATGGAGATATCTCTTGGTGCTATGTAAGTTCAGGTTCAGAGCTTTATCGGATCGACTATGCTGTTTTCTCTTATTTGCTGAAGCTTTGCGTTTGATAAACTGATCACCTTTGCAGATCACGTTTAAAAACATTGGAGGCTGATATTGAAGCGGAAGAACAGACGTCAACTGGAGTAATAGTCCCTGATACCTGGCCTTCATGTGGAGCGGTTGAGGTCCGTGATCTGACGGTCTCTTATGAAGAGTTACATACACCTGCGCTGAAGAAGATCAACCTATCCATTGATCCGGGTCAGCATTTGGTGGTCTGCGGTAGGACTGGCAGGTATGTTCTCTCTTTATAGCCTCCATCTGTAGCTCTGTTGCTGAGAGACCTTTCTAGTGGGAAGAGTACTCTCCTTCTGGCCTTACTTCGTCTCCTCGATACCCAGTCAGGATCTATCAAAGTTGATGGTATCGACTTGAGCATGGTTCCACTGTCCGCTATACGAGAGCGCTGTTTTATCACTGTGACGCAAGATCCATTTCTGCTCGCCCAGGCTAGTCTTCGCTTCAACTTGGACGTAAGTAATCATTTGCACTTATACGCTGCGACGAAAACTTGCGTTAACTGATTACTCTACGTTTCTCTTTCCAGCCCTCAGGAACTCTTCCCGACATTATCATCTTCAAAGCCCTTGAACGAACTGGGCTCTCGGGACATTTCGACCCTGATCAACAAAGAGAGCTGGTAAGCATCCTGGACGAGCCTCTCGGTTCGTTGCCTCATATGTCAACCGGCCAAACTCAGCTATTTGCCCTGGCCAGAGCTATTCTCCGAGTAGAGCATTCTCCAGTGACACGAGCAAAACCCATCTTGCTTCTGGATGAGGCGACATCATCAGTTGACGGGCTCACGGAGTCTACTATGCGGGGCATCATTAAAGAGGTTTTCACAGATAATGGGCATACCGTGATTGAGATTACTCATCGGTTGTCCGGTTTCGAGGATATAGCTAGAACGATAGGGGATAGTCTACAGGTGAAAGTAGTTCTTCTTTCGCAGGGGGAGATTCAGAGCCAGGGAAGAATCGAGGATATGCTGGGTTTTGTGAATAGACCTTAAGCAAGAGACACATACAGGAATGGAACATTCGATCTTATTGAGTGAATTAACCCTTTCCGCCTTGCGAGTCGACAAGCTGAGTTCTGCCACGGCCTTCAATAAGGACCGCCTGTTAGATTTACTCATTTACGACGATGGCCATGAGGAAATACGAAAGCCGGTACGCAACAGGATCTGAAATATGTCGAATGGTGAGACGTAGGTCCCAGGGTAACAGTAACATCAAAAGATCTTAAGACCTATTCAGGTTGAAGTCTACTGTTCCAATATGATGACCGTCGTCTCCAAAAAGTTGCCCGTTTTATACAGGGTAACACTCAGTGTCATATGCATTCCAAAAAGGAAACAAAAGTGTCCAAGAATGTCGCGATACCACTTGCGGTACTGATTGTCGTAGGTACCGTAGGGTCTAGAACCAGCAGCATCATGGTACATTATCGTGGGCTCGACCATCCTATTCCAGCATAGCTCGATCGTATGTTGCCCAGCCGGGAACCAACGCCTTCTGGCTTCCCGTTTCATGATTGGCTGACGCCGTATCTGCATGTCTTGACGCTGCGGCCGTCGGCAAAGCTTATCTTCAAGCGTTTAGCTAGTGTCGGCTAACCCCGCATCAACCAGTAACTGGTCGAGATACGAGAGTCTGGCTTGGATATTTAACATGCCACCATGTCCCGTTAGCCTTGGCGATTCAGAGACACACACTGACTTCTCATAATGTCAACTGAAGATCGCATTTTGACAATTGACGTTCTGCCTCCGGGCACGCAACGCATCAATGACTTGCAAGCCACTCATATCGTCCTGGCTCCGCGGCCAACTTCAGATCAGAATCAGCCCTTAGTACGAAAATTCTATCCTGCAATTACCATACACTAACATCGTCAGAACTGGAGTCCAATGCGCAAAACGCTCCATATGGTTCTTCTCTCCCTTTACTCAATGATGATGTTCTGCATGTATGTCTTCAGCCTCGCCCTATTTTCACCATACTGATCGACTTCATTCAAGTCCCTGCATGAGCGTCCCATTCTGGCAGAACTTCAACGAAGAGCTCGGCATGAGCTACGATACACTGAATAATGGATACGCAGCAAACATGGCAGGCCTTGCTACCGGCTGTATCATCTTCATCCCTATCGCACTGCGCATCGGCCGGCGACCAGTTTATCTCTTTACATCGTTGATCATGTTTGCTGCTGGGGCTTGGCAAGCTGAGACGTATACTGTTGGGGATATGATTGGTATGAATGCTATCGCAGGAATCGCTGGAGCTGTCAATGAGGCCTTATTCCAGGTTACAGTAAGTTTTTATCCAGTGGGATGAACGAGATAGCTCATGCTTATTGATATGACAGGTAACGGAGCTCTTTTTCGTCCATCAACGTGGTACCATGAATGGTATATACTTTATGATGGTCCTAGTAGGGGTAAGCAGTCACAGATTTCTTACCTTCAGCCATTTGCTAACAAAGGCAGAATTACCTTGGACCAGTCTACGGTGGCCAAGTCGCCGTGACAATGGGTTGGCGATGGGCATGCTGGTCTTGCACTGTATTCACAGGCATCGTCACTGTCCTCATGTTCTTTTTCCTGGAAGAAACCAAGTACATCCCTGCACCACTCAATGGCCATAACCCTCGAGCCACCGCATCTTCACCTACCGATGACAAGCTTTTTAAGATCAACAGCACCGCAAAGACACCTTTGCCAAACAATTCACCAGACAGCGCCGAGCCTACGGAGCAGGAGAGCGATACCGTTGAGATAGATCACAGCATTCCCATGAACTCCTACTGGAAGCGCCATGCACTCTGGACATTGGATAAGCACGAGTCCACTCAGAAGCGCACTTTTTGGAGAGACATATACGAACCGTTCCAGCTTCTCGCCACATTTCCAGCCGTCATGTTTGCTGCCTTACAATATGGTTGGAGTATTGCCATGCTCGCCATTTTGGCAGTAACACAGAGTTCACTGTACTCCATTCCTCCCTATAACTTTACCACCGCAGGCGTCGGAAATATGAACATCCCTCCATTCATCGGTGCCATTCTGGGAGCTCTCTTTGGAGGACCGCTTGTAGACTGGTCCATCGTGCAGATTGCGAAGCGCCGTGGAGGTATTTATGAACCTGAGACGAGATTGTGGCTGTTCATGGTTCCGGGGTTGTGTATGACCATTGGATGTCTTATGTATGGGCTCACTATTGCCAAGGTGAGTACTATCTCTTACTCAGCAGCTTGAGACTAACAGTCTTTAGGGAATGCCTTGGATCATTAATGCTATAGGCTCAGGCTTTATTGGTTTTGCCATTGGAGGTGGCGGAGACATGTCCCTCACATATCTTCAAGATTCCTACGAACATGTAAGCTATTCAAAACCCTACCGCACTATAGTCTACTAAACTTCTGGCAAAGGTTGTAGGTCCTGCCTTGACAGGCGTCGTTTTTGTTCGCAACGTCATTGCCACCGCTCTTGTGTTTGCCGTCACACCATGGATGGCTGGCATGGGAGTTTACAACATGTATGTGGTCTTGGGCTGCATTTCTACCGCTGTTGCTTTGACCTGCGTACCGATGGTAGTCTGGGGTCGGACATTCCGGGCTCGGTTGGCGGGCAAGTATGAGCACTTCACCAATAAGCAGTATTAAGTTGAAGCATTTAAATCATCATATAGAAATTCTACCGTCTTTTAACGCACATGTTAAGTATCTCCATGACCTGACTAGCCTCCGTGATAGGGAACGCATTTGTTTGAATCCAAATATCGTCCAGGCTATTCTGGGCAAGGACTGCAAGTTTATCCTCCCCTATTCCCACTTCTTCCAGTGACCGTGGCATACCCAGGGCAGAGATAAACACCTCCAAAATATCGGCCAAGCTCACTTCAGTATCCTCAAGGCCTTTCGTTTGTAGCAGTTGTTGAACTTCCTCCTGTTCCAATAACAAGTCCCGGACTACGTCCTGCCTCTCCACGTTCGCCTTCTTGTTGTAGTTAAATCTGCATACAGCAGGTAGGAGGATACAGCTCGTTTCACCGTGGCCAACTCCAAGTGGTCCAAGCTGATGTCCGATGGCATGACTCGCGCCAAGTGGAACACCACTTGACACGGCACACATAGAGGAGACAACGCCTTGATGGCACAAGTGCCGAGCTTTCAAAGAAGTTGCATCAGCCTTACTTGCCAAAAGACCACTGACAAGCTTGACGAGTCCCTTTTTCGACCATTCATCGGCCTTCTCATTAGACAGAAGTGAGCAGAGCGTCTCGACACAATGGTCAACGGCCCGGATGCCCGTACTAAGCCAAACCCACTCAGGGGTAGTAAGGCACAGCTCTGGATCTTGGATGACGAGCTCTGGGTCGACGCCCTCGCAGTGAAACGTTCTTTTGGCGTGGCCACGAGACTCCGTTCCTCCAGCGATGGCTTGAAACTCGCCGCCTGAAAGTGAAGTCGGAATGTGGATAAGAGGAATGGTTGGCTTCGATATCATGTTTCGCAACGCAGGGTTACTCTTTGGTGTTCCCCACAGGGTATTCATTTCTTCCTCAGTTGTAATCGAGTTGGCCAAAGCGAGCCGCACTAACTTGGCAGCATCAGTCAGACTGCCTGCACCCAGCGTCACCAGGCAGTCGATATTGAGGTTTGAAGCATCATTAACGACTTCAAGAACTTGAGCAATCGGTGTATGTGGATTGATGCCGTTTCTAACTCCGATGATCCTACTACCGAGGGCCGAGCGAAGTTGTTCAAGTGCATCTGTAGACTCTGCCAGAGACTTGGAACAAATCACATATACCCTGAATGTGGTGAAGGTATCGCGACAGTGACGTAAGCAGGCCTCTGGGAATCTAAGGCCATAGGAGACTCTGGGCGTCTCTCGGCCTTCGTAGGCTGGGTAGCAAACTTCTTTCCCGAATGTGAAAGCCATGATTGTTTCAAGAATGGTATCTACCATGGTAGAAGCTGGTCTGTCTACAGCAACTGATTCAAGGACAACAATACAGGGTAGGATAGAGGACAACTGCACGTGGCACTTCGCACCGAAGCGAGCTAGCGCGTGGCATACGCGTTCCACTTCCCCCACATGGAACTCTTCTCCACATAAGACAGGGGATGGGATGTGCGGAATTACGGATGTAGACTCGACCTGACATTATGTGGGACACTTGGAGTCTTGGACAGGGATAGTGACCCAGCCAGACATGACCAAGCTAGCCAAGGCCATGAATCAGAGTATTGCCAGCAGACACCTTGTTGCAGTAGAAGATACACACGGAAAGAAGAGAAGAAATGGCAACTCTCACAAGGCGATTGAAAGCATTGACGACTAAGTCACCAAATGATGTAGTGATTTTATCAGCTGTTCGCAGTCCTATTACACGAGCTTTCAAAGGAGGTTTCAAGGATGCGTGGCCAGAGGATATTCTTGCGCCAGTAAGACTAATCCTTTTGATTGACCCTAGGATTTACAGCTGATATGCCTTATAGGTTATGGCCGAATCAGTACGAAGAGCCAAAATCCAACCCGGAGACGTCCAAGATGTCCTCATAGGGAATGTCCTTGCAGAGCTTGGCTTCGCAAAAACCGGTAGAATGGCGCTACTACACGCTGGATTTCCAACATCAACGACATTTCACACCGTAAATCGTCAGTGCTCGAGTAGTCTGCAGGCTTTAACTCATATGGCACATGCTATACAGGCAGGCCAGTTTGATGTTGCTCTTGCTGGAGGCGTCGAGAGCATGTCGAAGAACTATCAATCCAGAGGAATACCCCAAGACGTGGGGCCGAATTTGCGCAACACCAAGATCAAAGAAGCTGCGGACTGTCTTATGCCTATGGGCATTACATCGGAGAATGTTGCTAGGAGATATGGAGTCGACCGTAAGATGCAGGATGAATATGCGCTGTTGAGTCATACTCGTGCGAACGAGGCTCTTGCTGCTGGTAGATTTGAATCGGAGATCGTGCCGATTGAGTATACAGCGTATGACAACGAAACTGGGGAAACTTTGCAGGTTCGAGTGGCTGCAGATGATACCATCCGACCAAACGTGACTTTGGAGAAGTTGAACAGGCTCAAACCTGCATTTTTAGAGGACGGGGGCAGCACTGCTGGAAACTCGTAAGTATTGTGAATTTTACAAATTCTAACTCTGTATACTGATCACCACATGCAGGTCTCAAATATCCGACGGTGCTTCGGCAACAATCCTAGCCCGCCGCTCATGGGCCACTGAGCGTGGTCTAAAACCAGTAGCACGATTCCTCGGAACCCAAGTCGCTGGCTGCGAGCCTGATGAAATGGGGATGGGGCCAGTCTATGCCATTCCGCGACTGTATAAAAATGTCGGTATAGAGCAGAAAGATGTTGGCATTATCGAATTGAACGAGGCGTTTGCAAGCCAGACCCTGGCGTGTATTGATAAGCTTGGCTTGGACGTTGATGAGGTTAATCCGAATGGTGGTGCTATTGCTATCGGACATCCGACTGGAGCAACGGGGACAAGACAGCTTGCGACGCTGATTGCTGAGCTTGGAAGGAGTAGCAAGGAGATCGGCGTTATTAGCATGTGTGCTAGGTAAGACGAGCCATATTTCTTCCATTTAGATGATACTAACAGGTCTCTTAGTACTGGGATAGGTGTTGCATCCGCCATTATCATGGAATAGTTGAGCCAGAAAATCATTTTCGCATAGAATTGTTCTGTTCGCAACTTGTAGCGACCAGTGTTCATGTAGATTGATTGCAAGTATGACAGGCAGATTGTTAAGTAGAAATAATAATAAATATGACTATATCAGTATGCACAAGCTCTAACTATCCACCGACAGCCTTATTCTTTCTTAACCTCTTAATCTCGGTTGAATCTAGCCCCAGCACATCTCTCAGTACTTCATCGGTGTGCTCTCCCAGTAGCGGAGGCGGTGTCCGAATCGACGGCTGGGTCCTGGAGTACTTGACAGGGCTGTTAAGAACTTTCAATTGCCCACACGCGGGATGTTGGATCTCTTTTATCATATCCCTCGCCACAACTGAATCGCCATCGTTAGCATATTATCGCTACTGGTGAGTATCTCTTACCATGTGAGTGTTCCAGCGTGTCCTTGATATCGTTGATCTTGGCATACGCGAGACCGGTGCCCTCAAAGATATCGAGCCAATCTTTCGATATCTTGGAACTTGTAATGTCTTCGATCATCCTTTCGAGTACATCTCGATTCGCCACTCGTGCTGAGTTCGTTGAGAAGCGCTCATCACTCGCCCAATCTTCTTTGCCGAGACACTTGCACAAGACACCGAAGAGTCGGTCGTTGGCACCGCCGATCAAGATGTCGCCGTCTCTGGTGCGGAATGCACGATATGGTACGACGGATGCTGTGAGAAACTGTCAGCTCATGACTCACTGACATGGGATAGAGTGACTCACGATGTGATGTTCCATATCGCCCTCCGTCTCTCTTTCCCGTCACCAACACCGATTGCGCCATGTTCGCCAAAGTAGCTACTTGGCAATCACTCAAGCACACATCCAAAGCCTGTCCCTGACCAGAATGGCTCCTTTCAATCACCGCAGCTAAGATACTATTGACCGCGTATAGCCCAGTTGTCAGGTCCGTCACCGCAACGCCTACTTTGACTGGTGGTCCATCTCGAGGACCTGTGATGTGCATCAGACCCATCTCAGCTTCGACCATGACATCGAATCCTGCGCGACTACTGTATGGGCCTGTTTGACCGTATCCAGTTATGCTTGCGTAGATCAGCCGGGAGTTGGTTTTGGCAAGGGTATTGTAGTCGAGCCCGTATTTCTTCAGGGTGCCGGGAAGATAATTTTCGACGATTATATCGGCCTTGGCGGCAAGAGTTTGGATCAATTTTGCCCCTTCCTTTTCCTTGAACGAGACGGCCACAGATCTCTTGTTTCGGTTCACCTTTAAGTCCTTTGGTCAGTGCCTACTCCTCGTCGAAATTTTATCAGTAAGGGACTCACAGATAAATAATAAGCACTCTCGCCCTCACCGCCTCGTCCATCATTGTAAGGAGCAAAGGGGGGCCCCCAAGCTCTTGTATCATCTCCTCGTGTCGGGTGCTCGATTTTAATGACTTCCGCTCTGTTGGCAAGTCAGGAATTGATTTTGTACTGCTGGTGGCGTTTCCCTTACCCGAGATCGCCGAGAATCTGCGCGCAATATGGCTTTTCTGACCTCAGTACAACTTCATGGCTTGCAAAATAGGTAGGTACATACGCCAGCCAGAACTCGAGATATGTCCAGCACTCTGATTCCCGTTAGAGGTAGTCTTGGTGTAGTCGCTGTCGCAATGCCTCTTCTGCTCAATGCCGAACGCCAAAGCGGAGTGACAATTTTCCTTCGCATAGGTAGCATCATGAAAGCATAATATTGCTGTAAAACCTTTTGCAAGCCGTCAAATCGGGAAAGGTTATCGACATGAATAGATGTATAACTGTTGATCAAGACGAGACCATTTCGGCTTGTTCCTGCTGCAGTCCCACATAACAATAAACATTACCCATGTGGGGTTGACGCAGCGATGCCACCTTACCCTTGCTCATGATCAAAATAACCTGCCAAGAACGAGATGATTGACCAAAGAGCTCGAACTTGGCTGCCAAAGTTTGTAGTTGGGTTCATTTCGCTGCAAGATCAATCCCGCAGCCCACATCCTCTACAAGACATCGCGATACGCTTCATACTGCTCGTGGGTTTTGTCTGATTCTAGAACCATGATGACCCCAATTCTACGCGCACGGGCTCCCAGACGCCTACGAGTTTTGACGCAGCGCAGCTTCTCAAGCTCCACGGTGTTACGAAGGATCAACAAAATCTGTGCCTCAGAAACCGATGCCATACAAAAAGTGAAGAGCGGCTCGACTGTCTTGGTCGGAGGCTTTGGCTTCTCTGGCGTTCCAGAGTCACTCATTGAAGCTGTTGCCGCCCGCAAGGATCTCAAAGATCTCACGGTTGTGTCAAATAATGCTGGAATGCCGGGTGTTGGACTCGGTACGTACACCAACCATGCTGCTGCAAGCAGACCAGGACGTTAACATCGGCAGGCCAACTGTTGGAAACCCGACAGATCAGCAAAATGATAGCCTCCTATATCGGAGAGAACAAAGTCTTTGAGAAGATGTATCTGAGTGGACATCTTAGTCTCGAGTTGATACCGCAGGGAACCATGGCAGAGAGGTGCGCTTCTGGAGCAGCTGGTATACCGGCATTCTATACTCCAGCTGCCTATGGTACCGTTGGTAAGTCTATCAAATACCACTGAGCGACAAGAGGCTCACATAGTTGTCTGTCTAGTGCAGACAGGTGAATTACCCGTCCGTTATAACAGAGACGGCTCAGTAGCGCTCATGTCGCGACCACGAGAAACGCGCGAGTTTCACGGCAAGAAATACATCCTCGAAGAAGCCATATTCGCCGATGTCGCTTTAGTCAAAGTCCACAAAGCTGATAGACTTGGCAACTGTACATTTCGGAAAGCTCAGAACAACTTCAACGAGGCCATGGCGAAGAACGCAAAGTTGACTGTCGTTGAGGCTGACGAGATTGTTGAAGTTGGAAAATTGGACCCTGAGAGTGTTCATATTCAGGGGATCTATGTCGATGTTATTATTCAGAGTACGAGGCCGAAGAAGATTGAGAAATTGACGTTTGCCCAAGATAGTCAGGCTGGAGGCAAAGGCAAGTGAAAGCCGACCTATTATCTGACTCAATCTACTTACTGACTATTTTAGTTACAGATGCCAACCAAAGACGAGAGCGCATCATCAAGCGAGCCTCCAAAGAGTTGAAAGACGGCATGTACGTCAACCTCGGAATCGGTATGCCACTCGCAACACCAGGCATGCTTCCAGAAGACCTAGAAGTTATTCTGCAATCTGAAAATGGCATACTGGGTATGGGCCGCTATCCAAACCCTGGGGAAGAAGATCCAGATCTCATCAATCCCGGCAAAGAAACCGTGACGCTGAATCCCGGGGCCTCGACGTTCGGGAGTCATGAGAGCTTCGGTATGATTAGGGCTGGAAAGATTGACTTGACTATGCTTGGTGCGCTGCAAGTCAGTCAATATGGAGGTAAGCCCTCAGATCCTATGCTGTGTTTTAATTGGTACTGAAATGTGAAGACTTGGCCAATTTTATGCTGCCTGGAAAGGTGAAAGGAATCGGAGGCGCTATGGACCTTGTTGCGAGCCCAGAGAAGACCAAGGTCATAATCACCATGGTGCGTAATGCCTTGCATTTACAAAGATACTAAATCACTGACCGAGATTTCTAGGAACATGTTGATCGCAATGGAAACCCCAAGATCTTGGAAGGTAAGTCGGTTACTTCACCCCCATTCATGGAATGAACATCGAGCCAGAGTTGCTGATGCTCACTAATAGAATGCACATTCCCGCTCACCGGTCCTCGATGTGTATCTAAAATTATCACTGACTTGGCGGTATTCGACTGTACACCTCAAGGTCTGGTGCTCAGGGAGCTAGCTGATGAGGTTGAGATGGACGAGCTGAAGAACAAGACTGGTGCGGCGTTCAGCATCGCTGATGACTTGATACCTTACCAGACTTAGCTATTGAAAAAATAATTAGCCTATCATTCTTGAATATATCATAACTTCACTGATTGCGCGTCTTGTAGGTGAGCTTTATGATATACATGTTGGAAGTTTATTGAGATATATCTGCTGGCCCGTTATGACGCATTGTCAGCCAACGTATCGTCTACCATCCTTTGAGCCGAGCCCAAATAGTTGATAGGATCACAAAGCCTCTCCAGATCACTCAAAGGTAGAAACTTCGTCACTCTCTGATCCTTCTTCAACGTATCAAGCAATGTACTGCCATCCTTACTCTCAATCGTCTCCTTACAAGCCTCATACACAACATCATGTGCATCCTGTCTTCCAACATGCTTAGCCAAAGCCATCATCAACGCCTCCCCAACAATCAATCCCCTCGTAGAAGCAAGATTTGCTGCCATGCGCTCTTTGTCAACGACTAGACCAGAAAGCGCAAACTCGGCTTGGTGAAGGGCTCCAACTGCTATGACGAAGCTTTCGGGTATGGCTACCCACTCCAAGTGCCAAGGTCCTGATGCTCGTTCAAAGTCGGATACCATGGCGTCAAAAATGAGGCTAGCGTTGGAGCGGAGGATTTTTGATGCAGCGAGGATGACTTCGCTAGAGATTGGGTTGCGTTTTTGGGGCATTGTGGACGAAGCGCCGCGGTGAGGAACGAAAGGTTCGGCGACTTCTCCTAGTTCATTGGAGGACATGATGATGAGATCCAGGGCGATTTTGCCGAGTGAACCACCGATGAGAGCCAAGAAATTGGCCACTTCTGCGATGCCGTCGCGAGCAACATGCCAGGTAATCGATGGGTTCTCCAAGCCGAGCTCACTGGCGAGTTGCTTCCTCACATCAACACCTTCAGGCCCGTCACCAAGCGAAGCCAGGGTTCCGGCTGCACCTCCATACTGAACGACAAGAGCTCGGCTCTTCAGCTGCTGCAACCGTTCCCGATGACGGTAGAGGCTCGAGAGCCAGACGGCGCATTTGTAGCCAAAGGTAACAGGCAGTGCATGTTGGAGATGTGTCCTCCCAGCCATGGGCGTATCACGATACGTTACTGCCAAATCTTGAAGGGCATTTATCACGCCAGTCAACTTGGTCTCAACAATATCAAGACCTGACTTGATCTGGAGTACGCTAGCTGTGTCCATGATATCTTGTGTAGTAGCACCCCAGTGTAGGTATTTTCCAGCAGATCCGCACATGTCGTTTAGCTGACGAACAAGCGGAAGAATTGGGTATCCAACGACATCAGTCTCATTACGGAGACGGTCCATATCAAGACTCGCGGCATTGGCTTTGGAGGCGATGTCGGTGGCAGCATCGGCGGGAATGACATTGCATTGGGCTTGGGCTCGGGCGAGAGCAGTCTCCACGTCTACGCATCTGTTGATGTACGCTTGGTCGCTAAAGACCTGCCAAGTCAGTTAGTCAATTGCTGATAAATGAGAAGGTTACCATGCAGCTTGATTGACTTACATTACGAATCTCATCAGTTCCGAACAAGTTCCGAAATATTACAGAGTCAATTGCGCTGACTGATCCAATAGCACGGCGCTGGACAGTGGTGGACGACCGTATACAGACATTCCAGCAGTGTGGATGAGCTTGAGAGGTGAATTGGGTGAGTACCCTGCACGATTGGCGTGTGCGCAGCATGATTGGCAACAGAAAAGAACCCCAATGACCAGACTCTAGGAACAGTAATTAGGCAACTACCGTAGTTTGATATCAATGAGCAGTCCCACACGTTGTAAATTAATTAATGGTACGAGGAATTCCTCGGAGGTTGAGGGGTAAGAATGATACCGCGCGCGTAAACAAACGTCTCATTATGTGGGAGCTACATATCCCCACATGCGACGTCACATCTCCCACTTACTGGCCCATTCACGCATCTGCCGTTCGGTAATAAACATAGGACTAACAGAACGTGAAGGTTAGTATGTCCGGAGAATAAAAGGAAAATAAACCATTAGATCAGATCTAACACTTCTTCGACTTGAATAATTTCACCTCATACTATATCTACACTATCAAGATACTTGAACAACACTCATACCTCATTATCGTCAACATGGTGGCTGCTATAAAACGACGTGAACCTGCCAAAGATCCACAGAGAGTCTTCCACTACACAGACCTCCAGAGAACCAAACCAACCCGCGAGAATGACCCCTACGAGTATCAAGCAGGCTGGGGTAACCGCCATCAATCAGAAGTCATTCCCGGTACCCTCCCGGCCGGTCAAAACAATCCCCAAGACAGAGGCTTTGGTTTATACACTGAAGGCATCACCTACTCTGCATTCGCAGCTCCTCGTGGTCTCAACATGAGCACTTACATGTACCGTGCTCGACCATCAGCTGCTCATCAAGGCTACTCAAGCATTGATACAAAGTCCCATATTGAGAACTGCTTTTTATCACTGAACCCCAAGGTTGAGCCTTTGTATCAACAGGCTGAGTGGTCGCCGTTTCCACTGCCGAAGGATGATGAGACGATTGACTTTACCGATGGCTTGCATACCCTCGCTGGAAGTGGTGATCCCAATCTTCGTCAGGGGATCGCTGTGTATGTTTACATGATCAACTCGTCTATGATCAACAAGGCATACTGCAACACAGACGGCGATTTTCTCATCACTCCTCAACTTGGCATCATAGACATCCAAACTGAGATGGGTCGTCTCTTTGTCCAGCCTGGAGAAATATGCGTCATTCAGCGCGGTGTCCGGTTCCGCATTAATCTCGCTGAAGGTGTCCCTGTTGCCCGCGGACATATTGCCGAAGTCTGGGGATCTATGTGGGAGCTTCCTGACCTGGGACCAATCGGAGGACATGGTTTGGCTAACCCAAGGGATTTCCTTTATCCCGTCGCTCATATCGATGAGGACTTACATGTGCCTTTCAAGATTGTTGTCAAGAATAACGGGAAGCATGTTGTCATCAGTCAGGATCATAGCCCTTTTGACGTTGTTGCTTGGCATGGGAACGCAGTTCCCTACAAGGTAAGCTATGGAGACGCCAATACCACCAAGACACGTACTAAAATCATCATGCACAGTACGATTTGACAAAGTTCGCGTCTCAGAACAGCACCAGCATTGATCACACTGATCCCAGTATCAACACTGTCTTGACGGCAAAGTCATTCGACCCTCATGTTCCACTCGCAGACTATCTATGGTTCGGTCCTCGCTGGGACGTAGCTAGCAATTCTTTACGTGCACCTTACTACCATAGGAACAGTGCGACTGAAATGTTGGCTTGTATCTATGGAGCTGGTCTCGGCCGCTCCGATGACTTTCTTCCTGGTGGCTGTAGTTACGAGGGTGGACATACTCCACATGGTGGTTTTGGTGAAGAGTACATCACCGAATCCGTCTTACAGCATAATGAACCGCGCAGGATCTTAGAGAGTAAGTGATGTCTCCTTTGGAGACCATGATGTCGATGCTGACTCTTTCCAATAGATCAAATGACGATCATGGTTGAATCGTCACGCACATTCCTGTTTACAGAGTATGCTCGAGAGATCTGCGGTGTTCTTCACAAACAGGCTACCGACTATCGAGTTTGGGATAACCTGCCTGATCGTTTCTCAGCACATCCTTTGACCAAACAGTTGCTTGAGCGCGTTGCGAAGGACAAGGCGAACCAGAAGAAGGCCGTTAACTACTATCACTCAGTTCAGTTGCTGGATGCAAAGGGTCAACCTACGCAGGTCTTGCCTCATGAGATCAATGGACACGCGCTCAAGACTGGTCAAGTCTGATGCTATAGTGTGGAATTAGGACATGCTGTGGATTTTACCTGGAGCGAAGAAGTATCTTGTATGTGTATTTTATAACTTTGTGCGCCCGTAGGTTCTCGCGTATGAATAGTATCTTTTCTAGCAATAATAATTATTCGTTTGAGGCCATTTATACTATACATGCGAAAACGCGTAGTGAGTCGAGTGCGAACTCGCCTACTCGCCACCCAAACGGTCGTCGACTTCGATCAAAGAGTCGCTCATTATCCTCAGAATATGGCACAGTTCCTTCGCATTCCACTTCCCAACCTCCTCTAGTAAGCTCGCAAACTCGAGCAAGATCATCTTGGCAGCGTTATATCCTGCTTCACACACTGTTCCCGAGAAGCTAATAATTCCTCCATTATGTATAAACTGACGGGCAGTATTATCTCCAACATTATCCACTATCGACATCGGGTCACATAAAGTTGTCCAGTCAATATCGTTGAGTAGCTCAAATGACTCTGTGTCAGCATTAGTATGCACATCGTTCGGTTTCATCATGAAGACATAAAGCCCTAGTACCAGCGCAGCTGTGAATAAGGACATGTCGGAGTGAAGCATGACACCATCGTTTGCACGCCTGCGACTCATTGCGACGTAGATTCCTGCTGCATGGAGACAGGCTCGCCGGGCATACTGGCTGTGACTCCAGTTGGCGATTTCTTGCAATGCAGCGTATGCGCTTTCAGCTCCATTGCGACCAGAAGCCATTTCGAATATTTCTAGGTTCGCCAGAAGGTTTAAGTTGAGGAAGTGCCATTGTGCGATACAGTTGGGGTTCCTATAGCGAAGAAACCTCGAATAGTTTGTGTAGATGTCGCCGAGCACACGCAACATGTTGCTACCCGTCTCAGTCGATGCATCAACACTCGTGGTGGTATCCTCTCCATTGCCATCGTCTGGTAGTCTCAATCCCCTCGATTGATGCTGATGTTGAAGGATGCGCGCCCAGATGACAGACAACAAGCCAGTCATTCCAATCGGCGTAGTCTCTTGGAGTGAGGTCAATGTGATAGAAGGAGCGTGCATTCGTATTATGACAGGTTCTGTTGTTGCACTGGTGCCAGCATTGCGACAGCTTCTCCATGACTTTGCTGATGAGGACCGATACAGGTCAATCGATGTTGACATCTCCAATTGCACCACGGAAGTGCAAATGAGTGGCTCTGTGCTTAGTCTGGAGGCCCACCAGGCGTCGATCATTATTAGTGTGGATATTAACCTTTGCAAAGGACAGTTATCAGCATTGGTAAGACCCAGTATGAAACGTCGCATACCTCTTGAAGCTCTCTGTTCGAGCCCATGCCTTCCATGCCCAATCATCACTCTGCGTTGGGTCTTGGCCATGTCTAGCCGAGTTCGCCTGCTTGAGAAGGTTGTCGATACTGAACGAGGAGGCTCGCGGCATTAGCAATCCTGACATTTGGACAAGCTGTGAGAGCAATTGTCGTCAGCTTTGCGAGGCATAGACAGGGTGACTTGAGAAATTACATTGATCGTCTGATGGTACAGCATTCTGGACAAGAAAGCGTCACGAGGCCCCTGAGACTGAAGTGAGCATTGAACTCCCGAGTTGTAGTGTTCCAAGATTGCATACATGTGGTGCGCTTATTGACCAAGCCATCAAAAGTAAGGCCGCCGATGCGAGACGCTCAACGAGCTGTGCTGACCCTTCTGGGCCGAATGATGGTGTCGCCAATTGAGAACAGCACTTCTCAGTAGCTGCCTGTAATTAGTTAGTCTCGTCCCTCCGACTGTCAGAGATGATAGTGACATTACTGGCAAATAGTGTTGCGTGAAAGGTTTCACGTATGACGAGTCTAGAATGACCAGCCCCAGGAGACACAAGGAGAATACCACTGAGTTGGAAGCTGACTTTGCTGAGAAGGTTGGTTGGTGTATAAAAGGTACCAGGGAATGGGGCTGTCGAAAGGCGATGGTGAGGCCAAGATTTAGTAGCCGCGCCGGTAGAAAGTCAACACTAGAGCCAGGTGAACCGAACTCGCGGATGAGGTCCTGTCGTTTCTCCTCGTCCATTCCCCATCTCGATTCATTCTCAGTGCCGATGGTAGAACTTGGCGATGATTCAGAAATGGAGATATCCGTGAAGATACCATCACCGCGATAATTTACCACGTCGGCCCAGACTTTTGAGGCAATTTGGCTGGCAGAGTGGGTTCTGTTTCTGGGCCATAGTGCTGCGACCCTTGCGAAGCGCTCGAGCGGGATACTACTAACAGGGTCGACACTATTGCTCGAAGCTTGGGAGCCACGGATGCCTGGGGAAGTTTCGCCGAGACTAAAGTCGAGAAAGTCCAAATGACTGAGGTTGGGTTGTAAGAGTTCGAGAGCCCCAGCGTAATGCAACAAATCTGTGTTACTCATCGACGTGAGGGATGCTTCAGTAGCACCCCAAGTAGCGGACGAGACAGCATTTTGAGAATGAAAGACATTTGCCCTGGTACTCAATGACACTCCAGGGCTGAGAAACTCGGCATTGGCGGTAAACAAGGTTGGGGTCGCTGTCTCCAATGTCGTCTCAACCATATGGTGCGAGAAGCTCATTGGTGATAGTTCACTCTCATGATGACCTACGGCAGGAGATTGGTTTGTGGGTGGACGATCAGTATCGAAGGAGTCTTCTAGGGCCAATTTCGCTGACTCTGTCGGTTGCTCGTGAAGAGCCTGGAGCATAGATACTGTAGCCAACGCATCGAGGTCAGACGTTGAGAACTGCGCCATCGGATTATCGACAGTGATAGAGTTATCCTCCTGTTGCTGGTGGCCATGATTTCGCCTGTGATTTTGTTCTTGCTCTTTCTGATGATCGATCTCGACTTCTGAGCCTTGTTCTGGCTCTGTTGCCGGTATTGAACACACATTTATCGAATCGGCCAGTACGCTTTGTCGACGTTGACGGCTTTTATCGTTCGCTGAGACGTCGGATCTTCGGCGCTCACTTTGTGAGGTGTCACTGTTTGGGTGGAAGTATCTGACATGGCGAAGCAGGACGTCGCTATCACAATTAATATTAGCAGTGTCAAGTGTTGATGGTGAGTTCTTACCTGCGTGCATAGCCGCGACCGCATGTGTCGCAGCGATATGGCTTCTCCCCTGTGTCTAAGCATGGGTCAACACGTCTGTATGTCTGCGTGGATGTAATGTGGGGATGCTCTTACGCGACCGCTCATGACGAAGAAGATGCTCTGTCTTGTGGAACGTTCGGTGACAGTATGAGCAGCCTTTCATGATATTAGGCTGGCGGAATAAAGCAACGCTTATAAGGCCCGAGGACTAGACAATTCCGCAAGGTATAATGAACACTCCAAACATGCAAAAGTCCATGAATAATCCTCTCAAGCTACGGCTCCTATGGTGCAGGTCGCGACGATGACGAAATCTGGGGTTGTCGCGGGGTAAGAAAACATTACTGTCTCGTGCGTTTCTGTCTCAGATGCCAGGCATCTAACTAACTGTGAAAGAGAAAGAGAAATGCGGTCTGGGCTCTGCACTCTGTCAACCGCTTCATCTGCCGAAGCAGATCGACAAGGTGAAGCGGAAGATCCGGGGTACATGGCTTACAGAGGCTCAGACTTTCCAAAGCAGCCAATCAACTTGTCTCAAGTTCAGACATGACCTTTACCCCGCAATCCTGATGATTGAGTTTAATAACAGCTCTGGTAGCTCGGTTAACGGGCGTTAGTTGAAACTCATGTTACTTACCCTATATCTATGTGGGGCTATTCATGACGGGAATCATGTGGGACGGCAGAATGCCTTGGCATACTAAACACGCTACATGCGATCAAACATGTGGGTAGTAAATAAAGCAAGCATTGTTATTTACAAGTGGCTAGAGCATCAAAACCAACTAGACCATGGCTATAGCTAGTTATATTGAGATAAAAACGCCTCCGCACTCTCAAGCTCCCTCTTGATAGCCTCCACATGCGCTGCACTTCGCGGCTTGATATTAACCTTGTATGGCAGCGGACACACCAAGTTCGCGGATGTATATGCATCTGGATCCAGGGGCTGGGCCTTTTTGGTTACAGGATCAATTGGTTCAGAGAACTCAAACGCCCACAGTAACTTGGCAGTAATTCGCCACATACTCCGCTCGGCCAAATGAATCCCAGGGCAGATACGTCGCCCAGCACCATATCCGTAGTGATGTGGAGAAATATGTTAGCTACGTGGTTTGTGTCTGAAGGGACGGACTTATCTCTTTTCTCATAATCTGGACCCACGGCGTATTCGTTTGCTAGCTTTGTATGAGACAGGTAGCGGTCAGGGTCGAAGGTATCATGACTTCCATAGTAATCCTTATCGTGATGCATGGCCCATACGCCGACGAAGATGGTGCTTCCTTTGGGAATCAACATTCCATCGTAGTAGTCATCTGTTAGAAACTATGTTACTGCGTGAACGTTTCGACTCCAGTTGTATCCAGACTTACCCTTGGTGACGGTGTGAGGCAGGCCTAGATCGGAACTATACCAATGCTCAGTCAGCGCTCTGATAATATAGATACCGACACGAAAGGAAACTCACGTTGGTCTCCATCGCAGTCCCTCCTTGACGATAGCATTGACATAAGGCATCTTCTGAAAGTCCGAGAAGACAGGCGCTCGTTCCGTACCACAAACAGCATCTATTTCCACTCTTGCCTTCTCTTGAAACTGAGGATATTTTGCCAAAGCCAGGATCAGAGTAAGAATCTGGTTTGCCGTGGTATCAGCACCCGCCTCCATCAACTCGCCGAAAAGGTTGTTGAAGGCGTGCTGCGACATGGGCCAGCCATTCTTGTCATACTCATCCAACTTCATGTCAATCATGCACTCGCGACGGTCACCTCTAGATCTTCGGTCGTCGACCATTGTTCGGGCTTGACTCCAGACTTTGTCCATGTGATCTCGCATCTTGTAGACGCGGGATTTCCATTTCCCGGGGATGTACCAGAGCCATGGGATGAGGTCGACAGGAGGTGTAGCACCGGGTTCAATTGCCTCGAGCCACTAGAAGTAGAGTTAGACTACGACGAAGAGATATAGGTAGATAGGCAGTGAAGGAAGATTCACCTTTTCAATCATGGCGGAGACATCCTTGTACCAGAATGAATCCAGAGTCGTCGCTCGGAAACCCCAGGCTAGTATAGCAGCCACAGAAGATGCGTACAGGCGTGAGTACGAGTAGAAATTGCTAGGATCATCCAAAAGACGGTTCATCAGAATAACAGCCCTATACAAGCCCCTCAGTCAGCTCTGGTCCACCCTACAAAGGTGCAAGTCTATTTACTCAGTCTCCTGAACCCTAAAGTGCTTCTCATCCAAAGACTTAGGGTTCAAGTTACGCGTCACGACAGTTCTCTTTTCTCGCCAAGAAGGACTCTGACACTCCATGGTCATATGGTCACCTCTCGTGATGAAGAGCGGGACGATGTTAGGAGGCCTATCCGAGTAGATGCTTCCTTTCTTATCAAGAAGCTCATGGACGGCTTTGCGATCGCAAATGACGATGATATTGCCCGAGCCAATCTTGAGAGAAAAGATCTTGCCGTACTGCAGAGACCATTCCATGAACCTGGCTTGTGTTAGTGACTATTTGCGCGGTGTCATCCCAGTGTTCCTACTTCTTTCCAAGGCCTGTGGTGGGAATTATGTGCATGTTGCCGAGGATCGGGACTGTAGGAGGCCCAGGAGGCATTCGAGGATCCCTTTTGCCAATTTGGAGCAGCCAATACAGTGCTAGAGCGGCTGTGGCACCTACAAGGCCGTATATAAAAGTGGAGGAGGCCATCGTGATTTCTCTGTCTTGTTGCTCGCAATCGCCCAAAATGTGTAAAATGCAACTGTTCAGGCTATAAATCAGAAATGATCATTAGATACCAGTTGATCTGGGAAGGCGAAGATTATGCAGAAAAAGAAAAGCACCCCTCATATGCTTTCCTCCTGAAGTCACAGAAGAATCGAGACCCAGGTCAGCGGATCTTAGCGTAGTAACGCACAACATTTTCTGTCCTTCTTTTGGAACCTCCGAAGTTCGTGCGAAGCTTCGGCCTGAAGCTCTGACTTCTACACTAACCAAGTCCGCAACCTAGTATTTCCCCGCAGTTCGTTGTGGAGCGGATCTGTTCTTCTAACTAGATTATGGCGACCATCATGATGTTCAGAGTAAAGAACGCAATAACTAAGGCATGGTTCTCCGACTCAGTCGATTAGAATTCACATGCTAGCTAGTTATAATTCGACATCCGAAATATCAAGACGCAGAATAGACTCACAATTTGGAATATTGCTAATCAAATTGCCTATTTCTTTTTTATCTTCATTTTAGAAGCATGTCCATGCCGAAATGGGAACGTATTATGGTTAGCTGCGTCTTTCTGAGCAGCTTAGATGCCAAATATGATGGATGTACGCAAGATCTTGGACAAATAAGAACACCGCGATTTGCTTGTTGTGCTACTTGATCTAACCTTTTATCCCCAAATGACCGTTAAAGACTCGAGACCGATGTGTTTCACTACGAGTGCAATGCGCCTTTACACTGTCAACAAGTTCTTGCATTCGACCTGATCCCTCAAACGAATTCCAGTCATCCTCCGAGGCCAGCCTGCACCAGATAACAAAGTCAGTCGGAACAACACCAAGAGCCTGCGACCGGAATTGGACTCACCTGAGCCAGATTGTTGCCATGCTCGTATCCCGACATTCCTTCAGCACCAGCGCACTCTGAATCTGAGGAGAGCCAGAAGACAATCTTTCGGCGAACTGTGCTAGTGAATTTAGCATCTCGCTTCTCACAGTCTCGCTCTTCGCCCAAAAGTGCTTCACTACCACGAAGCTTCGCACAGAATCTCTTTCGACATCATCAGGTCTTTTGAGAAAACCTCCAAACTCATCATAATGATGGAGATCGTAGTCCGGGCTGTCCAGGCCTTGGGCCGTTCGTAGAAGTCTGTCCTTGTCAACAAGTACCATCTCCTTTTTGAAAATGTCTGATGAAACATGGTCGATGAAGAATCCAATTGGATGTGTGTATCCTTCTAGACCCCAGAGCGTGTCGGGCTCACCATCGGCATCTTGACCCCAGTAGTACGAGTCGCCGTATGGTTCTGTAGCCGACACCTTGCATAATTCAACAAGCCGGTCTTTCCACTGAAGACTGTATCAGTAATGGAATTACAAAGAGAAATGTATTATGCTTACGAGATCAATAGCTCCATCTCGTCCGACAACACGAGCGATTACAAAGAACTTGGGTGTCATGGCTACTTGCTGGAAACAAGGATGCGAATTGGACTGGAAAGACGACTCATGGCTGAATTTAGATAAAAATATGGACATTGTTCTGGATGTACGTGTTGGCAGATTGGCGGCGTATTATCGGCGTACTGATCACCAAAGAGGGTATGAACACAGAGCGGAGCTATAAACGGACGCACTAATTTCGGTGAAACATCCATCTGCGTGACCTTGATCTCTCCTCTGAGAGAAAAGACTCTTGTTGAAGGGATCGCCATTTTGCTTCTCATTTCATTAATATTCTGCCGATTCTGTTTGATAGTCATTGTTGGTAGTTCTTATTACCAAGTCTAAACGTCTATACTCAACACGATGCCGACCAACCAAGCTCTCCAATTAATTGTCATCCCGCATCGTCCAGCGGCCAAAGCTGAAATTGAGCGAGATCTTGCGCCGGCTATTTCATTACTCAAAAAGCAAGACAGACACGCCTAACCATCACCTCGTCGATATGACTAACATTCATGCTTAACAGGGCGTCTGGGTTAAAGTCCTTCTGGAGCGGCAGAAAATTCGAAGATCGATATACAAGAGTATTTCTAGCTCTCTGGGACAATCTAGAGTCATCTCATTCGTTCTTTACAAGCTCTGAATATGAAAAGTTTCACAGTGCCATTCAACCAGCTCTCAATGGGCGCAAGGTCACATGGACATCGCACGCACTCATGGATCACTCATTCCTGAGTGACCATCAACATCTATCAGCCACTCTGAGATCTCCTGCTGTAGAGGTCGCGTTGACGAAAGTGGTTGAAGGTGGTGTTTCGGGTTACTATTCACAGTTCAATAAAGTGGTTACCCGCGTGCTTGACGAGGAAGATGGATGTAAGGGTTACTTTATCAGTCCTCTTGTTGAGAATCCTGAGGATCAACTACTACTGATTAACTGGGACTCTGTGGATGTGAGTAGCCAGACTTTAAACCTTTTGGTTATTGTTGTTTCGAAGAAACCTGACTGACCGAAGAATAGGCTCATCATGAAGTCTTTGAGAAAAGGCCGGGATTCAGGGAGTGCATTGATGCCCTCAAGGACTACTATAAGGAGTTTGTTGTGCCATGGCATATCGTTGATATTCAAGAAAAGGATTTGAGAGCGATAGACGGCCCCGTGTTTCTCCAGAATTAATCAAACTAACTTTCGGTATACTGTTATTTCCTCGAACAAGGTCTCTATTCCAATCACGATGTTGTATATGAACCGGAGATCTATCATATCTGAGTTCCTAAATTCTGTATCTGGAACACGCTTTTGTACCTATCCAAAACAGTGCTAAGGCATTTACAATTAGATCCCACTCACTCACTACTGCCGCTCAATATGAAAGTAACTCGTAGTATACTTTATTAACCTAGTGATATCAACTAAGGAGCATGGCATGTACGGGAATTTTTAGGCATCACCAAATAGGCATATCCATTCGTTGCTGAACGTTGCTTAACCAACTATTCCTTCTCCAATCTCTCGGTGCCCATTATTCACTCATCAGCAGGCGGCATACCCTCCATCCACGGTCCATTGCGCTAAAATGGTATCAACATTGTTGCCATCCGTATTGATAATAGAAGGACAAGACTTACCCCCAGTAACATACGACGCATCATCACTTAACAAGAAACACAGAACCTTGGCTACCTCATCAGGTTTACCCATACGACCAAGGCATGTCAACTTGCTGATCTTTTCCGAGTCAAACAAGCCCTTCGCCTCGCCTGCCTCAAACATCTCAGTTCGGATCGGTCCACTGTTTGCTATGTCAGAACGAAGCGAAAATGAATCAGGAGAGGGACCGGTACGGTAGGAGGGAGTTGATCCGAATACCGTCGGCGCCGAACTCGCCAGCCACAGATGATGTAAGACCTATGACTCCAAACTTGCTCGATGAGTAGGCTGCATTGTGAGGGAAGCCTCTGAGGCCCGAGGTGCTGGAGATGTTGACGATGGCTCCTCCTGGGCAGGGGAGATGTGGAATCTGGGCTCTCATGCACCACATGACGCCTTTGAGGTTGACATCCATCATGCGATCCCAGTCAGACTCTTCCTGGTACGACATTGATCAGTATTAGCTCTGGACTGGTGGATGGTTGTGATGTAACGTACAATGGTTGCGCAAGTTGTATCACCTGCTCCTCCTGCAATTCCAGCAATGTTTGCAGCTCCATCTAGACGTCCAAACTCAGCGACGGTGCTGTCAATCCAATTCTGGACCTGTTGCTGGCTGCGGACGTCAACTACAGACGTAACTACTCTAGTACCTGGCAGCGAACCTAGAGTACGCATCAGAGATGAAAACAAAGTAGAAGGTAGGGGAGATAAAAAGTCAAGACTGACATAATTCCTCAGTTTTGTCGAGACCTGCCGCATTGACATCGCAAATTGCCAGACCTCCGGCTCCGAGCTCCGCTAGGCGGATTGCAGAGGCACGCCCGATGCCCGACGCAGCGCCAGTGACGACATATACTCTCCCTTTGATACCAGACATTTCAGTGCCGTGGACAAGAAGCGAACGCGGGTAGCTACTACTAATCGTGAGAATGAAAATGCCGAGTACATGCCTTATAGTTCCATCTCGTCTTGATGAGCTCTGACACCGCCGGAGCCAGCTGTAGGTCATCCGGCGCCGCTAGCGTGCTCGGTCACAGTGGCCACCTTGGAAGCGAAGCGCTTGGAGCAGATTTGAATTCGGGCTAGGTTCGGCCTGACTCGACCTGCCGTTATAGAGGTAAGGACGCGGCGGACAATTACGCTTTAGCTAGGATTATTCTCTGAGATGAACAAACAGGAAAAGGCTGGGAAATTTACGCCCAGCGTTCACTGATGTTCGGCGCTGATCGCCTACTTTGTCATATAAAACCATACCCTCAAGATCATACTGAAACTGTCACTTTGTTGTCTCCAGCTTTTTGAAATAGCCTATCCACTTAATTGCAAAGACTGGACCCCACTTAATCCTCATTTCCCCAATCACTCCATCATAATGTCCGTCAAGGGCCGCATTGCCATCGTTACTGGAGCAGGAGGAGGTCTCGGGCGTGAATATGCCCTCTTGCTCGGAAAGCTTGGAGCCAAAGTCGTAGTGAACGACTACGGCGGTTCACTCGAAGGACAAGCTGGAACCATTTCAAGAGCCCAATCAGTGGCAGATGAGATCAGAGCGGCCGGCGGCAGTGCTATTGCCGACGGGCACGACGTCTCTATCCAGACCCAGGCTCAAGCAATCGTCGCCGATTGCCTTGCTGAGTACGGCCGTGTTGATATCCTCGTCAACAATGCCGGTATCTCGGGAAAGCCAAGCTCTCACGCAGCACTAGATGCACCGGCTTTCATGAGGGTTATTGAGATTGGGGTCCTAGGAACGCAGCTCATGACAAGTGCTGTTTGGTCTGTGATGGAGAAGCAACGACACGGTCGAATCGTCAACGTATCTTCAGATGCCATCATTGGATTCGGCGCTGGCGGCGACTGCGCCTACTCAGCTTCCAAAGGCGCAGTATTTGCGATAACACAAGATCTTGGACGGTTCTCGCCGTCCTGCGGAATCAAGCTCAACGCCATCTTGCCTTCGGGCGCATCACGAATGGGAGATCTCTCCGAGGCCTCAAAGATGATCACACAGACGTACTTCGAAACCAGCAAATGCGCACCTTTGCTTGTTGCCTTGTGTGCTGACGAGTGCCCTGTTTCCGGGGCTTGTATCGCTACGGGAGCTGGAAGGGCTGCTCGTGTTGCACTGGCGACGTTTCCTGGACATACAAATGAATCGACAGCCGAGGGGTTTCTGGAGAATTGGGATAAGGTTATGGGTGATGAGAAAGATGTTTACATTCCTAAGGATACTTTGGACCATGTACGTTATGGAGTTCGGTTGGCCTCTGGACTAGAGGTGCCTGAGTTGCCATCACTAGGAATCATACCAACCACTAGCAAACACCTATGATAGTTAATTAGACTTGAAGCATGACAATTCAATATAGCATTTGCCTATTCACTGTATTAGGGACAAAGTGAGCTTTGTATCCCCGTGCTGAACCTAAAGCCAACAAATTCCCGTCCTCACGGGAATAGCCTTGTATCATTCTAATTTTTAATGAAGCATAATTACTGAGGAGGTTCACCTTGTAATACCCGAAGCATGTCCATTGCTTGGTAATAGCATTCGACACATTCGGTAACTTCACGAGAGTATTCAAGGGTCCAAACCTCAAGCCGAAACTGGACCGTCCGAAATCCATCCGCTAACCCCTCCTTTTCTTTCTCTCATCACTCCTCAGCCACAGCGGGGCATCGGCACTCCAGGTTCCATTTATGTATTTTTATAACAATGTTATCTTATACTCCTCCTCATTTCATGGCTTTACAAACGCATACCCTACAAGTACTTTCATTCGCAATCACCATCTCATCTAACGATTAAATCATGACAACAAACGACAACACACCGAGTCTAGAAGCAATTCTCCAACGTCTTCAACTCCTCGAAGACAAAGACGCACTAGCAACACTTCTCAACCGCTACTGCAACACGGCGGACGACCACAAATGGGACGAATTCGCCGACTGTTTCGTTCCCAACGGTGTTCTCGGCTTCGAAAGCTGGGGCGATGTTGTGGGTGTTGAAAACATCGCTGCTGCTGCTCGCGGGGCAGAAGACAGGTTTCAAGGCCTGCAGCACTCAATGAGCAATCTGCAGTTCACAGTCAGTGGAGACGCGGCCGAGGGGAGATGCTATCTCTGGTTTTCTGCGACGATGGATACGAGCAAGCCTCATGAGTATCACGCCTTTGGAGGACATTATCGGTTCAAGTTTCAGCGGACGGACAAGGGATGGAAGATATCGAGGATGCAGCTCAAGAAGATTTGGGCGCAAAATGAGGATACAGAGGGAGTTTTCGGTTAATCATTTCGAGAAGAGAATTAGCTGGAAGAGCTTAGTTTAATATATGTCTGCCTCTATATCTAAGCTCTTGTGTGAATATCCATTACATCAATTACCAGCAAGACCTAGAAGCGGCCCAGACTTAGGCATGAGGTTGCTCCATCTGAACAATTTACGAAATTGTTTCAAAACTTGTCATTCTCACTCTTAACTTTGAACGCGGTGAGCTATTCAACATGTATACTCTCTGCCTGTATTTACAATTCGCATTTCTCATCCAGGCCATCACTCTCTCAGTCCATAACAATAACCGCACGGCCCTTCAGCTTACCATCACGTAACTGCTGGTAAGCTTTAGGAATCTCATCAAAGCTAAACCTATCAACCTCAATACGCAGCTTGCCCTCCTTCGCAAGCTGGCACACCTCTCTCAAGTCCTGCCGTGTACTTCCAAGGGATAGTGAAAACTTAGCACTCGTCGCGATCAAGTTCCAACCTAGGCGCACAGAACCGCCTTGCATGCCAGGAACAGAGACAAATCCCTGAGGTCGAACGACACTCGCTGCTAGCTGCAAGGTTGCGTCACTTCCAACAAAGTCAACCACACCGTCGACGCCTCGGTTAAAAGTGATGCGATCAAGTTCGGCCTTTGAGTTCACATCAGAAAGGATACTTTCGTCTGCTCCCAGAACCTTAGCGAGGGCTAGCCTCTCACTTGAGTTGTCGGCAGCAATTATGCGAACAGAGGTGAGAAGTCGGAGGAATTGAATAGCGTATGATCCGAGCCCACCAATGCCAATGACCAAGACATATTGGCCGGGGCGTGCATTTCTGATCACGTCCTTGCAGCTAGCATAGGCGGTCACACCAGCGTCGGTAAGAGGAGCGTAGAGTACTGGATCCTCGTGACCGATAGATACGATCTCAGTACGGGGTACAACAAGGTACTCAGCCAAGCCACCATCAAACCCACAGCCTCTTGTCATTCCAATAGCCCCTCGCTTAAAATATTCGCAGTGCTGCTCAACTCCCGCCTCGCAGAAATTACAAAACCCGCAGTGGCGCATATGATGCACAACGACGCTTTCTCCCTTGAACAAGTCGGTAATGGAAGACCCGAGATCCTCAACGACTCCGGATGTTTCGTGGCCTAGAATGTAGTTTGCGTCTATGGCGGAGGCATATGGATCGCTGCCGGGTTGGCTGTCCATCATGTCGAGGTCTGAGCGGCAAAGACCAACCGCTTTGACACGAATGAGAACATCTGCAGGGCCAGGAACTGGTTTTGGAGATTCGACATATTGGCCTTCCTGCCCCCAGGCAACCAGTTTGTAAGATCTCATGATATCTTGAAAGTTGAAATGCCAATGCACAGACTGTAGGGATGTCACGGTTCGACGTACTGGAGGTCGCTCGAGGGGAAATAATGAAGTGCATGGGTAACAGAAGGTCAGAACCTTGCCTACGGGTTGTTGGGGCTCTTGACTAGCGTCTTTACTTGCTGTGGCATATTTAATTCGGACGATCTACAAGTGCCCCCGTGACCACTTCGGGATAACATCTCCTCTACGGACGGACTGGGCCGGACAAACTTGCGCATGTTGGAACCGATAGTTCGGTTGTCATGTCGATCAATATAGCGTCCCGCTTGCTGTGAGATTCTCCGGGAGCTGAATGTATAGCGTTTTCTATGCCATTTGTGGAGTATAACAATGGTCCTTATAGCCTGATTATAATCTCCACCGATGCTGTTGGCTACCAATAGGTCAAGTTCTCCATTGATCTGATTTTCTTTTACCGCATCAATCTTTTCACCATGACGAAACAAGAAGCATCACAAGATGACATCACTCCAGGTCACAATGACCAGGACATTCCACACTCAAACGAGGATGAACTTCGATCCAAGATCTTGACCGCCGAACGCTCAACTCTCCCGGACGGCTACTTCCTCAGCCGCGAGTTCGTTGGGACTTTTAGCGGCATTGCGTTCAGTCTTGCAGCGACATACTTTGCCTTCCAGGCTGGTGCCGGTGCACTTATCAACATCAACCAGGACATCGGCCCCAGCCAGAACTATTATCTGTTCTCAATTGTGTGGACGGTCTCTCAGCCTATCTCCATGCTCTTGTTTGGCCGCCTCTCTGATATGTTTGGTCGCCGAAACCTTGCTCTTGGTGCCAATGTCCTCGGAATCTGTGGTGGTATTGTTGCTGCCACTTCTCAGAGCATCAACCAACTCATCGCTGCCAATGTGCTCTTGGGTCTTGCCTCGGGAATTCCGGGTTCATATCCCCTTCTGACGGGCGAGCTTATGACGAACAAGCTCAAGTTTCTTGGCACAATTGTTGTTGTAGTGCCAAACATCATCGCTACTGGCTTCGGTCCGTACCTTGGCCTTCGCCTCAGCATTCTTACTTCATGGAGATGGATCTTTTACATCTACATTATCTTAATGGGTATGTATACCAACCTGATGCAAATCAAGGAGAAGTGAAGCTATGCTGACATTACCTCACAGTAATCGGCACTACCCTGTGGTACTTCTTCTACCACCCTCCCTCTTTTGTGCAACTTCACGGAACCAGCATTAGCCGTAAAGCCGAGCTAGCAACTATTGACTGGGTTGGCATTTTCCTTCTTGTCTCGGGCCTCGTTCTTTTCCTTCTTGGAATTGCCTGGGGTGGGCAACCATACAAATGGACTTCAGGCCGAGTCCTTGGTCTTTTGATTCCTGGTGCAGTTTGCTCTATCGCATTCATCCTCTATGAGGTATATGGCAAACCTGCCAAACCCATCGTACCCATGAAATTCTTCAAAGATGTCCGAGGTTACACATGCGTCGTCATCATCTCTGCCATCACTGGCTGCCTTCAGACGGCCCTGTTCATATTGTGGCCTTCACAGGTTGCATACATCTTTGGAAGTACCACCAATGGATGGGAGGAGACCGCTTGGATGTCAAGTGTTGTTAACTTTGCAGCTTGGGCTGGTATCATCATTGTCGGGCCGCTTTTCCACGTCATCAAGCATTTGCGTCTACAGCTTGTTGTCGGGTCTGCATGGATGACAGCTTTCCTCGCCGCTATGTCTACCATCACCTACTCCAACAAGGGATCTGCTATTGCTTTTGCATTTCTCAGCACTTTTCCCATCGGGTGGGGAGAGGTCATGACGATGCTGATGGTTCAGTACATTGTCCCAGAACAAGACCTGGGGGTTGCCTTTGGTGAGTAGCCGAATCTATTTGTAACACTCCTTTTTCTGTGACTAACAATCCTGATTTCAAAAGCTGTCGTGTCGTCAGTTCGTACCATCATGGGCTCCATCTTCGCCGCTGTCTTCGTCGCCATTTACACCAACAAGCTCCCAGGCTACATGGCCAGCATTGTAGTACCAGCGCTGCAGAAAACATCCCTTTCTGCAGGCGCTATCAGTGAAGTACTGGCGACAGCACCCACTGCGAATCAGGCTGCACTCTCAGCTATCAAAGGAGTCACCCCCGAGATCTTACGTATCATCAACGCCAAGGTCGCCGATGCTTACGGCCACTCATACGCCTTTGTTTACTACACTGCTGCTGCTCTCGGGGCTGTATGCCTCTTTGCGGCAATGTGCCTGCGCGACTTTGATGTTTATCTGACTGATCACGTTGCCCGCATGGTGTATAAGAAGGAGGAGACTAAGGAGGATTCACTGGCGAAGCATATTGAGCACCGTGAGTCTGCTTGAAGCGTTTGTGTGCAACAAGTCAATGGGAACCGTTAGCAGTTTGCAAACGTCTGGAATTAATTTGGTTATTTTAGTGTCGATGCAGGAAAGGCTGATGGGTTTACTCCTTTTGAAATTTTGGTCTTGTGTGAAGAATGGCTCCAGTTCAGCATTCATGGTTGAAACAACGGAAATATAATAGTATCGGCCTATATCAATGGGGACTGTAGCTACCTACATCTTACAAGTATTACTTGACAATTACAATGTGTTGGTTGCAGTATTGTGACATGGTCTTTTCAACAACCCTAATTTATACAGTAACTTTACACGTGTCCACAGGTATTACTTCACTTACTAGGCTAGAAATTGTCTTGCTTTGTCTTAATGTGTTTTGTTTAAAGACCTAAAGAGTGCAGTCTACTTATCAGCAAATTCAGACTTTATCAAGTCTTTAGCGTTGACATAAAACATAATAACCTAGATGTCCATGTTTCAAGGCTGGCAAGGTTACCCTACAGAAGCACAGCCAAGACCCGACCGGTTGGTCTCGTTACCCTCTTTTCAAAATGCGCTAACTTACAGGGGTGTTCGGATCACAGTGGCCGAAGTTCCAGAGTGATCAGCCAGGGAACATCTTCGGGATGGATTTACAAGGGCATGTTAAAGATACTGCGATGATACTGCGTGGCGGCGCCTCAGCAATATAGACTATGTTAGGTAGTGTGGTACAAGCGCATGGTCTACAAAAGCACTATAGCATGTGCGGTGTAAATTTACTTACTGAAATACCCAGAAAAGGCAAGCCTCCGCTATATGCCATTCTACTCGTCGGAATCCAAGATGCTTAACATATCTCTCGAAGGACAAGTCGGCATCGTCACTGGTGCCGGTTCTGCTTATGGTATAGGACGATCCATGGTAATAGCTGCTGCACAGGCTGGCGCAGCTGCGGTCTACGCGTGTGATCTTAACCTCAGCTACATGGATGACCTGAAGGAGGATGTGAAAGAGATGGGCCATGGCACTATCATCGAGGGGCACTTTCTAGATGTCTCAAATGAGGAACAGACTGTGGCGCTCTTGAGAAAGGTTCTCAGAAACCATGGCCGTGTCGACTTCTTTTTCGCCAATGCTGGTTATGCCGTCTACCGGTGAGTTTCCGTTCCAAAACTGAAACCCCGAGGGCTATCTACTAACGTAAGCTATATCAACTGCTAGGCCGCTACAAGACCTAAGCGTGGACCACTTCAACCGTGCTGTAGACGTGATGCAGCGCGGCTGCTTTCTAGCTCTCAAGTACGGGTCCCAAGCCATGAGCGTAACGTCACCAGACAAGGCCGAGGCGAAGGGCAACATCATCATTACATCGTCATGCGCAGCCTTTGCAGGCGCCTACGCCGACGCAGCGTACACTGCAGTGAAAAACGCGTGCAACGGACTAGTAGAGAGCGGTTCAGTTCAGCTGGCAGCGAGCAACATTCGAGTCAACGGCATAGCACCAGGATGCACCAACTCCAGCATCTTGACAAGCTCGAAGCTTTCCGAGAAGGGCGATCAGTACACTACTTCAGCTACCAAAGAAGAAATCGCGGCTACTCATGCCAAGTTCTTTGAGCGTGGCGGATTGTATAAGCAGAAGGAGAAGTTTTACAACCGTGCCGCGGATCCATCCGAGATTGCTAACCTGGCGTGCTTCTTGGCTTCTGATCTGGCGCTGGCAATCAATGGGCAGATTATTCTTGCTGATAGTGGCAAGACTACAGCTGCGACGGGAGAGGGCTTCACAGGAGCGGTAAACCCAGTGCCAGAACTGTCCATGTCTTGAATACAAGACTGATGGACGGATAAAGTTATTATAGTCAAGATATATTTTACCTGCTCAATGCTGAACAACCGATAGCATGCTAACGTTGAACAATATGACATTGAAGCCAAGTGCTCTGTTTATTCTCTGTAACCTTCGGTATAGATTCAGCTTCCTCTTCTAAAAAACGGTGCCATGGAAGGAATAAAGCAACCCAAGTCGAGTAGTACCTCTCAGCAGCGCTTGTAGGTGAAGAATTAAGCTTTATTTATGTGAACAGAGAATCTTGAGAACTATAAACAGAGGCATAGTATTAAGTAACGCTCACAATGTTACCTCCGGGTACCTTGCATCGTGGTTATTTTGTATACTCTCGTGTCCGTCCTTTATGATTTCATGGCGGCTGATAAGCAGCATGAGAGGTTGTACGGATTTTGCTCTAATGATGAAGGCAATGAAATGTCACAACATTCATCATCCTTACCTCAGCTAACCCTTTCCCTTGACGGCAAGAAGACAAATCGGCCCATGGCTACTGCGCACGTTATTAGCCCGAGAGTCTCTTTCGTGTAATCTAAAGTGTCTTCGCTTTCATGCAAACTTGCATATGTCCGGTCCACCGAAGATGGTCCGTGTCGGTGTCACAATGCTACCCAATATATATTATATAACCTCCTCTGTGGATGGTACTCGCAAAGCTATGAGACACGACCTCAAAAACGTTTCTTCTATTTGAAGATGGCACCCAATTGGACTCACCTTGTTCGTTTCGTCGCTGAAGAGGACGGTCAAGTCCATTTAGGGCAGATTGACCATGAAGCTTGGCCTGACGTCGGCCTTTCTTTTGAGAAGGGAGAGAAGATACAGGCAAGGCTCATACAAGGATGTGTCTTCGATGGTGTTCTGACGGAAAGATTCTTTACAGTCAAGCAAGTAAGTCTGGATTGAGGGCATTAAACTGATTTGCAGGCCAAACTAATGTTTTACAGCTGCTTGCTCCATTGGCGATGGAGCAGGTCCCTATTATCCGATGCATGGGACTCAACTACCGCGATCACGCCAAAGAAGCGAACATGCCTATCCCCGATGTACCAGTGCTATTTATAAAGCCACGAACCGCACTCAATGGCCCCTACCCGGCGAAAGTCAACGTGCCCAAGATCGCACAGGATGGAACGAGCGACTACGAAGCAGAGCTGTCTATCGTCATTGCCAAGACTGGTCGTGATATCCCTCGAGAGAAAGCTCTCGACTACGTTTTAGGATACACTGCAAGTAATGACATTAGCGCTCGGGCCCAGCAGTTCAAGAACAGCCAGTGGTGCTTCTCCAAGGGCCTGGATGGTTCTTGTCCGATCGGCCCAGTCTTGGTGTCTCCCTCGGCTTTGGGTGACCCGCATAACCTTCGTATTACAGCCACGTTGAATAGCAAGACTGTGCAAGATTCCAACACTAGGTAAGTCAAGAAGAAATGTAGATATAGTTCGCATCAGCTAACCATGGCTATAGAGAGATGATCTTTGATGTTGCAAGCATTATATCCTTCCTGTCCCAGGGCACGATTTTGGAAAGAGGTACTATCATCATGACGGGTACAGGGCCTGGAATTGGTGCGATGCGGAGTCCTCCTGTGTCGCTTAAGGATGGGGATGATGTGCGGGTCTACGTAGATGGAATTGGAACGTTGATCAACAAGGTCTGGTACGAGAATTAGCGGCATTCGACAAAATTGAAGCCCCGCAACTTAGACTGCGTGCGGTTTTACCTCCGCATCCACACTGGCGAATCATGTTTCTCTGATAAATAATCTAACTGGTACTGTACATATCGTGGCTCAATGGCGGTTGTCTATGTCATAACGAGAGAGTCAGGGGAAGCTGACAGATGCACCGAAGATGGTCCGCCTGATTGCTTTAGTGTACCAGTCTAGTTCCAGACGAAAGGCGACAGGGGTATGGAGTATATTCTCCGGGCGCGGGCATTGACTTGATATTCTTATGTTGGCGTAAAGAAAAGAGACTGAGGAGGAGCCGTGAATAGACCTCACAAAAGAGTGTCGTTACGATTGCTTGCCACGATTAAAACAAACAGCGGCCTGCTGTATGTATTAAATAAATACTTGAACCAAGATTGGCCTCGGTTCCTAGCGTAGACTGGTTCTTAGTGTTGACAACCCCGCGTGATGCATCATGGCAGTGGGGTGGGGTCTGGGGTCTAAGTTAGCGTGCTAAAATCTGGGGTAAAAGGTGCCGAATATCTTGTGAAAGCGAACATCATTCTTATGTCTCGACTCTACAGGAGCCGTCGTATACACCACCTATCCAAGACTGACGTTTTAGTTATCATGTGGCAAAGCAACTCGCAGAACAAGGAGACTAAACGGACAGCTGACGTCGCCTGTCACTCATGTCGAAAGTACGTCCTCCAGTGCAAGCCAGAGAAATCAAGACTTACAATTTGACCCTTTTAAACACAGACGGAAAGTTAAATGGTTTGTGAATTGGCTTCTGTCTCGCATAATGCTCTCGCTAATGCACGTTGGCTAGCGATCGCGAGCAACCATGCTGTCAAGTTTGTATCGAAACAGGACAATATTGCGAGTATCCAGAAAGAGTACTCAAACCAGGACCAAAGATCGGTATGAATAGCCTCATGCCTTTTGAAAGTCGACAACATGTGCTCACCGCTTTAAAGGCTCACTACAGCGCCGTGGACGCAGATACAGAGATCGATGCCAATCCAAGGCCTCGGACCAACAGAACAGAAGCAACGGTTCTGCATCCCCCATAGATCAAAACGGGATGGAGAGGTCTATCGTAGTCGATGTGAGCCATTCTGAGCGTCGACAGAGCTTTGCAAGCAGTTCGTCACGTCGCAAATCAGACGCCCAAGATCAAAACGCAGGTCGCAAGGGTTCAAAGCTGAATATTCATGACCTTTCGTTCATCTTACATCCTTCTCATGAAGTCACGACGCCGGATGAAGAACCGCTGACGGCCATGTCGGCCGAGTCTGCCGATATTGATAACCAGAGATTATTCCAATCGGCGTGCCAATGTCTTGGACTATCCAAGCAGTCAGTTGAAAAGATGTATGTTACTGCTCAGTTCTCTTTCAGTCTCATACTAAACACGCTGCAATACTAGGGTGCGCATTTACTTCGACAACATGGTCGCCATTAACATTTTCCATGAACCAACCTTTATCCAGGCCTTGCATGCCATCACCTCAGAATCTCATCTGATAGCCTTGATGGCTGCTATATGCGCATACTCTGTACGCTTCATCCCATTCGAAGCCGACACGGAACTTGAACAAGAACTGTCATGGGGCCGTGCCGACCAGAAAACGCCAACTACGTTCCTCAACCTTTCATCACAGCAGATCGACAAGGCCCTGAATGAGTGTACTGACGACCCCCCGCCACTCTGCGTTCTGCAAGCCCTCATCGTTACAACTCACTGTCAGCTGACACAAGGTGTTCGAGGAAGAGCATGGCGTGCACTAGGAACATGCGTGAGGCTAGCATACGAGCTTAACCTTCATCTGCTAGACTCAAGGTACGCCGTTGAGCAATACGACCACAACACCCAGCGGTGGTGCGAAGATGAGGAGAAGCGTCGTGCGTGGTGGGCGATATGGGAGATGGATGTGTTTGCGAGCACTATTCGTCGCACACCAACTGCCATAAGCTGGTCCCAGATGGAAGTATTACTCCCTGCGCCCGATGCCAACTGGTACCAGGATACCCCTGTGGGGAGTTGCTTCCTGGAACAGGAGCCAGGCCAGCGGTGGAAAGCTCTGCAGGAGAGTGGAAATGTCTCACCAAAGGCTTGGTTCATTGTAATCAACTCTCTGATGAAGGATGCTCAAGTTATATCTTGCCCTCGAGGTGTGCCCTCGGTTACACGACCGGGCCAGAGCTGGCAGCAGACTGCAAAGGGTGAGGGGAGGCGAAGCATCTCTTACCAAGCTGAGAGCAGCGAGGAGTCTCGGCAGAAGCTGGAGACCTTGGCCAACTCGGTATACTGTCTTGTTCGGGTGCTGCCTGAGAATCTTCGCTACCGCCAACAACATCTGTCGTTCAGCCCACGCCTACCAGGCCAGGTTGAGTCATCCCGACAGTTGCACTGCTCTATCTACAACATCTACGTCATGACGCAGTTGGCGCGACTCATGATCCATCGATATGATGTCTTCGGTAGCCAAGCTAAGCCCGCACAACCTCCAGCCATGAGCGCCCCGTGCAAACTAGGGTTCGCCTCTTTCCAGGACCAGGAAAGCCCTGCCCTCAGAGAGTATTTTGAATCAGCCGACAATGTCCTCTCGATAGTCAACAGGAGCTGCGAAGACCACATTCGTCATATCAACCCTTTTCTGCCCAGCACGATTTGGTTGGCGGCTGCCGTTCAAATGGTTCGGAAGCAGTTCGGAGGTCCATCGACTTACAATTCACTAATCAAGGCTCGCTTTGATGTTTTGTACCTCACGTACAAGCAATGTGTTAGCTTTTGGGGCATCCAGACTGCCATGCAGCAGAACCTTGAGACTATTGAAGCACAGCTGGAAGACTTTAACGGTAAGCCTACGAGAAGCTTCCCAGGCACGGCTACACAACCTGCATGGTCTGGTGTCAGCAATGCTGCGCAGCGATGGATATCGCCCTTGGACACATCTGATGGAAGCAAAGTAGCTTGCCGCGCCTCCAACGATCAGAATTACACCCACCAAGCACAATCAAATGGTCAGTCTACCCATTAGCGAAATCCCTTCTTTCACTATTTTGTGTTTATCCGCGGGCTCAATATCACTGACATGGCCCCTCAGAAATGCAGAAACCTCTTGGAACTGGCGACACTGAAGGGCTCGGCAACGGCAAAGGCATACAAAGCCCAGGCGCCCTACCCAAGACTCCTCCAGCAAGCGACCATGGGGAGCAGCTCACGCGCAGCATAATGCAAGGGACCACAAACATGGCTCAGTCTATGGATCAAATCGTACGAGATCCAATGAATGTTGCATTTGCCCCTGATGTTGACGATGGTATGGCAAGTATGCCAATGCTAGAGTTTATGCTCATGCCACCACAGGCAAACTCCGAGATGCATGATATGGGGGATAGTACAATGATGGATGTGTGGAAGGATATGGAGCTTCCGAGCGATATTCGTGACTTGTTATCTGGATTCTCGACTTATTGACAGCTTTTGCTATCTTCCTGTGGCTGGGCTGGTATATATATAAGTGTGTTAAATACTGACAGTCAAATGAACATCGATTCCTCTGCGTAAGGATTTGAAACATGAAACTCCCGACGCTATCGCCTTCAAGCTGAGCCAATGTTGTAGCGTCGAGACAGAAATGAAAACAAGATATTGATCGCAAGGACCACCGTCAAGCAGCACATCTAGCCCACAATATCGGTATATTGGAAATTGCTCTAGCAGTTGTTACAAAAGTTGATTGTTCATCGGTAGCCGTGTAATGATTTGGCCAGCTGTTAACACTGATGGTAGATGACGATGGATTTTGACTCAATACACGCATGATTAGTACATACAGAGATCAAAACATTCTAACTTCCATGTTCCGGAAGAACATTTACTCCTTGAAGCCAAGTACCGACTTCATCACTGTCATCAGCTTCTCCGTACAACCCTCCTTATCAGCCAGAACCCGAGGACACCTCCAGGCCACGAACCGATCTGGCCGAACAAGAACAGCTCCAGAGTCGTCAACACCGCGCACCCGCTGCCAATCGAAGTAAAAGTCCTCCCACTGCTGACGGTACCCAATAGCATGGACATCCAGAGGGACACCTAGCTTCTCACCCACGTCCTTCGCTGCTGTCTTCCAAGGCTCACCCCCAATGCCCGTAAATAGGACAAACTTACCGTGGCCTGCAAGATCAATGGTGGAGACTGGCTCCGAGGGTATGGATGTGTTCAACCAGACATGAGGTAGCCTGCATCCAGGATATGTACTGGCGTCGTAGTACAGGATAGGGTCACCAGCTGCCTTACCCGCAGGGGAGTATGGCCCAGGCTCATCGGCGTCATATATACCAGGCCCACTGTAGCGCTGTCCCATCTCGATTCCCAACCCGTGGAACTCATGTGAAGTCTTGGTGATGACATCTCGGAAACGCCTTCGACGCGCCTCGCCTTTTAATGAAGCTGATCCGAATTCGTCGACGATCTTCCTGCGATCTTCAACCTTGTCGGGCAGCGCTCCCATGGCGTCCCATACGTGGAAGTGATCGCGGAATGCATCGTTGGCCCGTGTGATTATGGACTTTCCAACGGGCTGGCGCTCGGTGTTGTATGTATTCAGAAGTGCGGGTGATGCGAGGCCTTTCTCGACATATGCGACCTTCCACGCGAGGTTGAAGGCATCCTGTATGCATGTGTTGGAGCCTAGGCCGTTCATGGGCGGATGTCTATGGACCGCGTCGCCCAGGCAGTGGCTGTAGAAGAGATGCGTTAATATTTGAGCCTGAGAAGGAGATGGATCAACTTACATATAACTACCGTCGGAGTATCGCTCTGCAACGATCTCATTGATGAACCACTTGGAGATATTGAGGATTTCAGCTTGTGTATCGTCTCCAATAAAGTCTCGTACTCTCTCTAGGTACTCCTCCTTGGACACCTGTATGTTAGGATCGCAATCTCGATTTGGAAAGAAAATAAACATCCACTCATCCCATGGCTTGACCATTCTCACAATGCCCATCCATCCAAACTCAGGATGTTCTTTATCAGGCTGCATAACCCAGTGAAGATTCCCCTCGCGATGTTTCACCAGATGAGACAGGTCTGCTTTGACAAGAACGTTGATCGCGAGGCCTTGGCCTGGCTTGCGCTCAAGAGGAAGGTCAAGCTGCTTGACTACCTGGCTCTGCGCGCCATCTGCACCGAAGAGATATTTGGTGCCAATCTTGTATTCCAGATTGGAGAACTTGTCCTTCAGGGTCGCTGTTATCCGTCCTGTCTTCTCGTCTGTCGTGAATGATGATAGAATCGTGTCGAATCTGACTTGGAAGTTGTTATGGGTGGCGTGCCGGATCAGAATTGGCTCGAGGAGGGTTTGAGGGATATCAGCTGGCTGACACGGGCTGGCCATTTCGTAGTCACCCTAAGCACTGACAATCAGTGGTAGGTTCTGGTCGCGAAATTTGAGAGCATTCTTACCTTGCGGTTAGGATCATTTCCCCACGAATAAAGACGAGCATACTCCTCCCCAGCCATACTGTGGCACCACCTAGTGTGCATCATGCAGTGACCCTTTGAAGAAACCTGCTCGACGTCGCGATCTAAGCCAATGTCCCGTAGACACTCTGGCTTCCTCAGCAAACGTTGATATGTAAGTAAGTGAGCGGGCTAGACGTACCCAAAGCTGCCATGTTGGTTATATGAGCTCGAGGCGTGTTGGCTGTACCTGGTGCTGCACCAATCATCATCCCGGAGAGCCCTGCGTTTTGTCAGAAATGCCAGAACTTATTCCTCGGAGTTCATACCGTGAGATGAGAGAAAGCAAGCGAGACTGGCCCCCGCCGGTCCGCATCCTACAATAAGATACTGGGTCTGGAAGACCCCATCGTCTGGCGTGCTGAGTGCATGGTGTTCTTGACCGTGATTGCCATTGTAGGGCGTCAAGGGCGGGCTTGAACTGGCTAGTAAACTGTGAGGTGCCATTGCAAGGCTATTGTGTATAAGTCTGGATGGATTAAGGCGAGTAAAAGCTATAAATGTGCCTGACACCGTAGATCGAAACGGCTTTCGGGTGAGTGTTGACAACATTTGTTAATCCTGGCAACGGCAGGTACTGAGATAAGAACTACAACCATCAAGCCATTTAATTTTTACCGAAAGTTTACAATATCTTAACAGGTTACATGAGACGTTTTCCAAATTTCGGCTTTGCTGTATATTCTTGGTTATCTCAGGCTTCTGTTGCCGAAGATAGTGCGAGCGCCTGGCACTGGAACACAAGTTCCGAACAGTGATGGAGATCTACTCTGCTGTCTGCGAGTCTTTAGGGCCGGGGATACAAGTGACCTTTCGGTGTAATTTCGCTTTTTATCAACCATGAGTCTTTACTTGGCAAGCTACCGTCTCCGCGCCACCCAAACGACCTGTCTAACCCGATGGCATATTATAACAAACTATCCAAACAATTGGATGAGTCTGCTGGAGCAGACCATTCTTCGCTGCTCATACCTTTTGAGTCGCTCCTATTCTTTTGTCTCTTCGAGGCTTCCCTTTCTTAAACATGACCTCATCACCGACCCGGCGCATCCGCCTTGTGCGTCTCGCCCACGTATACTACTCACATCGCGACATTGCGAAAGCTCACCAGTTTCTCAAAGACTTTGGCTTTGAGGAGACTGGCAACTTTAGCAACAAAATGTATTATCGGGGAACCGGCACTGAGCCTTTCGTCTACTGCGCTGTCGAGGGTCCTGAGGATTCTTTCGGCGGCGCGGCGTTCGTTGTCGAAAGTTTCGATGATCTGACTTATGCAGCGGATACACTGCCGGATGCTACCCCAGTCACCAAGATGCAGAACGAGCCTGGAGGTGGTTATAGGGTTACGTTCTACGACCCTGTGGACAAGTTTCCATTTCACCTTGTGTATGGGCAGAAGGAAGTAGATCCGCTTCCCAAGTCTCTACCTGAGAGGGTTATCAACTTTGTGAGTATTTCTCCCTGTGATGGTCGGGGTGGTTAGCCCGTGCTTACATCTATACGTAGCCAACAACCAAGAATCGGGCAGGCAATACGTTTCAGAGATTCGAGAAGGGCCCTGCGCCTGTCCACAAGATGGGCCACTTTGGCATGGTCGTGACCAATTTTGAAAGGGCTTTTGATTTCTATACCTCCAGGTTCAACTTCAAACCTAGCGATGTAAGCAGCCCTGAATTGACATGGCTGTTTCACTAACCAGTAGGCCAGCTTGTTTATAACGAGAGCGGTCACGATATCACAACCTTCTTGCATCTAGATCGCGGAAAAGAGCTTGTAGACCATCACTGTTTCTTCTTCTTCGAGGGGCCAAAGAGTCATGTCCATCATTCATCTTATGAGACGCATGATTTTGATACGCAGCTTCTTGGGCATCATTGGCTTCGTGAGAGGGGATATGAGAACTGTTGGGGAGTAGGGCGTCATGTTATGGGAAGCCAGATTTTTGACTATTGGTGAGTCACTTCGTGGCTTTCTCTGTTCCCCGTTTCTCTAATATGTCCAGGTTTGATACGTCGGGCTTCATCATGGAGCATTACGTTGATGGCGATCTGGTCGATGATACATATCCAACAAACCGACAGAAGGCATCGCCCGATAACCTCCATGTCTGGGGTAAGTTGATTCGTTACTTGAGAATCTTTAAACTAAGTTAATTACATCATAGGCCCTGATGTCCCGCCCACTTTCTTATCCTGACTGGGAACCCTCTGTTCCATGGGACATGCAAGAATGACCAACGAAATGAGATTGGAGGACCCGAAGTCAATCAGGAATACTTTAGTTTTAGATACTTGAAAGAATAGCAATATACCTATGCTGTTTCTATCTACAGATCATGATATATCCATGTGGCGCGTCGGATGTCCTGTCGCTTTGCTGGTGTAGCTCATACAGCCATAGCTTCAATCATATCATATCAAGCATTGTACGAAACCAATACCTATGCTCTTAATAACCTATTGTAATCTTATACTGAGTCTCTTCTCTCATAAGACATAAACCAAGGTTGATTTGCTCGGTGTTGAATATGTGGTGCAATCTGAGTGTGAGTTTTATTCTTCGCTTTGTACCATATTGTTTTAGACCGCAATCCAACCATCTCACAGCAGGAATTGCCCCAAGGACCTTTCTAGCTAAGCTAAAGAGTCTTTGCTGTAGGTTTAGCAATCTATTCTTCATTAGTGGATGCTGCATGGTTAATTTGAGTTACGGCTCGGCCAAATGACTACCTAACCCCCCCCCTTGATGGCCCCCGAAATTAGTCCGTCCACTGAGTTGGTCCGCGTATCCAAACTCAGAACGCCATGTACTGAGGAGTTCGATTGCCCCTGGCATTGAAAGTCAAATCTTATTACCTATTCATGCTCCGCCCAAGGTCTCCCTCATTCTTGCTTTCCTCTTACCACTGCGCCGTAATCATAGAGAAAGCAAACATGGAATCCAGCCTCCCAATTCCCAGCATGAACTTCCAAGACCTGACATCAGGCCTCGCCACTCAGCAAGGCCAACGGCAGCTGTTTGTGGCTCTGGCTTGGGTAACGGGCATATATGTCTTCAGCAAGCTGATGTTGATGGGTCGACGAGCCAAGAACCTTCCTCCCGGTCCATCGACTCTCCCCATCCTTGGAAACATCCACCAGATCCCCGTTACGGGACTGCATGCCAAGTACGTCACCATCAACTAGATTGAACTACAAATCGAATTGAGATTCTGATTCTGGCGAGTTAGATTCCTGCAGTGGGGCGAACAATATGGTGGCATCTTTTCTCTCAAGATAGCTTCGAGTACTATGATCGTCCTGTTTGATCGCAAAGCAGTTCATGATCTCGTCGACAAGAAAGGAGTCATTTACTCAGAGCGCCCACCGAACCACGTTGCCGACATTGTCACTCATGGCGATAGTTTCGCCTTTATGAACAACACTCCCTTGTACCGTGAGCAGAGAAAGGTCGCTTCGCATAATCTCTCGGTGAGTTTAAAAGCCTAGCAGCTACACATTGCAATAACGAACGGTTACCGACTTCTTTCAGCCTCGTATCCTGGATGAAAAGGTTGGACACATTCAAGACGCAGAGTACGTTTGTCGCGATTCTTGGCAGAATAATTGTCTAATCTCCGCAGAATCACTATTCTTCTTCGCGACCTTCTCGCCACTCCAGCGGACTTCTATCATCATATTATGCGCACTACCTGTTCGGTTGCCTGCATCATGGTCTGGGGCCAGCGAGGTGCTACTTATGACTCTTTCTTTGGTCGTGTGCGTCAGAGTTCTGTTCCATCTCCGTATAATCAATGCTAACGTTGATTAGTGTGTCTACGACGCAATGGAATCAGTACGTCTTCACACTTTCTCTCCACCAGATAGTGATACTAACTCGACTGATCTTGCAGTACAGCGAGTCTCTCGAACCCGGCGCCAACCCACCAGTCGACGACTTTCCATTCCTCAAGTATCTTCCAGACTTCATGAGCCCGTGGAGAATCCGTGCTCAGCGGTCGTATCATGCGATGGATCAGACATGGAAGAAGGCCAGAGAGTTATCTGATGCCAGAAGAGATCGAGTTGGATCTCGCAACTGCATCGCTGATAAAATGCTTGAGGACGCTAAGCTAAGCGACAAGATGTCAGACCAACAACTCAACCACTTTCTTGGGGTTTTGGTCGAGGGAGGGGCCGAGACTACATCGTCTTCTATCCTGACCATGATTCACTGCTTGTCAAGACATCCTGAGCATCAACGCCGAGCCCAGGAAGAGCTTGACGCTGTCTGTGGGACTGGCAGGTGAGTACAATTTGCCGTTAGGTAATAATGGAAGGGTGTTTTGACTGATTTGGTTGTTTAGAATGCCCGAATGGTCGGATTTCAAGGAGCTACCTTACATCAACTGCATTGTCAAGGAAGGCCTACGATGGCACCCAGTGTAAGTCTTGGAGCCGATTTTTGTGGTTCACATAGACAATTTCTTACTCGGGACATTACTGATATACACTCTTCAGACTGCCTTTGGGAGTTCCTCATCGCGTAGCCAAAGATGACTGGTACGACGGAATGCTCATCCCAAAAGACGCCACCGTTATCATTCCCTCATACGCAATCCATCGATCAGAGCAAATGAAGTACACGAACCCGGATACGTTCGACCCAAGTCGCTACGTCAACCACCCACGCCTGGCAAGTGACTATGCAGGTAGTCCCGACTTCAACAACCGAGATCACTATGGCTATGGCGCAGGCCGTCGTATCTGCCCCGGCATGCACCTCGCAGAGCGAACACAGTGGCGAGCCATTGCCAAGATTCTCTGGGCATTTGACATAGAGCTTGCTGTCGATCCAGCAACGAGACAGAAAATTGTTCCTGATCCGGAGGCTTTCAAGGAAGGAATTGCGCATGGACCTCGACCATTCAAAGTTGTGTTCAAACCTCGCAGTCAAGCACATATGGATACTATCCTCCGGGAGGCGGAGCAGAGCCTTGATGAGGTGGCCAAGTGGGATTGAACGACTGGGAAAAATCTACGTATGTCAATGATTCACCTCAGGTCTCTAAATTATGGATTAGATATTTGCGCGAGATGTTTTTGTACAAGTGTGTTATTGTAGTCTTTCTTAATGTTGTGGTTTCGACGTAAATTGTGAGCCTGATGTGGAATTTGCAGTTGAGGCCTGTGGCTGAGAGCTTGTAATCACCACACAGAACTTAGTAGGGTTGTAGAGCGCAGGAGTGCTGATTCATTACACGGAATACCATAGCAGGTGGAGGCCTCACAAAGGCCTAAACCAAGAACACAAACTTGAAGGTAAGTAGACTTCGAACAAAGTAATTACTTGTACAAAATTCAGCTTCATATGGTTCAAATAATCCGGTCTTCCCTGTCAATCCATGTTTCCTCCTGAACTCATCATGCTACAACTGAAACTGCGTATAATGTGTCTGCCCCAATCCGTTTAAACTATCTAGGGGAAAAGGCAAAAGACGGTGGCATCTTGATGTTGAGTGGTGTATTAGTTCATAGATGCTAGACTAAGCTTTGAAACACTTGCCCCACGATTCTTAAATATCCTCGGCATGTAAGCCCTTGGCAGCGAAGTTGGTCCGAAATCCATGTCGGCGAACTTTGACCGTCACAAGCTCATTCTGCGATGTATGGACCGACCAAAGCTCCCGTGGGTCTTTGGAGACTAGGCTACGATGCGTTATGTTTAATATGTGAGATGATTAAATTTAAAGTTGCGTGCGAAAGGTATTCTGCTGATCATGCCTCTTGTAGAACGAAATCATCCCATTATTGATCAAGCGTGACCCAACCCATATTCCAGAATGGAAGCAGAAACGGTTACCGTAATTATACCCAGAATTCCTCTACACGTTTTGCACATCTGACAGATTAGAACAGACTCCTAGTGATGTACCTGTCTTCGATATGATGACAACCGTGTTGACAGCGGCACTTGTCTCACTAATTGCCTATTTCGGCCATGGCCCCCTCTACGACCTCCTCTTCCAACCCTCAACAAAGACAAAGTCACTTGGGGCAGATGCAGATAATGATTCTGATGTCTCAAGCGATCTATGCATTGTCAAGAGGTTAGAAGAGGAGGAAAAGAACTGTGTGGTCCTATTTGGGTCTCAAAGTGGAAACGCACAGGAATTCGCTGAGAAGCTTGGTCGTGAAGCCCATACCCGGTTTTCCCTACGTTCGATGGTCGCCGAGATCGATGAGTATACTTACCAGAACTTACACAAGCTGCCCGAGAGCACCATCGTGTTCCTCGTTCTCGCCTCATATGGCGATGGAGAGCCAACGGATAATGCGGAACAGTTTTACAAGTTCTTGACTAATGAGGACGACGATGGACCGTTTCATCGCCTTCGAGAACACGGTCTTCAGAACATGACATACGCCGCCTTTGGATTGGGAAACAGTAGCTATGCCCACTTCAACGCTGTGATCCGCAAGGTCGATGACAGACTCCATCTCTGCGGTGCCAGACGGCTTGGCCCTCTCGGCGAAGCTGATGACGGCAAGGGAACAAACGCTGAGGATTTCATCGACTGGAAAGACAAAATGTGGCCTCAAGTCATGGAAGCTTTTGGTCTGGTCGAGCATGACGCTGGAGAGCGAGAGCCTGCTTTCGAGGTGATTGAGACGCCCAACCACCATGGCCCAATCTGCCAGGCAGATTACACAGACAGGAACCTCGCACAGCAGGCGCAAGCAGTAACAAACCACTGCTTTGCCCCTATATCGAACTCAAGGCTGCTCTCAGATGCCGGTGGCCGTTCCTACATACATGTCGAGCTGGACATCAAGAACGTCAAACTTGACATTCAGACTGGCGACCATCTCTCTGTTTCTCCTATCAATTCCGATGTCGAGGTCGAGCGTTTCTTGAGGGTGTTTGGGCTATGGGAGAAGCGACACGACACCATTCGTGTAAGGTCGCTGTCGGATGACCTGAGTCCGCCGTTCCCGTCACCGTCCAGCTACGAATCTGCAGCTCGATTTTATATCGATATCTGTGGGCCTGTCTCCCGCGAAGTCATATCCACCTTTGCGAATTTCGTTTCGGATCCTAAGCAAAAGGCCACGCTTCGTCAACTCGGCAAGGATAAAGAGAACTTCTTGGCTCTCACTCGCGGTAACTTCTACAACATCGCTTCTATGATGGAGGCCTTGTTTCCAGGGGAGACCGTCAATGTTCACTTTGCAATCATCATCGAGGCGTTGCCGAAGCTCCAGCCGAGGTACTACTCCATATCTTCTTCTTCCGCCCTTGATGCGGACAAAGTCTCCATCACGGTGGCTATCGAGTCGTTTTCAATCCACAACACAAATCGGCACTTCTCAGGCGTTGCGACGAATTTCATTTTAGACGTTGTTTCCACCCAAGATGAAGTCATTTCCAGGAGTCGAGTACAGCCGATGGCTTACACGCTGCCAACAAAACGACCTCATCCGCAGCCCTGTCTTTCAGTGTTTGTGCGGACTTCGACATTTCGATTGCCGCCTGATCCGACAGTACCTATTCTTATGGTTGGTCCTGGCACCGGTGTCGCGCCATTCCGTGGATTTGTCCGAGAAAGAGTCGCGGTGCATCGACAAGGCAAAGACTTTGCGCCCATGACGTTATTCTATGGCTGTCGCAAGAGGACTGAAGATTTCTTGTACGAGGAAGAGTGGAAGGTAGGTTCTGGTCTAGTCCAAGTTGATGGTTTGATCACTGACATGTCTATCGTCAAAGGCATATACCGCTGAGCTGGGCTCCAAGTTCAAGATGTACACAGCCTTTTCGCGAGAGCAGAAGAAGAAGGTGTATGTTCAAGATCTTATTCTTCAGCAATCCAAAGACGTAGCTTCCCTGATTCAGAACAATGGCTACGTGTATGTTTGCGGTGACGTAGGCATGGGTCGAGGAGTGACAGAGACGCTTTGCAAGGTCCTTGTTTCTGAGAACAGCGGCTCTTTTGAGGATGCAGAGCGGATATTGTCCGATATGCGGCATTCACATCGATATCAGGTTCGTGGGGCATGAAGACTTCCATCGGTGTCCACAGTTAACTAACATGGTAATAGGAAGACGTCTGGTAGCATAGCAATCATAGTTGCTGGACACTGGCGTGCTTCGTAAGGCGGTAGAGCTTGTGTAACAGAATGAGTTACGGTATTTATAAGGCTGAGAAGTTAAATAAAGTTTCAAGTATCTTAGGTGGCAGTGAGGGCACTGAAGTATAATGCCTATATGCGTTGAGATGTGTCCTTTGCCTTTGTGCATGGGCTTGCAGCTTGTTTCAACCCCTCAACCTTATACGTACTAATTTTCTAATAATAGGACAAGAAGTAACCAAAGCCGAGCTCCTTTGATATTTATGTTGCCACTGAGGCGTGCTACAAGAAATAGGAATTAAAATGTTACCTCTCATCTACCATGTCTGAGACTTTTGATCCTATGCTTAAGTCCGTTGAAGATCAAGGAGCAACTAGGGCGGGAAATGCCGTATGTTTCGTATTATATTGAGTTTTGTGTGCCTGAAAAGGACAAAGACACCGGTAACAAATAACAAACAGGCCCCCTCATCTAAACCGTAATCAAAGACCATACAAGAGCGCCATCATCCCCCATAATTCTTCACTCTCTTCTATGCCAACATCAATCACTCAACCAAAAAGCCAGCCACTACTCAAGTTCTCACCACGCTGAACCATTCCTCCACCAAGATGCACGACCTGATTGCTTCCCTTGAGCCTGAGATGGAATACATCTGTAAGGTCAGCGGCGCAACTGAACTCTCACTCTCCGTCGTGTCGGGCGGAAAAGAAGCATACGCAAAACATCTAGGTTTTCGAGACGTCGAGGCTAAGAAGGCTCCGGATGTTGATACTACTTACTTCATTGGCTCCGTCACCAAGGACATGGTGGCCGCTTTGCTGGGCATACTTGTTGAGGAGGGAGGGCTCCAGTGGTCGGCTCACATCGCCTCAATCTTGCCCGAACTTCAAGATTCGTTCGAAGCCAGGGGTTCTTAGATCACGATCGCTGATCCCTTGTCTCACCGGACTGGAGTGGCTCGTAGCGATGGTATCTGGATCCAGCGGGCCGGGAATATTCTACTCCCTAAATCAGAAAGCATACGAACTTGGGTGGCTCAACCTGTTGTCAGGGACTTCAGGTCTGGCTTCCTTTACAACAACTATGCTTATGGCGTGATCGGCCGAGCCATAGAGAAGATTGAGGGCAAGAGTCTTGAGGAGACCTTCAAAGAGAAATTATGGGAGCCACTGGGGATGCATCGGACATCTATGGAGGATATTCCTGGCAATTCCAACGCAGCCAAGGCATACTACGCACCGGATGATGCTACTTCATACGGGGTTCCCATTCCCACTATATCACATGAAACTATCATGAGAGCTGCCGGCGCCATTCGAAGCTGTACTAATGACCTAGCAAAATACTACAGCAATTTTATGCACGCAGCAAATCATCAGTTCAGCAACAAGACGGCATCAACTCCAAACTCGCCATTCAAGCAACTCACCACAATTCTTCGTCCTTACAATCAACTTGATCTTATCTCTTTCAGTGAGCAGTCTTATGCTCTAGGCTCGGGTCGTGCACAGCTGCCCTGTCCTCTAGGAACTTTGAGCTACAACTACTTGCTCGTCCCCTAAATGCCTGTGATTGGTCAAGGAGCCCCAGGTCAGCTCACCTTGTATCATGGTGGAAGCATCCAGGGATCCAATACGGCTGTTTAACTCTTACCCGAAATTGAGACGGCCATCCTCCCTATGCAGAACTCATCAGGCTTAGGTGATGCATGTGACTGGATTCCTCATATGATTATCCAGAAACTGTCGGGTAGCACTGAGAACATTGACTTTCGGCAGCTTTCTTCCATGGCTGCGAAGGCGGCTCCAGCTCTTGCTGAGAAGATTGAACCTGACCTTGAGAAGGGACGAGAGAGGGGTACCAAACATCTTGGCCTCGAGGCATATACAGGCCACTACTGGAACGCACTTCACAACTTCCGTATCGACGTCAGCGTCCGTCATGGCCGTCTCTACATGAAGTTTCAAGGTATTGAGAATGAAAATTATGAGCTGAGATATTATTATCACCACTCCTGGATATGGAATGTGTCGCATAACGACACGGCAAAGCAAGGGCGATTCCCGACAAGACCTTGGAGCTCGTATATAATCGAATTTAATTGCGGGGATTAAGATAAAGTTCAGTCGTTGCTATGGATGTATAATGAAGAACTAAAGGAGCCAGGTGTATTTGCTCTGGAAGAAGGATCTCTCATAGCTTACCGCACTGTTGAAGATTATCGCACTAAATATCGAATACAAATCAATCTCCATAGTTCATGATTGCTTCCATTCATTTGCCATCGTATAAAATTAGCCGACTACATATTCTTGCCTTTAATGTTATGGTCGATTTGGCAGTCATAAATGGCGAACTTTAGTCTTCATCGTGATGATGATGTTGATGAGGATACTTGTGACAAAGTTCAAAGGACTAAAATGCGTAAAGATTAGACGTGTCTCTCCTAAGCGAACCCAAGCGAACCTAAGCTAACCTAAGCTTGCACTTATTTATAATTCCTTTTAGCTCAACAGGTAAACGAGATACTAAGTTTTGCGTAGTGAGTATAAGCTCTCAGCCATAGGTCAGAACTGCAAATAGATCATCTAACAAAAGAGATACAAATACACAACTCTATCATCAATCTACCCCCTTCACTATTGGTCTAGCTCCGAAAACAATCTCTTAGTCCCTTCCACTAGCCTAGTGCTTTCACATGTGTCCCCAATAGTCTGACGGATAGCTTCATGGATCAGCCGCTTGTCCTTCCTGACTAAGACTGGCAGACTTTGCCCCGATTCATCCAGCATGTTGTATCCATTTTCTATTCCCTTATCTACCAGAATCGAGAGGTGATTCTCGTCCTCTTTTGGGAGATATAGCGTAATGCGACTGTCTTGAGTTGAGATCGTGCTTGGTATCGACAATAGCTCCAGGCTCTTGGGGGTCGTTTCTCCAGTAGATGAGGGCGCTGTTAGTTTAACTTTGCCACCGTCAATTCTCAGCTGGTAGCTGATCTCTTGAGAGCCTGCGTTAACAATGGAATTTCCAGCTCTGCCAGCAAATGCCAAGACAGATCCGCTGGGTTTGACAACGTCCAATCCTGATTCAAGCATTTCCATATAATCTTCGTGTGTATCATTCCTCTTTTGCTGTTTAAGTGGGGGCATGAGCACTCTTGATGATTCCAGGCCATTGGCAGTTCCGTTGTCAAGATTCAAGTCACATTCCCTCAAGTCGTAGACTTCGTGGCTGTCACAGTTTTGACGCATGACAACCACGTAATTCGCACACGTTGATATCGACAGATTTGTAACATCGGCTCCATCCCGTGTAAGATGGTTTGTAATGTCTATAGTCTGGTCAGCAGTTGGTAAATATACATAAGGCAGAGGGCATACTTCTTGAAAAGTCCCATGCTATGACACGTCCCTTGGTAGCAGATACGATGAGCTTAGACTCAGGATGGAACCTTGCTGTGCTTAATGGTAGCCCAGTAGAGCCTAGCCAGGAGGCTCTGTGATCCTCTGGTGCCACGGCAACAAGTCGAACTTGGAGCTGCTCACTCTGCGAATATTCTATTCTAAATACGGCTAATAGTGGCGCTTCGAACTTCTTTGCATCTTGAAAGAAGATGTAGCGACTATTACCATCGAATATGCTCCGGTATGTATATACCTTCCGTTGCAGCAGTTGCAAGCTCGGTGGAAGTCCGATGCTGAGGGCATTACTCGGGTCATGAACCTTAAGGCTATCGTCCCAAAAATGCTGAATCCCTGCAATACCCTCAAGAGGCATACGGCACGACCGTATGCGAAGCTTTGAGGAGATTGATTCGATATTGACCTGGTAGATAGTTCGCAAAACGCATATAGAGTAGCCATTGGAGCTGATAGAGAATGGGAATGAAGCCTTCCATGTCGTGAAATGCTCCTGTCGGAAAGCCTGTCTCATCTGCAACGCCACTTCTGTCGCCAATAACGGAATAGAAATCGTGCCTATCTTGTCCATCGGTTCACTGACACGGCTGAGCTCGTAAATTGCGTGCCAGTCCTCGCAGTAGTTCTCAACTTCAGAGTATGCAGTGTTCGGGTCAATGCTTCCCCAGAACTCCTCAAACTTCCGTGATGGCCAGATACTAAGAATACCAAGTACAGATCCATCTGAAGAAGTCGCAGATATGTGGCAAAGACGCCGGGTAGCTCCGGATGCAGACATGGGTGCTCCTGAGTCAATTTGAACTTGATATGTGGAATGGGCTGCCGGAAGATACTTGCTAGACGTAAACGCAAGAACGTCACTCCATATCACAGATGGTGTTTCGATCAGTTTGGCTTCCCATTTCTTACAGATATCAGTCAAATCTCCCATTAGTTGAGGTAGGCTCTTCCTCAGAGGCAGAAAGATTTGATTTGTAATGTCTGGTAGCGGGAGTCTCTGTGCCCATTCAAGCCATTCCAGAGCTTGTGAGAACTCTTCCAATATGAAAGCGGTGGGAACATTTTTGTCGTTGTGAAGCCGAAGTTGACGCACTATTTGTGAGGACCAAAATGTAAATACATATGGGCTTGTATAGAAGCAGTCGATCCAGTGAGCCACCGCAAGGGGATTGTCGAGAAAACGGCTGAGCAAGTGGCAAAGCCCTGCAACGGCGGATGAGCACATTTCCAGATTGTACGCGTCGCGGAATGATAACCTGGGAGAGACAGCTTTACCAAGATGATAAAGCCAACGAATAGAGCAATAAGAGTATAAATCAATCAACCCTCGGCCTGAGCCTGAAGACACTTGCCTGTCTATACGCAAAGGGATAGATGGGGGAGCGGAGGTATGCAAGTGATCTAAGCACAACCTCGCCATATCCATATGCGAGATGATCGGGGAAGGAGATAGCATCGCAATAGTGCGGTCCTCAGGTGTCCATGCTAGGAGATACTCTCGGACGGAAAGATGGACAAACAAGCAGTTTGCCGAGTTGGAGCCACAGATGCTAGGTGCATCTATCATACCTAGACGGAGCTCCGAACCGCGTAGGGTGACCAACCCGCAGGTTACTAAGCTGATGAGCTCCGAGAGGTGCGAAAATAGCGAACGCTCATCATTGGGCTCTTCAGCTCCAAGCAGCTGGTGCCATGCCTTTAATGACAGGAAACACTCTTGGTGACAAAGCAGTGTCCATTGGATAACTCTTTTAGCCATCTGACGTTGCGCCGAATCAAGAAGGGATATCTGTCGAAAGATTCTCATGTACATAGATCCGAGACCTTCTGGAAGCGTGATTGAGTAAATCATACTCTCCCTCAGCCGTCTGTTCAGGGCAGGAGATCTTAAGAACGAGAGCATGAGTTTCGCCCACAGAAACATCCTATCAGCTCCCAGCACGAGTCTTCGCGTCAGCTGCTTGATATCAGATGATTCCAAAAGAAGGCCCTCATCGACAAGATCAGTCATGTGATAATGACAATATGTATCAATGTCATGCTCTACTCCCACTTGCCCAAAGCTCAGGCGATGATCTGGTGGGACGAGCTTAGTTAATGCTTGGACAGTCGGCCGGCTCGAGAATAAAGCGCGTAAATTGGGTATCGAGAGCAGCTTCTTGAGGTGTTTCACAAAGTCATCCGGCTCTGTACACTCATCGATGCCATCAAGAATCATGACAGGATTTTCAATGGAGCACAAACACAAGTGAAGCAGATCTCTTAGCTCGGCTGGCGTCGCGATTGATTGGCCGGATGACTTGTCGCCACGATTCGAGGCAAATATAAACTTATCAAGTATGCTGTCGTTGTGTTTATGTTTGTGTAGGATTTGAGCTAGGATAGCGCGAAAGGCGAGGTCGGAAGCAGTGTGGAATGGGTACTGCTCCCTGAAGAAGAAGTAAATCAGGTTTTGATTGTAGCCGGAGAGTTCGCGGACGATCGATGCCGTTAGGACACTCTTGCCGCCTCCCGGGTTTCCTTTCAGTGTTAGTCTAGGTACATACTTGCAGATTAATGATGACTCACCATGAATCCACAAAAGTCTGCTCTCAGGCGCGGAACCGCCTATCGACGCTCTTGAACTGCTCTCAGACCATTCTTGAAACTTGTCCACATCGAAGATCCACTGGGCAGTATCTTCTTGACATTCATCGAGAGTGTTCCAATACGTAGTGGCAAAGTTTGGCGCATTCAACCATGCCTGTATTTTTTCAATTGCTTGTTCTAGTTGAAAAGTTAACAGGACGAAAAAGACTGTATCCGAATACGTACCTCGCGTTTGGAGGCGCATCTGATCTTGAAGGCCTGAAACATTGGTCCGGGTGGCTTGTATGTCCTTGGAAATCTCCTCTGAAGTTGTGACCACGTCTCTTGTTAGTTCGAGCTGATAGATAGTGATTTCTTCATTCAATTGCTGCTGATGTTTTGACATGTTGGCCAAGATGCCACCGAATCTCTCGTCAAACGGACGCCATATTACAGATGCAATTAACTCAATCGGGCGCCTTACTTCTATATAAAGGTTAGATCTGAAAACTGTGCTGAGGATAAGTACTCACTTCCGCTGCTAGCCGTGAATAGTGAGGCTGCACTATTGAAGAAGTCGAAGAGATCACTGTATACTCGTCCAAGGTGCACCAAAAGTCGACGAGTCAGCTTGCCGCGACAGATATCTTCCAGAGCGCCATATTTTGGAAACGACTCGGTAAGCTCTCTGATACATTCAACGAGTTTAGTCAGAAGCGTAGGAAAACAACTGGCCAACTGAACCAACTAGATTAGTTTTGTCTCTTTTGAAGCATGTTGGGTCATGTGACCTCACCTCGAGAGTAAGCCTCAAGGCGCCTAATGCGGCGCCCGCGTAGACAGAGCTTTGCGTGACGGAACCCTCCATGATTGCGAAGAACGGGCGCATTCTGTCGTTGAAATTCCGCATGATTGCAAACGGCTTCTGAGAACGCCTGTTCTGGGCCCCTTTCGCAAGGCTGGATATCTTTTTGAAGCCATCTAACAGGTCTTGCGGGGTACACTTGTCGTCGTAGCGTGCCCGGTCATTGTCGCTGAGGGTGCTGAGGAAGCCCTGATAGGTGGAAGAGAAAACATCGGTAGAAGCCATATCATAAGCATGTACACTCCATGTGAGATTTAAGAAACGTGTTGATGGTATGCCTCAGTGCAAGATTGATGAAGAGAAAGAGAAAGGGGGATTTTTCGTTGGATTACTAGGCAACAAGGCAGATTCATCGCGGTCGCCTTCTTATGCACCCCTGGCCTGACACAGCCACTTGGCGAACGAGCAGACGGATGTAGAAGAAACGCCTGAAGCAGTATTAACTTATGTTGAGGAAAACAGGACTATATGATTTGCAAAGATACGAAACATTGATAAAAAGTACCTCAAGTTACTAAAACGCATCCCCAGCCCAGATCCGTTCCCACGCATCTTTACAAACCTCCGTCTCCAGCCTCTTCAGAAAATCATCCATCTTGACATCCTCCTCCCCTTCAATCCTCATAACACCATTCTTAACACCATGCCAGCCCTCGACAGGAAGCTTGAGCTTATCTTGACCAACACCGTAAAAGTATCGTCCCTTGAAGGGCTTTTCGCCACGCTGAACGGCATCGCACTCTGCTTGACACTCTTCGCATATCATACCTGATGCAAAGGTCACGTATAGATATGCAGAGCGATTTCCCCACCATTTGAACTTGCGCTCTGGGTTGCAGAAACCACCGCAGCTGTAGTAGGTTTCGTCTGAGAGGAGATCTCCTTCGTCGGTGGGTGGGGGACCGGTTTCGTCTTCTTCGTCGCTTGTGTCTACCTCTTCCTTTTCCTCCTCAGCCGCAGGCTGTTCTTGTGCTTCCTCTGTCTCATCTTTCTCCTTTGTGTTTTCCTCAGTCTTCTTGTCGTTATCCGTCGCTTCCTCGCCCTTGGCCTCCTTATCTTGATCAGGGTTAACAATCTTTGAGAGAATAGCAGACCCAACGATACGAGCATATCGTCGTAACTTCTCATCGTTCCTCAGAGCCTTACTCATCAGCGCCAACGTCTGCGCCAACATCCAAAGATAGGGCGCATCGTTCCATCCAACTGTGTCATTCAATCCGGCGAAGCAATCATCCAACAAAGACTGAACCTTTTCTTGGAACTTCTCCAAAGGTCCCATGACGAGATACATATATGCCAGTCCAACTCGATGAGAGCTGGTCCAGAATGCTGAAGTTCGCGGAACATCCAGGGATAAAGGGCGCTGCATGAAATTAGCCTGTGAGGCAAGGCGCTCAGCTTTGTACACGGGATCGCGAGATTTGCGAAATAGTTCTAGTTGGACGTTCGTCATGCAGTCCACAGCGCGTGTCATCATCCATAATGCTGTTCCACCTAGGATCGGGAACCTGAAGCCTGTAGCGCGGCTGTCGAAGATTTTGTCCAGGATTTCCAGTGCCTTTTCAGGTTGGCGGCATACTTCGAAGTAAATAGTCGCAAGATCGAGGCGCACAGGCATAGCGGCATCAAGGTTATCAAGAAAGTCAATCGCTTCCTCGTAGAACTTGACGATGAAGTCCTGTTCACCTGTTTCCGAAGCAATGTCGCAAAAGATTGCATGCCTTTCTTCTCCCTTGTCGGCGTAATCGGATGCAATCCAGGTGATTCTCTCAAGGAGGCTCCATTGTTTAAGCATCTGGATGTAGGCACTTTTGTCTGACTTTCTCTCAACGACTTGGAGCTCGTCGACCAGATCTTCACCAGGGGTAATTCCATCGGGATCACTAGCTTTCGCTTTGGCGAATGACTCGAGAGCATCGTCCAGTTGACCAAGCTTGCGCTGAGCTCTGGCATATGCTGTGTACACGATTCGCTTCAAAGGTGGAGGAACTTCATTGTTAGGCAATTCATTGACTGCACGACTTGCAACTTCGAAAGCTGCTTTCTTCTTCTTCTGCTTCAACAGAATCTGAGATAGGACATTTGACGCTCGGTACCATTCATGGTCTGTTGGCTTGCAGAGTTCCAGAGCTTGTCGGCATGTCTTCTCGGCTGGGCCGGTGAAGTTATACTGATCGAGGACTTCTGCAACGGCTCGATGTGCTGCTGCATCAGGCTTGACATCGTCGCCAAAGAGGTTCAGGACACCCAGAGTAGCTGTGGCTGCATTATACGCCTCATCGTCGCTCGCGGCACGATTTCTATCCTCGAACTCCTTTGGAAAGTTGATTGCGGCTTGGTCCATAAGTAGCTTCGCTGAGCCAGACTAAGATAGTCAGCCTTGATTATACGACTATGCTTGAACTGGAACACTTACTGCATTGAGAACACCTTGAACTTCTTGGTACGCTTCAACTGCCTCTTTCGAGGTTTGTGCCTGATACAGCTGCTGGAGAAAGCCCTTGGCTATGTCAAGACGACAAGCTGGCGGATCTGGACCAACTCGCTTCCACCATTCGACTGTAAAGTCATCAAGCTTTTCACTGATTTCTGGTTTCTCAACGAGCTTTGCCCATTGAGACACTTTCTCATTAGTAACAGAGGTACCACCGCCGGATCCTCCATACGTAACGCCAGACTTGCTCAGCATCTCAGCAAGACCCGTTTTATTAGCCATTGTCTCTGAGAAAGCCTTGAGAACTTCAATCTGCTCATCAGAAGTATGCTGTTCTGCATCAGTCTCGACGAAATGTGAGATTAAAAACAAGGCAGAGTATTTGAGTAAACTCTCGTCCACTTTGTTTCGATGAGATCGCAGAAGCTCTGCACTGGTCAAGAGCATCCTTCGATTTGCTTCAGAAGGCCCCCATCGAAATTCAGAAGCGCCAGTCGAAATGTTGGTAAAGTAGTGTCTCATGGACCTCTCTTTAAACGTGACTGGAAGTGGTCCATCGTCATAAATGCTGTCGTGCTTGTTCTCTTCGTCCTGCTTCAAGTCTTGCACAGCAGTAGCTTGACTAGCCTCAATCCGTGCCAGGACTTCTGTGTCGTAGCCAGGTCCACCGACTCTAAGGAACTTGTCGAACAACTCGCGAATCTCTTCAATGTCAAAGTTGTCATCTTGGGCGAGGTATTTGAGAAGCGATTGGACCTCGGTCAGGGTTAGGAGGCGCCTGGCAAAAGCAACCCAGTGGAGCAAAGTCGCAGAAACCTCTTGGTGCTTGGCTGGCATACGGCGCTGGCATTCTGTGAGTAATATCTTATAGATATCGTGCAGGTTCTTGGGCATTTCTTGGCCGAGAGCTCTGAGGACGGCTCCTTCACGACCCAAGTTGTCAAGACGAGCAAGTAGATGCTCTGCATAAAGCATGTCTGCAATACTTGTTAGTCAGGGATGTACGATAAAGGATGTACTTACTTGGGGAAACTTCTTCAATCGTGTCAGCGACTCTCTGCTGGACGTAGCGACTGAACCTCTTGAGATTATTGAGCGAGTTGATACGATTCCAGATCAGCGACCTCATATCTTGACTCTGCTTCTTCTTATCCGCCTCTATCCTAATTAGCTTCGTGCTCTTGGGAAGATCATCCAGCTGCTCAGGTCTAGAAGTCACAGCAAGTGATATCTTCAGCCCCTTCTCGTTGAAGAAGTCCGAAAGAAACAGCTGAAAATCTTCCGGGTCGCGAAGCTCATCGAGACCATCGAATACAATGTACAAACTGAACTTCGAATCTGGCCCGAAAACAGCCCCGAGGAGGTGCTCTACGAGGTGCTGCCACAAGTTGGTATCTATCTCAATGTCGTCTCTGGCGATTTGGGCGTTTAGCTTTTCGCAAGCTGTATGGTTGGTCTCAGCGATTTGGTTGACGACTGTGATGATACCGCATAGGAAGAAGGCAAAAGCATCTTCCTGTTCTCGGAAATAAAAGTGCGCGACGCAAGTATTCCCAGTTTCATCTTCGCTGGCCCTCTGAGTAAGTTTGTCATGTACTGCAGCAGCCAAATGACTCTTGCCGCTACCTGGCTCAGCTGTGAGAGCAAGGATAGGGCGTTCTCCATCTGGGATCTTTAGCCACTCTTCCCATTCTGGCTCAGAGAAGATCCAGCCACATGAATCTGGCAGGAGAGTCTCCTTCAGTGTCTGGTACTCATGGCCATCGTTGAAGACGACAGGCATCGCGTTTCGGATACTGTTGGCTGAGGCTGGCTTTTTCGCCTGGGGTTTCTCTGTAGATCTTTCTTTCTTCTGCCCGCCGAACAGTTTCAAGATCTTGGCAATGTCTCCCTTGATATTCTCGGTGTTCTCTTGAATAGTATCGATGGTGTGTCCGACACGCTCGAGCATTGCGGCATGTGATCTCTGGTTATCATCAAGTTGAGATGCCATCTTGAGAGATTCTTCGGTATTGCTCAAGATTGCAAACTCAGTCGCCTGCTGAAGATGTTCGAGATTCTTGTTCATACCCGCACGTGCACCGCCAAGCTCCCCATCATCGCCTTTGAACAAATTGGAGATCCATTTCTTGAAACGCCCGAGTTCGATGTACTTGTGCGCGAAACCACACATGGTAAGAAGGGAAGTGAAGACCTCCATCAAACAATTCTGATAGGCCTTGTATTTTGGAAGTCTTGTCTCCAGGATAGTAATTCTGGTGAGGAAGCTGTTCATATCCTCAAAGAACACAATAATGATGTCGTAATCTGCTGAGACAGACCGACAAGCCTGGAGCATATAGGTCAAGGCCGTTCCGATGGCTGCAGCTGGCGGGAAGGCCGGTGCAGCAGCAGCGATGATCTGGTTTGCGCCCTGCTCAACCAAGTCCAAATTTGACGAGAAGAGAGTTCTCAGACGATCAACTTTGCCCTTGTCATGTCTGAACTTATGAAAGTTGTTCATCTGATCGGTTCCAAAGTCAAGCATAGAATTTACGTTGTCGAATTTTCGCTGGAGACCGAAGCCAACGATACTTTCGTAGCTCTTGAGAGCTTCTTTCCATAAGTCCGCGACATCGCGGTCATCGTTCTTCAGCTTCTGCTCCAGCTCTGCCTGCGCGTTTTTTGCAATCATGGTGAGAAATGAGTTTAGCGCTCTTCGCTATTGATAGCGTTGCGGAGACCGACGGAGAAGAGGGGCAGAGTGAAAGGGAAGGGGGCCAACGGAGGCAACACAAAAGAAATAAATAAGCCGACTGTAACTGAAACGATTTACGGTTGCCTAGGCGTTATGGTGGTTAAGTATGTAACACTCGAGCAAGGATTGACGCTCTCGTGCCTCATTTACGATGTAGTAATCAGCCGTGATTGGTTGAACGAGGTCGAGCTGAAAGCGTTGGTTGCAAATGTTGTATGCAGTCAGCAATTAACAGCCCATATTGATTCCATCATGGGTCAGAAGGCCTGTGGCCGATTGGGGCATAATAATCGCATTTAGTTGGTTTTTCCGAGGCCTGTGGCTAATTTTAATCGAGCTACAGATTACTCTGTACATAGCGTGCAATAATTCACTCAGCGATCATGATACAGCTTCGTGCGGCTGTCTCGTGAGCTCACCTCAGCAGCCCAGCCATTGGAGTTCAACTTTCTACATCAATCATACGACAGTTGTGAATTCAAGAAAGTCGAAAGCTTTTGACAGGTGAGACTCTCTTTTGGTCATAACTGAAACTGGATTAACGTATGGTCCTAGACAGGTCTTTGGAATTAACACTCCTATGCGCCCTAGGGTAACCAGCATCACGACCTGGAGCAAGCAAAGCTCGCTTAAACAAAGTGGATACAGTTGTCTCTGCTAATTCTCCACAGCCTCAATTCTAGCCAAGGCTATTGGCTCTACCAACGCCACATCCGATAATCCTTAAGCTTACAGCAATAGTCTCATCTAAACCAGCTAGCTCCATGTATACGAAATTCAGGGGGAAATGCTTGACCATTCATAAGATTACTTCTTTCTGGAGACGTCTAACATTTTTGTTCTTCCTCTTTTGACGGTCTTTGTTACCCTTACAGTCATTACCTGAAACACCATGCGAGTTCTAGCTCTTCAGCTACTGGCGATATGCCAACTTGCTTCTGCATCACCATGCAAACCTTCTTCTTCTTCTGGTTCGGTGGCTTTGTCTACGAGTTCTGTTGAAGCTACGTCTGCACCCGTCATTTCTTCTTCAACTGTCGCCGATGCAACCGACACATCTACGACTTTCTTCACCGAATCAACTGCTGTGTCCGAGACTGAAACTGAAACTGCCACGACCCAGACTCGGACTGAGGCTATTTCCGGCACTACTACTGAACTCGCCTCTGACTCAGCTACCTCAACCATCTTGATCACCACTTCAAGTGCTGAACCTACAACCACCACGACATCTGCCTCAGAACCAACCAATGTCCTCACCAACCCGGATTTCGAGTCTGGAACCGTAATGCCCTGGCACCCAGTCGGTCAATTCGGCTATATCTCGATTTCCGACGAGGATACCCATTCCGGTGACTTCTCCGGCTACTACGATGCTGATTCCGAAGATCCTGTCGTCCTGGGCGTCGATCATCCCATCGACTCTTCTTTGATCGCGGTTGATCAAGAGTACACATATTCAATCTGGATCAAGACTATTAGGGCTGTTGCTTGTCAGACACGAAAGATTACCTGTGGAGCCGGAGGTGGATACATCAAGAGCGAGGACTGGGCTGGGCCGAATAATGAGTGGACACAGTTTACTATGAGCTGTACTTGGAGTGAGATGTTTTTGGAAATGGGGCCAAGTATTCAGATTAGAGCGGAGTGTCAGAGTTTGGAGATTTACGTTGATGATGCTATTCTCGTTGAGGCAAACTAGAGCATAGTCGGGATTCTTGCATGAAAATGCAGACTAGGACGTAATTATCCTCAGGCCTTCAGTCTGGGGTATGTTTCCGGGTTGCTATTCCAATCACCAGACCTTCATTATTGGTCAAATAAACCCGGTTGCTTTCCAGTAAGGAATTCTGTTTTTTATTTCGTATCTATTTTAGAATTTATCATAGAATCGCTTTTGTTCATTTCTTCATTTGAGCCAGGTAAGACTCGACATCAGACTCCCTCAATCGAGTGGCCTTGCCGTTCACCTGCTCACCAATGTCGACTTGGTAAGCCCTCATCTTCTCAAGATATTCAGGAACGAAAGCACCCAAGATTCTGATGGCGAGAAGAGCTGCGTTGGTGGAGTTGTTGATGCCGACGGTGGCGGTAGGAACGCCTCGCTGTATGAAGTTAGTTTGTGCATATTGAAGGCTGGGGAGGTTTACTTACAGGCATCTGGACAATGCTCAGAAGAGAATCCATTCCATCGAGATGAGTGGCCTTGACAGGGACACCAATGACGGGAAGAGGGGTGTAAGCCGAGACCATGCCGGGGAGATGGGCAGCACCTCCTGCAGCGGCAATGATGACTTTGATACCACGATCAGCAGCGGCTGTAGCGACATCACCCATCTTAACTGGTGTTCGGTGGGCAGACGTAATGTCAACCTCCCAAGGAACACCAAACTGAGTGAGAACATCAAGACCAGCCTTGAGAACAGGAAGATCAGAATCAGAGCCCATAGTAACGAGAACCAAAGGATCCTTGGTAGCCTTCGCAACAGCTTGTTCAGGACGAAGACTCTTGCTTTTGGCTTGAATTCGCTCTTGTCGCATATCAGCAGCCAACTTGACAAGAGGCTGAGCATAATCCTCGAGCTCCTTGATGCTGGCGGTCAATCCGGTGAGGGTGATGTGACCGATCTTGCGGCCGGGCTTGGACTGCTTTCCGTAGAGGTGGGGATAGACGCCGATATTGCTGGCGAACATGGACTTGGCCTTTTGGACGAGAGGGAGGTGAGATTCGGGTTCGGCGCCGCCAAGGATGTTGATCATGATGCTGGAAGCGACATGGGGTTCGAGCTTCTCAGGGAGGGGCTCGTCGAGGATGGATGTGAGCTGGGCCTTGTACTGTGACCTGTACATTTGTTAGCATGAAATCAGTGGGGCAGTCTTGAATACTTACATGTAGGGAACGGCCTCAATTGTGAGATGACCAGAGTTATGAGGGCGCGGCGCAATCTCATTGACAAGGATGTCATTCTTCTCAGTGACAAACATCTCAACAGCAAAAACACCTCGTCCCCAAAGCTTCTCAACAACGCTGACAGCAACCTCTTGAGCGCGCTTAGACACCTCATCTGGTGTATCGCGAGGAGGCATGTAGACTCGCGAGCAGACATTGTCCTCGTGAACAGTCTCCACACAAGGATATGGCACAAGGCGTTTTGTTCGGCCCTCCTTGTCCTCTGTGCGAATGACAATGACCGAGAGCTCGCGCTGGAAGGGAACGTACTTCTCAGCGTAGCACTGAAGTTTTCCGAATTCGTTCACAGCAGTTTCGATGTCCTCGTCATTAGCGATCTTGATATTTCCCCTACCATCGTACGAATCCTTTCGTGACTTGAGCATATAAGGAAATCCAAACTTGGTCGCAACATCCTTCAGCGCCGCACGCATCTCCTCAGCACCCGAAGCTTGAATAGCGACCTGCTCAGCAATAGGAATACCCTGCTTTCCCAGATAATCCTTCTGCTCAAACTTATCCTGAATCAAGCGCAGCGTCTTCCACGAAGGATAAACAACGACTTTTCCCTCGGTAGCCAACTCCTCCAGAACAGCAGTCTCGATGTGTTCCGTCTCAACGCTGAGAACACTGCAGCTGTTGGCGAGTTCTCTGATCTTCTGGGCGTCTTTGAAGGAGCCGTCGACGTGGTATTTGCTGCGGCTGACTTGTTTGGCGGGTGCGTCTTGGGCGTCGAGGATGGCGATCTCGACTTCGAGAGGGGATGCGGCTTCGCAGAGCATTCGGCCGAGTTGGCCGCCGCCAAGAAGACCGAGGGCAGGCTTTCCACTCATTTTGGCTGCGAGGGATGTGAGATATGGGCGTTGGAGTGAGTGAGTGAGTGAGTGAGTTTGTGCGATGAGGTCAACGGAAAAATTTAGATCGGAGCTGGAGATGTGGGGCGCCGAGTCGGACAGGGATGACTAATCAGCCTTGTGTACCGAAACTCATCAGATAAACTTTAGAAGGAAAGAGAAGACAGTTAGAAGAAAGTCTAATGGAATGCAGCTGCTTTGGTTAGAAAATTACTGTCTTTTTCTCTCTCATTACTTGATGTATTCTGGCACGTATTTGAAGGCCGGCATTTGAACCCCGGATGCCGTCTTGGTTCGGAAACGGAACGGGGCACGTCTCCGACCTTATCGGGTCGTCCTCCGATATCGTCAACCCCGCTTATCGCAACCTCATATGAGGTGGGAGACCTCAATGGTGTTGCTGCCCCTACAAAACGGCAATATCCTGGCACAAGGCGAATTAGAACCTTGATCCCAACATAAAATTGAATTCACTTTGCAGTGTTTTTTCCATCATTCACTATTCATATTGAGTCCTCAAGTTGTTCACGCACTGACTCCCCGTCTATAAATGACCATATAACAAAAGGCTTTCTATGTTGCATAGGGCCCATGTTGATGCAAGCGAGCCTCGTTGTCAAGGCAGACCTTCAATTTGCTGACATTAAATGTGAGTCCAAACATTATTTACCCCCTCAGTAACCCTCTCTCTGGTCCGCTTTTGTTCTCGTATGCTCCGTTGGTTACTTCGACCACAATGGCAATTGGACGAAGATTCTCTCGCTTCGTGACGTGCAACCATCCGAATAGCCTGTCGTTCAGGGAATTTCCAAGAAATTCATCCGACTGGCAGAGCAATTAACGGTGCATGTTGATGTTGAGATAGAGATCGGGACTCTTTCGTCTTCACGAACCATCAGCACAGATGCGGGCCAGGAAGGGCTATCTGGGTATCATCAAGAAAGGGGACGCAGAAGACGTGAATATGCTCCTTGCAGCGGGAGCACCACCTGATGGCGATTTAGAAGAAACATTGGATTTTTACAGCTTGAAACCTCCTCTGATCATCACAGCCCAAACAGGGAATGAGGATCTAGTCACGCGCCTCATCAAAGCCGGCGCCAACGTCAACCAGTACTTTAGCCAGTATGGGGAAAATCTCACGCCGCTGTATGCGGCTTCGATGAAGGGCCACCTAGCAATCATGCGGCAGCTCCTGGATGCTGGTGGCGCTGTCGACGGCAAAGCAGGCTACCTTGGGACCCCGTTCCTCGTTGTCGTTAGCGAGGGGCAAGTGGAAGCCATGGCACTACTTCTAGATGCGGGCGCGGATCTGCAAGCGCGGAGCGCAGTGAGTAACTACCCGGCGTCGGTGATTGCGTTGGATAAAGGGCATTCTGAAGTCGTAGACCATCTTATCAATGCCGACGTGAATATCAACGATGTGGCAGAGTACTTCGGAAGCGCGCTACAGACCGCGGCACACAAGGGGTATCGAGCCGTCACCGAGAAGCTGCTCGACGTTGGCGCGGATCTGGCGATGGAGGATGGAGACTATGGACTCGCGATCGTTGCTGCAGCGGCGGAGCGGCATGTAGATATCGTGAAGATGTTTATTAACCGCCGCGCGGTGACGAAGGAGCAGGCTAAGAAAGCGACAGACTGGGTACAGTAGATGATTAAGTCGGGAGATGACAGATCTGACGAGTTTAATGAGATACTGGAAATGCTTAGTAGCGTGGTCGAGTAGGTCAGCTGTTGGCGAACGCCTGCTGTACCCACCACAACCTGTATCAGGTCCTGATACACAATTTGATGGCCTTTCGTCAGACAGTCTGAAATAGTTTCGTATCTACTCTACTTGTTGTCACTGCCCTATTATAAACCTTCATAGTGTACTTGATGTCCCCGCGATCAAACATATGATTCAAAAAGGCGCCGAAGATCATGAATACCTGGTGTAGTCCAGGTTTTGGGGAAATGCGGATATGACGAAACAGATATATATCTGGGATATCTCAAGTTATAGACAGATATAAAGGAAATTATACGGGTCCCACGTGCAAGAATGAACCAATAGATAATGTTCCGAGCTTAGATACGGTCTGTTCATCGGGCCGTCGGCACGATCGGTTCCTGAAACTGTAACCTTAAAACGGACATTATTCGATCAAAGCTTCGGTTCTTATAAAATCTTATGCAAACTGCTACAAAACATGTTTCAGACAAATTTAGATCCATTCAATCTTAATTACCCACCAATACCTCATCCTTGTCAGATGAAACCTGTCAATCAGGTTGAAACAACAGCGGGGAATGGTTTGGTAGACGACCTATGTCAGTCGATTAGCTCTTGGAATGTTCATGCGTTGTGGTATCCTTCTTTATCTCCCGTGTTTAAATAGCTGATGAAGTACCTCGATATTCATCTGACAACACAACTACTCGTCAGTATATACAGATCGTCAAAATGCGCGCTTCTCTCGACTCCACCCTTCTTATCCTTGCCAACATCTTGGCAGTCCAGGCTCAGTCATGCCCGGACATTCACATCTTCGGCGCTCGCGAAACGTCAGTTGCACCGGGTTTCGGCTCAGCTGGTCAGCTGGTCGAAATGATCAAGGCTGATCACCCCGGCGCTACTTCAGAGGCCATCGATTACCCTGCTTGTGGCGGTCAGGCTTCATGTGGCGGTGTTCAGTACGGTGACTCTGCGAAGCAGGGTACCCAGGCCGTTACTACTGCTGTAAACGGTCTCAACCAGCGTTGCCCTCAGACAAAGATTGTCATGGTCGGTTACTCTCAGGTATGTTATCTACTCTCACATCCATTGGTGCTTGTAATTAATAAATATTGCTAGGGTGGCCAAATCATGGATAACAACATCTGCGGAGGTCCTGATTCTGGAGCTGGCGTCTCTGATTCATCTGTCCCTCTCTCCGCTAGTGCAGTCCAACAGGTCAAGGCTGTTATCATGCTTGGTGACCCCCGCTTCGTGAGCGGTCTTCCGTATGGTGTCGGAACCTGCACCGCTGGAGGCGTAAGTCATCCCATCATTTCTTATTTGACACTACTAACGATCTTCAGTTCGATGCCCGCCCTGCTGGCTTCAGCTGTCCCAACGCCGACAAGGTCCAGATATACTGTGACTCTCAGGATCCCTTCTGCTGTAATGGAAATGACTCCAACCACCACCAGCAATACGTCAACATTTATGGCAAAGACGCTTTGGCATTTGTGAACAGCAAGCTCTGAAGGAATTGGCTGGCTATAGTGGAGCAGGATGATGCCCTGCAATGATGATTAGATATTTATGATAGGATAGCTTAGGAATTGATTTGGAGTTGTTTCCGCCAGAAGAGTCTGGTTCGCCGTGATCTTTGGCTCACTATTCCTCTACGGTTACCTTCTCAGAGTGGACTGCTGAGAGAAAGCATGCCTAGTTCTGTCGAGGGAATCATGGCGCGAGCAAAACCAAGCCCATATTCATTCTCGCCTATGGAAGAGGTGGTGATGTTGGCTTTGTGTGATACGATTGTTGGAATCTTTTAGAGGACCGAAGGCTCGTGGTGCATGGCGTCGAGTAGTGCCTTGGCCCATTTCATCATGCCGGATACATTGGACCAGACACCTCCATGACGGGATCGATAATACTGGTGAACGGAATGTAGCTGCATAACGGCTCCGTCCAATCCAGCTTTCCATCGTCAACAAGAATACCACAACAAGGCGCAGTGAAAGCTTTTGAGAGTAAACACAAGTTCAATACAGTGATTATAAGCTCCCAGCCACAGGTCTCTATTGCAAATAACACATCTAGCTCACAATTTAGACCTTCTCAAGAAGTCTTTGTCTTCTGGCATAATCTGCATAGTTTAGCTCGTCCTGTAGTCGAGTCAAGACAACTCCTCTATCTTTCAACATTGCCTTCAAACAGTCCACAAGATCTTCGAAGGATAAGCGGAGTTGCTCTGAGTCACAGAAATCTTTAGAATACCCTGCCCTCGTAAATAAAAGCTCAATAACTGCGTTGCTCAAAGTCTCAACATCGCGTCCACTTGCCCAACCTTTGCTATTGGTTAATTGCGTCAGTAACTTCAGGACAGCCGCATTATGTTCACCGCATCGATCCATGATGGAGCTTGAGACACTGATGCTTAGTTTGGACAGCAGTTTTGAAAGGAGCTGCAGGCAATCCTCTGGCGGCAACTGTGGGAAGTCGAGTACTGGGAAACCTGCTCCGGAGGCCTGGATTGGAGCCCTGGTAGGCCTATCAAAGTCAAGGTCGAAATCTGTGGCCTCCGGAGCTTGATCACTCAAGGTTGCAAACTCGGCATTCGAGAGCCTCAACCTACTGACCTGGCGGAGCTTGGCCTCGCATAGAAGTGTCTCAACATCACCACCGTTGCCGAAATTTGGCCTTGTACGCATTCGACTCAACATGTTGCGTGCAACCTTGTGAGCTTCCTCTGAGGCGACGATGCTGTCCGCGTCCATCTTTTGCTTTAAAATTTGATTCAACTCGTCGTTGCTGTAGCTAGCGAACCTCAGAGCGGTTTCGAGCGGGAAGCGTCTTGCTAAGCCTGGATTGCTCTTGAGAAACATCCTCTCCATTTTGTCGGTATAGCCGCAGAGAATCACGCAGCGATCCTCGCCAGGGCTACCCGAGACATTGGCAACCAAGGTATCTATGACGCCTTGTCTGAAAGAATCAGAGTGGTTTTCACCATTTGAAGTTTCCTGGTAGAGTAGATGGGCATCATCAATGACCAATACCCCACCTTGGGCATGCTCAAGTGCCTTAGTGACCTTCGCCTCCGAATGGCCAACATATTTTCCGATCAGATCTGATGCCCGTATCGTGGTAATATGACCTTTCGACAATAGGCCCAATTCCTTAAGAATCTCGGAGTAGAGTGCCGAAACAGTTGTCTTGCCCACGCCCGGGCTCCAAGGAAACATCGATTGTGGCTGATAGGTAATGCTCTCCGGCCATGCAAATGATTATGATAGTTTGCTTCTACCAAGTCGATGATATTTTCAATCCTCTCCTTGACGTCTTGTAAGCCAACTAAGTTCTGTAGCTCATTCCACGCCAAACTGTCGCTCCTGAATGTCCAAGGCTTGGACCCTAGGATGTCCTCCAGAATAATGCTGTTTTGCTTAAAATGGTCTGGTCCAAATTCCCCACCCTTACTTGAGAAGGATATCTTGGCCCAGCTCAGCCAGGCGTCGTTTTTGCGCTGTTGCCACCGTTTGCAAACCTTCTCAAGCTCGTCCACCACTGCATATGCGTTGTTGAAATCCTTCCCTTCTGCCAAACCACGTCTTGTTATTTTTCGACTCAACGTGTTAAGTAAATCGTTCGAACTGTCACCGAATTCCGGTTTGTCCTTGCAAAGTCGTCGAAGCAGTTCGTAAATCTGCCTTTCATTGTAGTTCTCAAGCTTAAGGAGGTTTGAAAAGCGGCGATGCGATTCGCTGCTTGTAGCAAGTATTTCCAGTGATCGCATCGAGAGCTCTCGATACGAAAGGATACGTACAGTGGAAGACCCAGGCCCTTTTGATGGGTCCAAGATGTCAGCAATTTCTTGTGGTTGATAGATACAATCAGCCTGTGCGAAGAAAACAACCTGATACTGGTAAGTCATGTTAGAATAGACAAATGGGTAGCCAACTCATACAGTTACATCTGTGGTAACCTCGTCCGACTCCCAACCATCTTCTATGGCGAATTTCCTCTCACGAACTACCCTTATACTATACAAAAACTCGGCGTAAAGCTGGGCGATTCTTCTTTTCCCTACGGTCCCTTATTAGTCGACGTATGTAGGTGTTCTTCGAAGCCAGACTCACCAGTCCCATCATTACCATGGAGTACAAGATCGTAACTCCAGTCATCAAGGCTTTTGCCGCAGCGTTTGCCGATATCCACTTTGTCCTTGACCGCCAAGAAGTGAGCCTTGACATGTTCATGACCAACCATTGACAAGATACAATCGAGATACTCATTCTTTTGGTTTTCATGCTGCTTCTGGCGCAGCCATTCTAGCTGAGAGGGAGACTTATCGATCACCGATTCGAAATCATCGTCAGCTTCTATTAGGATTTCTGTCCATGTCAACTCTTTCTCCTCTTTGGTGTTGACAGCCCCAGCGCTGTCACTGTCCTCCGAGTCTGAGCCATTTCCATCCTCCGCTTGCTCATTCTGGTTCACTTCTCTGTTTATAGGCTCGCAAGGCTTGTATAAGTTCCAGAAGTCGAAAGCTTTCACACCCCAAACAAAGAACTGTCTATAAATGTAATTCCACTCTGGTTGGGACAAGGCAGGGTTGCAGTGAGATCGCCGGTCTCATGCTTACATGGAGCTTGTTCAGAGGGGAACAGGTTTGTTGAAGGCGGCGCTGGTTCACCCTCGGTAGTATCTGGACTATTGGGTGTTTGCTGGGTTCCGTTGGTCCCAATGTCCGACGGATTGTCACCTGAGGCCACAGGATTTCTGCCCTCTGGTTCGTTAGGATTATCAAGGTCACTAGATGGCATATTCTTTGGGCGGTATCTTCGATACGTAGGAATGTTTGTTTTTCAAGAAAAAAAGCCCGATACTGGCCGCTTAATAGTCGTGGGGGGGCTTTACCCAATATGATCAAGAACTTGACCCTCACTGAGTTGGCCTCCAATCTTTTGATGTTTCATGAATCTATTGGCGCTGGAGGTCTCAGTGGACATTGCCACTATTTCTAGCGCTTCTGCCTTGAGTGCTCATGCAGCCAAGACCTGAAAGATGGCCAACATGACACCAACCGCTATTTTTGCTGTGTTGCATAGATCTATCTGGCCGAGATATCGATAGGGCTGATCCAACTGAACCGCACTGAATTGAACACCAGCTGCGCCCTCCAAGGTTTAGCGGAAGATCCTTGGCAGATGCACCCAATCAAAATTCTTAAGACAGCCCCAACATTTGCCAAACCCGCCGTGCCATTTCAGGTCCCGCCCAGAGTCTCGTGATTATCAATGTGTTAAAGAACCTTGCTGCGCTGATTAGGCATATCAGTAGTGTTTGTGGCTGTCGGGGACTTTGCTAGCAGCTCATAACCGTTCCTCATGTTTGTGTCGCAATGCCGAGTGCTGATTCCGGATCTCCGGACACGACTGATCTACGTTGGCTAGGAACTACCGAAAAACTCAAAAAACCCGTTAACAAGTCATTTGTTTCCATCCATTGCTGCTGAAGTTTTCTGATTCGTTGCGGCATCTGGAGAACTCCACAGATATCACTCTTGTAAGGATATGGGTATCAAATTTTGAGCATTAAAAACTTCCATGGGATCAGAGATCAGCACTGCATCAGAATCCAGTGTAGCATTGTTTACGTGGCCAGCATAATTGCTTACGCGCTCTGCAGTCTAACCAGCGCCACTTTTCAACACTTATCACATAGTATCTGCTCCCAACCTGCGAAACATCACTGTCTCACTCGTAGTCAGCCTGTGAAAACATCTGTATCCCGTTAATGCAGTCAGCGAAATCAATCACAGACTTCTGTCCAAAATCCCGGGGCTGATTTTGTCATACCACTACATTGCCTTGGCATTCTCACATCAGATTTTAAAGGGGCTCTAGCGAGGCCCCAACTGTGCAACCAACCTCGTAATGTCAGCCCTTTAATTGGAGCACATCGCAATTGCGGCTGACTATCGTTGAAATTATCTAACCTTTTTAGGGGTAGTTAACAAAAACGTTGAATTACTTGTCTCAGTTTGTTATCTCCGTGTTGGGCTTGATAAATATGCCGTGCGTCCGCTTTGACTGTGACAGCTGGGTCTATTCATTTTGTGTCATTTTGGAGTGAGAAATTGCAGCCATGTCGTTGCTTGACACTCTAGACTCGCCGTCCACGAGGATCTTATTAGGATGTCTCTTATTCGCAGGCATTGCCTACACTCTCTACCGCTCAATGCTACCCCGTCCCTTAGCAGACATTCCCTATAACGTCTCTGCGACCAATCGTATCTTGGGAGATCTTCCCGATGTCAAGGCTTTCGGGAGCTTGACCGACTGGTTAGCGACGCAGGCTATTAAGCACCAATCACCTTTATTCCAGGCTTTTATTCGTCCTTTTGGAAAACCGTGGGTTGTTGTCGCTGATCATTATGAAGCAGCTGAGATTTGCACGCATCGTGTAAAGGAGTTTGATAGAGGGACGTCGAGTACGGCTGTTTTTAATTGTGTTGTGCCTGGGGCGCATATTACACTTACGAGCTCGGATCCGCAGTTTAGGAAGAATAAGGAACTTGTGAGGAATTTGATGACGCCGTCGTTTTTGTCAGAGGTGAGATGAGACCATAGGGTAGCATGATCAAAAGACTGATATGATTGAAGGTATCTGCGCCCGAAATTTACGACAAGTTCTCTCGACTAGTTGAACTCTGGAATCTCAAAACTGAGCACGCCAATGGTCAATTCTTCTCGGCCTCAAAGGATGTACACAACGCCGCCCTTGATATCATCGTGTGCGCAGCTTTTGGCCTTGATACCCAACATACCCAACTTGTCAAAGAAATCCAAGAACTCACCCCGGACGACAACCATTCGTCAAAGGTCGACGGCGAAATTGCGTTCAAAGAACTCCCTCTTAATGAAGAGCTCAACGCCCTGGCAACTGTCGCCGAAAGTGTCGCAAAGATCATCAAGACGCCTTCTCCGCCGCTATTCCACTGGATGTATCGCAATTTGTCAGGGACTTTGAAGAACGCGTTTGCTCTTACGAAGAGGTTGCAGGAGCGAGAGATCGCCAATGGAATTAAGCGAAGGGCTAATGGAGAGGCTATGAAGTGTGCGCTTGATGAGATCTCTGTTCGAGAGGAGGCTATGGCGAAGAAAGAGGGGAGAGAGCCCGACTATTACTCTCAGGTGATCACTAGTGAAGTGAGCACCTATGCACCTCGACCCGAAGCATTATACTGATATTTTTTATAGATGATGACGTACCTTATCGGCGGCCATGAAACAACATCGTCTGCAGTCCGATGGGGCCTAAGCTATCTCAGCGCTGATCAAAGAGCCCAATCCGAGCTTCGAAAAGCCCTTCAACAAGCTTATCCTCAAGCCAAATCTGAACGACGCGCCCCTTCACTCTATGAAATTATCCAAACTCGCGTCCCTTACCTCGATGCAGTCGTGGAAGAGATTCTTCGCTTGTCTTATCCTTTTGGCATGACTCTACGAGAAGTCCAAGTTGACACACAGATTCTGGGTGCTCGTGTACCAAAGGGCACGACGGTTGTCTTTCTATCAAACGGGCCTAGCATATTGTCACCTCCGATCGATTTCGACGAGTCACGAAGTAGTGAATGGGTAAAATCTCGCAAGCCGAAACCTTTGGAGAAGGACTATGATTATGTGGGTTTTAAGCCTGAGAGGTGGCTCAAAACAACTACCGATCCAGATGGAAAAGACGACGTGAGCTTCGATTCTCAAGCCTTCCCAATTCAAGCTTTTGGATTAGGCCCTCGAGGCTGTTTTGGGAGGAGGATGTCGTATCTTGAGATGAAGATCTTTTTCACTCTTGTCATCTGGGCGTTTGAGTTGTTGCCCTTGCCAGCGGATGTTGCGAAGCCTAAACCGGTGTCGTCTTTGACTAGAAACCCTGATAGAGTGTTTATCAAGCCAAGAAGGGTAGTATTGTAGATGGACGGGATAGAATGATATATGTAGATTAAGAAACTAAAGGTTTATTTCTGCTCTGCTGATGCTACGCTTTATGCTTTCAAATATTTCGATGCGACCCCGTAAAATAATATCAATGGTAGAACGCATTATCTTCGATGCCCCCCTTCTGAACACCCTCAACCTGATGTCCCCGTCTCACTCACGCTCCCAAGCTTACTATCAACCTTCTTCGCCGGAGTAGGTTCACTCAACAACCCCCCTCGATCATGTAGCACCAAATCATCCGGTTCTACCAAAGTAGTCCCGTCAGTCCGCGACATCTTTATAGTGGCAAGAGATCTTTGTACAAATATTCCCTCAGCGCTAGCGGAGCTTGAAGGGATAATATTCCAGGACCGTGCTCGTGCTGCTATGGCGCGGAAGATTGGTTGCATGTGAGGCATACAAGCTACCAAGATGCCTACGCCGCTTTCGATATTTGACCATACGACGAATCCCTGTGCGTCGGCTGTTGTTTTCGAGTTAGAATAAGGGTCTCGTTGGTTTGAGAAATACTTACATGATGTGTTCAATGTTCTTGTAAAGTCTAGTAAGTAGGGGATGCGGATACAGCTTGCTGCAATGAGACTGGACGAACATCAGATACATGCTACAACGGAGAATGGGAGGCTTACAATATTCCAACGCCAAATATGACCATAACGCCGGCTTTCTTCTTTGGTTGAAGCCCCAAAGAATACAACTGCGTCAACGGCAGGGCAAACATCCAGACGTCAAGAGCGATGTTCACACCAGCGTGAAAAAAGATAATAGCTGGAGTGTTGAGCGTTATTCCACGAGGCGGATATTCTTTCCATCCTTCCCAAAGTAAGTGAATTGGTTGTCGCTGCAGTGCGCCGCATACGGTGAAGATAATTGTCGTGAGAATGTTGAATGCGATGGTACACTTGATAACCAATCTGAAAGTCGGGTCGGGGAATGTTCGAAGGAAGAAGTAGAGTATTGAGAGTTTGATGAGGCAGAGACTTAGGACGTAGGCGTATTGAACGACGAGGAGATACTGAAGATGTTAGTCGGGATCGATAGATGATTGCATGGACTTACTATATGAAACGTGGTGATCGTACTGTCATCAAGTGTCCAGATATTCCGGCCCAAGCCCGCAAAGGTCACTATACAGAATAAGTGGTCAGCGAGTTAGGTTAGAGTTATGTTTATTCAGTTTGAAACTCACTGAGGCCCATGATGATGCATTGTACTCCTGTAAAGACCTAGAGGAGTTAGTGAATCAGCACAACGCATGAAGAACGCCCTGAGATCTCACCGATGCCGCGATAATAAGGTAATCGTCCGCACCCCATTGTGAAAAGCGATAGGATTTTGTGACAGTTCGTAGGACGATAGAAAAAACTGCTATCCCAAGAATGGTGTAGTTGATCCCTCTGATATTATGGTCGTTGTCGAGCTCTGGTCTGCCGCAGTTTGTTTGCTCAAGCTTTAGAAAGTCTATCAAGCAACGTAAATGTGAGTAGCTTGCTCCTTATGGGCGATCCAAAGGGTTCTTACCAAACAGGTCTCTTATGGGGCATGCTGTGCGGATACAGCCAGCTACAGTGTTGCTGAGTTTGTGATCGTAGCATATTTGCTCTTTGTTCGCCGATGAGAATGTCGGCTTATCAACAAATTGAGAGAAACATCTGATCTATAAACTGGTTAACAGATACGAAGCATGAGCACGACAGAGGATACGTACGGCACATTGCGACGCGTCTTCTAACCTCTGCGCAGTCGTCGGTGAGCTAGCGCTAACTTGTAGGAATATGCACGGTAAAATGAGAATAAATAACCGCAGAGTTGCGAATAGCTTCATGGTAGTCTACCGCGCAGGCAAATCCCACAAAACATCGAGAAGAAAAGCACCCAAGAACTCAAAAACTCACAGTATGACGGGTACACTTTCTCATTCTTAAGAATTCAGGGGCACGGACTAGGTGGTTTTGCTTTGTCGAAGCTAATCCGTCCATTGGTCTGGATTAGACGAGATTTCCGTACTCTAAACCAATGAGCCAAGTTGATCCGTGCTCATCACACCGAAAGGAGCTAGGGTTGTGCGCCACAAAGATCTTCATGGTATATGCTTATGCATTCCAGGGATACAGATTAGGCTTATTTTTGCTATGCAATCGATGGGGAGATTGGCCGGGGGTTCTTGGCAGGGATTGATTTGGGGTCTGGCTTGTCTGTTGGTGGTGAGTATCAGTCTTGGCTACGGCAATTTTTCCGGCAAGGCAAGCCAATGAGATCATTGATAGAGTACTGCAATATGGTCTGATCATTAATCTGTACATGTCAAGCATTGAATGAACTAGTCTTCGATGGACTTTGCGGTTCAGATTGAGGCTCTTTCGAGGCTGCTTCAATGGTACCGGGATTGAAAAACTGCACATCTCGGAAGGCTACATAGTGGACTTCGTAGGCTGGTTTAACAAATACAAGTGCGAATTAAAATCGGAGCCAAGCCCGGGAAGTTCCATTGACACTGAAGGCTGTGCCGGATATTAGCTGGAGGCTGTAGGGTTGCGATATTCGGATGCCGGCTCAACCCTATTATTGATGGAATAGGGGCTTTGCGGATCACCCATACCGATTGATCCACCTCTGTTCCGGGTACCGATCCCACTATCGGGCGCATTCGAGATCTGGCATCTGTCTAGATCCGGCAAGGCGCTTAGTCTGGAAGCGTTTACTCTGCTGAGAGCTACAGACAATAGATGGAGGCTTTGTGATATATAATATCTAATGCCTGGAACATAAATTCCAAGGACTGTTGGTAAATGCTCTTATGTTATTGCAGGCCAGTTTGTACACTGACTGATACTGACTCTGATTAGAGCATGACGAGAGACCTAATGATTGATGGTTGAGAGACTGATGTTCAACCATCTGCTTACTTAGATTAAAGAGAACTAAGGTCAGGTACTTCGGGAACGTCGGCAGAATCCTGCCTATATTAATTAAACAGTGATTAACGAATTAGAGGCTGTAAAGCCAGAGTGTCCCTAAGGACGATACACCCTTATCAATTCTTGATGCGTCCCTATCAATTGCCTTATTATAACCTAAAGAACTATAGAAGAACTCAAAAAGCCAAATGTGATAGCAGTTGTGATTATTACTGGTATAAGTAATATGCAAGGTCTCACAGTGAAAAGCAACAAGCGAGTCGTGATAACAATCAACCCTTTTGTTAGAGCTCAATTATTACAGAAGAGCCGGAATCTCCCCTCCCCCTACTCCTAAAAAAAAAAAAAAGAAAAAAAGGGAAAAAAGCCAGAGGCTGACAAGGTAATTTTAAGCAGGTGACCTAAAAAGGCATATCGTCATTATTTAATAATCCCATCATCTGCTGGCTCATATTGAACCAAGCTGGTAGCTGTGACGCCGGATCCGCCTCCATTATTCCTCTACAAGTATCAGCAGAGACATCCGCAGAGACTTCGTAAGAATTGTCATTGAGCGTTGCGTTTGCGCCGCCGGCCATGTCGCTCGTTCCCAAGGGAGGTTGAAAGCCTAGGGCGTTGAGGCAGTTATAAAATTCCGTGCTAACCTCTGCGCAGCCATTCTGTCGCATTTTTGATGTCGATTTCAACTCATTGTAGCGCAAAGCTACTTCATAAAATATCTGGAAGAGGCGATGGTGCTTCGAGACAATGCTGGAGACGGGGTGAGCGGGTTTAATTGAGTTAACAAAGTTTTGCATCCGATCCAAGTCTTCCAAATCTCCAGTCTCAAGAACATGGCAGAACAAAACAATGAACGGGGCGAATGGCGTGAAAAGGATGATCCTGAGAAAATAAATACAAGGTTAGGTTGAAGGAGCGGAACTGACTGGTCATGTAGATCTGTCAACTCACCAACTCATATATGATGATAAGAGGCTGGGCTGTGTCCCCAAAAGAAATATTGAAGATGATTGATGGCACATAAGAGCTTTCCTGGCAGAATCAATGCACTCTTTAGTAAATGATACGTGCGACCCTACAGGGGCGGGCAAGGTCCGGTGTATCAGCGTCTGCATCGAATACCTTAGGATTCGTCCGATGCAGACATGTATTCGATTAGTGCGCGTTGTTGCTCGTGTACGGCAGATCGGTGCCATTCTCTCTACGAACCAGGTCAACTTTTATCCACGCATCTTAAAGCATGGATGATGATGGGAAAGGTTGAACGAGGTGCTACTGGCAACTTACAATGACATTTTGCGACTGCTCGTGAATTGCATCAAGTTCCTGAGAAAAGGTCATTACTCGAAAGGCACCATCTTCGTTCAGTGAAACAAGTGCTTGTGCACTGTACAGCTTCTCATAAATCTTTCCAGCTAGGGTGGCGAGCTTGACCATGTTCCTGCAGTAGTCCATAGCAGGGCTGCCACCTGGGAATGGAACAGTGATCTCAAAGTCGGGGATTGTAGAGCAGCGCTCCAAGCGAAGACATAATTTCTTTTCTAGATAGTAAATTGCCCAGAAGAGGAGACCGGAGTTACTTGAGGTATCGCACCACGCAGACGACCCTGGTTTTCTGGTGTGGTAACCAAGAAAGTACGCAGTTTGATATGCCGCGAGGACAAGGATCCAAGCCATAGATGGTTTTGACAGTTCAATAGCATAGATGGCCTACGTAGAGTGAGCTCGTATCTTAAACAGTTGACCCAACGGATACACATACACCGAAAAGAAGAGCCAAGGTCATGTCGTGGCTAGGAATAATATGTAGGGATAGCCCCGAAAGAGCAGTCTCCAAGTTCTACTGACAGGAGAGCTTGTATTCCTCCCTGTGATTCTCTGGTGCTTCAGCTCCCTCAAGGGTATCATCGCGGAAAAAGCCTGCACAAAGTGAGTCCTGGCGACCAAGGATCTGGAATGTAAGCTATCACTCACAATAGAGGGCGATGTTCAAAATGATGTATTCGGCGTCAGAAAAGTCCTCCGAAAAGTATACTTTCAGGCATATATCCGATAAAGACTTGGAACCCAGTAGTACACTGAGGAACAGTCATGTAGTTAGACGTCGATATGTGACGGGTAATCAGCATGGACGTTATTTACGTTGTGGAGTATTAGTGTGATGTCGATGTCAGTCAAGTAAGCAAAGGGGCGATGGATATCGCACGTAGCTGAACGTACCTTCAGCACTGCGGATCGCGGCTGCAGCAACTTTGATTGGCGGCATGGTAGCGGGCTTAGGTCGCAGAGCTGCAGAAGGCCGTGCAAAAGAAAAGAGACCTCCTGCATATGGGGGCTGCGCCTTGGTTACATGAACAATCTGACGGAGCGAATCCAACAGCTCTCGTGTTTCAAAGTCAAATCCCTTGCGTCGATCTGCACCAGCCACTCTATCCAGAAAATCTATTGCCAGCGTTGAGTGGGCAGACAGCGAGGATCCGCCTTCCAAGACCAATCCTTCTCCCTCTTTCTGTCCCGTAGGAAAGTTTGCCTCAGTCGCGGGAGATGCCGTGGCGTGCTGACTTGCTATGCGAACGGATAGGTTGTTCTGGCTTGCCGAATTGGTTGGCAATTGGTTATCGATCGACTGCGGTGAACAAACGGAGCGGCTCGAAGTATTTGGGCTCGAGGACGCGAGGTCATCGGTAATCTGGCGAGATCGATTGTTCCCGTCCGTAGCGAGTTGACTGATACAACGATCTATCTGCTCCAACCTTCTATCAATGAGGTCGATCTTCTCCCCGCTATAGCAACTGGTGTCAGATTCTAAAAAGGGAAGGGCAGTGGAATTCTCAACGTACTACTCTGCGCCTATAGTCTTTTGCACTCCATTCCGTTTCGGCCTAGGGGCACGTAGTGACTGAGTGCACTGCAGCTTCAGTTTCTAGCAGTTAGAGCAGGGTATGTTCCTATCGCAACGTATCTTCAATGTCCAGTCAGCCTCGCAAACTTGATGCGTCCAGACAGGGGTTTTGCAGCTCAACCTTTTTTAGTCGGCAAAAATCACACTGCAGTAGGAATGGTTAGCGAAAGTGCACAGCTACCCGGAGATGTGTCTCTTTGACGCTTAGGGCGGATTCTTACAGCCTTCCTGCTTTGCGTAAGAGCAATACGGCCCAGGCCAGGCGACTCAGGACTCTCGATAGCACTCATTTCCATAAACCATAGCGTTAAAAGTTCAAGTGGCCCGGAACTCTATTTCCCGAGACGGAGAGATAGGGGGAGGACAACGGAGATCCGTGGTGAGCACGGAATGGAGATATGGTCTCAGCCGAAGGTGCGGCACTCCAAGGTTATACGGAATGTGGTGGAGGAAATTCGCTTGCCGAAAGTCTCGAAAGTCCGGACCCCTAAAACATGCACCCTATGACGGTATCTGCCGGAGTCCGCGGGTACCGCCCACCGCTCACAATACTCTCCACAGCCACTGACTAACTAATTCTTTTCGTCTGGAAGTTCAGAACTCACTCGGGGTACCTATAGAAACCATTCATCGATCGTAAACAAGAGTAGAGTTTTATCGCCATCGCCAACATCAGCCTCTGACTTGTGACACAGTATCGTCAGCTGGAGAAGGAGCAATTATTGATGAATCTATCGATGGTATTCCATACAGGTGATGGGAATGGCATAGGTGAACCAACAGCAATTAGTTACTAGGAGAGACTAAATGATAGGTCAGGGGGTAACTGAAATAGGAAAAATCCCATTCATTGGAAAATACTAAACTCCCAAGGCGAAAGGTGCTTAAATTAAATGACCTTGAGCATGAGTGAAGACACCTACAGCTATAAGTGATCTAGTTTTAGGGGGAAGGAGGTCCAGTGGGAATGGGAGTTTGCACTGACCAAGAGAGTGGAAGGACAACAATGAGAAGTTGAACGAGAGACCGTTGGCTACACTCGTGGCCGGGCTCTCACTCTATAGTCCGGACTCCGAAACCAAAACAAACTACATTTGATATCAAGACCACTATCAGACTCCTGGGGTGCGCAACGGGTGGGACAGCTTGCGGATACACCACTGTCTCGATACTTCCGTGACGATTTCCACGGCCTAAAATCGCGAAAGCTGTACAATGTATTCTAGGTCGTTGGAGCTTGCCTATGCCAAGAGAAGTATGTGACTTGCAACCATGACCACGGCGGGAAGCTGAGTGACCAGAAAGCGGTGGGCTTGGACAGTGCTAGTCGGCCTTCCTACACGGTCACCATGGCCCGTGAGGCAGCTGCTACGACCATAACTGCTGGTTCAGTGGGGAGATACACCATGTTGATATCAATATTGTGAAGATCACCTGCCAGGAGGGCAGGACAGCCTCGGCGAGTATTTCATTGGTACTAATTTAGTATGAAATTTGGGAATATTAGAGTTGGCATAATAATACTGAATGACTTTGATCCAGGGCCCTTCACTAGTTGCACGTAACTCGGTCGGCAAGATGGCTATTCAAGTCGCTGCATACAACCCAACTCCAAACTCTGTGAGCCTCCGCGGCATAGTGGACGTTCTATCAATAGCCGGAACTAGCCGATGCATAATGTATCTCCATCGAGCCTAGGTTCAAAAGGGTTTATTCTACTTAGATGGTATGGGGTCTATTATTAGAAACTGGTCGACCAGCGTCACTCTAAATAGCTTCTCTAGGCTTTCTTGGGTAGCTCATTAAACGCAACTGCCTTCAGCAGGTCTGCCTCTGCGATATTCTATTATTTGTAAACAAAAATGGATTAAGACAAGAAAGGAATGCAAAAGAATGTAAGAATCTCTAACTAGCGCAGTCAATGTCCGAGGTTCTGCGCCTCACACATCTTCTTATACATGTCGCTCCTAGCCAGTAGCTCATCGTGTGTTCCTGTCACCAGGATCTTGCCATTATAAAAGACACAAATCATGTCGGCGTGGCGGACGGTCGACAATCGATGGGCGACAGCAATTGTAATTCTGTCACCCGTCTTGGCAGCTTCATTGAGAGCATCCTGGACTACTCGCTCTGACTGCGTGTCCAAAGCGCTAGTAGCCTCGTCGAGGAGAAGCAGGCGTGGATTTCGGATAAGCGCTCTGGCAATCGCGATGCGCTGGCGTTGACCGCCCGAAAGTTGAAGGCCGTTGGATCCGCAGGGAGTGCCGAGGCCCTCCGGTAGGGAGCAGATGAAATCCCAGGCGTTGGCGGAGCGACAGGCCTGGATGATGTCGTCTTCAGATACTGATGAAGTGTCTTCGTTGGGGACACCCATGGCGATGTTCTCGCGAATAGTACCAGGATAGAGTTTGGGCTCTTGTTGGACGAGGGCGACTTCCTTACGGAACGCCCAAGGGTTCATCTCATCCAGGTTCTTGCCATCCAGAACAAGGTGGCCACGGACTGGGTCGTAGAAACGCTCCAGCATGGCGATCATGGTACTCTTTCCACAGCCCGAGGCACCGACAAAAGCAACAAACTGGCCTTTCTTAATCTTGAGATTGATGCCACGCAAAACTTGAGCGTCAGGCCTCAAGGGATAAGAGAATTGTACCTTGTCGACATCGAGGGACTGGAATCCTTCAGGGCCATTGGCGCGATTCTCGTCCGTCTCCCGGATGGAAGGGTTAAGCTGTTCGAGCCAGAAGAGGTAGTTGGCAGCGTTGGTTGCTTTCGTCATGCTGCTGGCAAATCCAAAGAGAATAGACGCCTGCTGGCCGGAGAAAAACACTCCGAGGAACGCAACAAAGAAGTTAACCATGGTGAGGTCCCCAGTGGAGACCAGGCGGCATCCATACCAGAAGCCCAACGCCTGGAATGCGTACTCGACGCTCTGGGTGAATGCAAAGGGCAGCATGATTAGACAAATTGGCTTCACTGAGTCGGTGATGGCGTGCTGGAGCTCCTTGTCATAGTTGTCAAGAACCGAGTTCTCAATAGCCAGGGAAGAAACTGTCCGGATAGCGCTTATAGCCTCTGATGCAATGGATGCGCTCTGTGAGAATCGCTTGGAGATTTTTATATCCATCTGGGCTTCCATTTTCAGACGAGCGTAGCCCGAGAGCAGCATGGGTGGAAGGCCAGCGAAGATAATAACGACACCCAATCTCCATCCGTAAGCCAAGGCCACAATAGAGCATGACAACAAACTGAGAACTGAAACCAGGATAAGGGCAACGTTGAAACCCATGAGCTCAAAAACAGCTTGAGGGTAGGAATCTACCCGGCTCGACAAGGCGCCTGTGGTGTTCTCAGGACGGTCAAAGAAACGAAGGTCTTGTCGAAGCATATCGTTGATGATTGCCTTTCGGTACTTGTGGTTCAATGTCTAGCAGGCAATGAGAAATGTTTTCCAATTCAAAGTATCCAAGGCTGTTTCTTACCTGACCAACGACGTTGGATGTCCATCCAAGAACAAAATAAACGACGAGACAGCCACAAGCCATGGCGAAGAACATCAGAGCGAAAAAGCTTCCCTTCTTCTGCATCGCATTGCTAGTGAGCTTGAAAACGTCAATGAACCGCGACATCAAAATAGCTTGACCAGGGTAGGCAGCGGCTTCCAGTATGTTAGCGTAAACCCAGAGAGCTTCAAGTGTGCGATTTGTCTTACCTGCGGCCATACAGGACAACGCCAGCAACAGATACGTGTACTTGAGTTCAGGAGTCGATCTTAAGATTTTCCACACAGTATGGATAAGTCCAACCCGCTTGAATTTATCATAGTCATCACGGTCTAGGTCAGACTCTAGACGTCCTTTGGTCGTGGTCGAGTACCGTGTCAGCGACCTGGTGAGCGCAGCTGGTTCGTCAATGGCCTCATCCTCGTCGCCTTCGGTCGAGGAGTCACTATCGAAAGCTGGCTTTGCATCTGCTGACAGATCCTGAGCTTTAACCAAGCGAGAATAGGCACCACCGGCCTCAACAAGAGAGTGGTGTGTACCCTGCTCAACAATACGGCCCTTATCCATGACCACAATGTTATCAGCGTTGCGTATCGTAGCCAGCTTATGCGCAATAGTGACAGTAGTGCGACCCTTGGAGACATTATCGAGAGCTTTCTGAACAATCTCCTCAGCCTGGGGATCCAAAGCGCTAGTGGCCTCATCGAGAAGTAGAATACGCGGCTGCGAAACAACACTTCGAGCAATAGCCACTCGCTGCTTCTGACCTCCAGAGAGCAAGCCGCCTCTTTCACCGATGATCGTATCGTAGCCGGCCGGAAGGGCGCTAATGAAGTCGTGAGCGAAAGCAATCTTGGCAGCTTCTTGAATCCTCGCCAACTTCTCCTCCCGTGAATCGTTCTCCCACGCTGTACCGATGAGACCGTTTGCAATATTGTCGTAGACCGTGCCCGAAAACAAGACTGGTTCCTGTTGAACAAGACGAACGTGCTTCCTCAGCCATTGGACATTTATCTTATCGATTGGTCGGCCGTCTAGCATCACAGAGCCCGAGTTTGGATTATACCATCGTTCAATAAGGCCGATAATTGTGCTCTTGCCGGACCCACTGGCTCCAACGAGAGCTGTCACCTGGCCAGCGGGAATATGGAGGGAGAAGTTTTCCAGTACCGTGACTCCGGGGCGCATGGGATAGCTGAAGCTAAGGTTCTCGCAGTCAATATTGCCCTCGATCTCAGTAGGTTGCTCTCCAACGTCAGAAAATGGGTCGATGGCCGATGTGCGGTCAATCAGTCGGAAAATCTCGGCCGCGGCGGAAGCAGCTCGACTGAAGTCAATCAAGTAGGGAGCGATGGACGTCAAACTTGCAGACGCGACGATAACCGACATGAGGACGATAAATACATCGCCAGGCTTGTCTACCTCGCCGGTGGCGATCATCTTGATAGCTTGCCAGAAGCACAAGCCAATACCGGCGAAGATGATGAAGTACTCAACGGAAAACATGCAGCCGAGGAGCGCATTCTTCTTATTACCAAGCCTATGGGCCTCATCCAAATACTTATCGAATTCTCGGACGAGTCGCGTTCGAAGAGCAAAGGCCTGGACATTTCGAGCGCTCGAGAGGATACTCTCTGCGAAGGAACCGCCCTGTGCGTGGACCTTGAGGATTTTGGTTTCGATCGCGGCTTCCAAGGCAGAGCTGACGCCCATGGTAATAAGAGTGGCTGGAGCAATGCAACAGCAGATTAAAGTCATCTTCCATTGAGTGACAAAGGCCAAGATAAAGGCGGCAACAAAGCAAGACAGTCCTTGGACCATGAGGCCCAGTTTTTCTGAAATGCCAGCCTGAATGAGTTTGCCGTTAGAAGTCGCCTGCATGGCAATCGACCCGCCGATTCCAGAGTCGAAGTAGGCAATTTCCTGGCTAAGGCCGGCTTTGACATAGACGCAGCGGATGTTTCGAGTGATACGATAGGCAGCGAGTGTAAAGAGAACACTGTAGCCGTAGCTAGCGACAAATCGAGCGATTCCGATTACGAAGAAGTACAGCCTGTTTCAATGTCAGCCTAGTGTTAAAACCTTGTCGATGTTAGTCGTGGCACAACGTACGCGAGTCTGGCTGCGTCACTGCGGAATCCTGCAGGGGATGATTTGCCCGTGGCATAGTCGGTGATGACGGTGATGAACTGGCCAAACACCAGATTGACCATGGCCATGGCAACTCCAGAGCCCACAGCGCAGAATGTAGCCACAGCCTGCATAGAATATTCAGTCGAGGTGGCATATCGGAAGATTCTCTGCAGAATGAAAATGCGTCAGCAGTCAGGTCTCGGTTACCAAAGTAGAGAGGGCTTGGTTGAGCCCTCTCGTTCCACCTACAGCATATCCTTCGCCTGCGCCGATGTCTTTGTCGCCATTTTGGTCGGGTCCTAGGACCTGTGGCTTCTCAGAGATGCCCATGGTGCCTATGGCTCAGGCTTTGGATCAAGGCAGGGTCTGAAATAATCAAGCCTTGAAGAACTGGAGGAAAGGAAACACTGATGATCACTGGATGGCTTCAACTTATAAGGAGCGACGAGGGTGAGCTGTGTATAAGGTGAAGCAGATGAGAAAGGAAGAAACAAAAACACTGAGGGGAGCGAAACCTCATCCTTTTCTTGTAGATTTGCTTGTTGGTATGCAAACCAACTCCTTGGTGGGTAACAAGTAAGTAGAATCTGGGGTCTACTTTTGTCTCTTGAGTCTTTTGCTCTCTTGCGGAATCTCGGGTCTACCGATCTCCGATCTTCCGTCGAGGGACGCAGATGACAGACGCCAGGTAAGGCCCACCAGAAGCGGCGACCTACTACCTTATTTCCCGGAGCGAAAAGGGACCTAAAAAGTTCCGTACTGCCTACAGTAGGAGGCAAAATGTATTCGATCTCCTGCTAGCTCGGAGTCCTCGACTAGCCTATTAAAGTTCTTAAAAAAGAGCATAAAACTTCAGCCTTACACAAAACTAATCAGGCTAGCCAATCACACTTCCTATAGCATAGTAGTAGCTTAACGAATTAGGCTAGTCACGGGATTCGAGCAAACAGGGAGTCGAATACATTTTGCCCCCCACTGTAGATTACCATGGTCAAAGATCAACAAGGATATCATTCTCCGAAACATGCATATAAATAACACAAGGCTGGCCGGAGTGACGGCCTCCGAACTTTCCGGCTCTCACCCCGCATGACATACAATAGATACTAGTACACTGGATATCTGGATGAACCAAAAGCTGCTCGGGTACGAATGACCGGAGCATCTGATCATGTGATTGGCGAGGCGTAATTATAGTCTGGGAGAGAAAGATAGGGATGCTAAGGGCTTCGACATTCTAGGCTTTATACGCTAATACGGATTGTGCGAACAATAAATCCCGTGGCGGCCGCGGAACCCGACATTCGCATCTCAGATATGACGTTCTCTTCTTTTCCAAGGTGAAACTTAGGCTTCGGTGGCTGCTGCAACGATCAATCGAACTCCTCGTCGTAATGCGGAAAAAGCACCGTCCGTTATTTTGCGTTTATCCACGGAGTACAGATATTAACGTACCAGCTCGACTTGCCATGTAGGCGGATATTTGGCCGAGAAGGCTAGCGAGGTCTTCGGGGAGGGGAAGGGCAACAGAAGGTCTGATGTCTCACAAGTGGCGCACTGGAAGACGGTTGCGATTTTGATCTCTTCCCTTGCTACATGCAGACATACACGGAATCAGAGATTCCGGACTCCGTAATCTATGTACTACGTAGTAGTTGATTTAACATCACAGTGCATATATGCGTGAAAATCGATACCACTCCCCAGAATCTCTTACTGGCGACTTGTTGTGGATGTCTTTGTCATTCTATTCAGTTCTTTACCCTGTTAGAGTATTGTGGATGGAAATGCCAAGCCATCAACCTTGGCCTTAGTGAAAAGGGGCTGGCGATTATCTTCGGTCAGGTAACCTTTTTGTTCAGATCTGTCTAGCTCAATTGCAGCATTTCACTTCATCACCCTAGCTTCTGCCACCAGATTCCATTTGAACCTGAAAACTTGCAATTATCCGTAACAGTCGTACCCTTCTGTTAACCTAAAAACGAAAAGTCTACTGAAGCCTGGCCCTCAAGCAAGTTCATCATGTGTTGATTCCCTTCGAACCACTCTCCCAGCTCCGTCGTATGGCCCATCCACGCAGTCGGAAGCATTCCTCCTTGACTGTCTACTCCCGGCACATTGTCACAATAACCATCGAGGGCCTGTCGAATATTGACATCCTGGTATGTGACCGACAAAAAGTCAGTGCTTTGTTGCTGGCAGTTCTCCTGGTTCATTGGGGGGAACCCTAATGCAGTAAGATAGGCATTCAAAATGGCCTGTTCATCTGCTGGGGCCTGTTCTCGGCTCAATGTCGAGGACCGGTAAACGGTATAACGCTGCGCGATCTTAGAAAGGACCCCAAAGAGTCTGTGCATCTTAGACGCGGCATCTGAGAGTGTTGGAGCAACGGCCTCTATTGATGCTACAAAGCCATCAAGACGGTTCAGATCTTCTTCTCCACCTTGGGGTGATTCTATAACATGACAAAACAACACGATGAAGGGAGTGAAAGGGGCAAACAAGAGGGTCCTGGCCAAGTTTTGTGTGAGCTGTGTATAACTTGATATGCGGCGTGGTGATATGTAAGGAGTTGCCTCTACTCACCAATGTATATATGTGGTGAAATAGGTGGAGGTAATATCCCTGAAGGTGGTTACGAAATCCTGGTGTCGTTGGAGCGTAGCTCTCGCTGCCTCGAGGCAGTCTGGGGTGAAGGCGGACGGGGATCCTGGGGAAGTTGGGCTTGCGCGATACACTAGGGTGAGGAGCGATAGGCGGAAGACATCATCTGAGAGAGTCATGTACTCAATCAGGCGGTGACCAAGTGTGTCTCTGGCTTTCTGGAAGTAATTATTCTAGAACATGTTAGCAGTTGGACCTAAAAAACCAAACTCCCAACTGCGCTTGGCCACAATCAAAAGCAAGCTCACCCTTATGTCGCAGGCTTCCCGCGCTAGTTTATACAGGTCATTTGAGATCGACTGGACTCGAGATTTCCGTACATGATCGGGTTGCGTGATAGAGTCTGGGCTGTACAGACTCTCGTAGATCTTGCCCTGACATCGCGCCGTGTTGATCCACATAGTTATGCTAGCATCAATTAGGGAGCAAGTACCAGGTTCTGAAATCATCGGGGTGGTAATTTCCCAGTCTTGAATCGTCGAGGCCCGCCCTAAGCGTAGCGACAGGCTCTTATCGATGAAGTACGTGAACCAGAAGAGGAGTTGCCCATGCCTCTTCTCCTCGGCGACAACACCTTCCTTTATAGAAGGAATCCGATGGTAGCCGAGAGTCTGGGATAACTCAGATGCTTTTGACGACAAAGTCCAGCAAAGTGATGGCTTTGAGATTTCGATGGTATGGAAAGCCTATGTGTTTCTTGTGAGATGAAGTGGGTTATATTAGAGTGAAAGGGAAAATTACGCACGCCTAGTAGGAGGGCCGCGATCATGTCCAAAGTGGCAGGTAAATGTAGAGGCAAGTTAACCAGTGCCGTCTCAAGGTTAGTGCGGCATATATGGGCGTAGTTGAGGCCTTCAGTGTTGTCGGGTACTTCTTCAGATTGCACAATAAATAGTTGTAAAAGGCCAGAGTTGGCAATGATAAAGTCGGCCTCGGAGAAATCTTCAGAAAAGTAGACCCGAAGGCAAATACTGGAAAGGCTTCCCACGAGAAGTTCATGAAGCCATACTGATGATTCAAATAAGTTCGCTAAGATTAGGATTCTCAGTCAATCAAAGGTGAGAACCTAAGGTAGAAGTGATCTGTGAGACCTGGAATATATTGCTTACCTTTGGCACCGTGTAGTAGAGCTACTGCTTTCCCGATTGGTGGCATTTCACTTTCACGAAAAGAAGGACGCAGTAATGGTTTTGCGAGAGGATAAGACATCTCGGTCTTTGATGTCTGCTGTTTGAATGCGCCAAGAATGCAGTGCAGCGAGTCTAGTGTCTCATTTATATCGAGATCTAGACCATGCAAACGCCCGTTGTGAACCGCCTGTTGAGGAAAGCTGCTGGGAAAAGCGGAATGAGAGGCGACAGACGACCTTTCATCAACGAATGGGGTTTCTACAGTCGTCGGCTTGGATGTTCCGTTGATTGAAGTTGACGGCGATGCCATGATTGCAGGGTTTGCAGTATCAACCCTAAGGGGGACAGGGGGCACTGACGTAGTAGAGTAGGCTCCAGGAGAGGGCGAGAGAGTCTGGAGATTATGTAGTAGTTGGGTTATGGTTTCGAGGCGGCGATCTATGAGGTCGATTTTCTGCTCACTGGAAGGCACGTGGTTCAATATTAGCGAGGTCGATGGATGAGACTGTGGTTTCAGTAATGCCATGTTGAACCAAGCAACGCAAGCTTAAAGAGTTTGGAGGAACGAACTATTTGTTGGACACTGACGCCCGGTTCCGTTTCTCTCTTCTGCTTCTCACACCCTTGATACAGGGTATCTTTACTTGTAAACAGTGAGAGCAGGGACAGTTTCTATCGCAGCGGATCTGAAATTCATATCAGATATTGCTCAAACACTGCAAAGTGGCTTGTTGGAATCCATGACTAACACCGCAAGACTTGGGGAGCAGGTTAGCCAATGGTGTATCTTGATCCAGCTTACCTTGCGAGAACGACAAGCGTCACACTGTGGAGTTGTCAGTGGAGTGGGCCAAATTTGAAGTGAGATAGATATAGCCTACCGCCCTGCGAAGAGGAAGAGCAGTGGAGGATGCATCTTGCGTAGGCCCTGCGGAGAGCTCTCGTTCGGCGACGGTATCTGATTGAGAATTATCGGCCATGCTACTGACCCGTGGGCTCAGGGCGCGGTGTAAGTAGGGCGTACTCCGTATCTGGGGGTTAAATGCAGTAGGCGGCTTGCGATGAAAGTTGCGAGGCTACATGGCATGACAGTAGTTAAACAGTAGATATCTCATGATTCATTAAGAGACAAAGTCGAGTTGGCGAAATGTCTGGTGGAGAACCGAAGCACTCGTGGCTCCGAATTTTGGAGCGCACCCGCGTCCGTCGGACCCCGACCCATACCCACACTTTGTCACAGTACGCTGTGGCGGAAAGGAGAATCTGCTAACTTAATCTTTAATCTGGATCACTAGTCGGTAAAGCATCCCTGACACTAAGCCTTTTTGAAAAAAGCTCAAATTCGTCACATTGACAGACAGGGTAGGTAGAGCAATTTGTGGGTTGGGTTGGGGTTGTCGGGTGGAAGAAGAGAAGGCGAGGGCGCGAGGCGGATCTCAGTTACCCTTGAGTTCCATTTTCATCAACGCCTGCGACAAGTATGTCTACCAGGAAGGCGCTGTCACGGTCTTTTGCTTTTGTCTGCCTTGATAATCTAATTTATTATACGCAAGACAAAAGAGATAACCTATTGTATACACCTGGAGACGAGGAAACGGCCAGTCTTTGGTCGAACATGGACAGTACTTCATCTGCAGGATACGCGGCCGCTAGGCAACGGAGCAGTAGTACGAGTGTTATGGGCAAGGAAGTGGGAAGTAGTACCTCCCGCGATGGGGTATACGCTCGTAATTTCACCAAGAGACGCAGCGACGCAGATGATCATGGCCGAGACGGCTACCCAGCCCCAGATAATATTCACCGGGCCTCCAGTAGTGACAGGTGGGTTGAATGTTGTTGCAAGTCCGTAAGGGATCGAGGCAAGGACAAAGGCCATGAAGGCGACCTGGAGGGTTGATCGGTTACGCTGTAGCTGGGGCGTATAGCCTAGGCTCTCGAGGATCTGGTCACCATCGTTGTGCGCTTTAGATAAATGCGGCGCCGCCTCGGTGGCCTCGTCAGCAAATGCCTGCTGGTTGGGTTCTGAAGCGCCCATAATCAAAGGTGTGAATTGGAAGATCTAAAGAAGCACGTGAGTAGGTGTAGCGAGGGATTGCACGCGGAAAGTCGACGTGGAAATCTCGAGTCACCTCTGCTTCTGCGTTCTTTTATTTGCTTGGGCGCCAGTGTCAAAACGCGACACCGATAAGTGCTCAAGCAACTAATCAAGGTTAGACACTCCAATGTCTAAAATTCTGAGTGCGAGAAACCGCAAAAATGAGGCAGATGCAGACGGGCTCGAAGCAGAGACAAGGAAACTAGCAGGCGAGTCGTATGATTTCCCTGTTGCTAACGTATCAGGCGGGAACGGGATGGGGAGAAAAAAGAGCGGAATGCTTAGATGTAAAAAAGAAAAATAAGGGAGAGGAGAGAAAATTCTATGTGATGGTGAGAGGCAGCCGGTACAGAAAAACCCGCGAGAGCACTAGACGCTGGTAACAGTTGTGTAAGAAAAAAGGGGCGCAGTGTCACCAGATTCAGTTCTAGAGCAATAGCACGTGTATTTCATTCACGATTTCGCTGGAGGACGATACCATTTGTTGTTATAATGCGTGAACTAGGTAGGAATAGGTAAGTAGCTTGCTTTATTGCTGCTCAGTTTCGCCGAACGAGGGCATACGGCACACAGATTGGTGGTTTTCTCAACATTCGTTTGTGTGAGGTATTTATCATGAGAGAACCCAGCGGATGACATAAATCTCTGTCTAGCCAAGTCAGTTTTGTGTTCCCCATTGACTTAGGGGACCGAACAGGTTGCAAATCCTACGCATAAACTAGTCTGATATTTTTTTGCTACCATGATGGGAATCAAGGTACTGTGGGATTGCTACTGAGGCTTAGTGCTAATCTGATTCTCCCCCCTAGCTTAGGAGCTACTTATTTCCATGATGTGGTGCTACACTAAGGTCCAGGTCCTCTTATTTGGCCCCCCATTCCAAGCATGTGGGGTAGACGCCATCTGTCGGGTCCCGTAAACACCGTCTCTCGGTTTCAGGAGTCCGCGCACCCCGTCTTTACATCCTAGTGGCATAGAAATCATTTTTCGTAAAAGGCTTTTTTGACGTCAAAGGTCGTGTCTTAGATAAACTCATCGTAGTATGGCATAAGGATCCACCAGCTTGTATTAACCCGTGCTCTAAGCTCGTTCTAATGTAACAAGCAGGGTGTACACAAGGCATTCCTTGGTCAATGATTAGGGAGGAACTTAGGGAGCTCTGGATTGGCCGGCTGGCATAGCTGAAGAAATAGCAGAGATACACAGGGAGGTCGGTCCCCTAGCGTTGTGGAGATGACGGCCGTTGCAGCGGTCACACCTCTGTCAGTTATGTCCACTTGTGCCAATAGGCCACCTAACAGTTGTTTCTTGTGCCCGCTTCCACCGGTGCTTACTAGGGCTTGGGAACTTGGTCGGAGCTTGTTTTTTGGCTGGGTTACGTCGCGGGTCGGATCGTGGCAACTGCAAATGAGAACAAGGCGTCTCCGGGGCTCCTGTTTAAGTCACCCATGCGAATATCTCCATCCTGATCTGTACGCGACAGAGACGGTGCGCTCAACTTGGCAGGCCGCCAATTGTCATCTAGATGCCGGAGTTTCGGGGCATCACGGCGCTCCAGCATTGCCCGGGCATATCACACTGCGATTTTCCATAAGTGATCAACAGCCGAAGCCCTCATAGTCATGTATAGCTGTCCATGTTACATCTTGGCACAGGTTTCTCATAGCTCAATGCCGTCGTATGGCTCAGCGCCTCTCAAATGTGATCGGCGTTGTGTTTCGCCATAGCAACTGATGTTTTCACATCAGAGGAGCTGCCATTTATAAATACCCATTCAACGGTTCGCCTCCCCTATTTGTTGACACGCCTTGATGCAACAAATGTCCATACTAGAACATCCATTCATACCACACACCGGCTGAGTCGCGCCGTTCGAGTCATGGACAACACCGAAAATCACACTACCACTTCATCATGGATGCAGCAATCCCCCCTTGCCTGGCTGGGAGGTTGCGATGTCGTCTATCTCGTCTTTTGCCTCGCCGTCTCCGCATACACTATCTCGCATGTGGTAACTAAAGCGGGCGACAAGTGGCCCGTCCTTAATCCAACTGGATTTGAGATCATCGGGATCAAGCGAAGAATGGAATTTGCGAAGGCTGCTCGCAATTTGATTGAGAAGGGTCGCCAGGTGTTTCCTCAACAACCCTACCATATGATCACGGATACGTGTGATCTTCTCATTCTACCACCCAAGTTTGTTGATGGGATCCGGAACAACCCCGACTTGAACTTTAGTGGGAGCATCGTGGAAGACTTCCACGCATCAATTCCCGGCTTCGAGCCGTTCCGAGATGGCCGCGAGGACGAGCTCACCAAGACTGTTGTGAAGAAACAGTTGACAAAGCTATTGAGTGAGAACCAATCTGCGTCATCTTGGCCAAAATAGACGTCAGAGCTAGAGTTGACAAATCATCAGACCAGGTGACGGAGCCCTTGTCGGTTGAAGCCGATTTCGCCCTTAGGCACCATTTTGGTACTTCGTCAGGTGAGGACCGGCAGAAGTGATGGGGTGGTCACGATGCTAACAGGTTGTAGAGTGGAAGGAATACGAGACTTTTGAAGAAATCCTTGATGTCGTCGCCAGAGTTTCAACCAAGGTGTTTCCCGGATCCGAGCTCTGCCGCAATGAAGAATGGCTCAAGATTACCAAGAACTACACTGTCGATTCTTTCATTGCTGCCTATATACTTCGCATTTTCCCAAAGCCGCTTCGTCATATCGCTCACTGGTTCCTGCCGCAATGCCAGAGGATCCGCCAGCAATTTGCAGATTCGAAGAAGCTTATCATGCCCGTCATCCAGGCCCGAAGAACGCTCCGCCGGCGCATGCAGGTAGAGGGAAAACCTGCTCCGGATTTCAATGATGCCATTGACTGGTTCGATCATGAAGCGAAAGGTGAACCCTATGACGAAGCCTCATGCCAACTCGGCCTGTCCATGGCAGCCATCCACACCACCACGGACCTCCTGATCGAAACGATGCAGAACATAATGTTGCATCCCGAACTGGTCGAGGATCTTCGAAAGGAAATCGTTCAAGTCCTGGGCGCCGAAGGCTGGAAGAAGACATCGCTGTACAATCTCAAACTCGTCGACAGTGTTGTCAAGGAGTCTCAGAGGCTAAGGCCCTCGGCAATGAGTAAGCTCCCTGCGATCCCCGACCAGCTACCATGATACTACAACAGGCTGCTGACCCATTCACAGTCGCGATGCAGCGCACAGCCATACGGGATACTAAGCTGCCTGACGGTTCTGTTCTGCGCAAGGGCCAGCGATGCGCTATTGATTCGTACGGTCCGTCAGGTATGGCTGATAGCGAGCATTACGAGAACCCTGACGAGTTCGACCCGTACCGCTTTGCGCGCATGCGAGGCCAGCCCGGACTAGATGCCAAGTCACACCTCGTGAGCAGAGGCCCGGCACACCTCGGGTTCGGCCACGGCCAGCACTCTTGTCCTGGGCGTTTCTTTTCGTCGAACGAGATCAAAGTCGTGCTGTGTCATCTACTCATCAATTATGACTGGAAGTTTGCACCTGGTTTCACACCAAAGCGTACCGAGAGCGGTTTTATTTTGGGAACTGATCCGAAGAACAAAGTGCTTCTTCGGCGACGCAGCAACCCTGAGATCGACCTGCTTAATTTACAAACCTCGATAACATAAATGATGATATAGAACGAATTGCGGATTACCATGACACAATCTCCCCTCCTACGGATGGTGTACCTAGCTGCTGTACTGCTGGTTGTATTAGTTGGTGTCTAAGCAGTTTGATTGATGATTCAAAGTTTGCCATGTGCAGGCCGTGTCGCGTCTTCCCATCGGTATATAGAGAGAGACAGGGGAATGCAATATATCAACATACGGAGTGGCATACGAGATGAACCGCCGTTACACTAGATACTGCAATCTTGATCCTCCCTTGACCACACATTACTTCACCATCTGGTCCGCTAGAACTCAGTGTCGATCACAATTACTGTATGCAGCTTCTCATGATGTACAGGAATCGACAACTTCAAGCTTTTCGTTTTAAGAGTATGAGTCCGCTATGGTACCTTGTCAGTAAAATTTGTGGATTCAACCTGGCCATGGCGTCAGGTGCTCGTTTTTCACAACTTCTCATCGCGGAAAAAAGCAACCGCGTACAACCAGGTTGGCACTTGCATAAGCGGGATGCCTGGTAATTACATTTATATCAATGTCTCGGTTTTCAGCAGCCAACCCCCCGGCGTGTACAGAGTAGCGAAGCTCCAGTTCCTGGAGCCAAACGGAAACCGAACCCCTGGACTAATATCCGGCTTTTCGAGTGCACGTGCACCAATAAAACCAAGTCGTTCCACCATAGCAGGCTGCACACTACTTCTCTACATACACACAACTTTCTTGCATTGCTCTGTACCTTGCCTATCGAGCCATAACCCGCTGTACCATGTTAGAAGAAAAGTATGCTGAATCGCCGCTTGAATAATCCCCACCTGTGCCCGTCAGCGCTGACAGCGTTATGTTGTATAGATACTTTGGGATGGCACTCGCTATCGTATCAAACTCGATCATTGGTATATGAACATCTCGGCCATCACTATGGGGCGAGTCACTCGCTAATGCCGGTATTCACCGAATAGGTGCAAGTTTTATTATAACCAAGAAGGCAATGCAAGCAACTGCGCCGAGCACACTTAGCTGGCAATATCAGGCAAGATAATTGCGAAGATAAGTGCCGTTGGCTGATACTTGGGTTCTGATAGGCCTCAAGGATACAAGTCAATACCATGCCTTGAGAGGACAAATTTCTAGATATATAAAAACCCCCACCTGGTGGATTGGATTCGCAGCGCGTAAGTGAAGGACCTGACGTCGCTGTTTCTTTGCCATCATTGTTAACAAAAAGAGTAAAGTGGCCATCGGGGAGCTTGGTAACTTCGCAGCGTATGCCTTTGCGCCGGCTATTCTTGTAACTCTCTTTGGGGCTGTCTCAGTCCTGACTGGAGCTATCCTAGGACGATACTTCCTGAATGAGACACTCGGGATCTTGCGCAAGATCGGAGTCTTTATCTGCCTTCTCGGCACCACTCAGATTGTGCTTCATGCACCACCGAACGAGGACATCCGAACTATTGAACAGATCTCGCAGCACGCCGTTCAGCTAGGTAATACACCGGCAGATTAAATTGGCCTTGAGACTAAAACAAACTTCTTCAGGTTACCTTATTTGCATGGGCGTTGTAATCACATTCTCAGTAGTCATGATCCGCAGTGTTGCGCCAACTTATGGGAAGAGCTACCCTCTAGTATACCTATCTGTCTGCTCAGCCGTTGGTTCAATAGCGATCGTTGCTATCAAGGCATTCGGCATTGCTCTGAAGCTTACACTGGCTGGCGATGATCAGTTTTCCCATCTTTCCACCTACGGGTGTATGGTGTTCATGCTAGTCTGTGTTATCATCCAGTTGTACTACTTCAACAAGGCCCTTGCCTTGTTTCCTTTGAGCATGTAAGTAAATCTTATCATCATGTATATGAAATTTGCTGACCATCGGCCACAGTGTCAATCCCTTGTACTACATAAGTTTTACGACTGCGACTCTTTTGTCATCATCTATTCTATTCGGAGGACTCACTACAGTCGGCATCGTCAACACTTTATCGTCAATCTGTGGACTTCTTTTAATATTTGCAGGGGTTTTCCTACTACAGACGGAGAACGCCCGACCAAGCATGGAGCAGCATATATCCTCCGCTGTGTCGATGGACACCGTCAATATTTATGGTTCTGACCGTGGCTTGTAAGCGGATATATCGCCATCGTGCTTTCAATACAGCCAAGTGTAGGATAGAACATATAATCTACCATGACTCGGAAGTCATTGCCCTGTGTCTGGCCCGGATTGTCAGCCTGTCCAAGTTTACCTTGACGACTGTGATGAGATATACCTGTCGTTCCTCAACGATGTTTACTGGACAAGGTGGTGGACAGCACAGTACTCCAAGCTCGAACCTTGAAAAGGGGAAGCACAACAAACCCCAATTTCACTCCTAATCAAGCTTAAGATTCAAGGCCTGGTATGGAAGGAAATTCATGCAAAGTACATGATTGTCCTTCTACAGCAAGACTGCGCTTTGGGGTCTCTGCAGGTGAGATACTGCACGAGGTTGAAAAGAGGTTATTAATAGATTTATAATCCTTGAAAGCGGAATGGCTTCAATATATATCGCAGTCTGTAGTTGACGCTGTAAACGTCATCTTCAAATCCCAGGTATAGGGTTAGCAAGATGGCCCGGCCAGATTAGATAAGCGGGAAATTCACTTCGTCAGCGGGAAATAACCGGTGGGGACATGTCACGATCCAATCAAATCGAGCAAATGTTGCCAAGTCTTGACGGACTGGAGCTGCTAACATCAAATTCGTTTAAGCAACCGTTAATTATGGAAATGTTTCCAAATATGTGGAGTTTCAGATCTATATAAATATTGCCTTTCCGGGCCTCGGCATTCAATGAAGTCCGAAATTGGGTCAGTATTTATTTATTTCTATTGAACTCCTCCCATTCTTTTTCAATCCCGGCTACTCCAGTGTAAAACTTACATGATGCCTCGGATATCGCCTCTTTTCCGCCAACGACTCATCCTTGCCGCGAAAGTAGCTGCTGGAGTCTCAGTCACCGGCGCAGCAAGCTTTCACTTTGTGACACGGAAATGTTGCTTTGAACCGTTTGGACCCGAGAATGGCAGATCGCTGTTCGAGCATTCGTTATTGAAGCAGATCAATCCTTGGAATAAACCCGTGTCTGCCGACTCGTGTGTCAGGGAAGTACCATTCGATAAGCTGGATAAAGCACTTATTGAAGATGCAAAGAATGGAGGAACCAAGTTGATTGAGAGATTCATTGCAGGAATGTGGGGAGGATTTGGTAAGGTTCACGAATGTTGGTATTCCAGACATGATGTTAATTTAATGGCGGTCAGGATATGGTATCCAAAGAAGAATCATGACATTCTTCAAGAACGACAAAAATAAGAATGACTTATGGGAGAAGAAGGATCTTCTGGAATCAACTTACGAGCCTGGTATGATGTTCTGATCTTGGGTGTTGTTCTCTGCTGACGTGCCATAGGCACGTATTTCACGAACCATTTCGTGGTTCTCGCGAAAACACCAACATGCATCACGATGAGAGGTTGCTTTGGCCCTCATGAGTCACCACCATCTCCCAAGGACGTTGATAATATTGTTGAGATTCGCGCTGAGCTGGATGAAGCGAAACAGGTGGCGATCCTAAAGCTCCAGGTCATCACGTTTGATGGGAGGAAAGAAGCGAGTGATAAGGAAGATCCATTTGGTGGAGTGGGAGGGTGGCTTCACAGACGGTATTCTACTCTGCTGGTTGAGTCAGGAGCCAGAAACTGTCTGAATTGAGCACATTGCGGGACACATGCTATCAAAAGCTCTCTTGATAAAACACTATGGATTTCAGACTGGCTTCTCAAGTCCTTTAGTCTGAACCGGACTAAAGCGCTTCGAAATGATCTTTCTTTGGACGAGATCGGAATGCTGTCGCTCAAGACAAAGTTGAAATTCCATCCAAAACACACATAATTATGTACACTATATACATTTATATCACTCCTGTAGGTCTGCATCAGCGTATCCCATCAAAACCAGTCCATGACAACTTACCACCGTCTTTCGTTTCTATCCATTAACATTATCGATAGCATCGACCGGCACTGCAGTATCTAGCAGTATTCTTGCAGCATTCCTTCTTGCAACACTTCTTCGTGCGGCAGCAGAAGTTACCAATGGAGCACTTTCTGGGGAACTTGGCGGGGCAGACTTTAGCAGCAAGTTGAAGAGCCTCGCCGTGAGAAAGAACGTAGCCTTCTTCACCGGAGGTGGCAAGGTCTGGGAGACCCTCGGCAGTGCTAATGGCGGGGCCAGCGGCGGCAAGGGGGACGATAAGGAGGAGAACGGTGGTGAACTTCATGTTGAGAAACCGAAGAGTGATTGAGGGGTCAGATTTGGTACAGAGAAGATAAGTTGCGGTAGCTTGTTGAGAGGACGTGAGTCTAATCGATCTTACCAGCGGAACTTGGGATCCTTTATACTTAACCGACAGACCGACAGACTGTATTCGGGTAAGATTGCACCGCTATTAGTACCAGGTGACCATCGCGAGCCGTACATCGACTTGTCCATCATGGCTCTGCAGTCGCGCCCGCCCCTCGCACTCCTAGCTCAAAGCGGTATGGTGATGTACATGAGGTTACATCAAGGGGGATAAGGCTAGTTTCACATAAAGAGTTGGATGGTCATGATCCACTCTTCGATTAAAGCTGAAAGTTAGCTTCGTCTGTGCCATCTGACTACAGCTCTTAGCCTGCCTAATTGAAGGTTCACAGGGTTCTGAGTGGTACGACTGGAGATGATTAATAACTCAAGATTTTCTTGTTTAGATCCTTCGGTGATCTTGAAGACGCCTCGACTGGTCCATGAGTGTTTATTGGCCGGATAAAGGCACGGGCTGAGGTGATAGGCGGGAAGCTTAAAGTAAAACTTCTCCGCAAATCACACATCTGAGGTCATTGATGAGAGCGAGCTGTGTCTATTTAAAGAACCACGGGGCAATTTGTACAAGAGCCGCGAGATTTTTGATGGAGTCTAGTAGTGAGGAGATTGCTTTTGTTAGATACGTGAGAACATCATTGGCTCATTGAAGCTCTGGCCTCGCCCGCTCCAACACGTTCTTTGTTCTTCAAAAACCGATTACTCAACGAAACCGACCTCCTCCATGCCGCGGCGACATCGAAACCTTCATCACTCTGTTTCAACTGTGCTAAGCCAAAGAACTACACCTAAAAGCTCCATCGATGGAGGCTCTCAAATCTACTATAATATTTGAGGCTGGAGGCAAGCGCTATGTCGCCACAGAAGCCGTTGCTGTACGCAGATCTTTTTGTAACCAAGTGTATTCGACAGGGCTGACGACATCCACTCTAGCTCCGCAACGAAATCGACACTCCTTTGTGGTCTCTGCTCATAACCGTAATAGCAAGTCATGACGATGTTCCCCTCAGGAAAGGATGACTCAAGACATACCTAGAGGCTGGATGGCTGTGAAGTTTATGATCGCAACCTATTCCTTTCAGGTGTCATCATCATGACCCCGTATAGCGGCCAGATCATACCCGAAGAGTGTTGGGAATACCTGCAAGGGTTTGGAACGCAGTGAATTGATATTGTCATTGAAGACAGCGAAACGTCTCTCCCTCCAGGTCCTTACCTCTACTCTGATCGCACACTTCACAACGTTTGTCGTTCGCATGATGACGACAAGGGAGCTTTCTTTTCTGCTCTTAAACCAAAGCCGAATCTGCAAGTATCTTGTCCACTGAAGCTCCTGCTCTTACTAATATCGATAAGGCCGCCATTAAAAGAGTTTGAGCAACTCGGGGTTGCAGGTATCTCCAATACCTGTCTCGCAATTGCCGTTCCCTCTCGAGCACCAACACTCGTTAACAACTCCCCACCAAACCTACTTGTTGTAGTAAAGGAATGTTTCCTCGTCCGTGGAATGGAAACCCCAGTTGGTCCCCGCGCATATACAGAGGGCATCGAGATGAACTTGCTAGGCATCCTCATGTACGTGGGCGCAAATTGAGGCCCCCTTCGCATGTTCAGTAGGGCGTTACTGGTTTTTCGTTCCCAGTTTCGCGCTTTGGCTACGAGGAGTATCCTTGGTGACCCTCTGGTATATAAAGACGAGAGAGGTAGCTCGCAAATCGACAACAGACCAACACACTACCATTTAAACCTACAAGCCTATTCAAACTACCAAAATATTCAAATACACCTGCAACCAACCTTCAAAATGGTCAAGATTGACGAAACTTTCCTCAACAAGGCTGTCAAGAAGGGCCTTGACAGTCTCCGGGCAGGCGAACATCTGGATCTGCAAGACCCCGATGAAATTGGCAAATTCATATTCGGAATTCTCGCATCGGGTCTTGGCGTATTTCGGGTTATGGCGACCCCCTGGCCGCGGTTCTCAACCTATTCTCTTCCCTCATCTTCCAACCCAAATCGGCCGCAGACATTTGGGAGAAGCTGTTAAAGCGCATCGAAATGCTGATTGACTCCAAGATCGAAGAGTATCACCTGGAAACTCTCAAGGACAAATTGGTAGGCCTTGAAGCCGCTATAAGCGACTTCTCTGTCCTGGTTAAGAAGTTTGACGAGGGCAAAGACGTGACAACTTTACTTCTCGGATACTACACATCGCTCCATCAGACAATGAGAGTCTCGATGCGGGAGTTTACATCGCCCAAGTATGGAGTGGCGTCGCTGCCATGGTTTGCACTCGCAGCGACCATGCATCTCAAGCTGCTGGGCGACGGCATCCAGCACGGTCGAAAATGGGGCTTTACTGTAGACGAAGTCCAGTTTCTGCAGGAGACATTTGATAATCTCATGAAAGAAACTGCGGCGGTCTCACATGCGGAAATAGCGTCACGACACAAGCTGTTTTTACAGAACCTCACCGGGGACGGTTCCAAGATGAGCGATGTCCCTACGGAGACACTTGAGCAATGGAAGGCTGTACACTCGGACCTCTCCGCGATGGATGAGGATGACGTTCCCAGCCTTGATAACATGAGCTACGTTACATACGCCAAAAAGACGTATGAATTGGGACGTCAGAAAGTCAAACCTTAGTGAGAGGGACTGTCAGGTGCTGACACCGGAGCATCTCACGGTGCCACCTTCAGGGCCACGATGCAGTACGACGCAGATATGACTATCCATGTGCTCAGCTACGCTGATTTCTGGCCCTACCTGTCAGGCAAGCCTCTCACAGATGAGGCTCTTGCGAATCTGGACCGGGAGATCTTTGCCTCGCGAGGTCGCTATGATCTTTGGCTGGGCAGCCATTCGTGGTGGGGAGAGCCGTTTTCCGTTGTCAAACGGGGAGACAATGACCAAATTACAGCTGTATATGTAGGAGGGATATCCAACGTTGAGCTTCTTCAGATGAAGTACAGTGAGGATTGGGGAGCGGCTTATGGATCAACTGGGGTAGACCCAGCCAGTACAACAGATATAGAGGCAGGGGATTATCTCTCCTGGGTTGATGTCTGGTTCGGTCAAAAGTTAGGTTGCGTTCAGTTTTGGCTAAACACTGGAAGTATGTTACGTGAGCAAGGAAGGGCCATGAATGGAGGCACTAAGGGGCTTTTGTGGTACGCGGATCATCAGGTCACTAGTGTTTACGGGATCAACTATGAGAGTCACCCACCGTCAGGCTTGGAGGGCATCATTGTTGGGTTCAGATCGCTTTTCTTGCGAACGGATTAGGGAGATAAGGAACCTTTCTTAGCTGAATATGATGGGTCAACACTTTCTTTAACAACTCTACCTGCAATGCCAGATTAGAATGAACACTACTGCCGCCAAATGCGAGTGGGTAGGTATACAACCGCACTGGTGTCTCCGGTACTAACTAAAGACGAAAGAATAGCTGCCTAAACGTGTTGTATGTATCATAAGAGAGGGGTTGAAGAGTAGCTGTTAGAAAGGAATTGCCGGTATCCGTCTGGAACCCTGTCTAGCAAGTGCGGCTGAGGGGTCTAGATCAACGCCTCGCAAAACTATTGATTCGAGTATCGAATGATAATGCTCAACTGCCGAGTGCATGGGGTGTTTATTGCCCCTTGATTGCCTATAAGAAACAGAGGCATTCCCTCACCGACCATGTTCTCTCTCAGACTTGCATTTTTGCCTTGTTAGTAGTATTGCAATTTCTGCAGTTCTTAATTGTATAACCATTAACCGTCCTGAATCAAGATCGCGATGGTCAAATTAGCCCTTCTTATCTGGCTAGCGGTCGCTGCCCCTGCATTCTCCGCACCCGCTGATGCACTTAGCGGTCTTGATGCACGAGCCTGCACTACCCCGGCAAATACACTCAAAAACCCGAGCTTTGAGTCGAGCTCCTTAAGTGAGATTATCACATCTACATGACGCATCATGTGCAGCACGACTAACGTACTCAGCCCCATGGGTCTTCCAGCCTACATACGCCAAGCTCGGCAGCGCGACAGTCGTAAAACCCGGCTATAAAAGCGACCACGCCATCCAAGCATGGGGAACATCCGGGTATAACGATCCGGCTAGCTATAACAAACTTTACCAGACCTTCAAGATCTGTAAAGCATCGCGCTTCCAACTCTCATGGTCCATGCTTCTCCCTAAAGATAGCACCAAGTACACGGCGCCTAATAAACCTGGCTTGTTCGTCGAGGCCAAAGCTCCCGATGGCGTGCCGTATTCAATGGCTTACTTCACCTTCGACACCGAGACATTCAGCAGCACTGTCTATAGTCCGAAATTCAGGGGTACGCATAAAGTTAATCAGTGGGTGAACTTTGTCGCGGATTTTCCAAATTCGCAGACTGGTACTTGGACGATTTCGATGGAGTGGTATGTTACGAGTCCTAGTGCAAAGGGGAGTAAGAATTCGACGCTGAAGTTCAAGATGGACAACTTTGTTGTGAAGCCTAAATGATGATCCTATTGATGAATTAGCCGAATGGTATGGTGGTTGGTATTCCTATGCAGCGACTATGCAGCGAGCTCTGTTTTGGGATTTATTCTTTTCCTTGAATGTCTATGTGCGCAGCCGTCATTACCTTTTAGCCCTTACCTGCTTTCCGATCCTATCCTCACATAACTGTTCTTCACCACTCCCAGCTTCTTCTGCCCTGAATGATCTAATAACCTTGACTATAATCCTGCGAGTACTATCGTCGTCTTATCCGTGGGTCTCATCTTCCCTCTCATTACTACCTAGCCGACCTGCCCCTAATTCCATCGCATCCGTTCTATCAGGCCGTCCTCGAACGCGTCCGATCGTCAATAGATCCATGCTATGGGAATTGCTGTAGTCGTTCGTACTCGTCTCGAGCAAGGCTCTTGAAGAATGCTCGTAATGATGGGAGTGAACCCGCGACTATGCCGACGCCGCATTCAACTACTGTCCAGAGAATGATGTTCCCGACTTGGTCTTGAGTATATATGGTTAGCCAGTGAGTGGATTATGAGGGACGAGGGGGGAGGTACAAATGAAGTGCTCGGGGGTGAGGTAGGCACTCGAATATGGGACGCAGACGATACTCGCAACGGATGCTCTTCCAAATTTGTCAGTAACTCATAACGCGTGACCAAATGGCACATATCGGTGACTGACAATATTCCCAAGCCCATGGTAAGCTGCGCATATAGCTTCCACTTGGCTCGCATCTGTAACTTGCGTACGAGACACATCGGGTATAACCGCAACGGCAAAGTCCGTAATGACGTTGGACACCGACGGAGCTCATCAAGACGGAAAGAAGGATGAGACCATATAATACTCGCACGTAGGCTTTACCGGTCACGATTCGAAGGACGGTTACGCAGATGCTCGATTTGACGAAGGCGAGGGTCGCTGCGTAGAAGATCTGCCAGAGAAAGACATACTATGACAGTCAGTGGTTGCTGTGGAGTTTGTGTTGAGTAGCTAACCTTCATGCCCCCCTGGACCTGAGATGTCTCTAGTTTTCTCCGAACAGTACCAACACCTCTGCGACATCCAATGATGACGATGATGTTGTGCACCATATAGGCTACCTGAAAAGGGTCAATATCACATGCCTTTGTGGAGTCCATACCGGAGAACAAACTTACCCAGCCAGCGCACATCAGGTAGTCATCTGTACCAATGCTTTGGTTCCGCGTTCGGATATACGCCCTCAAAAATACGACAATGGTACATAATATCGACAGTAACACCGTCGTAACAAACAACGCGAGAGCGAGCCCTTCAGCCGAACCGGCTGTAAATCAGTATTAGCAGCCATGGCACTCAACAACAAGAACAGCAAGAAACCGAAAACTCCAAGAAAAACCGAAAATCGCATGAGGCATGTCTTGTTTTAATCGCCCTTTTCTTTATCCAAAGGAACAAAATTCTTGCGCCAAGGATGTTATGCTGTTGGTTCTACAATGCAACTGTAGTGGAGTTGTCTTAAGCTCAAATCAGCAATCTGACCACTCGGATTCAGAGCCTGTGGCTAGTAAAACTGGCCCCCGCTGAAGGTCCCCTGTTCCGCTTGGAGATGATTTGACAGATGGAGATTGTTTTAGTAAAAAGCACGATGATCTTGAACATTTCTGCGGGATGAAGCCCAGCACGGTTGGGTGAAGGATTCACCCAGCCGAGTTGTTTGAGGATACGGGCCCTTCTGTTGGGTATACGCGTGCATGCAGGAACAGACTTTGCTTCCTCTTTAATACTATCATCCGTAACTTCATGGTAACTGAAGTATCAACACGATACATGAAAGACCGATTAACTGGCCTTATACCTCAGTTCACTTTGTACGCGTCGGGTCTATGTCTCTATAATCGTTTATCAGTTCAGCGCCTTATAAACGGGTTCTCCCGTCTCACAATGTATTGTATCCGACAGATTTCGCATTCATGCCTCCTTCCCGTTTAGCCACTAAGCCCTGTCAGCAAGATTGATCCTCCCATCATCATACGATACCACACTCCCCGCGGGAAACATGCAAGGATCTGACTTACAGCAGCTCGCTTAACTAAATTTACCACCACTCGAAACCATTTATGCGCGCGGCAGAAGATGAACCGTTATGTTACATCGCGGATCCTGCACGGATACATAAGATAAATACCAGGGCCTTGACGAGGCGAGGTTACTTTTTGCTTCGTTTGCCTTAGGTGACTTACTCATCGCCACGCTAATCATGTCTTACTCTGTCAAGGATCGGTTTGCCATTGTTACTGGTGGTGGCTCTGGTCAGTGCATACTTAACCATCTCAGGACAGCTTTCATGTTCATTCATCTTAGGTATTGGCCATGCACTTGTTCGACTACTCCTCGATGCAGGGTGTTCCGTCGCTGTAGCAGACGTACGCCTTCGTCCTGAAGCCGAAGAAACGATCAAAGAATTCTCTCATCCTCCCTCCGATGGTAAACCATCTGCCATCTTCTGTCAAACCGACATCTCCGACTGGGCACAAATCTCAGCACTATGGAAGATTGCTCTCGAGAAATTCGGCCGCATTGATATCGTGGTGAACAGTGCAGGAGTATATGAGCCACCATCAAGTTCCTTCTGGAACCCTCCTGGCATTTCGCCTCTTGCAGAGGACCCTGAGGATGCACAGGTTGGCCAGTACAAAACTTTCGCCATCAATACCATTGGGCCAATTAGACTGGCGCAGATTGCGATTGACTACTGGCAGCAACATCCAGAGGTTCAAGGTAATATGTTGTTTGTTGCTAGTATGGGTGGTTACATGCATTCTATGCAGACGCCTTTGTACTTTGCAAGCAAGGCTGCTCTTGTAAGCATGGTCAAGTCTCTCAGTGGACTGAAGAGGGCACTTGGTGTCCGCAACGCAGCCATCTGCCCTGGCCCGGCTCACGTACGTTCTCTTCTACTGAAGTGATATGATATGCTAACAAGGCTGACAGACACCAATCTTCGAGCAAGAATACTGCCGCGACAGACTCCAACGCGGCGATGTGGCATTGGAACCAGAACATGTTGCTGAGTTGACCCTCAAGGTGCTCCAAGAGTCTCAGTATGGGGACGGAAACATCGTTGAGATTATGATGATCGGTTCAAAGGAAGAGCAGTCTGTCCATGTCCGTGAAGTCAGCTTAGAAGCTTTATACCCTACCGTAGGTCCTTTGGATATGGGAACCCGAGCCATGGCGGAGGAGTTGAAGTTCTTTGAGACAGTGAAGGAGAAGGGCATGCGTTCTTCATGTCAGATATAAAATGGAGAGGTAGCGGTGCAGGATAGATCAGCCATGCGCGCTAGCACAAAGAACAAGAGATCATGAATTAAAAATTGACAGGAGGGATGCGAGGCATTGGTCTCTTTTGATAATATAAACACTGACTTCATACTAAGACAATATCTGAGACTTGCAAACCTTCTAGGAGCCCTTTTACACCATGAGCGTAGGCTCTGGAAGTGCTCTCTAGAGCCTCCGTAAGTGGCAACTGCGAACTATCGTCCTTCTTTAGACGCTTCATAAATTTGGTGTAATTGCTCGTCAATAAAGCATCATGGCTAATCCCAACATGGCCCACTCGCTCATAACCATCACTTCCCAGCTTCTTGACAACGTGGATACCACAGAAAGCAAAGCTGTCTTCAACATTGACACCAAGTGGAATAACGAATCCTCCACTGGCAGGGGGCCATGTTGCAGATGATGATCCATCTACCGGACTATCAGGTTTATAGTCGTTGACACAAAGCTCTTCGACACGAATATCTTGCAATTGTGTGACAGTGTTACTGGCCTTGCCACTCCATACGCTCATTGGTGTAACATGGGTCAGCAGTAAGGATTTTGTGCCTATAAGGGGAGCTTGCAGAGTGATTATCGATTTTGAACAGTCTCCCATGTGGCTTGGACCGTCAGAGATATAGCGCACTTCCCGGACGACCACGGACCGAAGCGGGCTCCAGTGCCCATCCCACATTACTTGTGACTTTACAGAAGCCCAGGACCACGACGGGTATCTAGCAAGTCTCGGTTTCTTGACATTTGGTGTAGGCCAGACCATCCAAAGAAGATCGAGCGGGAGGTGCTTCTCCCATATACCCGCTAGATATCTATCATCTGGTCGAGTACGTTGCGTGCGCTGAGCAATACCAGCTAGTGCTATCGTCTTGTCTGATTCGAAGGTAATGTTCAGTCTGGAGTACTCCTGAACCGTTCGATGCCATATGACGTGGCCCTTTTCACGGGGTTCGTCGCTAACGCACCCAAATAGTGCAGGCTTGAAACTCTTGCCGTCGTTGTAATCCATGTCATTACATCCGCTTTCGCTGCGTTGTGAAGTTCGGCATACCCAGATGACTTCCTCGTTGCAGAAGTGCAGTACCCGTGGTGACAGTCTCATCTCTTGATAGATCCATGCACGGTTCAGCAGTGGATAGCTATCGTTCTTTTCTAATTGCGTCCAGTGGTTTGGAAAGAGTGGCAGATCTCGACGGACATAAATGTCTTGAAATCCAGGAACCAACTTGGCAACATATTGGTGGCTAGTTTCTGAGAAGCATCCCTGAGAACCGTCGCTGGATTTTGTAGCTGCTATGGTCAGGAATGAATACTGGTAGATATCTGCCATCTGAGCTGCCTGTTCTTTCCAGTCTTTGTCGCTGTCCTGAATGATGCAAAGTGAGTCAATCCAGAGATAGAGAATTCCAAGACTGCGACATATATCAACAGCATCCCGGAACGTCTTCGACAGCCGGTCCAAGGGAACTCCTGTCTTGAACTGCCCTATGGTTTGCGTTGTTGTCTTCACGATGTTGATTTTTCCCCAGCAATGGCTCAGACAGGCGTAGCTCAACTTTTGCCCAAGATCCTCTCGAAGAATCAGTGTCCCATTATTCAAGTCGAGCAGTCTCTTTGGGCATATGAACGAGGCAGATTGATCTTGGGTCTGTGACCGGCAGCCTTTGTGTGCACCAACACACTCCTTTATCCAAGACTGGATTGTTGTGGCCGTCGTTCGAAACTCCGTAGTGCTAGGGAAACGACCTAGAGATAACCGCGTAATACCCAGCCCAGCATCTTCGACACCTGTGAGGAAGTCATTAGCAAACAAGAAATCAATCTGTTAACAAGAAGCGATATCTGAAGGGGAAGCTTCGTTGTGACTCCTCGTCGTCGATGCAGGTAGATGATAAAGACTTGCCATGTTGGTTGAAGGCCTCCAGCGACAACTCTCCACCAGACCAAATAATTTTAACGTAGCCATGAGAAAGAGCTGTCACCTTCAAAATGTCCGCAACTTTGATGTGTGCTGCTCCTGTCCTGATACACTTCAAAACGAACGTGCATCGCGGACAATTGGCCTGAGCTGCTTGTAATAGCTCGTCGTATGTGGAACCTTGATCGGCATTATCGGGAGCTGCTGGAAAGTCGCATGCGGTGCAGGTCATCTTGCCATAAAGAAGGGGCCCGTTGTTTTGCGCTGAAGGATGAAGCGTCTCTGATGAGTCGAATGACGCGGCAAGCAATGTTGATGGTGAATACAGACCTGGAGTCTCATGGCTTCACTAGTACAGAAAGGGCATTGCTTCAATTCTATCAAGCTTACAAATTCTGACACAATCTCTCGAAGCCAATCCAAATCAGCAATCATTTTACAATTCTGCATGGCGGCTGCGGGGTAAGCAGCCTTGAGCCTCCTTTTGATGGTCAGCCTGGGAAGGTTTCCGTCAACCCACGGAGGGTTAGCTGGCTTTTCCTCAACCGAGGCTTTACCCTAGAGCCAGCACATTAAATTCGGTTGTTAACTTAGTAACTATAATTCCGGAAAAGTTTTAGACATAGAAAAAAGGGTACGTTAAAGGACTGTATTAATATTTATCAAGCTATATAATACCTTACTATATTAAACGATCTCATACAGGTCAACACATCTTTGGCTATGAAGCACTCAGCCAAGTGGGGTGACACTAGACTGAGTAAAGATGGCGCAGCTGAAAGACCCAATTGAGTTACCTCACGGCCCGGAAAGGTGCGGCCCGTTCCAGACGCTGTTTATAATATGGTGTTATAGTTCACGTTGACGTCGAGATCTTCACAGCTTCTTGTCCTAATAAAGGATTATTATCAGTGATTGGGCTGGAATCCATGCATAGATTGAGACACTAATAATTTAACAAGTGACTTGTTTCTTTTTCACCCGGCCTGCCTGCAACGTATCGCAGCTATCAGGTAATGCGTGTCAAAAGCCGTACAGAAGCAGAAGGCCTTTGTCCTCAAGAACCAAGACATTGGATATCGAGGTTCATGTGCTAACCCAGGACGTAGCTTCAAATAGAAAGACCAATGCTGGTAGAAGCATTCCACCAAACGCAAGAAAGCCACTCTTCTAACATCCAATTTTCACAATACTCTATTCCAAAGACAGTCAAGACTTAGTTGCACCATGGCTCCCAACCAATCCAACCTCTCCGACCGAAAGTATCTCTATGACTTTGTGGTCTATACCACCCAGGAAAGCATCAATTCTTTGCTGGTTCAGTACCTTCAAAACACCGGGAAAAAGCAGCCCATCACCTACCTTTGCTTCTTAGCTGATGAAAATGGAGACCCTACCAAGCAAGTGACACTCGATGAGATCCTGCAAAAGAGCAGAGGGATCAATCCGTTTGACATCCCTCACGGGACAGACTGGAAAAATGCCCGAATCTAGAAACTTTATGCCATTCGTCTAGTCTGCGCCATCAAATTGCGACCTGGCATTCCTCCTGGTTGCATTGTCAAGGTTCCAAATAAGGGTCCGCAGCTAAAGCTGCTCGCGCCGATTGTCACTTTGGGCAAAACCTATGAGGTACGGAAGCCTCTAGGTTGCGCTTGTGAAACTTGCCGAGGAACGAATTGTGCCGGAACCGCCAGGAGGTGACCCTACAGGGCTGCTGCGTTCAGCCGAGCTCGATATTGAGTGTATGCTGTATCACTATCGTTTGACGGCCATGTCGACCACGCTCGCAGTTTTTGAAGACGAAACTAGACTTGATCTCCATTTCCAAAAGGAATTTAGCTCGCAAGACCTACATCTAGACACCATGGATATGGTGCGAAAGTTCAAAAAGACGGTGGAGGTGGAAGGAGTTTGTATGCCACTATGTGGGGGGCACGGAGTATATGGAGGGGGCACGAACGCATTCATCATGCTGGAGCATGTTTCAGGGTTTACATTTAAACGCATCGGAATTTTTGAGCACGGGGAAATAGGGAGATGGATCAGTGAGTGGTCCGAGTCTGGCACACGCAGTACACTCGTATACCCTGTAGTCGTATGATCTTTCTCTTCAAAGAAGGCCCTGCTGAAGTGACATTCAAAATTCCACCCTCACGATTATGATTCTCAGTAGCTCTATCGAGAATTTCTTCTCAGTGTTAACGGATACTTCGGCAAAGATCGAGATCGTAAAATGTCCGTGATTCTTGATCTTCTACAACCTTGCAGTAGCGAGGTTTTCGGAAATTTCACGCGACTCAATCACAGAGCTTTATTCTATGCTTGTGCATTCTCTATACGAGAAATACTTATGTTCGGGGGCGAAGGATTATAATATAGATGTAGATCTCTCCTGTATAGCGGCCGAACCCTATTGAGCGGCCAGTCATGCATTCTCATAGAGCGGCCGAACCATACAGTGTAACCTAACCATTTACTAGTACGACGATCGTCTATAGTCCTACGAGCTTCACTGTCACAAGCTGATTGACGCCTTGATTCTGAAATCATCTACTGAACGCACCTGTCGTTCTTCGTTTGGAAGCTGCTTTTCTTTCAGTACCACGCACCTTCGTATCCGAACTGCATAGCCATTAATCGTCCTATTAGTCAATCTTATTCAGCAACTTTGTTTGTCTACTCAGCATTTGATCGTCGATTGTCCTGCTCAAGGGATCTCATGTTGTCCCTTTGTTAGTTGTTTCAAGGGTCCTTGTTGAAGTATAAAGGGCTATCAGCAGGCCACTTTAACAGCTCATTACCAACACAACTCCTCGACAACTTTGACATAACCAGACTAAGATATCAAAATATTTCCAGAGCAATTTGGACTCAGTAAGCTCGCACCCTAAGTATCTCTCTTGGCGTTTGCTTACTCCCATCAGATCGTCATCATGAAGACCACCGCCATGCTCATGCTCGCCGCCTTCACCAGCAGTGCCCTATCCCTCGAAGTCAAAGACGCTTCAACCGCTGGTGGTGGCACTCCTGGCTCCCCCGCCTGCAACCGCCAATGCTTGATCACCATTTCTCCAGTCGACGGAGCCTCCACGCAGAGGTCCGACGGCTTCCCGGGCTCTTGCAAGGAGTACGCCACTGGTCAGCTCAAGGGTATCAACCGTTCTATTGACGGAGGTCGCCTTAACATCAACGGTGTTGGAGGCAACCTCGTCATCGACTTTGTCAAGAACGGGCGTGATCGCCGTGCTTCTTTCACTAATTGCAAGGAAGCTGTTTTCACTGGTGCGCAGTGCAACCTTAAGCAGGGAGGTTGTGAAAAGCAGGCTGAGTCGGGCTAAATCATCCTTTGTGGATAATATGTGAGAAGGGGTTTTACTGTTCTCAAAACACGCTCGTTATGAATTACCGGACCTTCCCTTCAGTTGCCTAGCTCGTTATCTCCAAGCTAGCCATAACTTAGCAACAATTACAAGTTTATATATTGCTATGCTCCTCTGTCTATATATCCGCCAGTAGTACATCGTCATCATTAACATCTACTGTGCATTCGTAGAGGGGCGACTTAGGGCGCATGATATGAACTTCATATCTCAGCCACGTCGACTTTCGTAAGAGGCAAAAGTTCCGTAGGTGCCCCTGCTCACTACCAGGCACCATACTTGCAGCGTCGAGGCCATTTCCTAATTATTGTGCGCACCCATCTCCTGGCAATGGGCCAAAAGTAAGAAGGCAGAGTCAGTTACTTATATAGCCTTATAAGGCACTTTTGCTAAGCAGATCAGCGCTCCATCTATACACGGATTGCTATTTACGCCTGGAGAATCGGCATCATGCAGCGTTGGTATCATCTAAGGGTCAAGTGGTTCCAGAGATATTTTCCTGAACGATCATAATTCATCAGCTACGACCGAAGCCCCTTTTCAGTAACTGGGCTTATCAAGATTGCTTCTGTCTTTTCAGCTTTCATTTAACCACCTTCTCGACTTGGAAATATGACTGTGCGAAGAGTTTCACTACCCGGACACTTAACCCCGTTGGATGTGACGCACTGTTGGTTGTTGTGTTGTTGGTTGTCCCCTGTCACGCCTGCATATGCAACAAGACAAATCTGGAAGTGCACTGGAGAAAACGGCAGGGAGGAATCCGGAATTGCATCCAGCACTGTAAAAGAGAGAAATGTTATGCAGCCTGTCACAAAAATATTTTTTAAAACGAGATACTGGCCTTTCTCGACTTTGTACTTGTGTTGAAGAGTGAACGGTGGTGGGAACAAAGTCAGATCATCAACCGTAGCCCTAGCATTTTGGTCTGCGGCTCGGGCCTGAACTAACCCTATCTCGCTCATCGGCTGCATATTGTCCGGGTATGACGATCCCGTTTAATTAACGGCCCATGTCCGCTTGTTCTTGGCCTGGGCTCACAAATCAGTCAAAACAAATAAGCTTGTCCACCACGACCAGTACTGGTCCTTTACATCCTGCACTCGCACACGGGTCCTCTTTACCTACGAAAGGCCCATCATTCATTATTTCTGGAACTTGACATTCTTCGTCGCCAACATGCTTTCCATTCCGGTCTTTACTATTCTAATCTCAATACTCGCCAATTGCGTCTTCTGCAAGACCAAATTCCTTCGTCCTCCAGAATGGAATCCTGATGTAGACGGGAAAGACGGATTAGAAAAGAACAAAAGATACAAAGTCGGAGACAAGATCCAGCTCCTTTGGGAAACCGATCTCGAAGATCTTGAACTTTACGTGGTGCAAAAGCTGCCTAGATCGGTTGTGCCAAGACTATTGGACCGTAGGATATTCCTCGTATCTCATGTTCATTGTTCAACCCTTACTGACTCAAGCGCCTAGCGTCCCTCACCGAGTGGACAGCTCAGTGGGATATTGCTGGTTCCACGACGAATAACGAAGACTCGGTCTACTCTTTTACTTTGATTAATTCCGACCATGTTTTCGCAACGCAACGTTTTAATGTCACCCCCCAGAACCGCGTAACCACGACTATCACCACGATAAAGAGCATGTCTTCTCAACAAGAGCAAACATCCACTACGCACCCCATCTCTACATCTACGACTACAGATCAGCGCTCGAACGAAGAGGAGATTTCAGATGCGGGTCCGGATTACGACTCTGGAATGTCCCGGGGCGAAGTTGCGGGGGCAGCTGTTGGTGGAACCATTGGCGGTCTCTTGCTTCTTGGTGCTGTGGGATGGTTAGTCTGGAGACGTTTAGCAAAGATCAAAAAGGACACAGACGTCTCAGTGGTTACTCAGAGTCAGCAACAGCAATTTCACTCCTCCGAGCTGAAGGCTGAGCTACCCGGCGACCCGGCGGTGGAGGCTTATCAATCAGGTTATGCTAGAAGTCCTCCGGGGTTGCATGAAGCACCTTGATGGGAACAGCCTGAATCAGAAACAGTCCTCATCACCGGTGTTAGCATCCTAAAGCTTAACTTTATGGCCAACAATCATCTGCGTAGCTGAATCAGAAACTTTGAGTTGAAGAATCGGAGGGGAAGTTTACTTATGCACAAATAATAATTCCCTGCTGGAATTTGTTTAGGTCATGGTCACGAAAAGAGCTGATAATACATGAATGGGAACGTCACAAAGGCCATTCGAAGGACCAACTAACTCTAATTAGAACCAGCGAAACAAGATACAAGGAGACTCGGGTTTTCTGTCTGTATTTTACGTGTACGGCTGCGCCCTTCCGATGTCGTCGGTTGCATTAGTAATCCAAGCAAGGCTTGACTCGCATTGAGGGCTTTCAAATACCGCATTTGCCCAAATCTTTGAGGCGCATTCCACGAATACGAAAGCATCAACACCAAGACAGAGTCCGGTAAAATATATCCTACCTGGGTATCTGTTGTTGCAACAGGATTTTTGGAGTTCTCAACAAAGAATCGTAATAAATACTCAAGACTACTATTCGATTGACTTATTAGTGTATCAAGACTAGTCACAAGTTCAAGAGACCATTCAAAAAATGTTTATGGGGTACCTCAGCTTTCTCGGTACACTCGTAAGAGATAGGTTCCCCGGAAGGCATTGATAATATGTGGCTATATCTGTCTTCTTGAAAACAGAACACCTCAACATTGTCGGATAAGCTTTCCACTAACTCAACGTGCGAGGTCATGATTTATTATGTATAAGCCTCTTAGAACCACTCTTCACAAAATCGGCTTTTAGGGATTACTTTTTACCATTTCAGCTTTTATCTAATAATCCTCTAAACTAGATACTCTGCCAGTGTGAAGACTTTTATCACCTGGTCAAATGATCTTGTTAGACTTGACGCCTTTTCAGATGTGAATATTTCTTTTGTTTCTACTTCAATAAGCAGACAGGCAAGTCAGGAATCATACACGATTATATAATATAACAAGCTGTATTTAATGTGGCATTTCTGCGGTGTAAAGAGAGCATAGGATCTGACTAACTGACTTGCTACATGCTCGGAATGGTGTATATGTGTTTGTAGACGGCGCTTTGCTTTCTGAGATTTCCAAACTCTAACTTAATATTGTCAGAACATCACTCACAGCCTCCAGACTTTTGGCATGGTTACCGGGCCTCAATTAAACTTTTGAGCTATTGGTGGCGGCATTATTGTTGGGGCATACGAGTCCTGGCTTACCTCGAACTCCATTTCCACATTTGCCATGACTCTTAGATCATCTTAAATGTACGTGGCTCGCCATTGATTTCGGAAATAACGTGACTCCCTTTCATCCATACCCTGGGATCTCTTGTACCAGTCACAGTCAACGGATGTGGATGGGCAACACACCAACCTCTCGCCCTTTGTTTCCAGCCTAATAGCAACCATCATGCAAACGAATTGGGTATTCGTCCCGATAGTTGCTACGTTCGCCTGTCTGGCAGCTTGTGATTCGAAATTTATACGGCCTCCACAATGGGACCCAAATCAGGGTGTCGATCGAGACTTGGGCAAGAACATACGCTACAGCGACAGCGAGAACGTCTCGATCACTTTCGAGTCAGACGACCCTAGGGTCGACCTGTATGTTTGGCAGATGAATCCTACAAACAAGAAAGGAGGGCAATATGCACTGTTAGATAGTATGGCAAATTTCCTTTTGCAGCCTTTCGAAAGTATACTGATCTGGGTTTGCAGGAGATAGACTATTAAACTCCACTAGCTGGAAGGCCGAATATGACATGGGGCACTATTTGAGACATGGCGAAGACTCTGTTTTCTGGTTTGGAATATACAAATCGGGTGATCAGAGGATGCCATTGGCAGAGTCCCAATACATAAACGTCACCGCTCCGGATTCTGGTCGGCTCCATACCGTCGCAGTCTCGGAAACAGTAACCTCTCTACAAGAGTCAGCCACCTTGCAACTACCACCACAATCCACCACCCAATCCGCTCCTGATTCTGCAGCAACCGAGATACCCTCCAGCCAAGAAAGAAAAGCGAATACTGGGCTCAGTGCGAGGTCTGGATTGACAACTACTGAGATAGTAGGTGTCTCCGTCGGTGCAACACTTGGCGGCATCGTGATTCTCGGCGGCATCGGGTGGTTGGGCTCGAGAATATTAGCAAGGCGCGAAAGTCTAGATAGACCCGGCGCGCAGAACCAACAGCCATACCGCTGGGTCCTCAAAGAGAGGGAACGCGCAGTGTACCTTTCTGTCCCTGCAAGAAGGATAGGTGGAATGCTCGAAGCGCCGTAACCAGAGATATTAAAAAGCTGGTGCTTGCTGCGATTGGGCGAAGTTCCTAATAGTTTAGTATTTAAAAGTCAAGTTCTAGGTTGAGACGAGGCTATCTCGGTACTTTTGCTAGCCAGGAATAAATTCACTCAGCATTATACTGCGGATGTTGTTGATTTGTGCTTGATTGAATTAGTAATCTTAGTATGACTGCAGCTCCCTCTGACTCACTCAGCGAAATACCTCACTACTAAAATGCTCACCTATTCCTTCAATTGCAAAGCAATAATATCCTGAATATCAGCAAACAACAGTAAAGGCACCAAGATGAGTCTTTCATTCACCACTCTCGACGTTTTCACCAACACAGCCTTTGAGGGCAATCCCCTCGCGGTTGTAACGATTCCCCCACCAAGCCAACAGGCTCCGCCCACCCAATCTCAAAAGCAACGCATCGCCCGCGAATTCAACCTCTCTGAGACTGTCTTTGTTCATGATGTTGAAAATCCCGCAGAAACAAATGAAAGAAAGATTGATATCTTTACCCCGAAATTCGAATTGCCATTTGCGGGGCATCCTACCATTGGCACGGCCGTGTTTCTCCAATCCCAGGGCGTCAAGACAATGATCGCAAAGGCTGGCCGAATTGATCTTGGATTTGAACAGGATGGCTCTGCACGGGCTTTAATTCCAGATGATGTTAGACTTCACAAGGAGCGTGTGCCAAAGTCTGAATGTGAGGCTGGTTCAGATGAGAAACTCGCCCAAGTCGCTGCCGCTGATGAGGGAGCACCGCTGTTTAGCATCGTCAACGGAATGACTTTCGCGCTCATCGAACTACCATCTCTGGAATTGCTAGGCGCTGCGAAGATTGGAGCCATGGGTTATATTTCCGGTGACCTGCAAGATGATGGCTGGAAACATGACTTTGACTCGAGGCGCTACTACTTCGTCCTTCTGAACAGTGAAAAGTCGTCTGATGAAAAGAAGTTCATACAGAATCTTCGCACGAGGCTCGTCAAGCGTACTATGGAAGACCCAGCCACGGGCAGTGCTGCGTGCGCTTTGTCGTGTTATCTGGCGTTGCATAAGCTTTCTGCGAACTCGATCAGATTTAATATCACGCAGGGTGTGGAGATGGGGCGGGAGAGTCTTATCGTGGTAGATGTTGAGGTCGAGACGGATGATGCTGGGGAGCGAAAGGTTAAGACTGTTTATCTGAGTGGAAAGGCGGTGGAGGTCATGAAGGGGACTGTTAGGGTACCTCAGTGAAGGCATCCACAGAATTGAGGGCGAGCCTTGCTTTCCTCTACTGCACTCACCCGATGCCCGGGCTACGCTGCGGATAGCTGCTTGTACCCTTTGTTATTGGATTGCAGTTATGGTAAATCAATCTAAATTACGTCATCTTGTCATGGATCTGTGCTTCTCACCGGCAACCCTCGCCTGTATTTGGTGGTTGAACTGAGCAAAATTGTTGTTGTGTAGCTATCCGCCATGACAGTGTCAAGCAGTGCGTGCAGCTAACGCCCAATCAGAGGTGTGAACGACCCCTTCATTATCAAGGTCGCGTACGCTCGCGGCCATTTGCGGGAATATGACCATATTTTCGAAAGGTGAACAATCATCGTTCAATTGATCTCAAATATCATGCTAATCCTGTTCCAAGGTTTGCGAACGAGGCTCAGTTGGCTCACATGCCGCTTCTGGCTGAGGCGGCGATGAAGGACGAGCACACCATCATCGAGAAGTGGCCGTACAGATTGAAGCTTGAGCCTGGATAGGAGGGAGGTAAGGAGTAGTTTGACTTGCTTATGGCAGGTGGTCCGTCGGGCAAGGAGTTGTACTTGGAGTGGAAGAGGATTCAGGGATAGAACGCAGACCTGGAAAGAGGAGCTGACTTCGAAACAATCATCAGCTCAGCTTTTGGTGTTTTCTGAGCCCATATAAAAGTGAATTTTGTCAAGGAACCATAGAACTTCGACGTATAGAGGGACATGACGGTACAATTACTAAGTCTTCTCACCAATTATTAATGCCCTTGTGATACCATGCATAATCAGTAAGGACGCGAGTATATTCAAATAATAAAACTATCTACATAGAATGATCAAGGTCTGCTGGACTACCTCAGCCCAGTCTTATGTACACCCCGCCAGTGACTCGATCCCAAGCCTGTGACGCCTGGACCACTTCGTTAAGGACCCCATAGGGCTACCTTGGTGTTTACCGAGAGGCCTTAGCTCTGGTACAGGCAATTGATACGAATACCAGTGGCGAAGTAGGGCCCAACAATCGGGATAAAATCAGCAACATAAGCAGAAATAGTCTGGGCCTTGGAACAACCACCGGAGCCAGTAGCCTGCGAAGAAATTCTCGCCTGGTACGCATCGGCACGAAGCGATCCATCGCGGTTATAAACGTTCATGCGGATGATGCTGGGAAGCCAAGTGCCCCATTTAAGGCCAGTGCACTCCATACCCTCCAACGGACAGTCAGAGTTGTGCGGGCAAGCTTTGCCTGATCGTCCTCCACACGCCGAGTTGGCTTTACCCGGCTTACCCTCCTGCCAGGTAAAGCCGTAGCAGTTGTTGTACACGGTGTAACCGTTCTTCTTGCCAATGCCATCGGCTGTCTGCCACATGGAGTGGATCAGGGCGTCGCGCATCGACCAGCCGCTCAGACGGCCTACGGCTCCCCATTGACCGTCGAGGACGAATCTTGTGGTTACGCCGTTGCCGGCGCTGGGGCCATTGCAGAATTTGCTCCACGCTCCACGGGTTATGTCTGAGAGACCGCCCTTGTCGTCGCTGGAGTCGTACATGCGCGTCCAGAGCATGTAGAAGGTGTCGACGTCCCCGACGTTGACGAGGTTGTCGGTGTACATGCCGTGGACTTGGTAGATCCAACTATCTCGGGCTTCGAGGGCCTCAGTTTCATTGTGGGTGGAAGCAGCAGCGGCTTCCTGACGGGCGGCTTCTTCTTTCACGGCTTGGAGCCAGTGCTCGGGGTCAGCTTCGTGAATCTTTACGAAACCTTCTGGCTGCTCGAGCTGTTGAGTGGATGGCTGAGCTTCAGTTGGGAGGGAGAAGACCAGGGGAAGGCTTGCAAGGAGGGCAAGCGAAGTTGAAGTGAACTTCATGATGGGAGAGTTGAAAGACTAGTATTGTTTGAGAGAATGATGTTGTGATGGGAATGTCGACATATCTGTGGGATTCAATGGTCTATATATACTACTCAACACCATTGCACTTCTCTCACGCGACTGTATCACCATTTCCCCGCATATTCGATAGCAAATATCTTCTCCATGATAGGCATGCTTCATCCCATCCTCAGGCTAAGCTGTTCTTGATCATTTACCTGTCCTAACTAAGAAGCTGAATTGAGATGATCGTCAAAGTTTGTACTAAAGAGATAACATGACTCCACGAGCCACCCTGATAGGGAACATCTACACGAGTATCCTTAATCGGGACCAGTCTTCTAGAACCATTCCCTTAGCATCCACTATAAACGCCATGTTATCAAAGCTCATGGCCCAAGTGTCATTTTTCCACGACTAAGGTTTCACCTCTACTAGTCACCGCATATCTTTTCGTATATAAGGTTCATTCGGCTCCGATAGAAACCTGAATCGCCAATTATAATTACCTAAGATCCTTTTTACACTTCAGGTCACCTTCCTAATTCTATTGGTGAGGGATCCATCATTCGATAAAACATTCTAGAAAAGAGCAAGGTTTAGGCTGTGCCCTACAGCGGCCTGGCCGACATCGCGCGTGGGGGACTTCGGCAGTTGTGTTTGGACGAACTAAGCCTTTTGGAGAAGCTGAAATTAAAGGATGGGTTACACGAGATTAGGTCTCATGATACGCTAAAGAAACGCCAAGTTTGGCTAAAATGGGCTAATTTGAGAAATGATGGGGTTGTAATACTTGATAAGTGTTGATATGATGAATTATCCAAGGAGGAGTTGTCTAATTCTGCCTTCTCATCTAGTAATCGATTCCATTCATCTCTTCGTTATACTATCATGCGTTCATCAACTCTGTTGTCACTAGCTGCCCTAGCTGCTCAAACACAAGGCGTCAAACTCCGTAAAACGGAATTTAACGTCTTAATATCCTCAAGGCCAGCGCTCATTCTGTTTACAGCGGACGGTTGCAAGGAGTGTGACAGGGTGCAAGAAATTTTGGACGGGGTGTCAGTGCTCACCAAGACTGCCATTGCCTCAGTCAACTGTAACGAGGAGCCAGTGGTTTGCGATGACTCCAAAGTCTTCACTGTTCCGACATTGAAGTTTACAACCGGCAATAATGAGTTGATCACGTACAAGGAACCTTTAGACACGTCATCGTAAGTCTCGTCAGTGTCTCCAAGATTGCGTGTGGGTCATTGATCATGATTGCAGGGTTGTGAAATACATCGAAAGGCAATCGGGTTCCCCGGTCATGGATCTTACCGAAAAGAACCATCTCGATTTTGCGCGTTCATCTCGTGTGGCAGTTGTCGCCTTTCTTGGCTCAGGCTATCAGCAAGAACGCAAGGCTTTCAGCTCTGTTGCTGAAAAGTGGCGGGCGCATTATAGTTTTTGTTCGGTTGATGGTCTTGAAGAAGACAATGAGGGCCCTTCCATTGCTGTATATACCCACGAGGATGACGATCCTGTCTACTACCGCGGGCCTTTCACTGTCGGCAATGTCGAAGCTTTCTTGCGAGATGCAACCCAGCCGCTGATTCGCGAATATGATCCCATCGTTCATGACGAAGCCATGAAGGTAACCCATTCTTCCCTCAACGTTGTCTATCCACTAACCGTTCAAGGATGAGAAACCGCTGGCCCAAATATTCTTCAACAAGCATAATGAACGAGCTGAGCTTGTCAAGTCCCTTGTCCCTCTTGCCAAGAAATACAAGGATCAGCTTTCCTTCATGACAGTCCTTGCCCCAGATTATCCCAAGAGATGCGAGCAGATGCATCTTAGTAAGGACGTCAAGCGCGGATTTGCCATTGCGGATCGACAAGGGAGAGCGTACCCTATGTCTGAAACGGTGTTCAACGCCAACAGGATCACCAAACATATATCTGCCTATTTATCAGGGACCTTGGCACCAACTATCAAATCTGAGCCAGTGCCAGAAGTTTCTGCTACTCAGCCTTTCTTGACCAAATTGGTTGGCAGCAACTTCGACGACTTTGTTTATGACAAGTCCCGAGATGTCCTGGTTGAATTCCACGTACCGTGGTGTCAATATTGTACCGAGTAAGTTGGCCACATCTCTACGCCGGTTCATGCTGGTACTGACAAACTCAATAGTCTACACGTGCGGATGAATGAGCTTGGCTCCAGATATGCCACGCTTGGACTCTCGGACAAAGTTGCTCTGGCTACTATTAACGTCGACACAAATGATGTACCAATCGAGATTGACTCATACCCGTCAATTCGACTGTATCGCGCTGTGACAAATGAAATCGTGTCTTTCCAGGGCAACTTCACTCAGATGTTGACAGTTGAACAACTTGATACTTTCGTTTCTCAGAGTGGAAGTCATGGAGTCGGTGTATTTAATCAGAATGAAGAAGGAGCTCATGACGAGCTATAGTATTTAGATAAAAACTATATAAAAGGTCTCAGACGCAGAATTTCAGCATGAACCCTCAGTTACAGATGTCTCGACCCTGATATTGATTTGGTTGCCTTGCAGCGGCTGAGCGTTGGTTGCCTTGCAGCGGCTGAGCGTTGGTTGCCCGATGCAGCAAAAGTTGGACGACGGCGGTCAGCTGAGTGGCTGTGTCAGGCCGTAGCGTGGGCCCGGGCATTCAGTGAGGGGTATTCGAGAACTCATTCATTCACGAGTAAGCATCCATGAAGAAAAGAAGGAATACGACACCAAAGGATATCACTCCATTTCTTGCATAGTAACCTCCGGCTGTTGATGTTCCAATGTGGTCTTCGAAACCCAGGGCTGAGGCCAAGTCCTCCAAACGCCACTCGAAAGATAGTTGCTCTGGTTTCAAAGTTCCGAAGGCTCTGAGAACTCATTCCTTACTAAATCGGGTAACCAAGCCAGCTTCTTATACTCTCATTTAACTCAGGTGCCTTGTTACATGTAGCTAAGTGGCCATATGAGAAGTTTAGCGATTATATTTCTGCCATCCACCTTTAGAGCTTACCAGCTGATGTTGAAGTGTACAGATGAATCTTTCCCTTCGCTCAAGTTCTATTGAATCCTATGTTGGTGGACTCTCGAGCAATCGATTGTTTTTCGGTCGGGAGAGTAATACAAGAGTCCCTCTGCCTTTGTTCGTCGACTTGGAACAAGAGTCCAACGCGAATCAAATAGCGCTCTCAAATATCACCAATCCGAAATCGCCGATATGCCCTTTCACTCCACTTGACAATAAAAGTCCTCCAGACAAAGGCGCCTCTAGAATTTATCATCCCTTGCCTGAGACCAGTACCTTCCGATTGCTAGAGATACTCCCCGGAGATGGTGACATTGTTCGATGCAAGCTTCACGTATGCGCCTTGAAAGAAAACGAGGCAGCGTACGAAGCCCTATCATACACTTGGGGTGAGCCAGACGCTTCCAGCGACCGAAAAATTGAGATCATCGTCAACAGTGCGAGTCACTCTATGGTTATCTCTGGGAGCCTGTACATCGCGTTACGGGAAGTCCGGAGGAGTAATGACAGCAGAGTCATATGGGCCGACGCAATCTGTATCAACCAGGAAGACGTCAAAGAAAGAGGCCAGCAGGTAGCGCTGATGGGACAGATATTCAGCGGCGCTTGGCAAGTCATAATTTGGCTTGGCGAGGAAACGGACCGCTGCATTTGTGGAAAGACTGTCCTTAAAACATCTCTTTCGTCAGTCTCAAAGGCCTTCTCTGGGGTCTGTTCAGTCGTCAATGACTGGCTGGCTCAATGTGGCCAAGAGGCTCTCGAAGCAACTTACTCGGATATCTCAAAAGATGGCCAATCTGCCGCACATCATGCCAGCACCGACGATGGCGGATACTGCCGCTCTGCGATGATGCAACTTTTCAGACGACGCTGGTTCTCCCGAATCTGGGTACTGCAAGAAGCTGTCCTAGCCAGGCATGCTGCTGTTCAACTCGGCTCGTACCAGATTCCATGGGAGTGGGTTGGACTCGCAGCAGCTATAGTTGTCCATAAACCCGAGCTGTCGCCCAATAGCTTTGGGCGAGACATGATTCCTACTGGAGCAATGAACAGTTATCTCATGTATCGACTGTCGGTTTCGCAAAAGTGTTTCCCACAACTAGAATTCTCATTTGCTCAATTGCTTCAAGTCACACGACAGTTTGAGAGTAAAGAGCCTAAGGACAAGATCTATGGGTTGTTAGGTATTGAAACAACAGACTCAGTCGGCAAAAAGATCGTCCCAGACTATCGGGAGGCAACTACTTCAGAGAAGGTCTACGAGGATATTGCTAGACTTATGCTCGAGTCGGCCTCGTCTTTGACGTTTCTTTCTGGGGCAGGGACCTTTGGAGACTATGACCCTACCGGGCCATCATGGGTACCCAGTTGGCATAAGCGCCGACCCTGGACAATATTACCGACCAAGCAAAATTCAGGCTTTCAATGTGCATCTGCTGCTCCAATGGAAATTAATCGCAACAGCCAAGCAGGAGAGCTCGTTCTTCGAGGGGTAATAGTTGACTGCATCTACTCCATGCAAGAACGCCGTGACTATGGGCGTATCTTTGACCAAAACGACAAAAGCCGCGAGAAGCTCCTAAATCAGCCAAGATGGAGCAAAGAAGCGTGGAGAAAATGTGCCTTGACTTTGACATGCGGCGGCGAGGGGAGAGCATATCCCGTTGATGACGAGGCTGCTCATCTCGCCGATCTAGCTGCTTTGGTCCTCTCAGGAAGTGCCCACTGGATCATGAGAGATCTTATCGCACTTCGAGATGTTATCGAGCCAGAAGGCGACGAAACGACACAGGTGGAGTACCTTAATGAGATTGTTGAAGGGGGGAATTATCGGCGATATATAAGCGCTGTGGAACCTATCCGTGATTCTTATAGGTTGTTTGATACTAACTCGAATTACTTCGGCGTTGGGCCTGTTGATATGAAGATAGGGGATCGACTTTGCGTCCTGTTTGGTGCCGAAGTTCCGTTTTTGTTGAGGCCGAAGGAAGATGGGTACTTGGTTGTTGGGGAGTGCTATGTGCATGATTTGATGCATGGCGAAGTCCTCGAGAAGCTTGCCTCTGATCCTGGTGGACGATTTAAAGCTAAATGGTTCAAACTTGTTTAGTATATCATTATGGCGAATCACATTGAGGCGAAGAACGAGAGCCTGGCGATCTCAAAATATATCCTACTGACTTACAGTCCTCGTAATTATCTATAGCAAGTACCCAATAACGCCTATTCCAGCTCAAAGTTAACGTAAACCCGACTCTCCCAACCCGAAAGCATCGGCCGTCCTCCCTTCAATCCTCCTGCAGTTTCCCTCGTATAAGCCAGCAGGCGAACGTCCTCGTGCGAGCAATCCAATACTGTAGGAACATCCGGACCGAGTCTATCCTCGCGACTCATGTTCAACACAACAACAGCCTTCCTCTTCTCAGACCGTCTTCCCTTGACAGGTACAATACTCTCTTTGACATAGATAAACAGCGACTCATCCTCTGGGTCCAGAAGTTTGAATGAACCGAATACGAAGAGATCTTGATACTGTTTTCGTAGGCGGAGCATGGCCTTGTAGAAACTAAGGATTGAGTTGGGATCTTTGACCTGCTTTGCGACGTTTATCTGGCGATAGTCATCGTGGACTCTCATCCATGGCTTCGCCGACGCGTCAGCAAATCCCGCGTTGGGTGAATCATCCCATTGGAACGGAATACGGGAGTGATCGCGCGCCATGATTTGGAGACCGTGCATCGTGTCTCTAACACGCTTCTCATCGCCCGACGCGACAGCTTCAGCGTAGAAATTACTACTCTCGATATCCTTGTACTCTTCAATTCCCCACGACCTGGGCATGTTGGTCATACCAATTTCTTGTCCTTGATACAAGAACAATGTACCTGTGAGTGTTGTCTGCCAGATAGCCAAAGTCTTTGCTGACTTTAACCACCATTCTGGCGTTGACGCATCACCAAAGCGATCCACAGCACGTCCATTGTCGTGGTTCTCGCAGAACGCAGTCGCCCATGCATCTGTGCCCTCGATGAAGCTCTGCCACTTGTACACAAACGCCTTGAGCTTGGATAATGGGAATGGTTGGTAGATATACTTGTCACCAAACCCATTTCCGTTACCAAGTCTGATCATGGAGAATTCAAATACCATATCCAACTCTTTCGCAGCAGCAGAAACGTAAGGAATGACTTGTGATGGATTAGGCGTGTTTGAGAGCTCGCCGACTGATACAGCGTTGTAAGGGCCAAGAACCTTCTCATACATCTCGTGAATGAACTCGTGAATACGCGGTCCGTTACACCACATTTCAGGTGCAGGCTGATGAGGCGATGAGGGGTCTGTAATAGGCGCGTCGACAAAATCTCTCCTCTTTGAGTATTTGTTGACTGTGTCAATGCGAAAACCATCAACACCACGATCAAGCCAAAATCGCATCGTGTTCTCGTAAATAGCCTCTCGACACTCATCATTATCCCAATTCAAATCAGGTTGATCAGGTGCATAAAGATGAAGATAATATTCCTGGGTAAGTTCATCCCAAGTCCATGTCGAGCACGCGAAATACCCTCTCCAATTCGTAGGAGGATGTCTCACGCCATTCTCATCATATCGTGCAGGTTTCCAAATATACCAATCCCTCTTAGGATTATCCTTTGACGATCTCGATTCTTTGAACCACTCATGCTCTATCGACGTGTGATTAACAACAAGATCGAGAATGATCTTGAGACCACGATCATGACATTCTTTGACGAGAATATCGACATCTTCAACGCTGCCGTAGGGTTCATAGATCTTTTGATAATCTGAAACGTCGTAGCCCATGTCTTTTTGGGGACTTTCGAAAATGGGAGATACCCATACGACATCGATGCCAAGATCGCTTAGATAATCGAGCTTGGAGATGAGACCGGGTAAATCGCCCCAGCCATCGTTGTTGGAGTCTTTGAAACTGGCTGGGTAGACTTGGTAGAAGGAGGCGGCTTTCCACCACGGTTGTTTGCCTATGTATTTATGCTCATCGTCCCAGATGACGGAGCCCATGATGACTGTGAGAGGCAGGGAGGATGAGGTGAAATGGATGAAAGCGAATGGTCGTGGGAATATTGTTGAGAGGGGAAGACGAGGTGTTTATTATTTACCCATCTTATCGGCCGACATCACTCCGTTGAATGTGGAGATCCTATTTCTGATCAACGCCGCATGTAACGGACCCTCCGCTCAAGAATGGAGCGTAACATTCATCACCAACTCGTAAAAGATCAGCCGAGGCTGTCTCTCACCCCGTCCAGTTTACCCTACGACGTCAGAGCGCTCACCTAAAAAGCCTTGGCTTGAGTGTGACCAGCGGAGACTCCGTCTCTAGCGCTCCCATCATCGGAGTCCTTCCGCACTATTGATCACTAACTCCAAAACAGCCAATTACCTTACTGAGACAAATTCCGAGGAGTGGAAGCTCCGCTAGCACGCGGAGTCTCCTGTTCAAAAGACTCTTGCCCCAATCCCATTTCTTGAAAATCACCCCACACACTCAATTCCCCCGTGCCCCAGGTTTCCCCATGCTTCATACCAGATGATGAACGGTTCCTGTTTTCTGGGGGATTTAGGCTTGGGCTTGTAAAAAATTCATCATCCGAGCTGTCGGGTTCAGGCGTAGCGAGCATCGGCTCCGCGAAGTACATAAAGGACCGACAATCCTACACTTTTCCAGCATCTCGCCATCCATCTCTTCACATTTGTTTCAAACTCTCAATCTTCACCATGGCTTCTTATCCCGAGAAGAGTATCGATGCTCAGCATGACGAGACTATTAACCCTGAAGCTCTTGCTTCAGAGGCAAAAGTCGCCGCGGAAGCTGAGCATCATATGACTCTCTGGGAAGCTATCAAGACTTATCCCAAGGCTATTGGATGGTCTGTTCTTTTGTCGACAACTCTTATCATGGAAGGCTATGATCTTGCTTTACTTGGCAATTTGTACGCTTCTCCTGTGTTTAATGAGAAGTTTGGGACTTGGAATGCTGAGAAGGAGAAATATGCTGTTTCTCCTGCTTGGCAATCTGGTTTGTCCAACGGTGCCCGCGCCGGCGAGATCATTGGTCTCATCATTGCTGGTTGGACATCTGACAGATACGGCTACAAGATGACCACCGTCGGCTCTCTCGTTCTCATGATCGCCTTTGTCTTTGTTCTCTTCTTCGCTCCCAACGTCAAGATTCTCGTCCTGGGAGAAGTCCTCTGCGGTAAATATCATATCATACCACCATCTGTGCCATTCGCTAATGTAACTATACAAGGTATCCCATGGGGCGCGTTCCAAAGCGTTACTCCTGCATATGCATCCGAAGTAGCACCGGTTGTTCTGCGACCTTACCTCACGACTTTCATCAACATGTGCTGGGTCATTGGTCAGTTCTTTGCAGCTGCTGTGAACAAAGGTTCCGTTGGTCGTGGTGATGAGTGGGCTTATCGCATTCCTTTTGGTGTGCAGTGGGTTTGGCCTGTGCCTATCCTGGCAGGTGTTATTTTTGCTCCGGAGTAAGTTGTGACATATCATCAGGGGTTGGTAATGTTGTGCTAATGTTGTGATAGATCACCTTGGTGGTATGTTAGGAAGGGTAACCGAGCTGCAGCCAAGAAGTCGCTTCTGAGACTTACTTCGCCCCAACAACCCAACTTTAACGCCGACGAGACGATTGCGATGATTGAACATACGAATGAGATGGAGAAGAACTTGAAGGAGGGAACGACCTATAGAGACTGCTTCAAGGGTGTTGATCTTCGCCGAACTGAGATTGTTGTTGGTATCTGGCTTGTGCAGACTCTTGGTGGACAGAACCTTATGGGTTACTTCTCATACTTCCTCACGCAAGCCGGTATGGACGCCAGCAACTCATTCTCTCTATCTATGGGCCAATATGCCCTTGGAATGGTTGGCACCATGGGCTCTTGGTTCTTGATGTCCAGGGTTGGCCGACGAACCATTCACTTCTCAGGTCTCTGCACACAACTCCTCATTCTCATCATCGTCGGCTCCCTCTCCTTCTCCAAAGACAACTCTTCAGTCTGGGCTATCGGAGGCATGCTTATTCTCTTCACATTCGTCTACGACTTCACTGTTGGTCCCGTCACCTACTCCCTCATCTCCGAACTTTCATCAACCCGACTCAAGGCTAAGACAATCGTCATGGCCCGCGCCGCTTACAATGCTAGCAACATCTTTGTCAACGTCATGACAAACTATCAGCTATCATCATCTGCGTGGAACTGGGGAGCTCGCACCGCCTACTTCTGGGCCGGAACCTGTCTTCTCTCCGCTATTTGGGTGTTCTTCAGACTTCCCGAGCCTAAGGGTCGTACTTATGCTGAGTTGGATGTTCTCTTTGAGAAGAAGGTTCCTGCGAGGAAGTTTGCCAAGACTCAGATCGATCCTTATTCGCACTCCGTTACTTCTGACAAGAAGTTGAATGAGAAGGAGTTGCAGTAAGCATGAAAACAGTAAAAAAGGTATTGACGTGGTATCATGAAGAGAAGATGTATGATAGTAATAAGGGTATATAGTTGGATAGCTTGATGTACAGATTGTTTATTATGAATTTACTCTCGATATTGGTGGACTACTGTGGGCCACGCTAGGCCCGGGACTCGGCAGTGCCTGTTGTATGTGCTTTTCCAGAAGCGGCTCATAAGTGGATGCACCTCCCGGCAGTTTGGTTATGAGGTTCCGGATATATAGTAAGTCATCTTCAGGTGATGTGCCCATTGCAAGGCCTTGGGGACTTGAAGGCGTGACTGGTACACGAGCGAGAACATCCACGACAGCAGAGACAATGTCGTACAGCTTTTCAGTTACACCAATGCCATGAATCTTGATGCTGTCGATGGACAGGTCTCGGGTTGAGAGAGTGAGGTCTTTGGCGACCACTAGTGGGTACTGATAAGTGAGACTATGCTGATGTGCATTTTCACTGAGATGGCCTAGTCGAAGGCGCAATTTCCATACAATCATCCGTAACCACAGCTGTGTTATTCTCAAGTTCGCTTTCTGTGTTTCGTGAAGTTGCAAGTCAGGTTTTATAGCCGTATTAACAGCCGTCTCCACGAAATCCAGCGACGAAAGAGGCGGTGTAATCGCAAAACGCTCCTGATTCAACAACGCAACAAACGAAGTATCAATGGGTCTAAAAAGCGCCGAAAGACTCCAGAAACCAGAAAGCGAAGGATCATTCATGTCGATTTCTGGGGCCTCGTCGGTTATTTGTAATGTGATGGGGCGGCGATATCGGATGGCGTGAGATCGCTCTGATACGACAAGGACCCAGAATAGTCGGTGTGCTAACGCCTTTGCGGAATGGTCCATGTCCTCGAGGCGTAAAAGACAGAATAATGTTGTTGCTTCGCGCAGGAAGAGAAATGTTTGGCTGTGGTGGGACAGACGCGCTTGACAGGCGTAGAGGAAGAACGCGAGGAGGCATTGGTTGAGGGTTGGTTTCATTGTGCGGGGGGTTGATTGATGGACGGTGACGACTTGATCCACGATCATTGAACCATATGTCGCATTATTCTCAGCGATGATGCCTTGCGACAGTAGATTTTCTGGTTCTTCTGTTTGGAGGAGTACTTGCGCGCACATGGCGACAAGGACAGAGTAAGCCTCAAGTCTCCATTCAGGCGTCGCGGACGATGACGCTGATCTAAGCAGCACGACATAATCGCGAGTCAGAATAGGAATGGTAGGATAAAGCCGTGCAAAGAAGCGCTCAACACAATGATCGAGTACCGGAGCCGGCACAAGCTCAATGAGTCGATGCAGCGCATCAACAGGTGCATTCGACGGTACCGAGTAATGGCCGTGGATAGGCTGGAGGATACTCGGAGCACCGGACTGTCCAATGCAGCGATCTCCTAGACCTGCATCCACACATCTTCTGCAGGGCCGATACTCATTACAGCCTCGGCGGAGCGTCTTACAGCGCTGACAGGCTCTAGGTACCTGCGTCCGCTTGGCGGGTGGAACATCTCGATTATCGTCGGGCATAGAATCCTTAGCCTCAGATAAGACAACGTCTACCGTTAGTGTTTGTGTACACCGTACTCCGTACAGTGGGAGATGGGGAGATAAAGGATCTGAGATTAGGATAATCGCGCACGTGCGTGGGTCGACGGTACCGCAACGGGAGTAAGTTTCCTTGGGATGAGGTAACGAAAAGATAAGAAAAAATAAAAGGGAAAACGAAAAATTCCCGCAAGCGATAGGATGTAACTCAAAAGTCAAGGCTTGCAAGGGACAAGAGACTGACTGAGTCAAGAACCAACAGAGAGAGAAAAAGAAGTGGATTTTGAGTTCGTGGGGATTGGACAGGCTGGTTTATTCGGGAACTGCTACACCCCCGCTTGGAGACTATGCCTAAATGGGGCGTTACATATCGTTTATCACTTGCCAGAAGCATGTCAATTCAATAATATCTTCAAACCAGTCTATTGGGAAATAATATGTATCTATTCTAGATATAGAAATAATTGCCATGATCAAACCAAATGTTGACAGTGACTGATTTCCCCGCGTCTTCATCGGCCTCTAACGCTGACGTACCGAATGATAAATGATTCAGGCTAGAATCTTGGCAGAAACCCATAATCCCTGGCTGATCACTATCGCCGTACGTAATTAGGGCGCACGGCGAGAACCTTCTGCTCACCTTACTTGCTCTTGGCTATCTTAACTATCCTCGAACTAGAGAGCCGATCCGACGGGACCTGTTAACTAATGATAAGGTAACACGGTGGGTTACACGCATATTCTCGGTCTGGACAAGCTACCCAGGTTGATCACGGCCAAGATACCAAGATATCACGACTATAAAAGATGGCAAAATCCCCCTTCATCATGTTTGTTTCTCTTCTCTTCAGGTAGTTCTCAATATCAAGTCTTCCTGACCGCCCAATATGTCGCCATCACTTCAATCCCTGCTCACACTCACAACCCTTGTTGGTTCGGCCCTCGCTTCTCCCCTCCCCGAGATACCCCAGCTCGTCTCCCGGGCAGTCAGCGACTTTGCGTGCTACAACGCCAGTCTTCCCAACATCACCATCTACGCTACCGGTGGCACAATCGCTGGTTCAGCTGGTTCTTCTGATCAGACTACGGGTTACAAGGCTGGTGCTTTGGGTATCAAGACGTTGATCGACGCTGTTCCCCAATTATGCAACGTCTCCAATGTTCGGGGCGTGCAGATCGCCAATGTTGATAGTGGAGACATCAACTCGACTATTCTCACTACTTTGGCGCATCGCATTCAGGATGATCTTGATGGCGATTACATGCAGGGTGTTGTTGTAACTCATGGCACTGATACACTCGAGGAGTCTTCTTTCTTCCTTGACCTTACTGTTAAGAGTGAGAAGCCTGTTGTTATGGTTGGCTCTATGCGCCCTGCCACGGCTCTCTCCGCCGACGGCCCTATCAACCTCCTCTCTGCTGTTCGACTCGCCAGCAGCAAGAGCGCTATGGGTCGAGGAACCATGATTGTTCTTAACGATAAGATTGCTTCTGCGCGATATACCATCAAGACCAACGCCAACTCCCTCGACACCTTCAAGGCCGAAGATCAAGGCTATCTCGGCTCTTTCGAGAACGTCGAGCCTATCTTCTGGTACCCCGCCACTCGACCCCTCGGCCACCACTACTTCAACATCAGCACCAGCTCAACCAAGACTGCTCTTCCTCAAGTCGATGTTCTGTATGGTCATCAAGAGACCGACCCCAAGCTTTTCCAAGAAGCTATTGAGAACGGTGCTGAGGGCATTGTTCTTGCTGGTCTTGGCGCTGGAGGCTGGCCTGACAAGGCCGTTGATGAGATCAAGAAGGTTCTCAACGAGACTGAGATTCCTGTCGTTGTTAGCCGGCGTACTGCTTGGGGATATGTTGAGGAGAGACCTTTTGGTATTGGAGCGGGATACTTGAATCCTTCCAAGGCTCGTATTCAGCTTCAGCTTGCTTTGGAGAAGAAGCTGTCTATCGAGGAGATCAAGGACATTTTTGAGTATGCTTCTTAAATGATGAGCGAATCTGTATGACTTCATGATGTATATATGAACTAGAATAACATTTCTCAAGAGAATAACATATGCAGCGCACTATTCAGACGAAAATCGGTGGATTATTTGACTTCCGAGTTCGATTATAAAAGGTATAGAGAATTATCTCATTAAGTGGATGTAATTGCTATAATATCCAAATGTAGACAGACTATATCGTTCCCTTACCATGGCATCTAACTCACTCATTTTTCATTCTTGCCTGCGATCCGATAATTAGCCCAATAGAGTTTAAACCAATAAATTTCAGTTCAAATACCAAGCTCGATTGTAGTCTAATAACTTCAAGCTTAAAAACAAGTTTGAAGTTGCTACTCCCCACTTGATGAGAAAAATGAGATTCAGGAAACATCCAAACAGGAATCTGGCCTCCTATCCAACGAATGAAAAGATGAAATCATCACAAGCACCTGAGCCCTGGGACAAACAGTCGATTCCAGGGTAGGCTGAATGTTCATCAAGAATCTTTTGGTATACCACATAGAACGATTGATTAAATGGCAGATGAAGCTTTAAATAAGGTGTTAAAGATAGCCACGTAAACTTCAATAGTAATCTCCAAGAAGAGACACAAGGAAGCATTCGTGTCTTCTCGACACAATCCGCGATAAATAAAGTCCTACCTGCGATGGTGCGTGCGCTGTAGGACTCGGCATGTCACTGCTTCTAGTGGCCAGTTGCACTGACTAATCGCCATTTCAGTGGTCTAGCGCACGTTCAGGCACCAGGGACTCTAGACGTCAGCCTACTTTCTTACAACTTCATCGACATACTTTCTGATCAAGAGACATAAGAGAAGAACGATAAATCAACATGTCAGCTGGATCAAGTGAGCGTCAGACCATCAACCTCCCTGGGACAAAAGATCAGCCAAAAACAGAACCAGATTATTTCCTCGATGTTCGCAGCGCAGCAGCTTTATGTGACCTCCAGGACGGTGACCTGTTGCAGATGGTAAGACCGTCTCACGTCCTTGGACCCAAGCTTACCCAAGAATTAGGTAGTCTATCACGAAGAAGATAGCATCGAGTTCTCCGGCCTAAACAGAATGGTGGCGCCTGAAGATCTTGCCGAGTACTTTGACGCTCCTGGAATAAGGAAGTTTGCCTTCTATCGCCATCCTGGATCACGTGCTGTCATCTTGATCTGGACACGTTTACCTGCTACGGCTTCTACCAAGAACGCACGCGTCCAGCACCGGCTGAGGAGGGATTTGACTTGGTATGCTGAGAAAGAGGGTATTAGGAATGTGGCTACGGTAAGTCTTGGCTCTGTCGCGGTGACTTTGGCTGATGATTTGTAGCTTGAAGTGCAGACACGGAAGGATGTCACCGTGGAGCGCTTGGAGGAGGCAATTGCCTCGTTAACGATGAGCAAAGAATGAAGGAATATGCTCAACTACATAGACAGTCTTTATTGTAGCACTCTCATCAGTCATTGTTCTTCAATAAATACTGATTGTCGTTTTAGATGGATACCTTGAGTAACGGGCCATCCTTCAGCGCCAGGATCACCCTCTAAACATGTGCAGAATCGCATGTGCATCAAACTTGACGAAAGAGCATGTTACAAGCGTTTCTCTTTCGAGAAGATATGTCAAAGCAGGCCATAGTATAACGATCGCCAATATGAGGATACATAAAAAGTTTAAATGTCTCAACTATCTTGACCCAAGATATTAATTTCCTCGCCTCTCCTGATGATAAACCTAATAATTATGTAGCTCCGTTAAAAGCCGTCTCGAATTCTGCAGGAGTATAGCGTCCTTCACTCTCGCTGCACATAGCCTTGGCAATGACCTTGAGAAGACCATCGTTACCGTTGAAAACACCATAGTTCCTCCCTCTGAGGATTCCCTCAGTCTTATCAGCTGTGACACGCTCGTAGCTAGTGTTAGGAGGCTCAATGAGATCCTTCCACAGCTGGAATCGGTCATCAGAGTTTCGCAGGTCAGGAACAGACATGACAAGGAAACTCATGGCGAGGGAGAAAGTGTCGGCCTTGGTGGTATAGTCTCTGCCAATGATGATTTCTAGTAATGTTAGTTTAGAGTTGAAGTGAAGGAACTAAATATCGTACCTGGGGCAGTGTATGAGGGAGTGCCGACATCCATCTGGACAGTAGTGCCAATGTCTCGCGACTGGTCAAAGTCCATAAGCTTAATGGTATCTCCATCCTTGAGGAAGTTCTCAGGCTTGAGATCCCGATGGATGATGCCCGCGGCGGAGACAGCAGCAACGGCGCTGAGCATCTGTTTGAAAGCGCCGTTCACATCAGCAAGGCTGCCGAGGTTATCAGCCACGGAGCCCTCCTGGACATAAGGCATGATGGCAAAACCGTAGTCCTTCACACCACCCTTGCCGTAAACGATGTGGTGAATAGGAAGAATATTGGGATGGTCAAGACCCTTCTGCAGACGAGCGCCGTACATAATAGCGTTACCATCGCCAGATTTGATACCACTGCGCTTACTGACGACAGTCTCCTGCTGCTGCTGATTCTCAGAGTCTGTCCAGGTCAAGGTAGCTTTGTCGATGAGGACTGTCAAGCTAGTAGCGACAGTGCTGTCTTTGTTGAGCGTGTAGCACTCCCAGGTCAGCTTCTTCTCAGAGTTGACCCAGTCGCCGACAATGAGGCCATCCATGCTGGGGACGTCAAAGACGGGGATGGTGCTGGTGATATCCTCCCATCTTCGGAAGAGAGGCCATGTTGAAATGAAATCAGGGAAGCTGCCTTCGCCAGAGGCGGCGCTGGCGTTGGTGATAAAAGAGAGTAAAGCCCCGAGGGCAAAAGTGAAGCGACTTGAGAAAAGCATTGTCGCTGAAGTGAATGACTATCCAAAAGAGTGTAGGAAGAATACCAACGTCCTGCTGTTAGGGCAGCTTAGAATGTTGGGTGGTGCATTTATTTAACGGAACATTTGCCAGGCTTTTTACTTTTAGCAGTGATTTACAAGACCAAAATAAGTCGTGTTTTCGGAGGATGCAATGCTGATTCCTTGGCGTAATCCGTTTAATTAGATCATCTAATTTCTATTGTACTTGAAACAGGAGCGATAATGGAGATCCTTGTGCTGACATGTCCACTACCGATGAAACAAGGCTGAGCTGACTGTATGTGAGTGGAGTTATAGTGTGTTGATGACTCGTGAGCCGAAGATTCAGGCCGTTTACTGAGACATTTTGCGGGAAGCTTGAATAGTGAGGCGAGACCCCAGATCTTCCCGTGCTTGCCGTGTCTTGGGATCAAAGTTGGGGTCCGGATGAGATTTTAGTTGAAACGTGTTGAGATTGGGGGCTTAGCCTTTGCACGTCCCGTAGAATGATCTCGAGATAGAGATGGTGAATCATGAGAATGGCAAGAATGGTGATGAGGCTTAGCGGTAGTATTGCGATCGCCTATCTGCCTTGATTGATTACATGAACTGAATCCTACTGCAACGATGACATATGGGTCATAAATCCTACGTATGAAATAAATAAATCCGTACAATACACAATATTACAAGGCAGATTTCTTATTTCCAGCCCAATTATAGGCCATCTAACGACTCCCTGTTTGTTTATACCACTGGAGTCAGCTCAGCCCTAGAATACCACTGGGGCATCCACTAACAGCCCCCGATAAGCGCACGGGATGGAGCCTTACAGCCCTGTAAGGATTCCGAAGGATGGAGATTAAGGAGTCCCGAAATTGACCATCTCACTCCGCGTCGTAACACTCTCGGCAGATGTGATGCCGTGCAGTCTACTCTGAATCTGGCTGTAAATTTTGATGCACTAATGTAAGCAGCGTGTTTTACTGAGATCCTTCGGAAGTTTGTTCTGAAGGATCAAACCTGTGCGGCCCTGTAATTTAGAATTATGGAGATAGCTTACAATCCATGTAAGTCATCCCGTTAACGTTGAAGGATGTTTGTAAATGTCTGTAAATAAGTCCTTTGTTATTCTTTACTTTACTTAAAGTCTTTTGTTTCCTACATACGCTCTTTAGCACACTGTTTTAGTATCGCAAACCTTGGTTGGGTTAGCTTCTTCATTCGTTATGTTGCGCCCTACAGACTCTCCCATGCCAATTGGCATTGGTTTCCTTCTTTTGTCTTTCGGAGCCAAGTTTGCTTCTGCCGTTCCTTACCAGTGAGTTTCACGTAGTTGAGCGTGAGTTGAGTGAGCTAATTGGTGGTAGAATCTACCAGCTAAATGAGCGAGACGTCAACACTGATACCACTACAACTGATACCTTCATTTCTACAACCACCAGCGCCGTCGCGCCAATTGATGTTCTTCCTACCACAAGTTCAGATGTTGTTGTGATCAACACTGAGACTTCGTCACACAATGATGCTGTTGTTGTTGACACAACTACCCATGCTGCTCCAGTGATCGAGACCCCTACCACCATTGGGCAGATTGTTGATGATGCTACCACCAGCGCTGAGATTGCGCCTGTTGGTACTGAGACCTCAGCTATCGTGGATGTGTTGAGCAGCACTGGTGTTCCAGTTGAGAACCCTATTCCTACTACAACCGACGGTCAGACGACATCGGGCTGGATTCCTCCCGCTGGTACCGAGACCAATGTTGTTGGAACTCCGGGCCCTAGCACTGATGTTCCCCCTCCTGCTGGTACTGAGACTGCTACCACCAACGATGCCGTTGAGCCAATTGGTACCACTACCAACACTGATATTCCTCCTGCTGGAACAGAGACTACGAGCGATGTCCCTCCTGTCATTGATACCACCACGAACACTAATATCCCTGTCGGCACCGAGACTACCAGCAACACAATTGAACCTGTCGATACTACCACTGATCTTCCAGCCCCTGGTCCCGAGACCACTACCACCCAAGCTCAAGCACCTGTCGATACCACTACCTCTGCTGCCATCCCTCATCCCAACACCGACACCAGCGCTGAGGTGCCCCCTCCCGAGACAACAACCGACAAGGTCGACGCCCCCAGCACCACCGCCCCCGTCAACAACATCCCTAGCACTACCGAAAAGGCTTCTGAACCAAGCGACAAGCCCAGCGATGCCCCCTCAGCACCTGTCACTGCTCCTCCTCAAGAAGCCACTGCTGCTGCTTCTCAAGCTCAGGTCACTGCCTCAGAGTACAACTCCAAGGTCGACGATATCATTCCCATTATTGTCGCTTGGACCAACAACCCTGATGGCCTCAAGACAGACACGTTGAACAAGGTTAACAACTTGATCGATGGTGTCAAGGGTGCTATTAAGGACCTTGGTGGTAATGAGTCTGGAGGTTGTCCCGGTAAGAGACGTCGCGGACTTCTCGACATCGTCTCCAACGTTATCAACACTCTATCCTGTGTCGTCTCCAACCTCGAAGATGTCACTGGAAAGATCACTGGCGGTATTGTCGAGGGTGTCACTCCCATCGTGGGCACTCTCACCAACAACAGTAATGATCTTAAGGAACAGAGTGAGGAGAAGGATGAGGATGAGAAGTCCAAGACTGAGAAGCAGGAGTCTAAGACTGAGGAGGAAGAGTCCAAGACCGAGGAGAGCAAGACGGAGGCTAGTACCACTGAGAAGCCTACCTCCACTGAGGCGGAGACTACGACTTCCGCTGAGACAACGGAGACTACTGGGTCTTGCAAGATGAGGGAGACTACCAATGTGCCTGCTGCTTCCGATACCCAGCCAAAGACTTCGATTGCTCTGCCCCCCACGAGCGGCGACGGTGCTACTGGTAGCGAGACCTCTGCTGGTCCGGCTGAGACTGATACTTCTGACCTGCCTACCTCCACCGAGGCTGCTGATGTGACTACTTCCAACCAGGGCCCTGAGTCTACCACTGCTGCCGAGACCTCTGTCCATGAGACCTCTACCAAGGCTGTCGTTGAGACTAGCACTGCTGATGAGACCGCTAAGACGGAAGAGACCTCCAAGACTGGTGAGACTGACACTTCAGTCCCCGCCACTACAACGCCCAGCACCCTTCTCACAACAACCCGCCCCTCCGACCAAACCACCAACACAATCACTTCCGGCTCAACCGAGATCATCACCAGCTCTGAGGGCATCACCACAGCTCCAACACGCACATACTACCCCTGCAACATCTACGGCGGTCCTCGCGTCACATCAGCCTACTGCCAATGCTCCACCACCGTCTCAGGCAAGCAATACGTCGCGACAGCTACACTCATCGATAATCGATGTGAAGCTTACACAGAGTATCCCTCCAAGGTCGACCCTGCGACTGAAGCTCCCCCTCCTACACAAGCACCCATCAACGAGCCTCTTACCAAGACCATTGATGGAACTGTCCTCGCATGGACTGCTTACACCCTCGCGTATGGTCAAGTATACAAGGACGTCACTGTTACCTTCTCCAACGGTGTCGGCGACGTAAAGACCATCGCTACACCGGTCCCTACACAGACTCACGTCGATAATGACGGTTCAGGCCAGTGCGGCACTAGCGATGGTCTCTCCAAGTCTGGTCTCGGTGACGCATGTGACCGTGCCATTGGTGAATTCCAAGACGATACTATCTACACAGGCTATACTACTCGCTACAGCCGCTCTAAGAAGGGTCTTCTTATGGTCATGTCTATGGGACAGGCTGCTTGCATTGCCAAGTTTAGCTGTGATGACTATGGTATTGGTATGAGCGGTAAGCTCATCAAGGAAGCGTAAGTTCCCTTCCCACGCGCTGTTGATTGGGGATGATTTACTAACATTGGATGTAGACGTGAGAATGCGAAGAAAAATGACAACATTTGGATGTGTGGACACATTGAGTTGTCGAACTCTTGTAAGGTTGTTATGGATTACTGCACGAACTGTAACAATGAGGGTTAAGCTTTTGTGTGTGCTGGATATGGGTCATGGAAGTGGAAGCACTATTGCATTACATCGCCTTTCAATTGCCTTTCAATTAGATAATGTCAAATAATCCTCAATTTCTTGTGACCACTATCGTCAACTAATCCTACTCATGCCTAGAGTGATCCTGGTTGCCGTTAGGCTATGACGCTGTAGAGTCTTAAGCCAAGTGAGTCGTGTTGAAGAGGCGATTCCCAGTGTCGGTCGTCTTCGTGCCCGTGAACTTGTTCTCCGACAGTCGAAGTGCAACCAGTCCAACCTCATGTCGTCTCATCACCTTCGCAAGTAGATGACCTTCAGCGATCGCCTCAGCCTGAACTACCCCAGCCACGATCACAACGCTGATATTGGGTTCCAGACGGACGACACGCTTGATGAACTCAATCACACTCTTCCCGCTGTTGACCACAGAGTCCACCAAGATCACATTCGACTGGCCCTGAATGTGATGTTTCTTGACGTCTTCTGCACTGGAGGCATGGATGAACATGGCTTGTGGGAATACGTCGCTGATGCCGAATGCCATCGGCTCACCACCTCGCATCAACGCCACGATCGAAGTACGAGATTCATTGCGCAGACGATGACCGGTTGTCTGATGGCCCTGCACATGCGAAATGGTGTACTCCTCAAGACCGACGAGCTTGGATACATACTCAGTGGCTAGATATCGGCCAACATTGGCGTGCGCGTCTCGTAACATGGGGCCAGCTACTGCGGCGTCGCGCATGGGGGACATGAGAAGCTTGGCAGCGGCTTTGTTGGTGGCGTGAAAGATCTTGAGTGGGCGACGATCTGGGCGGCGATCAACGATTGAGTTGACAAAGTCTTCGTCGCCTAGGCTGACCACAGGTAGACTGTCCTTGTCAAGTCTCAGCGACGAGTTACTCGGGAGGAGGACCTGTCGCGCTCGGAGGTGATCATCCTGAATGGCTTTGGCCAAAGCTGCATCCATAGTCGAGCTTCTCTTGTTCTCATCACCAACAACAACGACAGCCTGGTCAGCTTCCCAAAGCATGGGTATATCCAGTGGACTATCACCAAAGGCCCAAACGTAGAGATCATGCACGTCTCTGAGGTGCGACACAACAGCAGCCTTGACCCCAGGAGTGACGAAGTATCCATCCGAGAATCTTCCACCGCCAATCACTTTGACACTGTCCGAAAGGCCATGGTGCTCCAAGATCTTGGTCCAGAGGCGCCCGACGCCGCAAGTCACGACAACAGCGCCGATGTGTTTCTTCTCTGAAATGAGGCGTACCAGAGAGATGAACTCGGGATACAGAGGAACGAAAGCAGACGCCCTGTTGCAACGATTTTCGAACATGTCGTCATCGCATTCTTCTTCGAAGATCACAGTCGCTTGATGAAATGCCTCATCCGAGTATCCCATTGGACCACTGAAAAGGTCTCTTATGGCACATTCATCAAGGCCCATGCCGTAGTTATCCATTTCGTCCACGAGGATACGACCGCCATCTTCAGCCGACAGGGTTCTGTCGCCATCAAAGACCAAGAATGTCTGCAGCTCCTTACTGTCGTGTAAAGCGACGATCTGATCAAGCCGCTTCTTCACCTGTGCGAGATTGGCTCCAGCCGGTGCGAGCTCTTGGAAATGCTGAACAAGAGGCAGGATATTCTCAAGGCTGGGCCATCTAACAGTAGTAAAGATAATTTTATGCTGACGACAGAGGTCCTGCAGGGTCCTGACTTCAAGGCTTCGCCAACGACCCCAGTTTTCTGAGGTCAGATCGGTCATGTCAAATCTGTCCTTCTTCTTGTCATTCATGATGTGAGCCATAATAATCACGGAACAGGGGTTAAAGTAGATAATGTGCGTGAATGTTTCCATGTCTTCAGGTGTGTATACAGCGTGAGGGGCAGTAGCCCGTTTAGCCCAGAACATGAAGTGTCCAGTGACGACGGCGATTTTGCCGCTGGTTGCAGCTTCATTCTTGATGTGGGTGATGGCTTGAGCTCGCCACTTTTTCTTTTCGGGTTCTTCGAGTTTCTGGAAGGCCTTCAGGCCACCGGGGACGAGGTAGGAAATGACTTCGGAGCCTTCGAAGAATGCGAATTCCGTCTCGCCGAGTTTGTTGCGCAGGCCTTCGAGAACGGTGGATTTCCCGGTAGCTGGAAGACCGTAGAGACCGATCACTGTCGGCTTTGATGGAACTAGTATGCAGATTTAGCTTATGGCAATTTCGCTAAATGGGAATAGCAACTGACCTTGGTCCTCGTTACGATTGGCGAGGCCAACCGTGGATGTAGACGTCATGTTAGAAAGATGATTCAGTGCGTAGAGGTGACTTGAACAGTATGAGATGTAACAGTCCAGGTATGATGAGGGATGAAGGATGAAGAAATGAAAAGAAATCTTCTGAGGTATTTCACTCCTGGTTGGTCATTGACTCACATGACTGAGCCCGTTTGGCTTTGCCTTGAGTCGCCCTATCAGGAGGATCAAGAAGCGATGTCAACGCAGGAGGCCCACCCGTCACTCAAGCTGCATAGAGCCGTGCCACAACAAACAATTATCCGATATACTTGATTGTTTATATGACAGAGTAAAAGCTGTAGGCAAGCCGCTTTACGACGTGCAACTGACTGGAGTTTCGCTCGCCTACAGTAGTTTGTCGCTTCTAGGCATCAACCCCCTAGCCTATCCCGCACGGGAAACAATGCCATCATCGCATTCACAATGACCTATGAGAAGATCCTAATAAGCGAGAAACAGGCATACCACAGGGAAACTTCAAACTTGAATGTATGCTTAAGACTGTACACAATTCGCCTTCCTCCGGATTCTCAGCTTCGCCCTCATAGGAGGTACAGGAAGATGTCCCAAACTCATGAAACGAGGCTTCTCATGGACCTCTTCCAGGTCGTAATTCATCGCCAAATACGCAAGAAACACCTTCGTTACAACGGCTGCAAATAGTCTCCCAGGACAAGAATGTTTCCCAATCCCAAACGGGACATAGTTCTCTGATGGAGTGACGAGAGAGTGCACGTCCTGAATGCCCTCATCCTTGTGAAACGGTACGAAGTGAAATGGTTCAAAGGTGTACGCATTAGGATATATGTCCTTATCGTGGTGAATACCCCAAGCGGAGATACTTACGCGTGCACCTTGCGGAAGGTGAATCATACGATCTGTAACTGTTAAGCCATCTTCCTGCATAACTTCCACTGAAAGCGCCTTGATTGCTGTATCAAGCCGAAGTGTTTCCTTGATAACACTGTCCGCGACATGTAGATCATTCACACTTGTTTGCTCGACATCTGTGGGGAAAACACCAAGGGCTTCTTCTTCCAAAGCTTGCCAAACTTGAGTGGAGGGATTGCTTGCGCAAACGTTGAAGAGGGCGTACGTCATTGTCAGTGTTGTTGATTCTAGTGCCGCAAACACTGTAGCAAATACTCGGCAGGCGATGACGTCTGCCATCTCATAACGAGGCTCGTTTTTGCGAAGTGCTTCATTGATGTGCCAAGTGAGGACGTCATCTTGGGGAAAGTCTTTGAGTAAACCGTTTTCAACGAGTATTATTCTTTTTTCGATCTGGGGGCCGAGGATTTTGAGGGCTCTGCTCATGTAAATATGGTTGAAAATGGAAGTCAGTCGAGATGTGATGGGTTGAAGGAATGGGGGGAATAGTGATAGGGCTATGGCGCTTGGTATAACACTTGTGGAGAACTTGGACAGATTGTCAACAAGTTCCTGATCTCCGCCTAGTATTTGGTTAGCAAATATTTATGCAGTGGTACTAGTGCTTTCTCACTGAGAGTACCGCCAATAACCAACCAAGCCGTGATTCTCGCAATGACTCGTCGAACAAGGGCATATATCCGGACTTCTCTCCACTTTGAATCTGATCCAAATGTCTCATCTATCGAATACGCCAGTTCTTCTTCGATCTTGGGTACCAGCCTTGGAAGATGTCTGTTCAGCTGCACCCGAAGGACATCGTAAACCGCAAAGTCTTTTTGGACAGCTGAATTGAGGAAGGCATATTCAGCACCGACAACTTCATGTTGCACGGGAATCGGGCTAAGGATCTTGTCACTCTGTGTAGTCATCCATTGAATAAGACTCTGAGGCAGTAGAACCTCTGGACGGCTAAAAGGAAGAGCAATCACACAAACAGCACCCTTCTTGTTGTACTGCAAACATCAGCATGAGGGGTAAAAGATTTGTTATTGAACATACGTCTTGATAAGCTTTGTTCATAACGCTTGGAATGTTCCAAATCCCAGCGATCTGTGTAACGAGATAAGGAGTAAAACGTCCGCGTGGTGACCAGGGTATCCCATCGGGGACTTTGGAGAAATGGTTGTATGAGACGTGAAAACGCCAGATAAGAACGCCGAGTAGGAAAAGCAAGAGTGAAAGCATTTTGAGCGACCTCAAGGTGATTGCAACGATTTAGGGGCGCATCTGTCGATTTATAGGTAAATCGCAGGATAATGGCATCAGTGCACGAGGACTCGACTCTGAGGGGGCTGGGTTGCACGACAGGAGACTCACTCATGTGTCTGTTTCTGAATGGCTTCTTGCTGATATTTTCTCTGGCCTTAGCACGCGTGAGTGTTCACTGCACGTTCTCATGACATGTGAATAAGCGCATAAATGAAGTTATCGCCAGAGAGTTCAGTGGATATTGACAATGATAAACTCACCTCGGTCAATGCGGACCAACAGTCATTAACTGGGCAATAAGACCGACGATGTGATGGTATTTCAGCGCAACTGGCGGCTCATAGTGGATGCGGATGCAGTGACCAATCTGCAGCCCAGTACGAGCTCTCCTTTATCTAAATATTGCTCAATCGCCCCTAGATTAACCCCGTGTCGAGGGCGCAGCGTCCATAAGACGACAGTGTCATGGCGAATAACCTCCAGCACTTCAGCCAGCCCTCCTTCCCCGACCCACCAGTACTGTTCTCATACCTTTCCTCTTGAGCCCTCGCGCATTGATCAGATAATCTCAATATCAACACACTTTTCATCGCTCCATGCCTCGCCAGACATGACCCCATGAACGTAGCAATCCCCAAGGATCTTCCATTTCTCGCCAGCTTTCCGCAGCACATAGGGCGTCCTTCCACCCTGAAGCAGCGCAATCCGATCACCAGCTCGAGCAGGCCAAGGAACTAAGCTGAGATATCCTGAGCTCGTCGTTGCCATTCTTTGGTCAAAAGCCAATTGTACGTCGGTGAAAGACTTCCCGAATGAGAGAACCTCGCTCTCATTTATGCTGCTTATCTTCCTGTATCCCAGCAGTTTGTGATAGAGTTTTGGTACCACGTGTGAAAGATGAAGCTGATTTATAACCATGCCACTCCTGGTCATTTCGAAGCTGGTTTTCATACTCTGTTGTAGATAGTCCAGGACTTTGCGTCGATCAGCGCTGAGACGAATCCGGTTACTCAATAGGGTTGTGAGGAAAGCTTCCATTCGGGTTTCACCGGGCATCGTCTGGAGATTTCCAGTTTCGAAAGCTAGATCTTGCCAACCTTTAATGGTATCCATGACAGCTCCAATAGACCCAAAGATCTTCCAATTTCTCTTGAATTCGCGAATTGAGTCAGTGACTACGTTGTCAGATTGTAGTTCAGGTCCCGGATAGGGGTATTCTAGCTTGTCCCCAACAGAATTTAACTCATCCACGATAATACCCCTGAGAATTAGCGTTTTGCCGTCGCTCAGAAGCCTTGTAGTAAAAGACATGTTGGACGTGGACGCCTTCCATTCGGGAAACGCATCCGTCATTTCCAACATTATTGGGGTCCGAACGTTTTCCCGTATGATAGGGTTATTGATACCGGAGGGGCCCTTTTCTTCATCCGGAACACTAGAGAAGTCGTAGCTCCAGTCAGGCACCCACGAAGGCAACCCTGCCAAGGTAGTTCCTATACAAGACGGCCTTCGTAGAGCGCTGAAAATCTCCAATGAACGGCTACCGCTTATTATATTGAAGGCTGCACGTGTGTAGCATTCCACGGTGGAAATGGTGTAATCCGGCTCGATGCCATATGTTGATGCGGCGATACCCAGAGAGCCGTATACTTTGTCCCTTGGATCTTTGGCTCTCAACCACCTAAGAAAATGGAGCAGCTTCCCAAGCTCCATTTTCGTACTGAAACTGCGATGCAATCTCATTCTGGCCATGTATAGTATGCCATCAGGGTCGTCAAACAAGTCTCCAAAATCTAAAAGATCGTCATCATCGCCAGTATCAAAGGCGTCGGTAACTGCGTGCATGAGAACATCGGCGCATGTGCGTCGGACGTCTAGCGATGGAGCAGCTAAATTTCCGCACGTGATGATCGCACTAGGAGCTAGAACCATCTCCTGAACGGTCCACACCCTTGACCACCATGGTCTTTTCAATATAGCGATTGCGCCTTTCTTGGCTTGGTTAGGTATGACAAAATCTTTCTTATCCAGGACTTTGGAGCAAGCCGCGTCCTCGCCTTGATTCCAGCGATCAGCATCAACTACATTCATCTCAAAGAAGGTTCTCTCTCTTTTGCTAAGTTGAGGACTTGGAAGATTTGGAATCGTTTGTACCATCTCGAACAAGTGGTTGACTCCATCGGAGGCGGGATCGGGACCTAACCAGATGACCACTCTCTCTGATTTGGTGTAGATGTCTTTCATAAGTACAACTTGAGATTGGCGCTCCTCCAGGTCTTTCTGGTTGATGCAGATGGCGTCGATCCATAGCGTTCGCTCGGTATGCTCGTTCCTCAAGTGCTGCAGTGCACTGAAAAGATTTTCGGTGACTTGGAATCCTTGATTATTGCATTTTATCTCTTGAAGCTGAGTACTGTCACCCCAGCAATATGAAAGAGCTTCATATACCGGATTTTTGTCGAGTGCGACAGCCTCGAGGCGAGATTCAATCGGGTTGTTGATATCCGTTGCTGGAAGCAGATGGAGGAGGCGGATGTGCGTTGGACCGAGCACACCTCCTGTGCTTTTATAGGAAAACATGACAATAGACTGATACTAGCTCTTGGAGCTGGGACCTCAGCGGGGTGCTTGAGCGGGCATGGTTGGCAAACTTTCTGTTGGTGATATCTAGAATCAGGCCAGGTTGCCCCATATTATTCAGAGCTTACTAATATCTCACTTGCATGCCAAGATCCAATGGGACATAATAGGTCAATCTACATCTGTTCCTTTATTAGTTTACCATCCAGAAGCAGTACAAGCGCCAAGCTTTTTTATCGAATCTTGCCCGAGTTATTACCAAGGTGTAAACCGAATAATGATACAAGAGGATAGATCAATACCCCTAAACCGCTGGGCAAGGCTTCGTTCGGTAGTCCTTCAGTCTAGCCAATATTGGGCCAAAATGGGGCATCTGAAACTGGGGCGATGGCAATCTAGAAACTTATACCGCCATAATTTAAATGCATACATCTTCGACCCCTTGTTCCTTTGGACTGTCGTGAGCTCGTTGTGCTCGGTTTCCGAGGTGTACTCATTTCCACTTCCTCCCTATCTATGTTTACTTCCTCGGCATGCGAGATAGTAACTTCATCCAATATGCATGTCCTCTAGCCATGAGACCATCTTTTGCCATGCGCTTAAAGCCACGACAGTCTATTCTCTTCGCATATCTGCCGCAAAGATACTTGATTGTAAACCCAAACAGCAAGCAGCATCCCCATGAGATATAATATCCTCCATCAACAGTCTTTTCTCAACGCTGAGCACACGGCCAGCATATTTATCAGCCACCCTCTCCCAGGCTTTGAGCGTCTCAGGCTCCAGCTTCAAGTCCCGAGTACCTCGCCAGGATACCACCGCATCCTTTCTGCAGTAGGTGAATGCGCAAGCCTCTCTCCTTTCTCCGTGCCATAGAGTCAGTACCTGAAGCTCAGGTGTGTTGAGTGCAAATTGCGCGGCGGTTTGCAGAAGCTTGTTGGTCTGACGGGCGTTGGCCTTGGTGATTGCCCGGGCTGTCAATGTGAGAGATTTTAGATGGGGCCATTGCCAATCTGGTTGACAAGCCTCGAAGAAGTGACGGGCATCGATCATGAAGGCGACCGAAATATGCGCCAGCTTCTGGCTTCGCGCGGCAAATGCGGCGCCGAGGGCGGGTTTTGGAAGTCTGACTCGTTCTGGATTCAGGTCCGAGAGCAAACCTCGACCAAGAGCAAGCAATTCGAGAAATTTCTCATTGAAATCTTCAAATATGGTAATTTTCTTAACACTTTTCGGGAGACTATTGACCGTACTTATAAAGCCTATTGTTTATTCTGTCAGCACTGTTAGACCATAAACTTTTATGTCATTACATACCTATATCTGAAACATGTTGTGCCATGTTCAAGTGTGATTGCCATGGTTCATAGCTGATCTCTTCTAGGTTTGGGAGCTTTGACCAAATGTATGATAAAGTGTGAGGATTGAATTGCTGACGGCACTGTCGTCGTAGAACGAATTTGGTCACGGCATGCACCAAAGGGAGGCCCTCTCGAAAAGTGAGCTCTGAGAGTCCAAATGGCCGTCGTATAGCGTCGTCTGGTGGCGCTTCAGTCACACGGCCCATGAACCACCCGTGCTTTGGATCGTGAATAGGATCTGCGCTATGTGGCTGACACCCGAATTTGTCTTCGCCCGGAGCTCCGAAGTAGCTGTTTTTGAACCAGTGTTCCGAGTCGCTTGGGCAGTAAACATTAAGTTCCAGAGTCAAAGGCTCTCTCCACGTCGTCAGGATAGAGAATAGCCTAGTGATGGCTGCGTTCAGGATCTTGGCAATAGAGTATGACAATGTAAGGGACTCTCTCTTTCGGCATGATCGACAAGTATATCCTTTGAGCTCTATGTTGAGCCATAGATGCTCAATCTTTCCCCTATAGTGATCGTTGAGCTTCTCAAGGTGGTCGAGACATGAGGTGTGAAGCCTGAGATGAGCAAAAGTCTTCTTTTCAATGAAGTCTCTCCATTCTGTTGAGACGGAGGCGTACGGTGCGACGTCTTTGTGTGCTGTCAGGATTTCCAAGATCATACAGCGGATCTCGGCAGGTAAGGAGTACCAGTTGGCCATTTTGTCGGCGTTTTCTGCTCGATGGTGACGTCTGATCAAGGTGATGGGTGTCACAAGAGGATGAGGAGTCGAAGAATATTTTATACCCCAGAGAGTTTCGCTCGTTGACTCATTGGGGGCAGCTTAGCTTTAGACATAACTTTCATGCATGCACACACATTTATAACCATGGTGCCGGATGACGGCTCTAATTGATAGAGTATCACAACAAGGTTTTCATCAGCATTTATGCTGTAGCAATTGGTCAGGCATTGTGTTATAATGTCTAAATTGTGAGCTAGATGTGTTATTTGTAGATGAGACCTATGGCTGAGAGCTTATAATTACCACACAGAACTTCGTTATTGACTCGGTCTCGTAGATATCTTATGAATAATCAACTACGTGAGAGTTAACAACGTTCTTTATATTGCTGATAGTTTTAGCTATTATGTAGCTTCATTTTACGTCCTGTAAATAACGTATGGAGTTGTGGCAATGACTTTGGCTTCGCACGGTTAAGCTTTTGTGCAAATCTTAACTATTTCATCAACTCCTATCAGATACTGGGAGTGGGGAGCAGCAAAACAATCTGGTCTAGGAAATCACAGGAATACACACTTCACTTTTCAAGGAAGGTCAAGTTGGAAAGCAGTGGAAAGATGAATCTGATGTCGATATTGTCTGGCTTTCAATTTAGCTGGAAAAAGAAAAGAAATATCCCTTTGTGACGTATCCTGCAAAAGCCATTCTACCGGGATACTACACAGACTCCTAAGAGTCACAGTTGCAGTAGTACGAGTCACCTGTCTTTATGTCAGTAACCAGAAATCCATTAAAGATTACTTCCAAGACAATTCTTACCTTCCTGGCTACAAGTCTCCTTGTGTTGCTCATCGGATCCAGCTGCCCCCATTTGCTTGAGACTCTCAATGCAGTCATCACAGTTGCTGATCTTCATGCAGTAGCCAGCGCAATATTGCTGGTTCCTAGTGGTGCATCCTGTGAAGCATGGAGCACCAGCTCCACCAGCGGGCTGACCCGCGCATTCACCGGTGCATAGCTGGTTGTTCCTGGCTACGCAGTCGTTGTATGAACCTCCCAAGCAGTTGTTATTCTCACCTGCTTCGCGTGGAGCATTGCACTTGCCGCCTAGGACGACTGGGGCAGATGCAGCAAGGAGGAGAGAGAAAAGAGTCTATTATTGTTAGCTGAGGGATGCTTGGGATCTAGGGAAAGTTTACCCAGGCTGAGTACATAGTGGTGTTTTTTTTTTGAGAGTCGTGAGATATAAGGGATGGTTTGAGAAAGAAGATTTGTTTGTGTTTATTGATGAACCTGGACATATAGAAGAAAAAGGGCGATATTTATATTGATCGCGAGCATCTCGATTTTGTTTCCAATGCCAAAAGGCTGATCCATAAAGTCATTCCGTGACATCATGATCGAGCCAACAGTGACTCTCGTTCCATAAGTCACTCGGAGAATATGCAACGGAAGCCAGATCTCCAAGTTGTTTCTTATGTAATGTTAGGCTCAGCTAGGAACAAAAACATTGCCATTCGTTCAGCTGTTTGAAATCTCACTACTGGGTCCCTTGGCGCGCGTCATATAACGTGAGATTCCCGTGGGCGGGAGCAAGGATTGCGGTCCGTCCATCGTGATCCACGGTCATACATAACAAATTATCCCTGGCGGTGTCAGAATACGTCTGACGCGGGACCTCTTTCGGCTTCTAAAATCAAGACTTCACGACAGAGCGGGTCGACATTCAGTTACACAAGCATCTACAGAGGCCGAGACAAACCCACTTTTATCAACCGGATGATTCCTTTACGACTCCTTGCTGACGTTTGGAACTTTTGTCTTTTCCAGGTCACGAAACCAGGCACATTTGCATCTCGAACGGCCAGTTCCTACAACGATTAGATCTGTCAACGAATAGGCCGGCCCATATTGGTCGACCTCTTTATTTTGTATATTCATATAAGCTCTAGTTCCCTAAACTGCCTTCGATGACAATGTCATCTCTGGAGAGATGTTGCTTCCGCCCTTTATAGAAACAGGCGTAGAATGCACAACCAGCGATAAAACCTGAAATTCCTACAGCTCCATACATCCACACGAGATATGGGTCCTGAGAAACTGCACCAAGTGCAATGCAGATCGCAGCGGCAACGGCAATGGTCAGCCAGAACAGAGCTGAGATGACAGATCGAAGACTAAGAAATCATAATCAGTATACGGACCAAGGTACCAGAGTGCGGATGCTTACTTCTTTGGTGCTTGGGTAAAGGCTAGCTCGAGACCTGTGATGATAACGAAGGCTTCAGACAAGGCCACGAGGATATAAGATGGCGCTTGAATCCAAACGTGGATACTGTTTGGTGGTGACTTGTAGATGTAATGCTGGAGAACGCATGCGTAGGCCATTGAGATAGAGGCGAACATGAAACCCATGAAGATGCGGGTTACAGGGTCAAAGTCGATTCTATACTTTCGCAGCATAGGATACACAATCACTAAGCTCAAATTTTAGAAGCCAATTATTGAGGGGACTGTTAGAGAATACTTACAGTCGAGGAAGGGAATGAAGAAGCAAAGAGCGATGGGATCGAGGTTTTGGAGAAGATCATTGGGTGTTCCATGAAGAGCCATGGTTCCAGCTTGTGAAATGAGGTTATTCCACATCTGATTCCAGCAGATGAAGTAGAACGGGAAGAACAGGAACATCTAGACGCCATTGTAAGTATTCATCTTGAAGGTCACAAGACGGGTCGCATACCTTGCAGCTCTTGAGTCCTCGCTGAACATCTCCAACATACTCATCAGTGTATCTCTGTTGACTGGCCAGAGGATATTTGTCGTCATGCCCTGTTGCTCTGAGTACTGATGGGCGGGCGTTGTTGAAGCCCTTCTCCTTGATGGCGATGCTGGTTGTGCGGCATGCGTCGAGGATGGCTGAGCCAACTGGTGGAACACGGATGTATTTATTTCGTCCAGAGATGAAGACAGCGGCGGAAATGAGGATGGCACTGTTTGAGAAAGGTTAGATTTGGCAGGTGAAATTTGGTCAGACATATTGGACTCACATCAGGGGAACCAAGTATGCCAGCCAGAAAGAATGGTGGGCTTCGACGTTGACTGTGATGAGCGGTGAAAGAGCTCCAATATTGACAACCCAGTAGAACCTTGACGTTGATTAGCGGCTGCATATCCCAGCCTGAGAAACGTGTCTTACCACATGAAGAGTCTCTGCACCGTGAGTTCCGGATCAACAATGACCTCCTCTCCTGACTTGAGAGTCTTGAGAACCGGATGCGAGTGCTGATACTGTTCAGCACACATAGGCGTAACATTCGCCTTGATACCTCCTGTTCCCAATCCAATGGTTACCATAGCAGCGATAAGACCGCCGAGGCCGGCATTATTAAGGAGGGCTGTAGGTGTTGAAGTCGAGACGAGAATGACGAGGCCGATGACATACACGACACATGCGCAGCAGATGGCTCGGAACTTGCCAAGATACTGGTCTGAATAACTTCAGTTAGACATGTACTGATTGAGTGAGGTTGGTTGGGAGACTTGCCAGCGACGATAGCACCAATGACCGTTGAAGCGTAGGCCCAAAACTTGAAGAAGTTACCGAGCGCTGTGGCAACAGCTTGACCTTTGCCAAGAGCACCAGGAAGGTCGGAGCTGGGATCATATGGGTTGCTGAACACTGTTAGTATCGTTACAGGTTAAACATGACCAGTGTTGGCAAACTTGATGTAATTCTGGATCGGTCCAGAGAGACCAAAGTAGGTAAATCGCTCACCGAGCTACACAACGTCAGTCAATCCAATTCCTGGTGTCTCAAGTGTCTGGAAGAGCTGTGTGTCTTACCTCAACGGCCAAGATCAACAATGCGATCTTGGGTAACTTATCAGGGACCCTTCGCAAACCTTGCCACTGCGCTTCATGTCCCGCAATGCTTTTAGCATCAGCAGTATTGCTCTCAATCTTCTTCTCCGTGTTAACTTCAGTCGTCATATTTTCTAACTCAGTCGAGGTAACAAAGAGATGATTCGACTCTCGTATGATGGTGGGTTCTTCATTTCTCGAGATGCGACGCCCCGTATATAAACATCGTGAGTTGGAGAAACTTACCCCGGACCGGCAGACCCATTCTGCTGGGAACCCTGCTGAGAGATAACGCGGGGTCATTGCTGTGGGTTCTGATAGGCGGCCTTCGACGGCCTATCTGGCGCTATCTGGAGAGATAGCGTGGTTGATCGGCGTTGAGAACGCCGCCAATCAGGAGTGACGCCGATATTGGAGGCGGATTAGATGGGAGATAAAATAAGTATTCTTGAAGAAGGGAGTCATGATGCATTTTATCTATTGAACTTTATCGATTTGTTAATGTTGTCCTTATTATCTTGGTCATGTCTTATACTACTACAGCAACAGAAGAGGTAACAGCCTCGTTTCCAAGCCTCAAGCGCTTGGAAATACGACCAGATGAATATCCAGGCCTTGACCCAGAATGGCGGAAACTATGGAATACTCACGGAAGTTCTATGATTCGAGCTGATGAGGTCAGCATCGAGGAATATCGTCTCGGTCCAGCAAAGTACAGTTTCACATATCCAACATGGAAAGGCCCCGAAGTCTTTCACGTTGAGGATAGACAGATCCCAGTGACAACGCCAGAAGGCTCAATCACTGTTAGAGTCTACACCCCAGAAGGACCCGGGCCATTTCCTGTACATCTGAACTTCCATGGTGGAGGATGGGTACTCGGAGGTCTTCAATCTGAAGCGGCGTGGTGTCGACATATGTGCAACAAGGCGTCCATCAAAGTCATCGATGTTGATTACCGCATGGGTCCGGAGTACAAGTATCCAACTGCCATATATGATTGCTGGGATGCTGTGAAATGGGTAAGAGTGAGCCTTCCCGTGTGAGACACTGTTCTAATTGTATGCAGACCATAAACAACGCAACTGGGCTTGACATTAACCCGAAAAGCGTCTCATTCGGTGGTCTTTCAGCTGGCGGTCACATGTCTGCCGTCTTGGGCCACTTCGCTCGCGACGAGGGCGTCGACATTAAACTGCAACTCATGATTGTCCCCGCAACAGATATGCGCTATTGCAGCTCCAAGATAAAACAGCTAACAGCAAATAACTGTCCTTATGAGAGCGTGTTGCAGCTAAAGGACGTGCCATGGGGACCTCTTGGGCGGGAGCAATGGTTCTTGAAGTACTTCGTGGGCGAAGATGCTGGTAAGCACAATCACGATATCTCTAATATAACACGGTACTGACGGGATCCGACAGACGAGCTTGAAAAAAAGTTGAACAACGAGTGGATTCTCACGCCAGTCATTGCTCCAAACTTCAAAAATCTTCCTCGGGCGCATATTGTGACTGCAGAGTTTGATCTGGAGCGAGATGAGGGAGAGTACTATGGAAAGTTGTTGAAGGACGAAGGGAATGAGGTTACTGTGAAGCGATATACCGGCTGTCCTCATGCTTTTGCACATTATAACCATCCGGAGAGGGGATTGGCCAAGAGTTTTGAGTTCATTGAGGATACGGCTGAGTTGCTAAGAGATGTACATGATATCAGTATATGACTTGAAAGATAGTTTGAACTATAGACTGATACTACAGACGGCTCTACTGGCGTTTCCGCGCAACAGAATGGTGCTTCATGTAATGATTGTTTCGTTGACTGATAATTACCCTACAGCGTGAAGCTGTTCTAGGGAAAATGGCGATAGTGTGGAGCCACACGAATGACTCACTCGGATTGGATATCACTCATGATTTTCTCAATGTTGATATTTCTATCGCCCGATACCGACGATTGAAAGGGTCGAATTGACGAGTCATCGTACGATTCATATCTAAAGGCTCAACAATCTCTCCGTGGTGATGTTTCCCGCGGCCAACTGTGGGAACGCCACCAATCATATTCGATGCCGATGGGGATGAACTAGGGTTGCCCGACACTAGGCGAAATCGGACATGTCCGCGGTTGTTAGGCGGCATCGTGAAAAGATTGAGCAACTTAGATAAACCTCAATTGCCCTTCATACAGCCATAACTTCTTCTATCTAATTGGGAGTTCCATCCAGAGTCAATTATCAATTGTATACCTGAAGATCAAGAATGGCATCTGATAGCATTGTTATCGTTGGGTATGCCGTCCTTTCATGCCCTGCCCTTGCTGATAACCACTAACACAATCGTCAAAGGGCGGGCATCATTGGCCTTGACGTCGCTCTCGTTCTTTCACAACAAGGCTATGGAAAGAATATTACAGCAATAGCCGAGTACCTGCCTGGTGACACTTCGCCGTCATACACATCCCCATGGTATGCCTCCAATTCCTTCTCGTCATGTTCACGCTAACAAGCCCAGGGCTGGTTGCAACTTTTCCGCCATTTCTGGCACTGATGCGAATGCTATAAAATGGGATCGCCACGGCTATGCGCACTTGAAGAAGCTAGCTGCAGAAGACTCTGACAAGTCTTTCGTGAAAAGAACGCCTTCGATTGAGTTCTGGGATGATAATGTGCCGCATGACAAGATCAAGGCCATGGCTGATTATCTCGATGATGTGAGTCGATACCAACATCACGGACTTTAGCTCCATTGAAAAGCGCTAACGATTTGCAGTTCAGAGCTTTGTCTGCCCAGCAACTTCCCGAAGGCGTCAAGTTCGGCTGCGCGTTCACAACTCTGACTGTCAACGCGCCAGCTCATTGCTTGTACCTATACAAAAGACTGAGAGAAGAATATGGCGTGCGATTCATCCGCCGAAAGCTCGGAAGCATCCATGAGGCGTACAACAACCCTGCTACGAAAGTTGTCTTCAACTGCACGGGTAACGAAGCAAAGACACTTGCAGGCGTGCAAGACGAGAAGTGCTATCCAACTCGAGGCCAGGTTCTACTCGTGAGGGCATCACACGTCAGTACTAACGTCATGCGTCACGGCAAGGACTATGAGACCTATGTGATCCCTAGACCTGGATCAAATGGCAATGTCATTTTGGGAGGATATATGCAAAAGGGCAACGAGTAAGTCTTTCGGTTCTGCAGCTGAGAAGACAACTGACACAGAAAATAGTGATAGCGCCACATATTCATCCGAGAGCGAGTCAATCCTCAAAAGGACAACGGAACTAAGCACAGAGCTACAGCAGAAGGAACCAGAGGTCTTGGCTGCATTTGCAGGCATGAGACCATCGCGCGAAGGTGGAGCACGAATTGAACGTGATGAAATCCCCGTCAACGGAGAAAGGCGTGTAATTGTGCACAATTACGGTGCTGGAGGTACAGGCTTCCAAGCTGGCTATGGTATGGCCTTAGATGCTGTCAAGAGCATCGAGGATATTCTGAGCACTATTCCAACCAGGTCATTGTTGTAAGGCAGGGTTATATAGATGTGTAACTTCAAGTTCCCTGCTTTGATGCTTCCAATGCAAGTTTCACATGTGGTTCCAATTGGAGAACTTGATCGACACCTCGCCAGAAGATAGCATCCATTCTCAGTAGACCCAGTCGGATGACTACGAAGGCATTGGCTTTGAGACGCATTTGCTTCCGTGTTGCCTGAAGTAGCTTCATGTACGAATGTGCTTCTTCGTAGGTAGTCGACGAGACAAACATGAATAACATGGCGAAGCAAAGTGATGAGAATGTACTTTGGCACCAAGGAGGCCAGTGTTCTGCTGTCTCGTCGCTCTTGAGATTTTTGATGAACTCAGAAAATTGTTCGAGAACTAATTTGAGGCTTTCTCGTGGCGACCATTGATCTGTAGTGTCTGCTGTTGGGAGGTGAGAACTTTGGGCGTGCACGGCAGCGCGCAGAATTAGTAGTTGTGTGTAATAATAGCCAAGCTTGATGGCTATTCCAGGCATCGACCTGTCATTGTTGGGATCTATTAACCTTGTCCCGTCGGGGGTTGTGAGGTCCAAAGATTGGCAGAGCTCAAACACGGTCGATCTCATTTCTTCGGGCCTCTGACTGAGGCTTGATGATCGGAGAGAACAAAATGGAGGTCAGTTGAATAATTCGTGTCAGGTGGCAAAAGTGTACTTACTAAAGGCGGTCAAGAGTGGAGGCTAGGGAGGATGTGAGTGCTGAAAACGCCATGACAGCTGCCCATTGCGTTGGATCAAGCCCAGAAGCATGCTCGTCCTGAGCTGAGAGCTCATCAACAAGCCAGTTTGCGCGATTGATATGAGGTGGCCTGCCCAAAGCGGCTGCTAGCCACTTATCAAGAGCATAGGTAAAAAACGACAGCCTGCGTCTCGCAGCTATTTGAGCCGACGGGATATTCCAAATAGAGGGATCGAGATGAAACCCGATGTTTGTAGCTGCTGATACTAGCGTCCCCACCGTTGTCCAGCGATACGAAGCGTCTGACACGAGTGGATTTGAAGATGGTCGGGCAACGAGCAGGAATAGAGTTTGAACGGTGGCAATGTTTGGCGAGTGGATGTCGAAAGCAACTGCAGTATTGATAAGATGAGCCAGGTCTTCTGCATCAGGTGAGTCGTAGGCCATATCGATGCAGAGTTGATCGTCGTACATGGCGAATGGGAGGGCGATTGAGTAGATAGCTGCCAGCAGACAAGGTGCAGTGGTTACCGGATCCGGAGGGGAGTCACTTGGGAATATGGGATAGTGAGGTGCAATGAACCTTGTGTAGAGGCTTATTAATCTTTTGCCCATATTCTGAGAGACAGCCTTCTCAAGCTCCGCTCTTTGTGCCGTTATTGGCGTGCCAGAGTGTCCTGCTTCTCTTCGACTTTGAGCAAAAAGCGATGGCTGTGAAATGAGAAACTGAACAGGCGGGTTGTTGTTCACTGATCGTATAGCGAGCTGTTTGAACTTGAAGGTACCATGCTCATCCGATTGATATCGCTGGAGCAGATAAGGATCCATGTCTCCACTCAAACCAAGCGTTTCTGGATGCAAGTTCTCGTGTCCATCCAAGAGCGGGTATATCTTGCTGTATGAGCCATCTGCTGGTTCAGCCGCAATTGATGGAGCATTGTTATCGGGTGTTTGGAACATGAACTGATATTCAGGACCGTCTATGTCGAGATCTTGAAGAAAGTCCATATTGATATCGGGAAAGACACCTGATTCTGCCGGTGAGATCTCATCGTGATTAAATGACGTGATAGGTTCTTCGATAACTCCACTTGATAGTCCATTTGTATCCTCTGCGTCATGATATCCAGGGCTGGTCTCGGTCATTTGCTGCCTCTTCCGAGGTCGAGCAGCCTCTACAAAGGTGCATTCTCTCCCGTATTGCTGACAGAGACGGCATGGAGGTGATGACTCGATACGACAGGCGGTTTTACGAGATCGGCATAAGTCGCATGGTCTTTGCCGCTTGCTCATGTATTTACGCATCATGAGCCAGTGGAAGAAGGAGGTTGGGATAACGAATCAGAAGTTACTAAAATGAATCAGATTAAGCTCAGAACAGCACGTGATCCATCTCAACCGACCGCTGGGAACTAACTCTAACTCAAATTAGTCTCCCGTTGCCAGTATAATAATTGGTAAGAGGCCTATTCCAATCTACACAACCTATACCGCAACATGGCTTAGAAATGTTAAACCAGGCTGTAATTGATACACGGGGTCAGCAAATCAACGGTGCAGGAACACTTGTCAATAGGACTAGGCTGCTACCCCGCTCCAGGCCATATGTCATACTCAGCCGCTTAACAGCCTTACTAAGTCCTCTCTTTTCCAACAGCTGAAGCTTGTTTGAACAATTTACAGCATTCACCAAGTAGGTTTTCCTTTTTCCAGGATCCTCATATGCCCGGAGTCTCTATATCGTTTTCTTTACGATCCATATGCGCCTTATCAACACAAAAACACTACAACTTCATGAGTTCTTTAACGAAACTGTTCCACCTTACGCGATTCTATCGCACGCGTGGGGTGACCAGGAAGTCACGTTTCATGATTGGCAGAATCTCCAGCAAACAACCTCGAAGAATGGGTACTCTAAGATTCTGAGTGCCTGCCGCCAAGCTTTGGATCTGAAACTTGACTGGCTTTGGGTCGATACAAACTGCATTGATAAGAGCAGCTCAGCAGAACTCACGGAGGCGATAAATTCTATGTTTGCATACTATCAGAGGTCCGAAGTCTGTTTTGCTTATCTAGCTGATGTCCCTACAGCCAGTCAAGATAATGAACTCTTGCTCACTCAGATCCGAGCGAGTCGTTGGTTCACTCGAGGCTGGACACTCCAGGAGTTAATAGCGCCGAAGCATTTAACATTCTATGCCGCGGATTGGTCCGAGATAGGGAAGAAAGGGGGGTCATTGGCGGAGTTGATTGCATCAATTACTAGCATTGATATGATTTATCTTAGTGGACGCCGAAGCATATACCGGGCTTCTGTTGCTCATAGAATGTCATGGCTGGCAAAAAGAACGACTACCCGCACTGAAGATATGGCGTATTGCATGCTCGGGATATTCAACATTAACATGCCATTGCTATATGGAGAAGGCAAAAGGGCGTTCTTTCGACTCCAAGAGGAAATCATCAGGACTTCCAACGATCATACTATCTTCTGCTGGGAGTGGACCGATGACGTTCCAAATGACTGGGCAAGTCTTCTTGCGCCGTGGCCGACCGTGTATGAAGGCTCTGGGGAGTTTGAACAGCTCAACAGCGACGAGATATCTGTGTTTTCAATGACCAATGCTGGGTTATCCATTCGGCTACCTGTCATAACAGCGTTTGGGGCTTCACATACCACTGTGAGTTCTTGGTTCGTTATGCTACAGGCGGCGCCAGCAAGCACCATTCTCCAGCATCCGGAGGCAGCGTGTCTTTCAGTTATGGGTCGTAGGGCAGGCGATTTGCTCTATGTCACACGGTTCTCATACCCTTCTCGGCCCATGACTATATCGAGAACTTGTGTCGAAAGCTTCAAAACAGAGTCTCTTCTCGTCATGAACAGACTTGCACCCGGTAGAGGCTCAAGAAAGATGAAAAGCTCATCGGGCGATACTGATGATAACACGGTCACATTTATCCCCATCTTCTGCTCGCCGCATCTGCAGGGCCGATGGGACTTCCACGATTTATACGGGAGCGATATCACGCCGCGCTCGCTGTTGGGTACTATCACGTTGACAACTGATGCCGACAATATCGGGGTGGCGGCAGTATTGATGGCAAAAGCCGGCAGGTATCCAGATCCGAATTCCTATATCTTGCTGGGGGTCGAGAAGACAGATTATTCTTGTTATTCTACGGCGAAACTTGTGGAAGCGCGACAGGATAATTTGGCATGGAACCCTGACGGTTTGGAGAAGACCATGACACAGTGGAGGAAACGAGTCGTTGCAGGCAGTTCCATCTTCTCGGGGGCATATTATAATAATATTCTCGGAATGACAATGGTACTGAGGAGATCTACAGATGTCATAAGGAGTACCAGAAACTGTTACTTCTTGTGTTTCTATGAGGGCGACGTTGCACATGATGTAGCCAGAATGGCACGTGGAAGTTTATAGGCAATCGATGCTTAGACTAGTCGAGTTTTAAGTGTCTAGAAGAATAATCTAAACTTACCCTCCCCATAACCATCATGTTCAATCTTTCCAGTTCGTGAATCTTGTTCTTTACCAGAAAACTTACTGACGGAATTACTGAAGGCGTTTTTTGACATGACTGTAAGACGATCGTGAACCTTACCAAACGGAGGAGCACAATCCAAGGATTCTTATCCAGCGTTGATAAAAGTTATTTTACCGTGGTGTCTTAACCCACCGGTAAATATTTTAAGCGCCTGGGACATTTTGTCTTCGCATGCAGGCGTTACAGGCGGCTGCTTGGCTGGGCGCTTAATGATACAGACTAAAGCCCCTGCAGCAGAAATAATGCCATATATGAAACGACACCGAGACGAAACGGCTTTAGAGTTCCCAAAATTCTCTAAAATCCTTTGCCCCTGATAAATTCTTTGTATTAAACCTGTCTTTTGAACTATTTCTTTATCAAACTTGTTGGATATCTGTGGGCTTCCATGATTGACCTATTTGATTATACAATCGGCTGGATCTGTGCCATCGAGACTGAATATGTAGCTGCACAGGCGTTTCTGGATGAAGAGCACCCGGTGCCTAATTTCATTTCTCGAAACGACCCCAATGAATACACCTTGGGTCGAATGGGGCATCACAACGTCGTCATTGCTGTTCTTTCTCAAGGATATGGCACATCGAGTGCAGCCAGCGTCGCGACCCATATGGTCTTTAGCTTTCTCAATGTCAGGGTTGGGTTGTTAGTCGGCATTGCAGGCGGTGCCCCTAGCATACAGGATGATATACGACTTGGAGATGTTGTAGTTAGCACTCCTGGGAATGGACATAACGGCGTTCTTCCATACGATATGGGTGTGGCTTTTCAGGGCCAAGAATTTGAGATTCGGAGAGTTCTGAACGCCCCACCTTTCCAGCTTCTGACGGCAACGAATGGTCTCAGAGCCCAACACGAGATTCAAGGGCATCGGCTTCAGCAATCCATCAGCGAGATTCTGGACAGAAGCCCGAAACTACGGACCAAATTCGGACGTCCTGACCCAGACTCTGATCGGCTCTATTTACCTCATGTTGTTCACCCGTCGGGCCAACATTCCCATTGTACGGAGTCTTGTGGAAACGATCCATCAACGCCTGTTCTACGGCCAGAAAGAACTGATGCAGAAGACGACATTGTCATTCATTATGGCCTTATCGCTTCTGGAAACACTCTCTGCAGAGATACCAACCTACGAGACAAATTCGCCAAGAAGGGAGTCCTATGCTTCGAGATGGAGGCAGCAGGCGTGATGAATCACTTCCCTTGTATAGTGATTCGGGCGATATGTGACTACTCTGATTCGCACAAGAACAAAGACTGGCAAGGATATGCAGCTATGACTGCCGCAGCATATGCCAAAGACCTTCTCAAGCATGTCGCTCCATCGCACATTGCGACGAAACGAAAGATGCGTGCTTGTGGCACGAAATGGTTAACTGGTCATTACTTGAGTCTCCTCATGGAGACAGTGTTCGTTTTCATGTTGTTCTTACTTGTAGAGACTATTTTAAGTAAAATTGGCCTGAAGCGGGAGGCGACCGGTGTAAATCAGTATATAGAATCCACCATAGCCCTCGATGGCAATTGATATGGTTGAGGATGTACGTTGGGCCGCTTAATTTAATACCAGAACCTGTTTATGTGACGCCAGACAAAAAAACGTTGCACAAAATTCCGTTAGCTACAACATCTTTTGGTCACTGAACAACCAATGCATCTCAGCCCTGTTCTGCTTAATTCTGTCAGAGTTTATCACTCGAGTTTTCGACTGATTAATCACGACTTCTTGCTTTACCCCACTGGAATTGAGCATGCTGTAGAATTACGTTGTGTTGTCGTCAAACCTCAACTGCATATATGGAGCCATGATGACGGTCGAGATGACGTCAACCATCGTCAGAAGCCTTTTTACTATGACTTCAATGGAGCATTCAATCTCAACCTGAACAAGACACCATCTCAATTCTTCTATAACTCTCAGATCCAAGTCCTATCAAAATGGTGATCCAATATCAGGGGGCTCAGATCCCTATCTCGTTCGCATCATGCAGCATCCCCATGAAGATCAAGGCCAGCCTTCCCGATAAGCTTGGCGCCATTCGAAAAGCGGGCTTCGACGGGATTGAGCTTTCCATGCCCGACATCCTTGACTATGGGAAACTTCTTAGTGGATCTCAACCGAAAGAGGATGACTATGATACGCTTGCCGATGTGGCGAAGCAGATCAAGTCGTTGACGGATGAGCTTGGCCTCAAGATCATGATGCTTCAGCCTTTTACAAACTTTGAGGGCTGGAAGAAGGGCGAGCAAGATGAGAAGAGAAAACAAGCTTTTGATAAGGCGAAGGGTTGGGTGAAGGTTATGGAGGCTGCTGGTATCACATTGCTTCAGGTAAGCTTCAATATTGCATCGGTAGTATCAGCCACTAATCACTCACAGGTTGGCTCATCTGACTCTGAAGGTATCTCATCTTCGTTCGAAGACTTGGCCGCCGATCTCGCAGAACTTGCAGATCTTCTCGCCGAAAAAGGCTTCAGCATCGCCTATGAAAACTGGTGCTGGGCCACCCACGCTCCAACATGGAAAACAGTCTGGCAAATTGCCCAAAAGGCCAACAGACCCAACATCGGTCTCTGTCTCGACACCTTCCAAACAGCAGGTCTCGAGTGGGGAGATCCAACTACCAAGGACGGCCTAATCAAAGCAAGCAGCGACGAAGAGCGCAAGAGTCGCTGGCATAAGAGTCTTGAAGAACTAGCCGCCACTGTCCCAGCGGACAAGATTTATCTGCTTCAAATTTCAGATGCGTACAAGATGGATCCTCCCATTGAGGATAAGAAAGATGAGGAGGGGAGTAGGCCTAGAGCGAGGTGGAGTCATGATTATAGACCGTTGCCGTGTGATGGTGGATATTTGCCTGTTCATGATATGCTGCATGCTGTGCTGAAGACGGGTTTTAGGAGTTGGTTGTCGGTGGAGGTGTTTGATGGACTTGAGGGTGAGAACACGGATATGAATGAGTATACTGTTGCGGCTGTTGAGTCCTTGAAGAAGCTCATTCAGGTTAGTGAATGATTTAGTTCATGAGCCTCACTTGGAGAGTTATTATGAAGCAATAATAAAGGGTTTAATATGATCGTTTCTTGTTTCTTGCAAAGCACAAGAGTCTGTCTCGTTGCTTGCTATTGCATCATGACACCTTGCTCGTAACAGCAGTGTACTCCACCAAGTCTCCCAAGGCATTGTCGTGCTCACTCTCAATAACCTCAGCATGTTTAACAGAGCGAGGCGTAATTGAGCAAGGGAACGGAAGCGGGCTCGAGTTAAAGCCCTCCGAGTAAGCGAAGCTATACAAAATTAGCAACAAATCTTCTTCGTGAGCACTCCTTCGACTTACATATCAACATCAACATCTCGGCCCTTCTCATCCTTCTCAGGGTTGACCTCGAAGCCCCATAGTATACGTGCAATGTTGAGCGTCACGGATGCAGCTCCAAGATGCATCCCTGGGCAGATTCGTCGACCCCAGCCGAAGGCACTATGGCCAAGCGTACCGGGATACTCTCGCTTCTCCATGAAGCGTTCGGGCCTAAACTCGTGAGGCTCAGGGAAGTCGGCTTCGTTGAGATGCACTGAGGAAATTAGTTGTTGTCAAATAGTTAGAATGCGATACTTACGAGTCCAGAGAGGTGCGATGATGGTGCTTCCCTTGGGAATGAACATGCCTTTGTAGACATGGTCCGCAGTGCTAGCATGAGGTGTTCCTCCGAGCACAGCAACAGGGCGCCATCGAAGAGTCTCGGATGCGATAGCTCTAACGTATTCCAGCTTTGGCAGATCATCGAATGTGGGAAGCCTGTCGCTTCCTACAACACGGTCAAGTTCTTCTTGGGCTTTGGGGATAAACTGAGGTCCGAACTTGACGCATGCGAGAAGGAAGCTTGCGAGTGAGCCCGCGGACTGTCAAAATGTCAGTCACAAAGTTCCATGTCCCGAAAGGGTGGACTTACCGTCTCAACACCAGCTCCAAAGGGTGACCCTGCAGTGTAGGCAATCTCCATGTCACTCATACCCAAGCTTTCCTGTTCCTCGAGAAGATGCTTTGCGAAGCAAGTTGGTGCAGTTCCCTTGACAACCTTCTCGCGGACCTCGTCCATGAGTTCAGTGTAAAGCTGGATGTCTTTCTGGCGTTGTTGTAGAACTTCCTTCTTCCATGGGGCTAAGAAGCTAGGGAGATACTTAAGAGCCGGATATCGCTCGACTGCATACTTTCCGGGAATACTACAATGTTTATTAGTTTCAGATCGGGTTTGTAGTAGATGAAAACTCACTTGACCATAGTCAGACGCTCCATAGCCTCAGCATTGCGTCTCACTACAATATCACTTCTAACATCCTCAACTCTCCGTCCATAAGTAACAGTGACAATCACCGACGCAGCATATCTCTCCAAATGCATCCTAAAATCAGCAGGCCTCTTCAAAAGATCAAACATCAAAACCTTCGACTCAAGACTCTGAACCGGTCGATACGTCTCACTCTGTCTCTGCATAAACCCACTATGCAACAACTTTCTCCACCGTCTCCAATACGAAGCATAAGGCGCCATTAAACCTCTCATTCCGCCGGAGAGTAATTCACCGCCCATGATGAATCGTGGACGGGAGGAAAATACAGCGCCGCGCTTCTCGAGAAGATCCCAGGCTGCTTGCGCCGAACCGAGGATTATGGTTGGTGTTGGACCGAGTTGGAGATAGACGACATCGCCGTATTGCTGGCTGAGTTCTTGGAACCAGAGCCATGGTTTGCGAATACCGGTCCTGATGGTTTTGGGGCCCGGGGGGAGTTGGGAGCGGTGGGAGTAGAGTTTCCATTCTTGTTGGAGCTGAAGTTGCGAGTGTTTGTCAGTATTGGTAAAGGGATGGGTGCCATTGGTGGATTATGCATACCCTTGGAAATATGAGGGCGAGATATGTCAGGCCCAGAGCGACGACGGCATAGATGATGAGTTTTACCACCATCTTGAGTAGTCAGAAGGAGTTACACCAAAGCTTGGCAGTACTGAACAGATCCTTCCTTTGTCAAACAGCAAGAGAAAAGCTCTGTCTGGAAGCGAAATGTATGTCACTTGTCAGTCGGCTATCATCCGGTAATAAAAGAAGCCGAATACACACACATATACAGCCGAAGCACCTCAACTGCCACCCTCAACTGCCGACCCAAAAGACTGGATAAGCCAACCCCGCGTCAACGACTCATACTAAAGGCATTAAAGGATGCTCTAATGACTCTAAGTTCTCGAGGCGAGATGTCATGTTATTCTCAACCCCGCGTTCTAAACTACAACCGGTTATGCCGAGATGTTTAAACCCGGGGGTCTCCACTGAGCTAGAGATTGGTGGGACATCCTTGTTTTTCGGTTAATTTTACCCCGAGTTTAGATAAAGAGGTTGCATTGTATCGTCTTGGGAGGAAATTAGCTGAGGATATTGAATCATTTTATTCTTTGGTTCAAGGGATTTGATAGTAGCAAATATGAAGAGTGACGCCTGGTTTAGCAAGCCTTTTTTGACTTCTATATTCCTTGGAATAGGAGGCTTTCTCTATGGATTGTAAGCCAATGCCATATCACTCACTTTTATCATGCTAACGGACTCAGTGACTCGGGCATCATCACGCCTAGCTTGGCTCTGAGCTCGTTCCTTACGTACTTTGGAAAACCTGACCCTCCCCTCCGCGGCGCCATTGTGTCTATGTACCAAGCAGGAGCCTGGCTAGGCAGTGCCTCAGTCGGTATCACCAGCGATAGACTCGGTCGCCGTAAAGCCATTGCTTTCGGCTGCATCTGGGGTGTCATCGGCGGTGCCATCATGGCTGGAGCTGCTCATGTTGCGATGCTCATCATCGGTCGACTCCTCGTTGGTTTTGCCGTCGGTACCATCACCGGAGTATCTCCCGTCTTTGGCGCAGAAATTGCGAAAACTCATGAACGTGCGAAAGTCACGGCAGTGAATCAGATGATGACGGCTTGGGGCTTCTTCGTCGCGCTCTGGATTGGTGTCGCGGAGGGGAAGTGGCACAACGCCAATCAATGGCGCCTTGGGTTTGCCATCCAAAGTATTCCTGCTCTCATTCTCGGCGTTGGTGTCCTGTTCCTTAGTGAATCTCCCCGTTGGCTTTGTCTCAAGGGGCGCCATGACGAAGCTGAGAAGGCTTTTAGAGCTTATCACTACGATGGAACCAATGATGATTGGTGCCGCACTGAATTCACTGTTATCCAAGTCAACATCTCTGAGGAGCTGCAAGCTCAAGGCAGGCTTTCATGGACCCAACTGGCCAAGACCCCTGCGTTCCGAAAACGCCTCTTTGTTGGTACGTTCGTTTGGGCAGCAGCTATGCTATCTGGTATTTCTTTCGTGCAGTATTACCAGACCGCTATCTACGCGACACTCCAGTTCAGCGAGGATCGCCAACTTCTTGTCAGTGGCCTTTACGGTTCTGTTGGTCCAGTTGCTTGCTTCCTGTCGTTGTTCTTTGTCGACAAGATCGGAAGAAAGAAGATTCTCGTCATCAGCTCGTCGCTGCTGTCGCTCTGCTACTTGATCATTACGATTCTGGCAGCTGAATTCCCTGCTATTCCTGGCATGCCGACAAATGCTGCGGCACAGAGAGGGTTGATTGCATGTATTTTTGCTGTTTCGGCGAATTACTCTGCTCTTCTTGGACCGATGACTTGGATCATTCCGTAAGTCTCGAACATCTGGCGATTTTGACCTCTGCTAATCGTGAACAGCCCCGAGGTTTTTACTACTGAGCTACGAGCCAAGGCAAACGCTATCGTGCAGGTGGTTCACTATTCCATCAGTCTGATTATAACCCAGTGCTCGCCGATCGCTTTGGCCGCAGTGGGTTGGAAGTACTACGTGAGTTGATCCTGAATCACTGAGCTGTCATATTCTGACAATTTTCTAGATCCTGTTCGTCCTCACCAACGCGCTTTGTGCCGTTATTTTCTTCTTCGTATATCCTGAAACTCGAGGTAAGGGAGTCCCCAACCTTGTTAGCGACGCATACTAACGCATCCAGGAAAATCTCTCGAAGAGATTGACGAGATCTTTGGTGATGTCAAGATTGTTCATGAAGAGGATGTCCGGTTCTCAGAGAAGGCTGGTGTCGAAGCAATCGAGACACGGGATCAGCGCATTATTCAAGGATCTTAGAGGGTCCCTCAGGGAGCAAGAAAACTTCTGACATCTAATATTGGTGCTAAACATAACTCATCTAAATACCTACTAAGTTATGCTAAGCTTACCTAAATATTTTTATCACTTAGGATAGGGGTCTTTATTTTTCTTGCCTCCCCTAAGGGGTCGAACACTGTTACTGTTGGAGTACATTTAATCTACCAACCACAAAATAAGAGGAAGTTTATGTGACCCTCTGAATAACGGTAGGATCTATTTTTATGTGTAGTAAGAATTACATCCTATAATACTCAGGTATTTCTTTCCAATGACTGAAGTATATACAAATAAGTTCCAAGCGCCAAGCTTAGATAGTGTGTGCGTATCGGGGAGCTTAAAGGCACTGAGAGTACCACTCACTGTGCTTAGTACACTTCAGGCCAGAGGCGCACTTGGTAGGACCAGTGTAGCTAGCACCACCACCGCACTGAGCGTAAGCAGCTGCAGTGACGCTTGAGCCGTTGCCCTTGGCAGGCTTGGCCGCAGTTTGGGTAGCAGCCTGCTTGACAGTGGTGCTGGTTGGCTTGGAAGCAGCAGTCTTGGTGCTAACAGCCTTCTCAGTTGAAGCACCCTTGGAGGCAGAGCTAGAGGCAGTAGATTGCCAGCCACGCTTACGAGAAAGCTCGTACCACCAGTTCCTCAACATCCAGCCATCAAAGTCAGTGACATGAGTTGCTGAACCAGCAAGCATGATGAAGCTTGTCTGGCCGGTGGGAGTCCAGTCGTAGAAATCGTCAAGGGCAAAGGTATGACCGATCTCATGCTCAAGAATGTGAATGTCCTTTTGACCAAGGAGATCCATGAAGTACTCTCGACCAATGCGCTGACCCCAGTCACCACCGGCTCCACCCTGCATGCCATCGGTCAGCCAGAGGGAGTTATCGTAGTGTCGCTCAGCACCTCCGGGGCAGCTGCTGTAGTCACCGTCCTGGTGGAAGAAACGACCGCACTTCTCAGAACACTGGGGAATGCCCTCGGCGTCAGTGTCAGTGTAGATATCAAGACCTTCAGTAGAACCCTGGAGAAGACTCTTGTTCTTGACAGCCCATCCAACAACATTGATCTTGACATCCTCGTAAGGAAAGTTATCATATCCTGAAACCCACTTCATCCAAGCACTATAAGAGTCCTGAAGAGCACTAGCAACCTTTGTACGCTGCTCAGCAGTCACAGAAGCGCTAGACTCCCAGCGAACACAGACGTTGAGCTGGCCCTTTCCAGCGATGACTTGGTCCCAGCCGTAGTTCTTGAAACCGAGGGCGTCGCTGTAGGTTTTGACTTCGTGATCCCAAACTTCCTTGAGAGGGGTGGCGAGGTCGGAGGGCGGGTTCCAGCCTGACTGGCGCTTGGTCGGACGGTTCCGGGGGATAGAGGTCCAGGAGCGGGCTTTGACGGGTGTGAGAGCTTTCCAAACGGAGCCATCCAGGTCGGATTTGGCGGAGTTGGGGTGGGCTACGGTCGACGTAGCGAGGGCCATGAGGCCGGCGGCGGAAGAGAAGCGCATGGTGGTGTGTGAAAGAAAGAATGTGAAGTTGTTAAACGAGTGTTGAGTTGGAAAGAAACGAATGAACAGAAAACGAATGTCTACCAGAGATGCTTGCTGAGGTTCAACTTACACGTCCCAAGCTTATGTTATATATGGAATCGCATCATATCCTGTTACGAGATATTGGAAGAGTCTGATTGGCGGGATAATAAGACGGAAACAATAGATTCTCCATCGTGAGAGTTGATCCATAAATTCCGGGGGGGTTCAAGGACAGGGCATTTCCGTCTGTGCTCTTCCGGTTTATCAATCTCCTAATATGGTGCATCTCCCCGGTATGGCATGTCATCGTGCCCAATGGGGAAGCTCTGGGCATCTTGTTGACGCCCGTGTAATTATCCCTTGTCATTGACCAGTTCTTTGGGATGTTCTTCGGCGAACCTTATATTAAGCTTCAATAAGACACATAAATAGTCCTCGACTCTACCTCTTCTAGGCATTATAAGATTATATCTATCGAATTTCGATTTCACCCGAGCTGATGCGAATTTGCCCAACAGAAGTTCTTACTTAACTGTTGTACTTTGATCAGGCACGGAGTTACTTTGAACGTGCACATGTAAGCTCGTGTTTTTCCATTCATCTCCGCCCAAACATCCTTCGTTTCAGGCCATGATCAGGTAATCAAATCACACGGAACTTGCCGTCCGCCTAAGTCTTCTTCTCTTCGATGGTGTTGTTGATAGTCTGTTTCATGTTCCAGCGCTTGTTCATCCTTAATCTAAGACAAGCAAGGTTCATCCGAACCCGCGCATAGCAAATGGATCTGATAAGTGAATTAGACGATGACATGAAGTGGGAAGCATCACAATGTTATACGCGCATCCCCTATGGCACGTGGGGCTATTTCGGCCAAACCCGAATCGGCTTTAGACCCGAAAACACGAAGCAAAGCAAAGCAAACCCGAAGCCCCGCCTGAACCATCTCAGACTCATATCAATTGAAACGCGAGCGAATCGGAAACAGAAACAATGAGAACAACAATCGCTTGTGAGAGGTAACTAATCATATCTGACAACCCATGTGTGATGTTCTAATTCTGTTGTAGATGCAGGTAACATAGCTCTTCTAAGACCCAAGACTTCATCTGACCACCATCGATAGAAGATCCAAAGTCAAGTGCAGACATAATGGCCAGCCCCCTTGTGCGGGCTGCATAAAGAGTGGTTGTACTGAGACTTGCGTCTTGAGTGGCCCTGTACTTGGCCAGAGCTCCGGGTCAAAAAGGCCTGCTAAAAGGCAGCGACTGAGTGTAGATCAGTCGCGAACAGATGTCTCGGGGGATGTCTGGCAAGATGTCAGTCAAGTCTTTTATCAAACGCCACGGACTCAGGTGATAAGTGCTATCAACTTGTTTCGAGCTCAGTTTCCTGAGTTTGGATTTCTTCATCCAGATGATCTTGAGTATCGGCAAGATGAACTCAGCACCGTTCAGAAACTTCGACTTCTTGTCATTGTTGCAGTGTCACATCGATATACAGAATCTTACACCACAGATATCAACAATAAGAATATTCTCTTTATAGCCAGCGAGGTGCAGAAGAGGGTGACGAGTGGTCCAAGCCTGGCTCTCATCCAGACGTTCCTCGTACTCTCGCTCTGCAACTGGGGAGATGGAGATGGTTTCAATGCATGGATGCACTGCGGTATCGCAACACGGATGGCTCAAGGGTTACTCAGCACGGGCTTCGCAAGTTGCGGCAAAAGAGAGACCCTCTCGGAACTTGAGAAGAGAACTTTATGGACTTGCTTCAAGATGGATAGGCTCTTGAGTTGCGGCAAGAGACGACAGGCTATGTTCTCTGATGGAGATGTGCACTTCTCCCTACCGGTGAACGACACCCAATTTCTCTTTGGGCAGAGTCCTCAGTCATCATCGATAGATGGCAACCTTCGAAGCTATGGGCCAGATGATCATCTTGTTCTTCTAACTCAAGGTTTACGTATCTGGTCGAGAGTTCATACGTGGATAGCCGAGGGTGGCAGAAGACAGCCTGGTATGACGGAGCCTGAACAATGCCCTTTTAATGAGACTTCGGATTGGAGTAAGATGAAGCAGGATTTGGTCAAGTGGCGAGAGTCTCAGGATGTTTTGATGAAGTATCCTGCCACGAAGGTATCGGTGCATGCTCAGCGTGGACAAGCTGAGAGGTTTGGATACATCAACTTGGTCTACTACGTCAGGTAAGTACATGCAACCTCGGCGTGAAGCACTATACTGATCAATCGTAGTTTACTCTTTCTCTGCCGAGAATTTATCCCTTTCAGTCCAGTAGATGAAATCAAGCCTCGCGGCCCCATCGAACCACCACTCCTCAAAGCCCGAGGCCCTGATGCATTCTGGCTCCAAAACGTCTTCGATCTCTACGACGCAGCATCCCAAATATCCTCTCTCCTCTCCGATCTCGAACACGTCGGCTGTCCCCTCCGCACCCCCTTCTCCGGCCTATGCGCCTTCTCCTCTACACTATGGAGTATCTACGGCGCAGCGTTTCCAAACTTTATGGGCTTTTCAGAAAGTCAAACCTCTGACGCAGACGCTCAAGCAGAGAGAACAATGGCTGTTTTGGTAAGAATAGGAAAGGTTTGGAGATTAGCGGAAGAGTGGATTGACGTTCTTAACACGGCGAAGAGTATTATGACGAGGGTTAGTGAGGGGAGGAGGGTTAAGAGATCGAGGTATGATTACCCGGAGTTGGAGGATTCTATTCATCTTGCGCCGTTGCAGGGGATGCCGAGACAGACGTTTGATAGGCCTGCGGGTTTGGTCTCGGCGGACGATGGGTCCAAATTGCATCAGTTGGTTGCGGGTGATGTTGATCAGGGGATCGAGGCGGAGGGGCTTGCGTTCTTGGAGGAGGGGAGTGGGAGTGAGTTTGTGGGTGAGGATTGGTGGAGGTTGTTGTCGTTTTGTGATGATCCGCATCTTTTGTCGACAAGTATGGATAATATGGGAGATGAGAGCGTAGCTTAGATCTCTATTTCCCACCTGCCACGAATCCAATGCTCATTATTATGCTAAAGTTGATTCAGCTAGCAACTATGAACGAAATACATATCATGATCTTTGGTACAGCCCGGGTCTGGTCACGTCCCTTGAAACCCGAAGATAGTACCCAGACCCGAATCGCTTGTTCTAAGCCGAGTGGCTTCAACTCCACCTCAGTTCTGATATGAACCTACAAAGCTTAACCTCAACCCATATAAAACCCTCCATTCTCCGTTCACTATAATCCACCACCGCCTCCCCATCCGAATCTTTATTGACTGTATCACGGCTTCTTACAACGACACAATGGGTGACCTTCAACTCTCTTCGGCCACAGAGCCCCATCTCATGCACCGCTCCCTCCTCACCCGTCCAGAAACCGTAACATCTGCCTCGGGTGTTTGGATCACACTCTCTTCTGGCCGCAAGATCCTCGATGGCTGCGCAGGCGCTGCAGTTGCCATCATCGGCCATGGAAACACTGAAGTCCGCGATGCAATGATGGAGCAGATGTCAAGTGTGTCATACGTGCACACCATGGCCTACACAACCGACAGTGCAGAGGATCTCGCGAACTATATCCTAGAAGGAGAACCTTTTGATCTGACACGGGCGTACTTCGTCTGTTCGGGAAGTGAAGCTATGGATTCGGCTATGAAAATTGCTCGGCAGTTCCATGTTGAGAATGGGCAGCCGCAACGAACAAAGTTTGTTTCGAGAAGACAGGCTTATCATGGGAACACAATTGGCGCTATGAGCGTGGGCAGTTTCGTGGCCAGAAGAGCGCCATATGAGGGTGCCATTCTTCTCGACAATGTGAGCTACGTTAGTCCCGCATATGAATATCGGGTACGAAGAGACGACGAAACAGAACAGGACTACGCTCAGAGACTTGTTGATGAAATCGAAGCTGAGTTCCAAGCCGTCGGTCCGGATACAATTATGGCTTTCGTAGCAGAGACAGTTGGTGGGGCAACAGCAGGCTGTATCAGTCCTCCAGCTGGTTATTTCGAAGGTGTTGGGAAAGTCTGTCGGAAATACGGTATTCTCCTTATTCTTGATGAAGTTATGTGCGGAGTCGGCCGTTGCGGTACATTCTTCGCTTTTGAGCAAGACGGCGACGTTCGTCCTGATATCGTCACCACAGGTAAAGGTCTCGGAGGCGGATATGCCCCTATCGCTGCGACGTTGGTGCATAGAAATATCATCAAGATATTGAAGAAGGGAACAGCGAGCTTCAACCATGGACATACGTATCAAGCTCATCCTGTCAGTTGCGCCGCTGCACTAGCGATTCAGAAGATAATCCGCAGAGATAACTTGGTATCTCGAGCTGCCACCCTCGGAGCACGATTACATAAATCTCTGGTCGACATTTTCCGAGATCTGGAGTTTGTGGGGAATATCCGAGGAAGGGGGTTGTTTTGGGGTATTGAGTTTGTGAAGGATAAGAAGACTAAGACACCATTTGATAGCAAGATTCGGTTTGGGGTGAGGGTTCAGGAGAGGGCGTTTCAGCTTGGACTCGCGGTTTATCCTGGTTCTGGTACGGCTGATGGTTACTCTGGGGACCATGTTATTGTGTCGCCGCCGCTGACGATTACGGAGGATGAGATGGATGAGTTGATTGGGTTGTTGAAGAGGGCTTATGATGATGTTGCTGCTGGCTTTAGCTAAGTTACACAAAATGTGAGAATCATAGCCCTGGGTACATAAGGGTGAACGGAAGTTCCCTTCTCTCCACCAGCTGAAACAAATTTGTGCGCCACATTTACAATCACAATTGTTGGCACAATGGTTGGCTTACCTAGCATGCCCATTGCTTGGCATAAGCAGCCGCTCAAGAGGATGGAACACGAAGATGGATATACGAATTTTAAAGGCTGCAGGCGCTGCACTTTGCTATGATGCACACGTGTAATTCATTACACAGATAGAAGACCATGTTTGCTGTATATGGTTGTCGATCGTATTTGTTACTATGAGTAGAAGGGTAGGGAGCAAGGTTCCATGACGGAAAGAAGTTCCAAGCACAATGGAAGCAGGATAATCGCGGGCTCAAGTCATGGACTCTGCGGCCTTTCTGCTAATTTCTGGCATTATATCTAATGCAAAAGGGCGTTATTAATTGGCCCAGGTATCAGTGCTCACTCCTGCCGCGAAGCATACCGTAAGCTACATATTTACCTCCAGCCTGCTTCTCAGAACAGGGCTATGCAAAAAAAGCAAACTTAGTTCTTACAATAAACTCCAATTCCTATTCAGCCACAATCCATTTGACCTTTTTCCAGTACGCACACTGTAAATAGCTCTCGTGTCCGCGACAAAATGTTTTCATCACCCAGGCCCCCGCCTTCTTATGACGAGAACGATGGTGAACGAGATGAAAGGTCGATCGTCGCCACCGATGATATCATGCTTCTGCGCCCGGACGAACACCGCGAAATTCAGACATCTCAGAGCTCGAATTTGGCTAGGGATGAAGCTGAGCCCGGAAAACATGGCAAAAAGCTCCCTGGGCTTGCCTTCATCAAGCGCAACAGCGACAACTTCTGGAAGGCTTGGAACGTGTACAGACATAAGCCGTGGAACATGTGCCTTCTGGTCCTTATTGGCACTCTCTTCGCTGTTGGCCATCACTTATTTTACCTTAATCTCGATGGCGAAGAAGCTATCAACCAGTCCTTGATGCTACGCTATGGAACCATCATCGCATTCTGTGCTAAAGCCAGTCTCGGCACTGCTGTTACTATTGCCTTTCACCAAAGAGCCTGGAGAGTAGTCCGTTATAAAACAGCCCGCATTGAGACAATTAACTCTATTTTCACTGCCAATTCCGATATATTCTCTCTCTTTACCTGGAGCTCTATTCGGAAAACTAAAGTCGGTACCCTGCTTGCTATTTACTGCTGGCTCACTCCTCTTGTTGTGATATTGACCTCTGAAACTCTCTCGGTTGTCTTTGGGGTATTTGAAGAAGAGACTTCGTGCCCCTCTGTTCGGACTTTGAACTTTGGAAACGAGGAGAACATATATTGGCGCAATCCTATGAAAATAAATGACCAGCTTTTGACCTCGATGTCATTATGGAATACGACTGTTCCCCTTGGTGGGAGCCCTTCAGACTCCAACCCAGAGGGTTTTGACTACTACCATGGCCCTAGCCGGCAGTTCGACATGTTCATTACCACCAAATCGACACTCATGAGCGAATCCGTAATTCGCAAGGAAGCAACGGTTGAGATTTGTGGAGTGGGATGGAACTGTTCCTCTGTCGTTAGCTTTGTTGCTCCTGGCTACAAGTGTCAAGAGTTAGCATCCGGAGTAAACTCTGAAGTCAAGAAGCTTGGGAATGCTACAGCACCCTTCAACACCTCTGTGCTTGCGCCACTGGGAAACTATACCTATTATGCCATCAACGACCAAGGAGACTATGGCGATCCCCAAATAGTCTCTAGGGCTGGGGGGATACCAATTCAAGATCCCCCCTACCCAGACAATCTCGGGGCCTTCAGGACCGAGCCTATCATGTGGATCGGTTACGCAACCGTCGATGATCTTTCAGTCCGTCAACCGGACGAACCAGGCACAGAGGAATACATGAAGGCCTACACGCCAGTCATTATCGGGTGTGAGCATTACGAAGTCAATTATACCGTCCAATTCAACTACACAAGGGGTGACAAACTTGTTGACGTTAAGGGGCGGGAATACCTCAGAAAGATTATTGATACGACCTATATACCCAACGAAGACCCCGACAAGAGGCTAAAAGACAGAACGCGCGCTATCCCTGACAATAATTACATATTCCCCAATGACTTCAAAAAGTACCGCCGGATAGCAGCCTACCATTCCATTGGCTCTAGGTTGAGGCAGTGCCTTAATGGAACTATCAAAATGCCATATAACGATGTAAGGTCGGATCTTTTGTACACGCGTTTGCTCACGCGGTTAAATTACCTCCCGGTCAAGGAGCTTCGCCACGGCATACAAAGACTCTACGAGGACATGATCATTTCGATTTTTGAGGAGCCTTCTTTCACGGTTGTCTCCTGGGCCGCTGATAAGAAACCATCCGGCACTGCCAAAGGAGGTCCTTCAACGGCCTATCCTTGCCGGCGTCACAGGTTAGCTACTTTCTTCCACTATAACATGACCCAGCTTCTTATCGTGTATGCGGTAAGTATATTCTTGGCGGTTATTGGCGTGTCAGTAGGTCTACAGGCCTATCTGGAGGAGGGTACTATGCGTGATATGAAGCCGTCGTCTATCATGGAAGCTTCAAGGGCATCTAATCTCCACGTGCTGGGAGCGCGCGAAGGGTGTAATGTCAAGATTGGGTATGGTCTTGTACATGAAGAGGCTGGTAGAAGTGTTAGAAGTTTTGGGGTCGAAGGGAATGTGCAGCAGTAATGACAGAGGACGGTTATATTACACGATGGGTCTAGTGTAGAAGATCTATCATCGTGGCTTTGATCAAACAACAGAATATCTTCTCTCAGTAGAGTGTAATTACGTGCGATAATGTCCATGTTGACATCTAGTAAAAGTCACGGATCGGTGATCAGCACGGGTAGACAGAGTCAACGAGAGACTTGACAGTTGAATGAGTGTCTGCACTACTGGGAGCGCGCTCGATGCCAGCTCTCTATCTTACCGGACGGACGCGGGTCCATGCCCCGGGCGTGCGCGCGGCAGGGCATATAGATAAGGTCATAGAATTCCCCCTCGGCTCGAAATGGTCGCCCCTAAGCGCTGGCTAAGGGTGGGCGGGCTGTATTGGCGCCTCCAATTCTCACGGACAACTGCAAATGCCCTCATAGCGAGTGTCTACCCGGTCTCACCCTCTGGTCATGTTGACCAGCTCAACAACGTATCGCCAGTGTTCTTCACGAGATCAGCCGAACCAGCCATCGGTAGGCTGCTCAATAATGGCCCTGTGAGCCTGGTATCTGTCAGTTGAGATTGGCAACCTGAATGAACCAGTGGGCGTCCTCTTGAAGACCCCTACCATATCATTTCTGTCTTTGGGCATTAGCATTTAGATCTTTTAAAAGCTAATACTTGTTGACCATAAGCTTTTTGATCATTATTTGCTTGCAGATGTCGGGTATCGGGCTCTTGTTGAACCATGTCCTGCATTCCCGGCTGAACTTGTCTACCCATCCGCATACGCTTTTGTGTTCTTCCCGGTACAGTATGGCATGCTTTTTGAGAGGTATCTTTACTCAATTGCTCGGAAAGTTGATTGGACAATGGCACCATCCGTCATCGGTCGCATGACCCTGAGCGACGATGAAATCCGCATACTGGTTACAGATCGACAACACCTCCGAATGACTGCATATCACGCAGCTGCCAGCATCTCTCAACCTACCGAGGGCGGCCTCCCCGCATATATGCACCTCCTTCACTCTCAGCCTTTACAGTGGGTTGTCTGGTGTACCTCAGACTGATGTCTCGGCAGCTGCAGCATTGGCTCAAAAGCCGCCCACGGCCCGCGGCCTTCCACATCAGCGTCCCATATCGAACCACTGCGGACCCTTCTCAAAACAATTAGACACTATACTTTGTTAATCGTCTGAAGTGCTCAAAGTTTGTCAAAAACAGAAACTCATGTCCAATTGACTCATTGAAGACAAATGCATGGGTGAGGTCGGTTACTCGGCCTTTAGGGTTGAGGCTTAGACATACACGATACGATACGATTACGATGAACCCAATAAAGCAGATACACTACCACCAAACCACAGCAACCAGAAACTTTATAGAAACAAAAGGGTCTCTTTGTCTCATGGTCTCGTGCTTCTCAATCTGCAGTGGCTTTGACAGCATCTTTCGGGGTTCCGGAAGTGTTTCGGGCTGTCCACGGAGTCCGTGCAACACCAAACTCCGCGCTCTTCAGCGAGCTAATATGAGACGACACGGGAAGCAATCTTATGTAATCATTCATCGGGCTTATGGTCTAGGGGTATGATTTTCCCTTCGCATCTTCGATCTGACAAGATCAGAAGCAAGATCTCTGGGAAAGGTCCGGGGTTCAATTCCCCGTGAGTCCATGGTTTTTGCCATCCATGGCAATCCTTTTTGTTCGTTGCAATTACGGTTGGATGATTGACTATCATAGGATGGTTTGGTGGTGGTGAGGACAAGGTTGAAGACATTTGAGCTGGAACAAGCTTTGGCTAAAAATGATGTTTGGAGTCAAAGCTCCTGGATAACAACTGAAAGCATCCGGGTGTCGTCCAATCAAGTAAAGTATGGTAAATGGGCAAAAAGAAATGCAATCAGATGGACTCACGGGGAATTGAACCCCGGACCTTTCCCAAGCGTCGATTCAAAGATGCGAAGGGAAAATCATACCCCTAGACCATAAGCCCTATCATTGGTTGATGATTCGTTGAGGGATGAAGTCTGGATTGCATCTATGATTTGTGTCACAGTGGACACCCTTGTCGCGTAGGCTCCAACAATGATATTGAGAGAAAACGAGTTTGACTGCCAATTTTTGTCGAATAATAGCTTAAACTTGAACTTGGACATATTGAGAATTGCTTAAGCGAAAAGGTCTGGAACATCGTGCTGATCGATCGAGATTCGAGATGCCCAGAAAAGCAAGTCTCCGTCGTGCTACGTAGTACAACCACATGAGTTGCCTGTCATCATTTTGTCTTGGAGCAAGTAATGTCTGGCACGCATCAATCACAACTGACTCCAGTACCAATTAATTATATTTGCAATGCACGTCATAAATTGATTTCTCAAAGCACCAGCACCAGCACCAAATATCTACTCGCTCTCCGTCACATCTCAAACAATAGCGCAAGCTGACGAGTTGTCCAAATAACATGCAGGTATAGGGTGGTTCACAAGCATGGAGATGCCTGCACTCGAGGTCTTTGCACGTAGGAATATTAAGCTTAAAAATTAACAGAATCCTGATTTGGAAACAAGGGTTCGCAAGCCAAGAGATCAATTGTGTAAGAAGCTATGCCAAGAGGACCTCTCAGCCTGTGGTACCGTGCAGATGAAACGGCTGTCCTTGTCTTTATCTGGAGAAGCTGTGATGTAATTGTTGCGGGTGGTGATTTCGTGGCGTTGGCTGGTGGATTACAGATGAAGAGGCTTATGGATCCGCAAGGTCATGTTATTTCCATATGAATATCTACTTGGATCAAATGTCTGATGTATCAGCAGATTAAATTCACAGTCATCATGAATAATGCTTTGTTATATTCCCGCGGATATACAACTTGTTACTGAGCAGAGGCTCTGAAGGATGTTGCGGATGTCCCGGCACTAAAGACCCCTGGGCGCCAAACCTTTTTATCGGGGCTGGAGATTACTGGCCATAGCAGAATCAATGTGTGACGTAGTGTGACCCACTTCGGCACCCTGCTTAACGACCTTTACGTAGGAGATGTTTCTTGTTTTGAAAATGGCTGATCTTCACTGACAAGCGGTTAATCAGTCCTGAGACTAAACCCGAATTGCTCATGTTGTGACGACTGACTAATTCCAGCCTCTACCGCAGTATCACTACAACTTTTCTCACCTCACTAATCGCTCACCTTCATCCCTTTTTTTCTCTTTACCATGCATCTTCATGGGCATGGCTTCCAATAATAATCGCCTTCAGCCCTCGGGCCATCTCAATGTGACGGGCCATCACAATAATCGTCGCTCTCCAAGTCCCTCGTCCTCACGTCCCATGCCTCCCGATCCCGGAAGTCCAGGCCCCGTCGAAGAAACAGCATCGGATTACTTCAACCCGCTGAGCCAAGCGCCCTCAGCGCAGTCGCAGACATCGTTATCATCGTTCCCGCGCTTTCCATCGCAAACATCCCTTTCGGCATTTCCATCCTATCAAGAATCGAATTATCAACAACAGCAGCAGACGAGACGAAGACCGCCGGTCGATCAGGCTAGACAGCCTAGTATCCGCATCCGCCGAAGTTCAAACGGGTCGGTTTATTCGAATCATAGTGTGACGAGCCAGTTTGATGGGTTTAGCGATGATGGGAGACCGAGGAGCATCTCGCAGCCTGAGCGCGCGAGGGTCTCGGATGGGCAGAGTGCGCTGGCTCGTCATTCCAGGAGGGTACCGCAGGTGGCGATGCCGCGACTTACAGAGGAGGGTGGACGGCCGAGTCTGGCGGAGTTAGGGATCAGTGATGATCAGTCTGCTCCTTTGTCGCCGACTGCTTCGCTTCCTGATGAGAATACGAATGGGAGGGGTGGGCTTGGTCGGCTGCGTCGGGCTAGTCGCTTCTTCTGGCCTGGGCATCGTCGGCAATCTGGGGAGGATCAAATGGCGGTGCCGATGGGGCAACGAGATGATGATCGTCGCGATGATGAATATGACCAGGAACTTGTGGATTGGCTCGATGTCATCGGTAAGAACATTCACGCCACCTATACCATCAAATCTAACAACCACAGACCCCGAAGTCCAAACCCTTTCAACGCTTACAAATGTTCAAAACTCCCTCTTCGTTCCCGATCTCGGAAAATGGGTCAACCGCCGACCAACATACGCTCTATCCCGACACGATCCCCAGGCAGACTGGGCACGAGGCGCTGTTGAGCAAGAACGACGTCGCGAAGCTGCGCTGGAAGCACAAGAGACCGCCACGATCGAACCAATTCCAGAAGCAGAAGCAGAAGAAGAAGATCAACCTCGTCTTCCGCAGCGGAGTAACACCATCACATCGCGTTTGACAGACTCGCACTACGCGGCGCTTCCACATGGAACAAACCTTGATGGCTGGACGCCGGAAGAAAAGGCCGAGTTGGATGATCATGTTCGACACATGCTGCACTCGAGACGTGCGAGGTTCAAGCGTCGCATGAAGGGTTTTGGTCAATATGTCAGAAGACCTCTTGGTTTCCTCGTCACGCTTTATGCTACACTTATTACGCTTTTCGGTCTGGCTTGGGTTCTGTTCCTCATCGGCTGGATTTATGTCGGCGAGAAACAAGTCTATGCAATTCACGTCATCGACAGTGTTCTTGTCGCGCTCTTCGCCGTCATGGGCGATGGTCTCGCGCCCTTCCGAGCTGTTGATACATACCATATGTTTTTCATCTGGCGCTTCTCACGATTGATCAAGAGAGCTGAACAGGGAAAGAAACCGAGGAATAGATTACAGAAGAAGCGTGTTCCTCCGGGTGTGTCCACAAATCCGGAGCATTCGCACTTGACGGGTCATCAGGCTCGTGCTCTTCTCGAAGCTCAGGACTATAATCCTGAGAGAGACGGAACGGTCGGCACTGTCGACAACCAACCTCAACCGAAACCTGAAAGTCCTGAGACTGTTGACCTAGAAGGCGCCAAGTCCAACAGTCCTGATTCAGACATGCCTGCCCTGACGTTTGCTCAGTTCAAGAGCCTGCAGCACCATCAGAAGAAAATGGCAAAGTCACACAGTTTCTACAAACCCCATGAGACATTCACACACTTCGCCTTTCCCCAAAAGTACCTCATCGCCATCGTCATTCTCCTCGACTGCCACTCCTGTCTCCAAATATCCCTCGGCGCATGTACATGGGGCATCGACTACCACACGCGCCCCTTCGCTCTGACGACCGTGATCCTCTGTGTGAGCATAACCTGCAACATCACAGCTGGACTGCTCATCAGCATCGGCGATCGGAAGACGAGAAAGAAGGACGTGTGGGAGTTGTTGGACAGGCAGGAGTTGACGCAGGATGCTATTACGCATATGGAGAAGAAGAAGAAAGAGGAGGAGAAGGAGAAGGAGAAAGAGAAAGAGAGGGGGTCGGATAAGGATGGGGAGTCGAGTAAGGGTGATGGATCGAGTAGTAGGACGTCGAAGGAGTTTAAAAAGTTGGTGAAGCAGAATAGTTAGAGGGTTGTGGGATGAAGGATATATGTGGATATGATGATTACGGTTAATAAATAGTTGATACCTACCTAATTTACATAGATCATGAACACGAATATTTGTATCGTCTAGTCTACACCCTCGACATGCATGGCATCAACAACCATGTCGTCTATAGACACCCCTCTGTGATTTACCAATCCACTGGGAGTTGACACTGGGAGTTGACATCTCCGGCAGTTCGGTCCGCTTATCTGTCGATCAGACGATGATGGGCCAACGCAGCCGATTTCGGTAACTGCATCTGATTATTCTCATGCCATGATAGATGTACGAAAAATGTGTATTTGATAACCCCGCTTGGTGTTTTGTGGTACGATGTGTCATTGAGAATGGCCTGTGCCTCGGACGAGGGTGGTTCAGTCTTGATCAAATTTTTCACTTCTAAGTGACGATGCAAGTGAGACTGAGTATGGCGTAGTGCAAGAGTGCAAGGGAGTATAGCAGATGAAGAATGACATCACGGTAGAGAAGTGATGTGAATTAGTACCATCTCGTGGTCTTCAGTATAGCATTTGTAAATAGTATAGTATAGTATAGCATATCGACATAATCATCGACCCTTCAAACATTTTTTCTTACACACACATGTCTTTTCCTCATTCTCTTGCATTTTTCATCAATCCAATCATGAGGAAGCGTTCTGGCCGAAACTTGAAAGCTGATTGGTGACGACGAGACCAGCGACACTGGCAGAGGTGAGAGTGGCGAGAACACCAGAGATGAGGGCGGAAACAGCAAGCTTGGCGACATCACCGCCGCGAGAGGGGGCGAGCTGGCTGAGGATACCGATCTGGATACCGAGGGAGCCAATGTTGCCGAAACCGCAGAGGGCGTAGGTGGCGATGAGCTGGGAGCGGGGGGAGAGGCCGTAGAATTCGTTGTCCTTAGGGGAGGGGTTGGTGAGGAGGCTGAAGGCCTTGTACTCGTTCTAAGATGTGTCAGTATCTGATAAGATGCAAGTAAGAGGGGAGGGAAACGTACGGTGATGATCTTCTCGGCGATGAGCTTGGCGACGGGGAGGATATCGCCTGTCTTGTTGGATCCGTTGGTGCGAGATACACCGAGGAGGAAAGACACGGGGAAGAGAAGGTATCCAAGAATGAGCTGGAGAGTAAGAGGGGGACTGTTGATGTTGAGGTATCGTCCCCACCAGGTCAAGAGACCATTGATGAAAGCGACCAGAGCAATAATGCAGAGAAGAGAGCAGACGATGGTACCGGCGATCTTGATTCCGAGCCATGCACCATTGGCGAAAGCGTGAAGAGCATTCTCTGCCTTGTGCTCATCATCATCAGGGATGACTACACGTCCAGCTGTGAGGGTCTCTTCGGTCTCGGGATATCGCATCTTGGAAATAGCCAGAGAGGCAGGAATAGACATGATGCAGGATGACACGAGAGCTTCGCGGTTGAGACCGAGACCAATGTATCCGACAAGTACGGATCCTGAGATGGTAGCGAATCCACAGGTCATGATCTGGTGAAGCTCGGCCTTGGTCATGTGAGGAACGAAAGGACGGACAAGCATGGCTGATTCTCCCTGGCCGATGAAGGGTGTAGCTGCAGCGACGACGGCTTCAGCGCCTGAGACGCCGAGACCCCAGAAGACGAAAGTAGCGAACTTGACGATGAACCATTGGACGAAACCGATGTAGTAGAGAACCTGCACGAGGGAGATGAAGAAGATGATGGCGGGGATGACGCCAAAGAAGAAGTTGCCCGTGTTGGCGACGTCTTCGCTGGTCAGGAATGCAACACCAGCCTTGGCGAAGCCGAGAAGATCAGCGGCGCGGTCGGCGATGAAGCGGAAGATGTCGTATCCAACGGTTGTTCGAAGAACAAAGAGACCGATAACGTATTGCGTGAGCATACCGCCGATGACAGTGCGCCAGTTGATTCGCTTACGGTCCTTGCTAGTAATCCAGAGGAGGAAGAGGAAGACGACCATGCCGAAAAGACTAATAGCGCGGTTCTCACGGGTATTATCAGCGACCTCCTCCGAAACAAAAGCGCCGACGAGAATAGCAGCTACAGTGACGGTAGCGCCAGCGAGAGTGCGCAGGTGAGACGGGACGAGCTCGTAGATCCTGACAGCTGTGTGAAGCCAGACCTTCTTGATGGCGTTGGAGACATGGCGGCTGGGAACGTGGAAGAAGAACAGACGGAGGGTGATGGCGAGCCACACGAGGAAAGGGACAACCCAGTTCTTGTCGTTGCGGTGCAGCACGAGAGATGCGATCCACCAGCCTGTGAAGAGGCAGAAGAGGATGAGGTGGATTATAGGGCGGCGGTAGCGATATACGGGGCCGAGACGTCTGCGCCAGCCGATTACAGCGGGGGTGTCGCTGTGGGAGTTTGCGCGGGCGGACTCGTCGACGACGCCTGCTTCGTGCTTCTCGTGGTCGCTGTAGTCAGGAGGTGTAGGCGCTGTCTTTTCCTTCTCGTGGGAGTGGCGCTGGGGAGGGATTACACCTGGGGCGTCTGTTGTGCCGGTTGTGTAGACGGGATCATCGTGGCCAGGGATGTCGACGCGGGGAGAGTGGTGATGGTGTTGGTGGTGGTGTTGGTGGGAGGGCTCGAGAGCTGGGTCGGGATTATGGTGGATGTTTGAATCAGCCATTGTAACCGCTCTCTCTCTCTCTCTCTCTCTCTCTCTCAACTCAAATTGGGGTATAAAAAAAGGTGTAATTGAGGGTAGAGGTGAGACCTCGGAGCTTCAGAGCTTGAGCAGTGAAGCACAAGAGAAGAAGAGAAGACCCTTGGGAGTGCGAAGGCGAAACAAGGGCTTTTGTTCAGAAAAGTTTTAGCCCTAGACTTCAAAACTGGAGACAACAACCGACACTGAGAATGGAGTCAGACGATGGGACTGAACTGAACTGACAGAAGAGACGATCTTCGTGGGTCGACAATTTTTTTTCTTAAACGTGGGGATTGCTTGACTTTTTTAACCCAGCTTTTTTGCCTCCAGGTGTGTAGTATAGTGCGATTGGAGGGGTGTGCCTTGTTGGTTTATCTATACATTATGGGTCCGTTGGTTCAATTAAACCCCAGACTAGACTTCAGCCAATGTTTGTTCAGACGACGATCTTTTTTGAGGAGGTGAGCACGAGGACAAGAACAAGGATTCATGGGATCTGGACTGTGAGCTTATCAGTTGGGGGTCCATATATTTCGGAGATGCCTTGCACCTGTATATTTGGAGTTGAGTCAATCGGAAGAATAGAGATGCACTGCACGTGTGTAACAGTAACACAGCTTTATAGTGTCACTTTACACTGAAGAGTATCTCATCTTCAACACTCTGTGTTCTGTATCTTCAGTACCTCATGCTCTGTATGAGGTTCTCTGTATCTTCACATTTGGTTGTAGTCGCCACCCCCGGCCTAAACCTCGGCGTGTACTATACCTAATCCAGAAGGTTGCTGGAACGTTTGAAAAGCTCAACTTGATCTTCTCCACTGACGTAGTCTCCACAAACGGAGAAAACGCTCGTTATTGGCATAGCTCGGAGACCCTTTGCCCACCACTTACTCAGTCATTGACCAATAAATAGACTTTCTTCTTGATTCATTGGGAACTTGTGTAGCTTGGCTCTCGGTCACCATTTAGAGTGTCTCTTCCCCCGGCCATATCTGATACAGACCATGAGGACGTCCTATCTGTGTATTGTATTACTCTAGATAAGAGTGTTGATATCTGTAGCAACATCTAGACCTGACTTGTGAATCAAGACCAAGCCCATTTCTCATCTCCATCTCCGATCCTCTCTCCACTCTCTCCATCTCCAAAAGCCACACCCGTTCTCAATTCTCTCTAACCCAAATTCAGTCCCCCCCAAAAATATGACTATCACTCTTTAGGTAGGTCATTCTGTTCTCGGCTTACAGCTTCAAAGAGCCTCGTTATGTAACACTCATCTCCTCCTCCCCCCAGCTTGCCCAGACTTGTCTGTCCCCCAGTCCTTGAGCTTATCGACATGCATCGACAGGGATTCTGATAGCCACTTCCCCAGCTTCAGCTAACGGGCCCCCTTCACACCATCTTCTCCCTCCGAGGCTGGGGCTATCTGCAAATAACATGGCGCGCCGCACACATGTCAGCCTGTGTAAAGAGATAGGCATGGATATTTGTCTCCTTCCATGAAAGATGTAGTCGTTTTGATGTGACAGTGATTGTCGGCCATCTCCGTTGATATCTCGGTCTGGCCCGCCCGTCAGACTCTATCAAGACGACCGTTGTATTGGGTTTTCGAAGGTGACAGAGTACGACTTGACCACTTCCCCTCAATTTCTTGAGTGCATGCATTGTCAATCTGGATCTAATTCATCTTCGTTAATCTACTAATCGTTTCTCTCATTTACATCGTGACTCCATACATCACATGTTTCTTTTGTCCTTGCCATATATGGCATCTCGCTATCTCCTCTTCTCTTCTCTTCCATCCCACCTTTGCCGAATTGCCTTTGCATGTGAGATCACGATGACCTCTTTTTTACTTTAGCTACACTGATAAGAGGCTATCCCACTCTTCCTCCTCAAATCACCGTAAACCATTGCATCGATATCGTCTCTTTCGTGTTTGTTCGCACGAGATCCGCCGGCCGATGAGCCATTACTAAGCGGCACAGCTGAGCGAGAGCGACGGCCCGGCTTGGAAGACGGTTATCTCGGTCGTCACGGGATTCGTGTAAATAGGCTTGTATCGCGTCGGGCCTTGCCGTGTATTTTCATGAGGACATTCGCGTCTCGGCTTAGTATCTACTCCATCTCCCGTGTAGACGATGAACCGCGAAGTGCCGGGACAGACTTTTCCGGCCTCAATCTTGACGAGTGTCAATCCCAGGCCTTGGTGGAATCGGGCCTAGTCACCTTTGCTTGGACATGTTTAGGTGTTCAATCGTGATCATCCTTTCACGATTGATCAGTCACAAAATTGTAGTCGTCGCGACTTCATCATTGCATGTACCTCGTGTTCTTATTAAATATAATCTATCAATACTCCAAACTCCATCGCACTGCTGCCTATTACAACGACCCTCATACAATATCCTATCCTCCTTTTACTCTCCACTTCTAAACCTCCTGTTAAACTCTTCAACCGCAACCCCTATCATCTTGTACAAGAATCCCCTCTCACTGCCCTCACCAATTGGAATAAACGGCCCATTAGCTCCTCCTCTTAAAGCCAAGCTCACACCCGTCCGCTCCTTTGCGATAGTCTGGACATCCTTCAGAGGAACGTCCCACTCGCTTGTCAGACGTCGCGATCGGATCAGCAAGATCCGAGCATATGTCACCATGACGACCATATCTTCTTTGGGTAGCTCAAGATGTCCAATGTACTGCTCATCAAAGTATCGCCCGTTGTCAACTTGCTTCAGCCAGTACTGGCCGAGAGCTTCCCGCGGGTTGTATGGGCGTACGATACCATCATGTGGAATGTATCGTGGGTATCGTGTACGATCCAACTCTTGACCGTCAAACACCGTTGTAGTGTTGCGAATACCTTCACTGACATTGCTTGCCATGTCAAGTACACCAACCGCTGGCTTGGTAGCCAGTCCAATCATGCCCTTGCCGACACCCTTGAAGAATCCCAGAGCGCCCTCCTGTTCGGCACCCTCTAAGGGTTTGCGTGCAAGACCACCAACGCCTGATGCAACACTTGTGATAAAGCTGTTCGCGCCAGCAGTAACACCGTACAAGGCGTGCTTCGGCCTGTTGCGAGCCCTTGTGATACGACGACGGTCCTGGAACTGCTTGTCCAGTGACGCTGCTGCCAGTCCCTTACTGAGACTGCCTGTAAACTTGGAGAAACTGTCACTGAATCCAAACACCGTCTTCTTGGCAAATGAAGCGGCACCCTTGGCGATGCCTAGACCAAACTCTTCTGGCTTATCCGACAAGATCAAGCCCTGGTACGGTTCGTAGAACACATCTGTCACACCCGACGAGATGCTATTGAACAGACCCACAGGGTTACCGAGGAAGTCGGCAGATCCCAGAATCTTGTGGATCTGATACATGACCTCCTGACTGTAGTGGCTGGAGAAGTTCTGAATAAGTACCGCTGTAGTCACTCTCACGTTGTCCAGGATAAGCGCATTGAACCGAAGTGGTGCATCGTTGACGTTTCCGACAGCCATGGTCATGACGTTGAGGAAGAACATGATAGGGTTGCGAGATGATGTCTTGTCCTCAGCGTTGACACGTTCTGTGCGCATGAAACTCAAGTTAAGCTGCATGGGCTGGATGTTGAGAACCTCAAAGTAGATATCTTGACCAGCTGGTTGGCCTGATGGCTCAGGAATGTCAAGATCCTCGTCGCACAGCTTGCCAGAGTCGTCAACCTCTGTCCAGCTGGCGCCAGGCACATTTGTGAAGTCAAGAAGAGCAAACACAAAGTCCTCATCCAGATCAATTGTCATTTCCTGCAGCAGAATGGTCGCGTACTTGATGTACAGCACACCATACGAATCATCCTTGACACGGCTGACCATGGCGTGCAGCGATGGATGAGCCTCCACCTCCTGCGCCTTCTTTGGCACAACGCTGGGGTAAAGGACCATAGGGAAAATGCCACCGTACAATTGATTGTCGATCTGGATCCACTTGATTGCCATCGAAATTGTCTGGATCAAAGGCGAGTCGCTGTACCGCAATTGAACGTCGCGGAAAGTCAAGTAGGCAAGTTCCTTCATCTGTGCGTTGACCAAGGAGACACCAATACCCGCCAACTTGAGCTGCGCGCGGAAGGTAGCGCCTGTATCTTGATCCTTGACCTCAAAAGCCTCGGGGCCAGTATTGGTCCTAGCCAATGCCTTGGGCTTGTACATACTCTTACTGGCACGGAAGTTACTGAGAATCAGTGTCTGCTTTGGTCCATCGGCAGCAACGTTGATGTCGACAATCTTAGGAGCTCCAGACGAAGTATGGAACTTCATCGGGATCTGGTTGCCGATCTCAGCCAGTTTGACATGTCGTTCCTTGCCATTTGCAGAGATAATGATCTCTCGGAACTTGGCAGCAGGGAAATCCCAAGCATATGGCATGATGCTGCGAGGCGGAAGGCGATATCGTATTAGTCGCCATCCACTGCGGTCCTCGTCCCCATCTTCGTCGACATTGGGATTGGCTTGCCAGAACATGAACTCAACATCACTCTCATTGCGCATCGAGTACGGCCAGTTCTTCTTCTCCATGCTGAGGTTCAAGAAGACAGTAGAGTTCTCCATAAGAACCTCGATCTTGACAAGGTTCTGGCGTTGCCCAGCTTTAGCGATCTTGACATAAGTTGTACCAATGTCCGCAATGTTGAAAGGAGATGTCCACTGGTTATTCACACCAGGGTAACAGAGACACAGCTGCTTGACCTTTGACTTTTGCATGAAGTGCAGAGGTTGCAGAGCGCCATCGCCAAGAGTAAGATAGCCAGAGGAGCTGGATTCACGAACAAGAATCTCTCCATCCATCTTGTTGTGTAGAACGAATCGAGGAGCAATCGTAACAACCTTGGTGAGCTTGTACTTGCCCTCGCCAGATTCGACAGTGACGCCAACATGGATTTCCTTGTCCTTGGTCGCTGAGTTTAAGACAACCTCAGTAGTACTGCCGATAGCATCGAAACTCTGAGGCTTGCTCCATTCCGAGTCTGCAA